CGTGCCTCGGTTCTGTCGATCTCAGTCGGGTCGGATGTAGTCAGATATTTTCTTTCATTCTGCCAGGGGCGGAGCTAGAAATCATTTTGAAGGGGGTCAAAATAAAAAAAAAAACTAAAAAACATTGTTTATAAATTGCCAAACAAAAAAATTGTATCAAAACAAAAAAAAACTATGACAATATAGTTCATAAACTGTCAAATGAAAAAGAAAAAAAAGTCTACAAATGCATTCTACGATCACTCATTGCTTGAAATCTTCTTGTCACTTGTTCATTTGTTACATCGTCATATAATTCTTTTTCGATGTAACAAATAAGACTATCACTTAGAAACTGATCACCCATACGATTTCGTAGCTTAGTCTTCACAATCTTCATTCCAGAAAAACATCTCTCAACCGTTGCAGTAGCAACAGGCAAAACCAAAGCTAGCTTCAAAAGTCTATAAACCAAATAATGTGAAAGATGTTTCTTAGTTTCTACTAACACCCTTGCTAGATCTCCAAGATTTTTCAAATCAGCAAACCTTTCATCTTCTCGCACATTATCGATATAAATATCAAGTTGGTGCTCAAGAGAAATGCACTCCACACGGCTGAAATCCTCAGGATAAAACTCAGCCAATCTCATCAGCTTTATTTTGTCATACTGACAGAATAAATCGATAGGATTTAAAGCCGATATGCAGATGAGCAATTCAGAATTTACCTCGTTAAAGCGATCATTGAACTCCAAAAGCTGAATATCCAACACATAGTAAAAACAGTCAACTTGGAAATGACGCAAGTTTGTGAAGTTGGTCCGCATGCGTGGCCTCCTCGGATCGATATACTCATCTTCCATGTTGAGAATTTCAGTGTCGTGCTTCTTACAAAAATCAGAAACCTTCTTCACAAAAGAATCCCAGCCATCATCTCTTAACTTTTGTAACTGTCGCTTAGTGGATTCCACTAGTGAAACAGCATTTGCAATGTCTTGGTTTTTTTTTTGTAATGCCATTGATAGATTCTCTGTGAGTCCCAATATATGCAGCATCAAGTGTAGATAGACCACAAAATCAAAACTATGAATGTATTTGAGAATACCATTTGCTTGACGCTTCTTGGTATTATCTATACCTTCATCCTGGACATACCTAAGCACCTTAACCACAGAAGCAAATAAGTCCACCAACCGCAACAACGTTTTATAATGAGAACCCCACCGTGTAGCTCCTGGTCTTTGAAGTGAAGACTCTTGATTCAACCCTTTTCCAGTCTTGATTTCACCACTACTTATTCCTTCCTCATTGATCTCTCGTTGACTATCTCTGATCTTATCTTTTCTCTTGCAAGAAGCTCCAGCCACGTTTACTAACAAAGAAACCATATCGAAAAAGTTTCCTACTTCAAGATGATTCTTTGCAACAGCAACAACAACCAATTGAAGCTGGTGAGCGAAACAATGGACATAGTATGCACAGCTACTCTCTCTTGAAATCAACGCTCTTAGTCCATTGAATTCACCCCTCATATTTCCTGCTCCATCATAGCCTTGGCCTCTAACTTTTTTCAAACTCAATCTGTACTTAGCAAGTAATGAATCAATACCAGATTTCAGAGTTGAGGAACATGTATCCTTCACATGAATCAGACCAACAAACCTCTCTTTCACTATCCCATGTTTATCAACAAAACGAAATACTATAGCCATCTGCTCTTTCTCCGAAGAGTCAGCGGATTCATCCACCAATAGAGCAAAAACATCATGATCAATTTCTTGAATTATGGAACTGATTACTTCTTCTGAAAAGCAATGAACAATGTCTTTTTGAATTGGATGAGACACCATCTGATTATTTCCAGGAGCGTTCTTCAGCACAACTTTATCCACGGCTTCATTTTGTTGTGCAGTATACTTCAGTACCGCCAAAAAGTTTCCTTGGTTACTAGAATCCTCTGTCTCATCATGACCGCGAAATGGCAATCCTTGCCTCAGTAACAATCTAGAAGAATCGACAGAAGCATTTAGCCGAATACGATACTGATTTTTCATAACATCAGTTTGTTTCTGGAAAGCATGTGCAATTGACTGGCCTTGTCTCACCAAATCTTCACATTTCTTCTTAGCTTTATGGTGAAAGCTATTTATAAGACGTCCGTGAGCAGCCAATGTCTCATACTTATTCCAATTATGAAACCCTTCTGTCACAAATGCAGCATTTCCACCTTTATTGTCGTTGTTATCTCTGAATAAGTAACAACACAAACAATATGCCTTCTCTTTCTTCACACTGTATTCCAACCAATCATGAAATTCATCAAACCACTGGAGATTAAATCGCCTTAATGTATTTCCTATTGATCGCTGTTTAAAAGGATGGCCACGAGGTTGACAAGGTCCTCTAAGCCAATATGTGCGTCTCACCTCATCTCTTTGATTAGGATGATATTCCAGTATTCCTTTTCTTTCACCAGGATCTTCAGGGAAGTCATTTAAATTGATAGGATCTGGAGCAGTTCTTTTCACAAATCGATCCATAAGTAATCTGATGGATTTTGTGAAAGTAAATTGGTTAGTTCAAGTTACAAAACTATTAAACTAATTCGAAATCTCCAATTTTACAACAACAAAACTGCTATATTAAACTATAGTATACTATATACTAAAAGCAAGAAGTTCTTACATGGAAATTGGAATTTTCTCTTTTATCGACGGAAGGAGAGGGAGACGAAGGAGAAGTTTAATAGGTTTGTCTTTCGTCTTTTACAGCAATAGAATTAGGTAAATTTGTATAATTCTAAATTGAAACGTAGCTTTATTATAAGCCCATCGTAAGCCCAAGTAATTTTTATGATCCTTTACTTAAACTTTTAGAATAATATTTTAGGGGGGTCAACTATTATTTATAAACAGGGTCAATAATTTTTTTTAATAAGTAATAAAAAAAGAAAAAAAAAATCAGTGGTGGTCAACTGACCACCCTAAGCCCTTACTAGATCCGCCCCTGCATTCTGCTGTGCGTGGCAATACGTCAATGGTAGTTGATATACTATTTTCTTATTTTGTCGGGGTTTCTTTAGAAGTTAGCTAATCTGATTTTCTGAAGGAAAAAAGGAAAGAAGAATGATTTTCAAACTCGTTAGACACGTATTTACAAAGATAATACAAAAAACGAAAGAAAAAAACACTCAAAATAAAACCTACCTACGATCAAAGAATTAAACGGTTTTTATTACAATATCTTCATATTATGATATTTTTCTAATTCTCATGTACATTTCCTCTCCTCATGTCCAAGATATACAACCATAAGCTCTTGTACAAGTTAACACGCAGTGTTCGAGCTCTGATGTGTATTATGTAAACTCTGTTTCACCAACTTGGATCTCCGAGTTGTTTTAGATAGAGTCGCTGTTGACAAAAAAAAAAAAAAAAAAAAAAAAAAAAAAAAAAAAACTCTTGTGGTTACTAAAGATTCAAAGTTCATAGCAATTTGGCAATCATACCACAAAGTTAACCCGGTACATCTCTATGGACCGGAATTGGGTTGGTGATAATACCAAAACATGGCGTAAATAATCACTCCCAAAGATACTGCAAAGGAACCAACTCTTTGTAATAACCACTAAACCACACTAGGTCACCACACATTTGATAATTTGGCAGTTTTTGTCTCAAACTAAAAAAAAAACAGAACACAGCAAAACACTTAAACATTAGATCTCATATAGTGTACCAAATATATATATATATATATATATAATCCGTATTGTCGACATATCTCTAGAACCGGAAAATCATTACAAATGTGTGTGCAAACATTGCCTTTGGGCTACTTGGTCACTTGAGTTTCTTTTCAAAGATGGTTTCAAATTCGTTGCATCCATAATCTCTTTTGGTCTTTGTTAGCTTCTGCTTTCCTTTTTTTAGTTTTTTATTTTTTTGTTCTAAGCTTTTTTTTTCTCACACCCCATTGTAGATTTTACACCACATAATCAATAAATCTGAAATTTTAATTTAGAAAAATCTTAGCCAAAGAGCCATTTTTAAATCTAGTCCGAAGCTTCGTCAAAATTCAAATATGGTATACTAAATCAGAAATGAAATTCTTTCATGAACGAATTGTAACAAAATACTTATTTATCGTCCATGTAAAAGTTAATACATTTCACTTTTAGTAAACAAAATCTTCTGTTAGTGTGAAATTTACAAATACAGTTTTTGAAAATAAACTTCATCATTTCCAACAAGATTTTGATGTACATACATTAAAATTTGTTATATACTGTAATACTTACGCAACCCTAATTATCTTCTTGAATACTAAAAAACTGACGGCAGGTCTTAGAAATGATGTTTGTACTTACGAGCCAACGTCATGATGTAAACCAAAGCATTGACCCAAACAAAAAGCAGTGCGTACCGGACTTAAATGAAAAACAAAATTAAATCTAAAAAACTACGACCGGAAGAAACCTGCTAAGCCGGTAACACCACTGCCAAAAAAGGACCAACAACAATATTAACACTATACACAAATTTAGTTATAGAGAGAGAGAATAAATAATTTATTATAAATTTCGATCGTCCTCTTAAAATGGGTCTGAAATGTTCCCTCACACGTCTCCTTCTTCTTTCTCTCTATCTTCTCCAATCCAATTAAAAAAAAAAAAAAATCCGTTTCACAGTCTCTCGCCGCCGGCAACAACATTTTTTTCCCGGCGATGAAATTTCTCTGTCTCAGTCCTCTCAGTCTTTTCTAAATCAATCGCTTTCCAATGTCGCTTTAGTGCTTTAGTTTCTCCTTTTTCTCTTCTTCCTCTCTCTCTCTCTCTCGTTTGTTGCCGGCGAACAACTCCGATCATCCGATTCCAACTTTCTTACTACGTGATTATGTAAATGAGACGATCGCTGATAGTGATTCTCATCAGTTTCATAGATTTGGTGGAAAAATCAAGTACCAATTTCCCGGAGGTTGATTTTTGTAACTCCGCCGTTGATTTTTGTTTTCTCCGAGATGCTGGATCTTAATCTCGACGCTGACTCACCCGAGTCGACTCAGTACGGCGACTCAAACGCAGATCGACAGACATCGGACGGCTCCGGCAACCGAGTAGACGAGTCCGGGACATCGACGTCGTCGGTAATCAATGCCGACGCAGACGAAGACTCCTGCTCGACTCGCGCCTTCACTCTCAGCTTCGATATATTAAAAGTCGGAAGCAGCGGCGGTGGCGGCGGCGGAGGAGATGATAATAGCCCGGCCTCCGTCGCCGGCGTGACTAAAGAGTTTTTCCCGGTTGGCGGAGGAGACTGTGGACATCTCGTCCAAGGATCGAGCTCTAGAAGCTGGATCGATCTCTCTTTCGATAGCTACGGAGAATCGAAATCGGTGGCTCCGGTTCCGGCTCCGGCTCCGGTACCGGCTCAGGCGAAGAAGAGCAGGAGAGGACCAAGGTCAAGAAGCTCACAGTATAGAGGAGTCACGTTTTACAGAAGAACTGGTCGTTGGGAATCTCATATTTGGTAAAAATTCAAAATCCAAAAATTCAAAATTCATAAATTCAACAAGGATTCAAATTCTTAATCAAGAACTCTTTTTTCTTTCTTTTTTTGCAGGGATTGTGGGAAACAAGTCTATTTAGGTAAGAACAAGATTTTCTTTAACACTCGATGAACAAGTTCTTGATTTATAATTTTTTTGAGCTTTCTTGTTGCTTTATGTGTATTAGGTGGTTTTGACACTGCTCATGCTGCAGCGAGGTGAATTTTTTTTCTTTTTTTTTATTAGGATTTGTGGATGAATGAATGAATGAATTTGAAACATTTTTATGTTTATATGCAGAGCTTATGATCGAGCTGCTATCAAATTTAGAGGTGTTGAGGCTGATATCAACTTCACTCTAGGAGATTACGAGGAAGATATGAAACAGGTTTGGATATGATTATGATTTATGAATGTGAAGTTTGGTAATGTATGAATGTGACTGAGACTGAGAGATTTATGGTGAAACAGGTACAGAACTTGAGCAAGGAAGAATTTGTGCACATACTCCGTAGACAGAGCACTGGCTTCTCTCGTGGGAGCTCAAAGTATCGAGGTGTTACATTGCACAAATGTGGGAGATGGGAAGCTAGGATGGGTCAGTTTCTTGGTAAAAAGTGAGCATCTTTTTTTTTTGTCTTCTTGATTTTTGTAGAAACAGTTTATGATTTGGTGTCTCAGATTTTGATAGCTCCTAAGAAGATCATATGTTGTCAAATCCAAGTGAAAAGTTTCTGATACTCATTTGTTCTTGCAAAAACAGGGCTTATGACAAAGCTGCGATCGACTCTAATGGAAGGGAAGCAGTAACCAACTTCGAGCTGAGTTCATACCAAAATGAGACCAATAACGAAGGTGGAGGTGGTGATGAGAAACTTGATCTCAACTTGGGAATGTCTCTTTCTTCCGGAAACAACGCCACAAAGCAAAACGGGAGGCTCTTTCATTACCCTGCTAACACTTACGAAACGCAGCGTGGAGTTAGCTTAACGGTAATTTTTTTTTTTACTTTTTGACAGTATCAGTAAAATCGCTCTCATGGAAGGGTTATTGGAAAAAAACGTTTTCTTATTGTTTTGTCTTCACAACAAACTATTACAGATAGATAATCATGAGTTCATGGGGAAACCGGTGAATACAGTACCGGTTCCTTACTGGAACCCGAGTTACAGTAACCCCGTCGAGGTAAAAAATACAAAATAACACAATGTGCAACATGTAAAAGATTAAAATGAAAAATAATGTTTTGGTTTTTTTTTTAGGGAAGAGGAAGTGAAGCTGAAGGGATGATGATGAGTGGTAGTAGTAATTGGGGTTGGCAAAGACCGGGCCAAACGAGCGGAATGAGACCGGGACCGCCACAGCAACCGCAACCGCCGCCGTTGTTCTCAGTTGCAGCAGCATCATCAGGATTCTCTCATTTCCGGCAACAACCTCCCAATGACAATGCCTCTCGTGGTTACTTTTATCCACAACCTTAACTTATAAGGAAGAGTGGTATGAGAGTTTTTGGCCTCTCTCAAGTCCCCTTTAAAAGAATTCGTCCTTTTGGGTAGAATTTTTCATGCAATGATCAATTTTTTTCCGAATTCAGATGAGGAAAAAGAGGAAGTAATCGTTGTGTTTTTTTGCTTTACCCGGAAGAAAATGTCGCTTTCTTTTTATCAACCAAAATGGGGAAAAAAATGTGTGTGTTGTGGTTGTTTTGATTCTTGATAAAAAAAAATGGATATGCTTTATTTATCCTATAATGGTCGTTTGTGCTTCCTTAAAGACTGTTGGAAATCGGAAAGGTACAATGTTTTGTAAATAAATTAATAAAGGATTGGGGTTTTTGTCGTTATGTGATTTGATTTATTAGGTAGACTATTTAATGAATACTACTACTAATACACAGTTGAAAAGAACAGTAAGGAGAGATAGTGAGAGGGTGTGACAATTTTGGCTGCCTCTTCGGAACACCAAAGGATTCGGCGAAAAACATTTGATTTCTATTTGTATACATTATTCGGATATAACCAAATAAACCCTTATGTTCCTAAGTCACGTGTCAAATATAGTACTTAACTATGTGTACTACATTGAGTAATGCACATGGTGGTTTTCACTTTTGGAATAGAGTGGAATAAATTGGATGCCATACATTTTGTTTCTCGATTTATCATTAAACCAATAGATGTTGACAAATAAAATGTTGATTTTGGAAGCGAATAGTATTTATTAGCGAGTTTTTTTTTATAATATAAGAGAGTATAAAACTCCACACTTAAGGGTCACAATTTCTACACTAGCAAAAGTTTTCATCAATGTTGGAACTTCTATAATAATGTATTCCAAGCTATAAAGCCAAACTTCTTTAATTTGGATTCAAGATTGGTTCTGATAATGAAATGTTACTTTTCAGAAGAAAAAAAGAGAGAGCTTAGTTTGTAGATGGCCATCCTTCTAATTTTCATTTATTTAATACTTGTTTAGATTTTTTTTCTGGCTTGTTTTTTTGTGTATTTAGATATTTTTGACAACAACATGCATTATCCGAATTTGAATCAAAATGATAAGGCAATGATAACATTAATACAAATTATTAGGTTATGGTCATTTTTGAGTATCTATCTAATTGTCTATAAATGAATACCTAGGATATTTGTTTGCTCCATTGAAATTGAAATTTTAGTAGTACTGTTTTTGAAACAAGAACTAAACGTTGGAACTACCTTGTTTTGTTTTTTCTTTTTTTTTTTAAATTAAATTTTGTAATTTTGTGGACAAAACAGATAAAAAAAATACTATTTATTAAGTATTTTGTAAGTATTAGATATAATATATGTAAAGATATTTATGCAGTTGCTATGCCAATTGTCAAGCTTAAAAGCAAAACAAGAGATTCCCGATCTTCTGTTCTGTCAAATCAAATCTCGAAGTCTATCTACCGTTCCGGGTAAATGTAATGATATTCAGTTAGATGTGATGTCTTAAGCAACTAAATTATTGTTCACATTATTCCAAAAATGGTCCTTTCCTATGACTCGTATCTTATGCCTTTACCAGTAATCTAAACTCACATGTTTACTTAAACATATCATTATCCTTCTTTTATGGTATCTTTTAGGGTAAAGTAGTAACACCCACCTTCAGTCGACAATTCTTTCAAGAAATAACTTATTTATTTATTTTTTGTAAGGGTTACAAATAACCTTTTTACGATGAATGTATCAGAATAATATTAAGAGGACCAAAAACATATATGATAGTAAAAGAAGAATTATTTAATGTCATGTGTAATTTAGTTAAGGTACATCACTATTTAGGATGGTTGTTATTAGAAGATATGACGTGAGTAGTGGACATGAAAAAATATGACCCATATTGAGATTGTGTGGACGTTATCTATGCTTATGCAAATTGGAGCCATGTAAAAGATATGGTTTTGTTTTTGTCGAATTAAATACGATTAGTAATGACTATTTTTCTGACGGAATACCAAATACATGTAATCATCTATAGTATTTGTTTTTTTTTTTTTAATATTGGAATTGCGTAGGGTATATAATAGTCAGCAAGAACAAGGCAACAAAGACATAAAAGCAAATAAATACCAATGATGACCTACTCTGTCGGAGAATCCTTAATATAAACAATGGTATTTTTTTAGTGGTACAAAATGAGACAACGTGAGACGATTGGGAAACATAATGGGTCCAATCCATAATCAAAAATATTAAATTCATTATTTATAACCAAATCGAAGAGGTGTCTCCTCAAAATTCATATTATCTGCATTTAGATTTATAGGATTTAGTAGGTCATGTGGAATAGAATACTCACAACTCACATCTAACCTTCTTTTGGTTTCATATGTTTTGCCACAACAAAAGCATATTAGTCTTATTAAACTAGTGATTGATGATTTTTGGATAGATATCATGTAAATAGTCAATTATTGATTTTAGAATACAAATGGAGACAGTTGGTGTTATTCAATTAGTTGTTTTTGAAATGTAAACTATTCAGTAAGTTTTGAAACTTGGTGTTATTCAATAATTTTGCAAATAAAGTTTAAGACAGACAAAAAATCTTATGTAACCACTTGATAGTTGAAGATCCATATTTGGCACATTTCAAAATTTAAATGTAATAAAATGTATAAACCAATAATAAAGCCTTCCTAAAGCTTTTTTACAACCACATTTGTTTGACTCAGTCCAAAGCTCATGATAGTGTATAAATCTTGAAAGTCCCGTTTAAATCACCATTCATCCCATTTGTTGACGCATAAAATTTCTCATTTTAAAGTGTGTTTTAACTTTGGCCATTCATCCTAATTGATTATTCTTAACTTTACTGGAACTGACTAGTTTAAGAGACATGGCCTCTATTTCACCTAGCCCTAGTAGCTTCGACAAGTTTGGTGATGTTAAGTATTCAAAAACAGTATTCTCGTACTCATCATGTCATCAATTTCACTCGTAAATTTTATTTCTGAGTCAATTTGAAACAACCAACACATTTTTTTATATAATTTAATACTAAACAATTTTAGCAAAAGTCTTTAAAATAAATATAATAAATAAATATTAATAACAAATAAATCAGTTCAGCAGAAGAAAATAACAATTAAACAAGTCTAGCAAAACAATGCAAAATAAATAAAAGCAATAAACATCCTATCATCCCCCTCTCCAACCTTGATTCCGCGATCACACAAAATCTTTTACTTGCAACACATTGTAATGAAGTTGCATAAGTATTTAATAAATACTTAGTGAGGCAATCACTCTGCCTACGAGCCATTTACGCAATTACTAGATATTTAATAATATTTATAAACTCCAATAATTATTAAATACCAATTTCTGATTATTTAATAATTAAAATAATAATTTACCATAATTAAAATAATTAATATAATTATTTTAAACCATTTAATTAATTAAATAACCCATAATTAATTAAATACATAAATAACCAATCCAATTCGTTTTAACCATTTCCAATTAAACCAGACAGAAATTCAATTAAACCATTAAATCGATTAAACCGAAATTAACCGGTCTGTGTCGACCGACACAAGCTTTGTGTCGCTCGACACCGATTCCTGAAACACAGAGATCAATCTATGAACAGTATCCAAATTACAAAATAACACAGAAATCAAGCAATCAACCAAAACATTCGAATCAAACATCAATATTACCACGAAATCCTCACAGAAACACATACACATCCTGAATCTAGCAATCACGGACCCACAATCATGCACTCACCTCTATTTTAGGTTGAAAAGAGGGGAAAATCGGATTGAAGATGATGAACCGACGAAGAACGGAGAAGAACGACGACACATCAGCCTCAGATTGCAACTCCTCACACTAAATCGCCTCTAGAAATCTCTTCTCCCTTGTTCTTGGCTCACTAAACGACAAAAGAGAAAGAGCCAAGCGGCTGCTCGTGTTTTAACTTGTGAAACGAGGGTTTTCCAACCCAAACCACTAAACCGAACACTCAAATCAAACCGGGTTTGATTTCAAAATCGCTGTGTCGACCGACACACTTCCTTTGTGTCGCTCGACACAGCTTCCTCAAGCTGACAATTCGGTTTACGGATGTCACAGTATGTCCCTTGCTTTATCATGAAACAAAATTGAATGATTAAAAATTTAAGACTGTCGTTTAAACGACTGAGCTTGCTAGATGGCATCGAGCTATATTCATGGGAGATAGATGCTAAATTACTTGAAATAAAAATATTGTATCAAGCAATTGCATAATTATGTTTGCCTCTGATGATGTAGATATGTTGAACTGAGCATGCATTGAGGGATTAATGACCATTCATTGAGGGATTCATGCCATCAAATCATTTTAAATCTGCTACTCAGAACACCATATCCCATCGTCCGTGTCGTGTTTTTCCTCTCCAACATATACTTCTTCGGATAGTATCTTTTGGGGCAAGAACATCAGCATCCTCAAATCATTTTCAATATGCTACTCAGAGCATCAGATCTCATTGTTCGTGTCTTGCTTGTACCCTTCAACATATGTTCCTTCACACAGCATCCTTAGGGCAAGAACGGGAAGATTTGAGCGTCTTCTGAAGGCTTTTATGCTTTTACTAAAGATATCGGTTCAAAATATATTAGTTACAATATAATGAAAAATGGATGATGTGAAATTTTAGTGTGTAAATCCATTTAATACTTTTTCTTAAATATGGATCAATCTACAAAAATAAAATTTTAAGAGAAATTTTAAGAAATACACTTTATGGGGTGTTAATTTTCAAAACTAAATTTCTATGGTGTTAGTTTTGAAAATTACACTTTTAAAAAAATTTAACATCTTTGGATTCACTAATCCCTAATTAGAATTTAGATTTAAGGGTTTAAGGTTAGATTTTAGGGTTTAAGCTTTAGATTTTGGGCTTAGAGTTGTTTTACTCAGTGAAAAAGTGTAGTTTTGAAAATGTACACCAAAAAATGTGTAATTTTGAAATTTTCCCAATTATTAACAGATATATTATTGACCAATAAAAAAAAGAGTTTCATACCATACCCCATGCAGTTACAAAAAAAAAGAGAAAAAAAATTAATGGTGAAAAGAAGCTCATGAGTCGACTTAAGGTTTGGTCCGAGTTAGAACATTAAATCAGGACTAAACTCAATCCGGCAAATCTATCATTTTCAGTAATGCTTGGCGGTTAACCGCAAATTAAATTTAGTCCGAAGGTAAATTAGGACTTAAAGCTAAACCATTAGCCCCAAACCATACATATTGTTGTCTGATGCTAAAATCTAAATACAGTCACTTTACAATCATTTTCCTGCCTATTTATTTCTTTTACTATCCTCACAATCATACCATGATATTAATGTTTTACTACTTAATAGTTAATACCACTCGAAGAGATTTCGTTATCGTTTTATTTTAAACAATTATGACAACCTTTGAATAAAATCTTCTAAACTCGGTCGTACATGTTTCCAAATATTTTCCTTCAAATCCGACTCAATATGTGATTTCACGGTTACAATTCTCTGAGTTAACATAAGGTTTCATTTTCATTTATATCTCGCCTCCAAAAATCCATGACAGGGATGTACGTATATATATAATAATAAGAAAAAAAAAAATCCAAAAGTTATCTAAACTTTGTTCTGCTTTTAGGGGAAAACAAAGACATCCTCCACTGTTGACATTAACTACAAATACCCAATTTTTGAAACATTCGGTTAAAAAAAAGAAGCAAAGGGAAGTTACCGTATAATCTGTTCTGGTGGAGAAAAAAAGCCAATTTTCTTCTATATATATTCTTTTCAGGGTGGGGGGGGATGATAATAATTGGGATGAAAGTGGGATGTGCAAATGGCTGGAGAGGAACTTTAGGGTTTTGATTATTCATCGTCATCTGAGATTAAAGCAAATGAGAAAGGCTTGAACTTGTAACCATCTCCATGGAAGAACTTCCCCATGAACTCAACCCAGTGAAGACGCAGAGCGTGTAAAAACGCGCTTAGCGTTTCCATCATCAGAAGTATAAACGCAGTCGCAAACGCAAACACCGCTACTCCGATTAACCGGATCAAAATGTTCTCATACCTGTTTTGCAAAAAAGTAAGAACATAATACATAAATTTTGACAAGTTAAAGTTTTAAACAGAATGTGAATTACAAAATTAATTTACTCACCCCCAGGCAAGAAGAAGAACTTTCTCGTAGAAAACCGTCGACAATTCCGAATGAGCCAAACTGTATAACAAGCAAAAAATGACAAGTTTAAAGACTATTAAAAAGCAGATTAAATGATCATTGTAAAAATGTTTACCTAAGAGCCCAAAGACGAAGGTAAGACGCTGTGTTAGAAACTGAACCTAGAACAAACTCTATGGAGTGAATCAACTGATGTACAAAAATCTCGCTGAAGTTAAAATCTTCTTCCTGATGGCCATGGGCTCTTGCCGAGTCTGGTTCTTCTACATCGAGATCCACCTCAGAAGTAACAAGAACGCCGTAAGTGCGGCCTTGAAACCTCTAATACATCAAATTTTCATCCCATTGGTAAGCAAGATCCCCAAAATAAAATAGTAAATGCAGTGACAAAGACTAACAACTTGAGATACTACCTCCATGTGAATTTTCCTGAGGGCAAAGGGTTTTGGAAAAAGCATCCATGGAACAGCAATGAAGGCCATAAGCAATAACACAATCTGCAGAATAGTGTTGAAGATGAGTAAGGGTGAATGAAGAAAACAAACTTAATGGATTTATAAAAGAGAGGAAACTGTGCCTGAAGCGGACGCTGGCCCCAGAATAACTCATTTTCACCAAGTTCTTCAGTGGGACTCAGAAACATGTAGATCATGACGTGATACAAGTCTGCTTGAGATCCAGTGCACCACTTGATGATGATGAGTAGCGAAAGGTAACCGAACAGGCTGTTCAGGAATATCATCTGTGGTATAAACTGATACCTGATGACATAGCACAAACGACATAAAGCCTCTTAGAAAACAGGAAAGAATTCAAAAGCTTGTGATGAAAAACAGAAAGGAGGAGAACAAACTTTATGTCCAATGAAGAGCCGAAGAAGCGAGCGTTGAAGAAGCTTAAAATTAGTCCAAGATTCATCTGAGAAATTCCCAGGAGAATAGACATCTTCATCTTAAGAGAGTTTAGGTATGGCAGTTCTGTACGACTTCCACGCCAGCTAGGATCTACGCCAAAAGGGTATGGATCACGGTACTTGATTAAACCAACCGTGTAAGCATCGCTGGATCAAAAGTGAATTTGTATATCAGCAACAAATATAAATAAGAACATCAGAAGACATGACTCCTCGTTAAAGATATCAAAGAACTAAACACAACACATACCTACAAGTAGTATCTCTGCACTTGTAAGCTGAGCTACCAAAGATGTGGAAAGGAACAGAGAAGAACTCATTGTAGATAAGCCCACAGTATATTGAAAAAAGTGCCATTAGGAATATTACATAGCGGCCTCCAAAGAGCATCTCCATAAAGCTTCCAAGTTTCTGATAAAGATAAGACACAGAAAAATCATACCACATAGTTAGGAATATTACAGATTGCCTCTCAAGTTAACCTTTATAGTAGAGATAAAAGGTAAAGTAAGTGCAATTCGACATATTTCTACACCAATTCTAAATAATTGACAATCACCATCTCTCTCAATTGGAAAATGAAAAGCTTCTGAGAGCACAGGAAATTGAATCACAATCTGAGAGCGCAAGACAAGAAATGTAAAGATAACTACTGCTGCAGCTCACTTCGAAACCAACGGAACATGATCTCTATCAGCCACTAAACAGAACAAAACAAAACTCTATGTTATATTGGTTCTATTCCGTTTGAGAAGTAACATCTCATGCTCAAACCAGTATCATCATCGGATTCTCATTCAACTCGTACCACAAAGATTGGATGCGAACAATACCTGCGTACTAAGCTTTCTTTCACGAGCAAGAAGATACAACGCTCCTAGCAGCAAGCAAAGACCATGACCCCAATCCCCAAACATGACAGCAAACAGAAAGGGATATGTGACAACTGAATACACTGCAGGGTTTGCTTCCTGATATCTTGCAACACTGCGTAGTAAACATCAAGTCAAACATACATGAAATGGTGATCAGCGGAAATAGACTGCCACATGCAATCAACAAATAACATGATTAAGACGATACGGAGTGAAGAAAGTCCAGCTTTGCTAAAAAGCAGACAGTTATCTCACATCATGTGCGTCTGATGAAGGAGACACAGAACCAAACACTTGCATCTAAATGATGAGGTAATAACATTACAATAGTACAAGGTAAGGTGGAACTAACCCGTAAGCATCAATAATCTCCTGGAACGCATTTGTAAGTTTGTTCGTTCTGAAATAAGTGGGAGGTGACTCTACTGCTTGCATTACATGAAATATAACGCCAACTTGTGAATTGCTGTCGAAAGTGGCTCGTTGAAGGACCTCATGAATCTGCGCATAAGTTGTTGATTAATTGCACTTGCAAGGAAATTATAGTGGATTATGTAACAGGGAAAAATACAGTGTAGTATACCTGGGTCTTAGCAAATGTGGGGCACCAACCTTCGCCGACAAGGCATTTCTTGGTTACATCAAAATTTAGCATATTCAGAGTATCATAAACCGCTTTTTCCCTCCGAACCTAGCAGTAAAAAGGCCAGCTAGCTAATATCATGGCTGTTCCATATGATCTCCGATATACTTAACCAGAAAGATAATTTATAAACAAAAAAAAAAACTAACTGCAGATGCTATTGTTTACCATGGTAATCCATTTAGTCAAGCTATAACCAACAGAACTAAGGGCATTATTCCGATGGCGAGTTCCAGCATCTAGAGTTGCTTCCAGATCAGAGAGTCGGGATAAAACCTATACAGCAGATACATTGATATTTTAGAAACAATATAATGTGAGACAGTAACTAACAATCACTGACTCTACTTATCAGGTTATTAAATATTGGGTGTGGAACAGAAACTAACAGCCATATATGATTGGGATACAAAAGTCAAAACAACAAAACAAGATGAACAAAAAGAAATCACCTTGCAAGAACCGTTTTTCTAAAGCATAAAAATATGATATCTTGGAATAGCTCTCTCTGAATAAAGATAAAAATGACAATGTTTTGGAATATCTAACTTACTTCTCGTGTAAGTTGCCTTTGTTTTGTTGTATCCTCGGGGACAGGATAGCAATTTGCACCAAACGCTTCACATATTTTCAAGATTTTTGTCCTTGCTTGCTCCCCAGAAAAGAACACCACAAATACAATTTTCTCCACCTATTAGCACAAACCCAGTTAGTAAGAGGTAATGATTATTTCGAAGATATTATGCTGTGTGAGAAAATAAGAGATCAATATCACCATTTCTGATGTTAAAGGGTCCATGATCTCCTCATCAGAGGGTGTTTGGTTGAAAAGCATATTGCCTCTTGTTGCACGAAACAACATTCTCTCGAACCTCAGAAGTTTATCTTTGTTAATGATTCCACTTATAAATCTCAATCCTGATTGATTTAAGGGTTCAGGCCTCATTTCCTGTGAAGAAAATAGTTGAAACTTTTAGTTGAGATTCCGGGTAACAACAGCAAAACGAAAACTTTGACATGCAATCACCTGCTCTAGTAAAGAGGAAGACTCAATAAAGCCGTTATTTGAATAGGTGCTTTCATGTAGCTCTGTTTCATCTCCAATTGCATGAGCATTACTTGAGACAAGGAAACCACTTGCCTAAAAAGAAGTAAAGTAGCAATATATGAGAAAGTTAAGCATAAATAGAGGAAGATGAGCCTCAATAACAGCTACTGCATTATATAGCCTTGCCAATTGATCAAGAAAGTTTCAGGTAGTTTGGAGGGAGAAAACTAGAAAAACGAAACATTTCTTAATTACTAGATATAAATCTGAGATCGAAGGAGAAGGCGATTACACCTACATTTTGAAGAACTATCTTGAATTCAAGAAGTTCGTTATAAGTCTGGCGAAGCTTTTCACTGTTCGAATTCATTTCCAGTACCTCATGCTCGTGATCAGCAAGTTGTCTCTGCAGACGAAAGCAATTGAAGATACAAAGAAAAACTACCAAGTGTCATAAAAAAATATAATGCCTCATTCCACAGTAAACAAAATACCAAAGACTTCTCAGCAGAAAGAGAAGTAGAAAATTTAATTTCTGACCTCTAAATGTCCAAGCTCAAAGTCCGGTTCTAATTCATGGCGTGGTGAACATCTTAGACCAGCTTTATCAATTTGATCTTTGAAAAAACGCAGCTTCCTTGACATCTCCCCACATCGTTTTACCTGTTGATATCCCAAGAATTTGCATAAACAAAGAAACTCTATGCCTGAGGAATTTTCCCCACATAACTGCTTCGTATCGCAAAAAGGTTGTGTAGCTTAAGATTTAGTATCGTCATGTCAAAGTTGTATAAGAGAAGACATATATCAGTGCAGCAATCAATTAATGCCCATCCTATATATATTTACTCTGAGTCTCTAAGCGACATCCTACTCCTAGAACTTTAAGGTAATTCAGCTTGAACAAAAAAAGAAAATTTAGAAACTAAACTGTAAAAGAGAATACATTTGACAAAGGAACCAATATTTTCAAAATGTGACACTCGAATGGAGATAACTTCTTCATGAGAAAATCCTCAAACAAGTAACACCATATTTCTACAACATATATACTGAGCCTAACATAGAACGTTGAGTTGATACCTGATTAGCAAATGTTCGCTGAAAGGGACTTTTATCTGCATTCAGCTGTTAAGGAAACGAAGATACAGAGTATCAGCTTCATAAAACTTGAGAGAAGAACGAATTTGCAACACCAATGGAGATTCGTTAATGATAAATCCTCATTCTAATTCCACACAAACATCAACAATTTTGCTAAAGATCATCACTAAGCATGTCCACTCTAACGCATCAGTCGAGAGATCGATCAAAGATATAATCATAACTTCCCTACATTGTGAGATCGAACATCTCAAATCTCCACTGATTCCTAATCATCTAAACCGAGAATTACGAACGGAGAAAAAGCAACAGATTCGATCGATTTGCGAAAAAGAGAAGAAGGCGGATCTGAGTTCACACACTCACGTCGCGGAACTGCAAGAGGCCGAGTTCGCCGAGATAAGTGATGCAACGGTGAGAGGACTCGACGGGGATGATTAGCTGGACGAGCGTCATCTTCTCCGACCGCATCAGATCCATCTGCGGCAACTTGTCTATGAAATCCTCCATTCCTCCTTTTCCTCTCGCTTACGCTTACTCTCTCGAGAAACGAAAACAGATAGGAGAAATTCTGAGAAGCGATCTCCGATCAGATCTGGAATTTTTGTTTCTCCGTCGAAGATCTTAGAAGCGGAAGTTCAGTTTTTGTGTTCCCGTCGACAAACTGCCATGAGAAAACGAGGATTTGGCATTCTCTAATTAAAAACAAAAGAAAATGGATTAAAAAGTGTTTTTCGTTTCACCTCTCCTCGAGTAAAGTCTGACGGAAGAAATTAATCACGAAACAAATTTTGTAAAATAAACATTTAATGATGTTACTAAAAATTAATTAGGAAAAATTTATGGAAAAATCCAAAACATTTTCTGATCCATAGTTTTGATGCTAGTAAAAAAAAAATCAAAAAAATAATAAAACATATTTATCACAAATTGACACTATAATATCAATCTCTCAGTCGCTTTCTAAGTATGTTTTTTTTTTTTTTTTTTTTTTTTGAATTACTAAGAGGTTTTGGGCCGAAACCCGTACATCCCCTTAGGCCCGAAACCGCATGTAATATTGGTTTCGTCCCAAGCGGCACTCGATCCTATGACCTCTAAGCTTTGCCTAGGGTTCTTTTACCAATCGAGCTATAGCCACTTGGTTTTTTTTTTTTAGTATGTTTGTAGTAGTGATGTTCCCTTTATATTTCTTATGTGATGAGGTATTTCTGCATACCTTCATAGAGATAAGAATATAAGATCATGACAAGGTAAGCTTAGCCTCCACATTGATCATATAATGTTTCCTATGGCTAACATAGTAACACTTGTTTGCTAGCTCTTTTCATACTAGGAACGATGATTGCTCTTTGTGGAATCTAGAACTTAGAACTTCATACGCCTCCAAATTTGATTCCCATTATGATTACTCAAAATCACAGTGTTTGTGACAATATCGTTTCAGTTCTTAACAAATAACAATATCCTAGTGATCCATTGCCAAAAATACTAGAAAACTAATGTTAGTTGCAAAGTTATTCATTTATTCATTTAAGCTAGAAAATTCACAAATAACTAAGTATGCTAACTGAGCTAAAATAGGCACACCGTCAAGGGTTTGACAGTACCATTTAATATCGCCCCATTTTAAACTCTGATAAACTAATACGACATTGTTTTATTTTCTCCTAAATTCCACTATTGTCTGTGTCCTTTGATCCCTACCATCTGATTCGTCCATTCGCTTGAAAATAAACCGGTCGGATTAACTTTCCTTTAATTTGAAGAATGCATCTGCGTTCTTGTACTTTTTTATCACTCCACAAATGCCAAATTTCTGTTCTTACCCAATGAGGCAATGCGTTATAGTTGAACAATGCAAGTTGCTCGATTTCTTCGATGAAATCTTCATAAAGTCGTGGTATTAATGGTCGTTGGCTAAGGAATAAGTGATGTCAAATGCTATAACTTCTGTTTGTTTTCCGAGATAAGCCGGAGAGGATGTAACATAACGCATTTCAATACCGCCGATGAGATCAAGTCCACATAGAGACCTTGGTTCGATCTTGACAAGAGATTTGATGTCGCTGATGAAACTTTTGACTTAAGTGAGTGGAACACTAACAGCTGTTTGATATGCGAGTATGGGTTTTATACGTGATTCCCACTCACACGTCGTGTTAACCCAAGTTAAGGAGTTTCATGCTTATCAATCGTTTCCGTCCGTGCAGGCGAGCTTAGGGTTGCTATGTGAATATCGAGTGGTTACTGTAAAGATATTGACCGTATCCCCTTGATTTCTCTCTTTCTTTTTTGTATATCTTGTCATTTACTCTATCATATATTCTCTTACCATGTATATGTTCTCTCTAGCATGTATATAACTAGAGGCTCTACCATGAATAATATTCACCTCTTTACATACCTTAACATGGTATCAGAGCTATAACGCTCCTACCTTCTTTTTTTTTTCTCCGCTTCCTTATTCTCTTCTTCTTCTTCTTCTTTCTACGATACTCTGTTTTTTTTTTTTCATATCTCTGTTTCTCTTAAACTTAGTTGCTATGTCTGCAACCTCTGCTGAAAACGTTTCTGTGTATAACGCACAAAACCCTCAAACTACTCTCATCTACGTGAATATGTCCAGCGTGACAAAACTCACAAACGTTAACTATCTCATGTGGAGTAAGCAAGTGCGGGCCTTACTTGAAGGACACGAACTCCAGTCTTTTCTTGAGGAATCAGCCGATACTCCCTCTGCCACCATCACGGTCAATGATGTATCAAGTCCTAATCCCGCCTTTGCTCCGTGGCGCCGACAAGATCGACTTCTCTACAGTGCACTCATCGGCGCTATCTCGCTTCCCGTTCAATCTGTGGTGTCTAGTGCTACCACCACTGCTGAAGTATGGAGCCTCCTTGCAACCACGTTTGGTAATCCAACTCGTGGTCATATCCGCCAACTCAAGTTCCAGATCAAGTCGTGTGTCAAAGGCACAAAGACGATTTCAGAATATCTCCGTTTGATCAAGGCCAAGGCAGATGATCTATCGCTTCTAGGCAAACCCATGGATCCTGAAGACCTCACTGAACAAATCTTAGATGGTCTCAGTGAGGATTACAAACCAGAGATTGATGCCATCAATGGTCGTGATACTACAATCTCATACACCGAGCTACATGAACGGCTATTGAATCGAGAGGCTATGCTTATGTGTTCTGAGGCAACATCAATTGCGCCTATTGTTGCCAATGCCACAGAAGCTCGTCCACGACAACAATGGAGGACCAATCAAAGTCAGCCAAATCGTGGAAACCAGACTCAAGTGTATCGCGGCAATGCGCCTCCTAGTCAGAATCGTCAACCGTACAAAGGCAGATGCCAAGCATGTGGACAACCGGTCACAGTGCAAAGTATTGTCCTGAGTTTTGCATGGTCCGTGGATCTCCATCACCACAGCCGTGGCAATCATCTCCGCAGCCGTGGCAATCATCTCCACAGCCATGGCAGCCACGAGCAAATCCTGCAATGATGTCAGACCCCTCCACATGGTTGATTGATTCTGGTGCTTCCCATCACATGACATCCGACCTTAGTAACCTATCTTTTCACAATCCTTATCAAGGAGGTGATGCAGTGATGCTTGGTGACAACTCCGGTCTTCAAATCTCTCATATGGGTTCTTTTTCTATACCTACATACACTCGTCCTTTCTTCTTAAATAATGTTTTATGTGTCCCTTCTCTTGCTAAAAATCTTATCTTTGTTTTTCAATTATGTAACACTAATGGTGTGGCTGTTACTTTTACACCTACTTATTTCCAGGTGAGAGACCTACAGACGGGAGCACTTCGTCTGGAAGGCAAGCCTAAAGATGGCACTTATGAATGGCCGATCTCTCGATCTACAAAACCTCTGTCTCTTGCTTTTGCTTCTACAATAAAAACGTCTATGTCTGATTGGCATTCTCGTCTAGGACACCCTGCTTTTACGATTTTGAAAAACATTATTTCTAGTTTTGATTTACCTATTTCATCAAATGTTTTAATGGATAAGCCTTGTAATGCTTGTTCCATCAATAAAATGCATAAGCTTCCTTTTTTAACATCTACGATTCACTCTACACATCCTTTAGATATAATTTTCTCTGATGTGTGGACTTCACCATTGATTTCCATAGACGAATTTAAGTATTATGTTCTCTTTGTTGATCATTATACGAGATATATGTGGTTGTATCCTCTCAAACAAAAATCTCAAGTTTCTGAGGTTTTCACAAAGTTTAAAGCTTTGGTTGAAAATAAATTTCAAACCAAACTTAAAACTCTGTATACGGATAATGGTGGTGAGTACATTGGTCTTGCACATTTTTTGTCAAGTCATGGCATATCACATCTCACCACTCCTCCACATATGCCGGAACACAATGGGCTTGCGGAACGGAGACATCGACATATTGTCGAAACGGGACTTGCTCTCTTGTCTCATGCTTCTATGCCTCGGTCATATTGGACATATGCCTTTGCAACGGCTGTGTACTTAATAAACCGTATGCCCACACCAACACTTTCACTCAAATCGCCTTTTCAATGCATTTTTGGAGAAGATCCAAATTTTCAAAAATTAAGAGTGTTTGGTTGTCTCTGTTTTCCTTGGCTACGGCCCTATGCTTCTCATAAACTAGATTCTCGTTCCACACCATGTGTGTTTCTAGGCTACTCTAATACTCAAAGTGCTTATTTTTGTCTAGATCGTAATACTTCTCTCGTTTATGTCTCACGTCATGTTGTCTTCCACGAATATGTTTTTCCATTTAATATTGCAGGTAACTTAACCACAGAGGAGTCCTCCGCTGAGATTGATCTTCCTCAATCATCATATCCAGCAGTAATGTCTATTCCCATCACCACTCAGCCGCCAATACCGCCACCAATTACTCACACTGTTCCTCCGCCACCGATACCACCAACAGAGACCAACACCCCTGTTTCTCCGATTGCCCCAGCTCCACCGTTATTGGAAGCATCGGTGTCCGAGGAGCGTACTACGACTGAGTCGAGTGAGAAATCTGTCTCAACATCAGCTCCAACAGAGAATGTTGTGTTGCAACAAGCTCCTCCTCAGCCTCTGGTTCAGTTACGTACAAGTACAAGACAGCGAAAACCAGTCAACAAACTCAATCTTCGAGCAGCTGTACTACCATTGACAGAATATATCCCCACCTCAGTTGCTGAAGCCTTAAAGGATCCACGATGGTGTAAAGCTATGCTAGAGGAGATTGAATCTCAAATACGAAATCATACTTTTGATTTATCTTCTCTGATGTTGCTTCTAATATTGTAGGTTCTACATGGATCTTTACAATTAAACGTTTACCTAATGGTGCTGTTGACAGGTTTAAGGCGAGACTTGTGGCTCAAGGTTTTTCCCAACGTCGAGGAATTGATTTCCATGACACTTTCAGCCCGGTCGTGAAGCCTGCAACGATACGTATTGTGCTGAGTGTTGCAGTCACACGTGATTGGCCTCTTCGTCAACTTGACGTGAACAATGCCTTTTTACAAGGGAAGCTTGATGAAGAGGTTTATATGGCACAACCACCAGGATTTGCATCACCAGAGAATCCGACTGCTGTTTGGAAGTTGAATAAAGCGGTCTATGGTCTTAAACAAGCCCCTAGGGCTTGGTACAATGAACTCCGCACGTTCCTTCTTCAATACGGCTTCCACAACTCTCTGTCTGATGCGTCCCTGTTTATCTACAATCATGGAGGCGTCTGTCTCTATATGTTGGTCTATGTTGATGACATGGTCATTACGGGCAACAATGTCGACCACCTCAACAAATTTTTCAACTCTCTCTCCTCTCGTTTTTCTCTTAAAGATTTGGGGGAACTATCTTATTTTCTAGGTATAGAAGTTCAACGCTCTCTCTCTGGACTCTTACTCACACAAACTCGTTATATTGCAGATTTGCTGCATCGGACTAAGATGACTGATGCGAAACCGGTGCCGACGCCGATGTGTCCGACCACAAAGCTTACTCTAACAAGTGGTGATCCTCTTCCTGATGCTAAGGAGTTTCGTGCAGTCATTGGGAGCTTGCAGTATCTCTCTTTGACGAGACCGGATATATCATTTGCTGTTAACAAGCTGTCGCAGTTCATGCATAAACCAACAACGGATCATTGGCATGCCGCCAAACGGGTTCTTCGTTACCTCGCTGGTACTATACATCGTGGTCTCTTCCTTCCGGCGAGAAATGCTCTCTCACTTCATGCTTTTACGGATGCTGATTGGGGAGGCGATGGTGATGATTACTCATCCACTGGTGCCTACATTGTCTATATTGGTCGCCATCCGATTGCTTGGTCTTCGAAAAAGCAAAAGGGTGTTTCAAGATCTTCCACCGAAGCAGAGTATCCCTCTGTTGCTGCAACAACTGCGGAAATGTGCTGGGTCTTATCTCTTCTACGAGAGATTGGAATCAAACCTACATCAACACCAGCCATTTATTGTGACAACAAAGGAGCGACCTACCTTAGTGCTAATCCTGTCTTCCATTCAAGGATGAAACATCTTGCATTGGACTATCACTTTGTTCGTGAACGAGTTCAAGATGGCACTATTCGAGTTCAACATGTTTCATCTGACGATCAGCTTGCAGACCTCCTCACCAAACCGGTTACTCGAGCTCACTTCCAAGATATGTGTCGCAAGATCGGACTCACCAAGGGTGCTCCGTCTTGAGGGGCGTGTAAAGATATTGACCGTATCCCCTTGATTTCTCTCTTTCCTCTTTGTATATCTTGTCATTTACTCTATCGTATATTCTCTTACCATGTATATGTTCTCTCTAGCCTGTATATAACTAGAGGCTCTACCATGAATAATATTCACCTCTTTACATACCTTAACAGTTACATGCATTTTTCGTCCGGCTTTAGTGGCTGCAGCCACGACAGAGACGAGCTCTGTTTCGGTTGTTGGGTACGCCAAGTTGGCCGCTCGACACGTGGATCTATCAGGGAAGACACTGCCGACGTTTATGACCTTACAATCTGTGTTTCTTGACACACATTTGACTGGATCTTCTGGAGGTGTTGAGAGCGCCGTGTGCACAAGTGTAAGTATACAATGGAACCTGAGAAGGTTGCGCCAAAACGCTGCGTTTCATTACTTTTTGGTAAGCTTAAGATAATGCAATTATGTATACGTACTAATCAGATTTCGTAACATTACTTTTGGTCTGTGATGTTAATTTTATTTACTAGTAGAGGATCAGCGTAAACACGCGGTGTGACGTTTCAATTTTGTGAAGAAAATCTAAATCCTAAAGTCAACCCGACCCAAAAACCATAATCAAAATTTTTAAAAACCCAAACCTTTTTAATATGTATAAACCCGAAAATCCGAAATCTAAAAAAATCTGAAAATCCTGAACCGAATAAAAAACTAAAAATGTTTTCACCCGAAACCCAAACCCGACCTAAAAACCCTAATAAAAACTTTTAAAATACTCAAACTTTTTTAATATGTCTAAACCCGAAAACCCAAAATCTAAAAAATCCGGAAAACCCTGAACTAAACGCAAAAGAACTCGAACCCAAATCGAACATAAATTTTCTAAAAAAACCGAACATAAATCCACAATTTGATTTAAATTAGACGTATTTTTATTTTACTATTGGAAATTTTGCAAATATCATTCGATCATATTCTATTGATTTGGTATTATCGATGGATTATGTTAATTTTCTTTTTTGTAGAATTGTTAAGAGCTGGAAACAGAAGTTTTCAAAACCATCGGTTTATTTTAAGTTATTATTCTTGTATTCAAACAATTTATTCCATTTATTCTTCTATCCAAATAGATTTTTCTCTTATTCTTGTATCCAAACATTAGAATGTACTTCTCAATTAATAATATAATAAAGATTTCTCATGCTCCTTAATAATACCTAAAATGTATATCTTATGATCGTGTTCGGTAAGATTTATCCAAAATATTTTTGTTGAGAAAGTTAGAATAGATTGAGATGAGATACTTCATTCTAGCTTATAAGATGATGCAAGTGCTACTATCAACTATGTCATGTTTATTATTTTTTTTCTCATGGTCCTCAATAATTTAAATGTATATCTTATATGATCGTACATAGTGACAACCTCTTCTCTCATCTCCTTCTTATTTTTGGGCCGATCAACTAATATTGAATCCTCTCATATATGGCGACTTATCCATATAGAATAATACTGAATACGCGGTGGAGAGACAACCGTCCGAGGCACCAAAGTCTTTCTTCCAGCGAGGAATGGCTAAGAATGTCCACTATAACTAGTACATGCAGATAGGAAGAAAGACAAATCGCAGGGACAAATTTGCTTGGTATCAGACTTCAGTGAATCATCCTTAGCCGTGAGAGGATCGGAAAGACATAAGAAGATTTGAACATAGATCAGTTGTACATGCGGCTATCTAGCATTATATAATAAGATAGACAAAAATTCTTGAAAACAAATATTTTCTCTCTTTTTTAGTCACAAGCTTTTTTTTTAATTTTTTTATTAGGTAGATATAAAGTTGTAGCGTAGACACAATTTCTCACGATAGTCTCTATTTTGCTCTTTTTGTCATGCAAATTTCGTGCATGATCCCTTGGAGAAACATGGATCTAAAGATAAAAAAAAAAAAAAAAAGAAATAAGTGGTCTTAAGAACTCGGTTGAACTTTCGAAGACAATTTTTTAACCTGTTTTAAAATATGTATATTTTTTTTTCTTGATGAATCTTAACCTGTTTTATTCTAGGTTATGGTTTATGGTCCTAGAGTTGTAATGTTCTTCTATAAATGGTTTACTTAGGTTTATAGTCTTTTTTTTTTTCTTTTTTTGAGTAACTTTTATTTTTTTCAACACAAAGGTGGCTGACAGCCTTAGAGATGCAACAACTATATGTCAAGTGTGATCTCTTTCACCCACCAATGAATGCAAACACGATTTAAATTGATACTTGCAGGACTATAAACGATAGACACAACGCGTACTGAAGATAACAATTTGTGGAATATCACCAGCGCGAGAGGAAGTTGCACAAGTGGTCAACTTAGCTTCAATGTCAGAAAAGCGTTTGACGACCTTCACTACTATGAGAATGGTGGATTACTACAGATCGGCCGTCAAGGACCTCAGTTCGAACTTCAAAGGAGGGCATACAGAGGCAGACACAACCAGTGGGCAATAATCACCTTTGTCCACTACTGAATGTTCATCTTATCACAACAAGAGTAAGTCCACTCTGAAATACTTAGGTTTATAGTCTTAGAGTTTTAAGATTTTGAAATCTTCATTATGATGACTTATGCCCAAAACTACAAGAACATGGAGATAAGAGCACACGCAGATGGTAGGGACATGCACACTATCATCAAGAACTGTGAAGAAAGTTGTCAAAAGTATTGGAAATATATAGATTGAGAGAATATGTGGAGGTAACGATGTGGTATATGTAGCAGAGGCTGCGGTGCAGGTCCTAGTGGCTCAATTGTTTGCAACGCACACATATTAGGTCTGCATATGAGTCTTGACTCAGCTGCAACCAAGACGAGTCTCTATTCTTCTCTTCTTATCTAGGCTTCTATACTCGAGCACATAGGTACTTACAGGTCAATTTATTAATAATATGTATTAATTTCAAATGTTTAGAGTTTTTTTAAAATAGTCTAATTAGGTTAATGGTTTTATTTAGTTGCTAATTCAATGACGAGTCATATTTTTTTTTATAGTTTTTTTATTTTTTATAGGATTATGTTTTAAGTTATTTAGAGTTTTGAATGTTTTTTAAAATAGTATAATTAGGTTCATGGTTTTATTTAGTTGCTAATTCAGTGAAGAGTCAAATGTAAATGCTAAGATTTTCCAGAGTTTTGAGGTTTTCTTCTACGTAGTACGGAAGCTTTGTAGGAGGACCGCTTCCCGCTTTGGAATCGGAAGCTCTCATAAGCTTTTGGAAGCTTGCTTCCATAACTCTTCTTAAAATACCTCAATAAAAATATCTTGGAAGCTTGCGATTCCATTTTGGAAGTTAAAACTTCCGTTTTAGAAATATGATATCTTAAATAATAATAAACATTTTTACATGTCTATGATTTTATAAGTTATACAAAAATAAAAAATTAATATAGTATGTAACTATGTATTTAATTTGGCATTCACAAAGACTAATATTCATCTATTATCTATAAAAAAATGTTTAGAAAGTTTGATTAAATTACAAATAAAATGAGAATGATTCTTCTGATTAGAAGAATGTGATTTCAATTTAATGATCTTTCTTTAATAACATATATATAAGATTATTTTATACTATATTAGGCCTCGCGTACACGCATGTTTATTTATTTTTTATTTTTAAATCACGGAAGAATATTAAACAAAAATTGATCACTTTAAACAATATGTAAAACAATATTAAAACCCTGATAAAAAATCTCTAAATAAAATAAGATATGTAATATTTTTACATTTTAATTTTGAATTAATGAAATGAAATAGAAAGACTTACATGTGTCTTAATCTAATCGACATAAATTTATGAAACTTTGATTATTCCACTGATGAAATCATTACTTTAAATATTGATGAAATCTTTATTTTTAGTATTGTTTTACCTAACAAAATATGGAAAATTAAACTATTTAATACTCCCTCTGTTTCATAATAAGTGTCGTTTTGACTCTTCACTTACCCAATGTATCTAGATATTAATGGATGTATTAAGACTCAAAACACATTCAGATTAAATAGTCCAGATTCATTTTGTCAAAAAGACACTTATTATGAAACGGAGGGAGTATTAGAAAATCGGTCCATTATAAATTTTTTTTTTTTAATATATTTAGTTCCTTGATAATTATTTTGTTATTTTTCTATTTATATATATATATATTTTTTGCCTCTAACCATTTTTGAAACAACCAACATTTTTTTTTTTTAATAAATAAATACTAATCAATTCTAGCGAAGGTCTTTAAAATAAATTAAATAAATAAATATCAATAACAAATAAATCAGTTCAGCGGAAGCAAATAATAATTAAACAAGTCTAGCAAAACAATGCAAAATAAATAAAACAATAAACATCCTATCATCCCCCTCTTCAGCCTTGATTCCGCGATCACACAAATCTTTTACCTGCAACACATTGGAATGGAGTTGCGTAAGTATTTAATAAATACTTAGTGAGGCAATCACTCTGCCTACGAGCCATTTACGCAATTTACTAGATATTTAATAATATTTATAAACTCCAATAATTATTAAATACCATTTTCCAATTATTAAATAATTTTAATAATTAAAACTCAATTTCTCAATTATTAAATAATTCTCATAATTAAATAATAATTTTCCATATTTTAAAATAATTAAAATAATTATTTTAAATCAATTAATTAATTAAATTAACCATTAATTAATTAAATCCGAAAATAAATCAAACAATTTGAATTAAAACATTTTAATTCAATTACACCAATTAACCAGAATCAAATCAATTTAAACCAAGATAAACCAATTAAATCAATTAATTCAATTAAACCAGATTAAACCACACAAACACACAATTCATCACATAAATAACAAAATATCATAAAATAACAATTAAAAACATAAACTCATCAAGAACAACCACAAACCAAATCTAATCTAGCAAATCGCGGACCCACAGTCATGCACTCACCTTGACAATGGATTGAAAAAGGAAAGACAATGAACAGTGCGGAATCCCGACGATGAACAGTACCCCCCGATGAACAGTACCCCGATGAACAGTAAAACTCGAAAATCTCTCCAAAGAGAAGAATGCTGCACTCTTTAAACTTGATTTTAGGGCTTTCTCCACTAAACCGACCCAAACCAAATCACTTAAATTGAACCAAAATCAATTATCAATTATTTGGTTTATGGATGTTACAATTTTCATTGTTTAGTTGTTTTACAATTATTTCGTTAGTTTATTTATTTATGTTACTCCATTTTTCGAATTTTCTTTAGCTGACACATGTCATCACCTGATCAAATATTAGACAAATATAGCGATCTAGAGTTAAGTATTCTTCGATATCTTGAACTTTTAAGACATGATTTTTTTTTCTTAATGAGAAAAGAAACTTAAAAAAATATTGCTTGTTATATATTGATTTTTTTCCTTTCCGTAATGGAAATATGTTTTTTATTCATTTTCTTATTGGAAGTAACATTTTTTAATTATTTCTTCAACTTTTATGATTTTTTGTTTTTTTTCTTTTTTTTAATAGGATTATATTTTTTCTTTACTTTTCCTAATGGATGTAATATTTTTTCTTTTTTATTGTTTGTTTCTTTTTTTTCTAATTTTTCCTATTGTAGTGATAGGACTTTATTTATTACTCCCTCCGTTTCAAATTAGTTGTCGTTTTGACAAAATGTATCGGCAAATATTTGGACGTATCTGCAATGCAAAACATGTCCAGATACATCCAAATATTTGCAGATACATTTTGCCAAAACGACAACTAATTTGAAACGGAGGGAGTATATTATTTTGAATTTTAATAATTGTTTGGATAATATAAATTTGATGAATAGGAAACCTTTTTCTATTAGGATATGACAAATATGATTTTTTTTTTCTCAAGACATGTGTCACGATCTTAACGAAAATAACATTAAAAGTGACATAAGTCACAATCTTGTAAATTATAAAAATCTTACGTGTCGCAACCACGTTGCGCGCATCCAGATTTATATAATAAGATGGAGTTGAGAATAACGAAATAAGAAATTAAAATTGGTTTTTTATTTGAATTATTTTTAATTATTATTAATTGAGTTATATAATTGATATATTTTCAAGAACTGTGAAGAAACCTGGCGAAAATATCGGAAAGATAGATCGAGAATATGCGGAGGTAAAGAACGAGTACATGCAACAGAGGTTGCGGTGCAAGTCCCATCGGCTCAATGGTTCGGAACCGGACTATGTAAATTGCAACACACACATATTCCGATTAGGTTTGTATATGATTATTACTCAGCTGCAACCAAGAGAAGTCTCCATTTTTCTCTTCTTATCTAGGCTTCTATACTCCGAGCACATAAATTTACTGACATGTCAGTTATGACAAATATGTATTAATTTGGGAAAAATACCATAAAAATCCGGAACTTTTAAAATTTGGCCAAAAAAATCATAAACTCTTGGGAAGTCATAATACACCAACCAAAATAGGGAGATCGTAGCTTGACTGGAGGATTTAACATTGTTAGTTATCTTAAACTCGGTTAAATTAATACGTTTTCTCCTAAATTCTCAAATCAACTTCACAAACTCTAAAATCTCAAATCGACTTCACCCTCTTCCTCTCTCGGTTTCTTTGAGGAAAATTCCCAAATCGATTATATGAATTCTAGAAATCGATTTTGCATCTCTTGATTTATCTCTCAACCAAATACCCATCTTCATCATAATCATTCTTTTGCAACAACATGCTCAACTTTAATCTTCATCTTCAAAATTGATTTGAAATCTTAGGATTTGTGAGGTCAAATTTAAAAAAAAACACTTGGATGTGCATTGGAGGGTTTGTGTATATGTTAGGAGGATGCTCATTGTGCTCCAGCCAAAGGATATTTTTGTCGACCAGGAAAAATTTACAAACAAGCTAGAGTTTGTACATATGCCAACGACATAAATGTGATTTAATCACTTCTTATGTTTGAAAGCCATCATCCTCATGTGTAGGTGAATGTTGTTACAACGTAAAATTTGAAATGATTTCTATGAAAATGACAAGTTTTATGTTATTTAATAGGGAAAATCCCTTAAAAACCTGAACTAATTTTCATCCGCTTAAAAAACCACCAACTTTTATCGTTGGCAGAAAAATACCCAATTTATTTTGAATTGTCGTTTTAATTCATAGCTATTCAAATATCAAAAAATTTACAAAACGTATTAGTGAATGCTTAATTGTTAAACGCAGTGATGAGATTCGCGTTTAATCTAATTAACCATGTGCGCTTAAGTGGAATGAAAAGATAAGCTTTGTCCTTGCTTTGTTTTCACCCAAATCGATTTCTTTCCCAATTCCATAGCCAAATCCTAATTTCTATGATTTATTTATTCTCAATTCAATTTCTCATATTTCATCTAATTTCTTAAGTTTTGTTTTCTCCCAATCGACTTTGCTTGAGTTTGTTGGCATGAAAACTCAGAACAAACTGCTGAAGTTGTGTTAAAAATTGCAAAACATGAGGTACTTTTCCCTTACCAAAAGCTGATTTTATGTTTAAAAATCATGACTTTGGATTCTCAATTCCACACATGAATCCTTGAAATCTTAGTTTCCTTCCTACTGAAAGCTTCCCATTCACTGTCTGTGTCAACAGCAGGACTAGGATGTTCATCATCCTTACATTGTCTCTCGAATTCAGCCTCATCAGCATCATCATCTCTTACAGGATCTTCAACTATAATCATTGGAGCATTAATTATCATTCAACTCACCTAATCTGACAACTTCTTATTTTCCGAGCTCATCTCTAAATGCCTGAAATCGAATATCATATTTTCCGTCTTCTACAACTTCTTCTCCTTCTGCTTGATTCCCATCTGCATTCTCGGGAGCATTATCATCACACTCTTCGCCTTCGTCTTTAGCTCCTTCATTCTCACCACTAGCCAATACAGATTTCTCAATGAAAATATTAACTCCACCTACTGTCTTAGCTAGCATACACATTTTATGGATCTCTTCATCTGAGGTGCGCTCAAAAATTGGCCTTACCAAACCTATATCCTCCTGCGGAAGTTTGTACCATGTGTGTTCCACCAAACCTCCACCAAGTTTGTTGTCCTCACAAAATGCATCAAACATGGACCAAGTCATAAAATCTAGATCAATAACTATCCCCTCTTTCACGGATCCTCCATTATAGGTGAAAGTTTTATCTTTATACTCTACCAAACCCCCTTGGTACAAATTCACTTTGATTGTCTCCGAATCACTATAACATACAACAACCAAATCACAGTATTGATCAAATAACGAATAAAATGCTCTCATAAGACACTAATTCAACTCAATTACCACAACCCAACATTAAATAAGATGCTACGAAAACATGAAATCTGTTTTTGGTAAGGGAAAGTACCTCATGTTTTGCGATTTTTGAACACAACTTCAGCAGTTTGTTCTGACTCTTTTCATGCCAACAAACTCAAGCGAAGTCAAAACTTAAGAAACTAGATAAAAGATGAGAAATTGAATTGAGAATAAGAAATAAGAGTAATTAGGGTTTGGCTATGGAATTGGGGAAGAAATCGAATTGGGAGAAAATAAGGCAAGGACAAAGCTTGTCTTTTCATTCCACTTAAGCGCATGTGGTTAATTGATTAACCGCGAATTTAATCACTGTGTTTAAAAATTAAGCATTTACTAAAATGTTTTGTCAAAATTTCGATATTTGAATTGCTGTGAATTAAAACGACAATTCAAAGTATTTTTCTGCCAACGATAAAAGTTTGTGGATTTTCAAAGCGGATAAAAGATAGTTCAGGTTTTTTAAGGGTTTTTCCCTATTCAATAATCGTTATTGAAATACTTGATAATTCATCTTATTCAATAATCGTTATTGAAACATTTGTTCATCTTCTTTCTGTGTGAAACTTACGTTTACTTGGATTTAACATAAAAAAGGTTATCATTTATTGATTGGTTAGGTTGGTAATTGAATAATTGTGTGAATCAAGTTGTTTTTAGGGTTTAGGGTTTCGGTTTACGGTGAATTTTTCATATGTCGTTAATTCGTTGCAATTTACGTTGATTTAACGATGACTTCGTTACATTCGTCGTAAATGTACCTTATGTCGTTAATATGCAACGATTTTCACCACGAATTTCCATTGGTTTTCCATCGAATGTATTTGTTAACAACGAAATTACCTCGAAATGTTTTGTTTCTAAAATACCGCTACAAAACTGACACGAGATCACATAGTCGTCCTGCTAAGGTGGAGAGGTTGATAGCATGGAGGCGTCCGAGTGGAGGATGGGTCAAAGTGAACACTGATGGCGCGTCACGAGGAAACCCTGGGCTAGCGACTGCATGAGGTGTGCTCCGGGATGAGAATGGAAAAAGGTGCAGAGGTTTCGTTCTTAATATTGGGATATGCTCAGGTTCATTAGCTGAGTTGTGGGGAGCATATTATGGCCTATGGACTGCGTGGGAGAGGAACGTCTAGAGAGTAGAGCTAGAAGTTGATTCAGAAGTTGTTGCTGGTTTTCTAAAGACAGGGATATGTGAGACAAATCCACTGTCATTCCTGGTGTGATTGTGCTACGGCTTAATATCAAGGGACTGGTTAGTCCGTATTTCACATGTGCATAGGAAAGCTAATCGCCTCACGGATGGATTAGCGAATTATGCGTTTTCATTACCACTGGGTTTTCATGCTTTAGATTGTGTTCCTGCAATTGTTTCTTCTTTACTTTCAGACGATGAGGCTGAGGTCTCGACCTCTCGCCAAGTTCGGTTGTAATTTTTATTTTAAATAAATTTGGGGGTTTGCCCCCGTCTTTGACCCCAAAAAAAAAAAAAAAAAAAAAAAAAAAGAGGAGAAAATAATAAATTATTTTTAAGTACATTAAAAAAATTGACATCCATTAAAATTTGATAATTTTAAATTATTAGTGGATTAAATAAAAAAATTATTATTATAAAAAATATGTTTTTAAAAATGGACCAGACAGTGAACCGGAAAGTCTTACGAGTCATGGGTTAATCTTGACCAACCGATTCAACCGGTAATATTATATATATATAGTAAATAAATATCATATATAGTAATAAATATATGTTACCTTTTTAGTCTTTTTTACTTTGCCTTATCAAATATACCTTTTTTTTTGTCATCTAGAATTTTATTAGAATGAGATTGTTACATGGTGTTACACACCCACCAAACTTACAAAGCCCATATCAGGGAAACAAAGCCGGCGGAAGGAGAATTAATTCCCCGGAAAACATAAGCCGGCGAAAAACGGATATCCCTAGAAACTACCAGACAGCACAATAGGAAAACCCATAAAACACAACCGCTAAGAAGGTAGAGAAAGTCAGGAAAGGGCAAAGACCAATAGAAACCTAGTCTCAACAGAAGAAACAGCACACTTGTAGAACTCCTACAGCCTTCCAAAAGCACCATCAGAAGAACCACCCAGAACCAGCAAGCCTTCACGAACAAAGAAGCCAACAGTGAACCTAAACTTAACTCCAGCCTTATCAAATATACCTATAATTAACTAATTAACAAAAGTCAAGAAAACCCTAAAACCTTGTTCTCTCCAAAAATGCCGCCACCCATCTCAATATCTCTTCTCTCTTTACTTCGACTTCTCCTTCAACCTTTTTCTGAATTATGTAAGATCACTCTGCCATTTTCTGTTGTTTATTTATCAATCTGTTATATTAAATAGATCACAATCATCAAAAACAGATATAAACAATCAACTAATCGAACAATTTAATTTCGAAAATACACTAAAAAACAATGGTGAAATTCTCTCAAATTGAAAATCAGGTTTTGGTGGTTCTGCAGTTTGACCCGGTTTGCCGGTTTTCACCGGTTTTTAAACGAATTTTAAGGGTTTTGTCCAAACCGGTTTCTTGGGATGAACCAAACCGGGTAGGCCTCCGGTTCGCGGTCGAACCGATTCGGTCCGGTTTTCAAAACACTTAAAAACCTAGTAAATAAAATAAATGATTAAACACATCCTTTTTGTAGTGTAACAAGTGATTGAATTGTTAAAATAAAATTCTCAATAGGTTTTATTATGATGTAGATAAGTAAAACATAATAAATGAATCCAAAATCTAGACTACATTAGCTAGAAACTGAAAATTGTAAACGTAGACAATGGACTGAAAGAAACAAATGAAATAAACACCCAAGAATGCGTCAAGGTTTTGAGAAGCATTGTCCATGCCTATAAAACCATTAGCAAAGGCAAGAAAGAGAAGGAGAAGACCATGCCCAATGTCCATTGTGCAAGAGAGTTGATAGATTGAGATTCCTCCAGCAAGCAACGAAAAAATCGTAACGAGAACATCTGTGGTAGGGTAATAGAAAGGAATATAGAACATGAATGATAATGTGATCAAAGAGGTCACAACTCTGATATATTTCAAAACCGGAGTCGTAGGGCTTGGGTTTTTGACGAAGAACAAACACCTGAGTAGCATCACGGCAAAGAAGGTCGTGACGCCGAATCTAAGGGGAGAAAACAAAACTTCTTTCCCGTATACCAACAAGCCAAAGCAGGAGAAAATCGTCAACGCGTACCAAATCCCACGAGTGAATACACGAAAACCCATCAATCTATCCTTCTCCAAATTTACCCACATACTCGTCGTCAGACAATAGGATTTGGTGTTTTCCATTTTTTTATAGGACTTTCTTTAGTGTTTTCGATAATCCAGATCACCAGATGAGGGCTTCTTCTAATATATATAGAAGGGATTGGGTCCAAACCTAAAAGACCACGTCAACAACAACAAGAAGGAGGCGAAGTTAAAATACTGGCTCCTGAGATCTAGTTATATCTATTCGGGTTCAGTTAAGGCATATCGCAAAGAAAATATCATTTCAAAAAATATATGTCCTTCGTAGTTCATTATAAATTAATTAAGAGGCCTTGTTATAAAAATTCCTAAATTTACTCCACCCTCAAGCCCAATCTAATTCCATTTAAATCATAATTTATCCCATTAAAGAGAGACTAATTAATTTATCTTTTAAATCTATAAGTCAAAGTCATAGTAGAAATCAGAACACATTAGCTTTTATGAGATTATTTTACTGACTTTTCTTTCTATCTAGTGTTGCAGTTTATTTAGTCAAACACTCAAACATAGTAGTTATAGTAGAAAAATCAAAGTAAAATCATTTTGGATCACACCACATTTTGCCCTCAAAGGCCAACTCTAAGATGAAGGGCCAGTCGTATATATGGGCCTAATTTGGGACAGGTGTTACACTTAAAAACTTAGGGACTAGAGGTATGCTGGAACCAATTATGAACCGAATGTTTATTCCTCACTTACTCAATACAAAATGATTTATTAGCAAGAGGGATAAATTAAAAGAGCTACTGTTCCGATCCTGTGTTATATTTTGGGATGTCAATATTAATGATTTAGTAGTTAATGGAGGAAGAAACAAAACTTTGAGATGTATTAGATATAAACAGTTTTTGCGGACGAGGGGCTGTAAACATTGATAGTCATAACTATTAACCCAGAAAACTAGTGTTTATGTTCAATGCAAAAAATATTACTTAGTGTCTATGTCCCCAAGATCAGAGCTAAAGTATTTTGCGACATAAGGATCTTAATTATGACAACTATCCGATGGAAAGAAAAACACACACACACAATCGCACGTATGTTCATTTTGGCTGGTAAATTTTGTTTGCGGTCGTCACACACACAATCGCATGTATGCATTTTGTTGATAACCAAACTGTGACGCAAATAACAAATATTTGGATAATATGTGACGCCTCACATTTTATCAACACTTGGCCAAATGCACCAACGTCTCTCTCTTCTTCTTCCATTTTTTTCCTCCCACAAACCGCAATTTCTAAACGGTTATCCATTACGTTTGCGTTGTCTTTATTCTCTCTTCGTTTTTTGTTCTTTCTCAGTTGTGTTATTTTTTATTTTATTTTTGGGGTACTAATCCGATATGTGCAATGGAGGTCACTAGCTTAGGCCACTCTCTCACGTTTCAGTTGTGTTATTTTGAAGGTCTAATTAAATGTTTCAATCCAAATACTGATGATTTGGTAGTTTCCATTTAAACATGAGTTACATGCATGTTGGTCTAGGAGAATAGGCAGTATCACATATCAATTTCTTTTAAGCGATAAATTATCTAACCCTTTCTCAATTTGACCAATCAAAGTCATACCATACTTTTTTTAATTTTTTTTGTAGAGAAATGAGAACAGTAAAATATGTATAGATACTTTGTAAAAACTATACCAATCAAAGTCATACCATACTTTATTTTGTAGAGAAATTAGAACATTAAAATATGTATAGATACTTTGTAAAAACTATTAATGTATATATGACAAATTACAGACACGCACACAAAATTAAATTGATACATTTGGGGCCTCTATCTGTCTGATTGCAACAGTGTCTCATCGTTGCAGATAGATTGTAAATCTTACATCGAGAATACTCTTTATCAACTTCCTATATTAGTCGAACATTTTGTTATTTTTCCAATTGCAACTATTGTGGACGAGAAAAATAACCGTGTGATATATATTTTCGTGGACATATCAATTATCAATCATCTAGATTTTACATGTGTTTACATCGTTGGTATTAGGCGTTAACACAAACAAATAATTCCTTCGTTTCATAATAAGTGTCGTTTTGACAAAATGAATGTAGATTATTTATTGATGTATCTGGATGTGTTTTGAATATTAATACATTCATATATATCTAGATACATTGGATAGGTCAAGAGTCAAAACGACATTTATTATCAATTTTTAAGACTCTTAAATTATAATAATCTCGATGAAAAAGTTCCCCAAAAAATCGTGTATGTTAGGTAGTTCCGTGCACAATTTTGGTGGCATTCTTTTGTGTGTAAATGGTCGATTGTTTTAGTTACAGTGCAAAAGCGAGATCAGATTTTGTAATTTCGCTACACCCAAAACAGTAATATATAGTATCATTTGTATATTAATATATTGCAGCGTATTCTTGGCATAATAACACGTTAATTTGTTATCCTCTCGTCTTGCAGACCACGAATCCGGCTAAATATTAGTTTAGTAGTTTGTGAATAAAACAAATGTTAAGGTTCACTTTATTATATAGCAGATGTCTAACAATATTTGGCATAATTTGCGTATAGTGTGACAAAAGGTTTGACAACCTAGGGCTCAAAGAAAATATGTCTAATTATGTTTCTTCTAATTGACGGCAACAATAAAATGTATAATAAAAAATGCGAAAAATGCATTTAATACTCTCAAATTGGGAATTCAAAAATAAATAACCAAAGTAAAGCGACGTTGGATGAATGTATAAGTTGGTTTTGGTTACTTTCCTCGTAAGTCGAAAAAATATGAATATTCGTCTGTCGGTAGATGGTAATGAGATGAAGCCACGTGTGAGATCGAAGGTGTCGATCGATCTTTGTCGTAATTGGGACCCAAAACGCACCGACTGATCGGTCTAAGAGGCTATGGGCTGTTCCATTCAAATAATCAAATGTCCTCTCTCTCTCTCTCTCTCTCTCTCTCTCTCTCTCAGGGACCCCTTTGGATTTTGCATGCATGATGCATCTAACTTGTGGACCCATCCATTGTTACCTCTTGTCATTTCTTTCTTACGTTGATGTGAATTTGCTCCTTAAATTTGTTGTCATATGAAATTATTAAAAGAACATATAACCGATAGCCAAAATCAACTCGTTTCTTAGTAGTAGAAATGGTAGAATAGTATTCCATCTAAACTATTTTTTTCTCATATTAAGCTGAAAATTTTGTATTAGTGGAAAAGTTTGTTTATAAACTTAACTAAAGCTGCAAGATCATCCATTTCTACATCTCGCTTATTTGAATATACAATCTGTGGATTTGGGTTTTCACATCAGGAAAGAAAAAACAATTGAACATGAAATAAATTGATAACAAACAAATCTTTTGATCATGATTTATGACTGATATATAAAAACCAATCCACGATTCCACATACCACCAACCAATGTCCAAATCAATCATCAAACTAAACAATTAGCCAAATAAACAAGAAGTAAACATAATGATGGGAGTGTTTTTTTCTCCTTATCCACGCATAGAGATTCCTTCGCATTATTTGCACGTATACACACAAACATCATATCATATTCATTATACGGTAAGATTCTTTTCTTCGCACAAACTGCTTCCCCACTTCAGAGAACACTGAGTGGCCCATTCTTCAAAAATTCCCCAAATATCACTCAAGTTGTTTTATTCTAAACATTATATACTGTGTTCTTTGACTGAAAGAGCAAAAATTTGATTACAATCAAATGGTTTGACCAGTCAAAGAAACAAAGATGGACCCATTTTTTCTGACTTCTCATAATCTTACAAATGCATCCCAATGTAGCCCTGGGCACGGAGCAAATATCCGGGGAAAAACAGGTATCCGTGATCCGATCCGATCCGTCCGGATATTTAATTTTCTGATCCGATCCGATCCGAAAATTTCCAGGATATCCGAAAATCCGGATATTCGTAATTTTTTTAATATCCGCGGATTATCCGCTCCGATCCGTTTAATCTGGATATCCGTAACTTTGTTTCGTATCCGCAGAATTATCCTCTCCGTAAATATAAAAAATATATATATATTTAAAAAATTCAGAAAAATCAATTTTTAACACAAAAATATAATTTTAATTAAAAAACTATTAGTTTATTTTGTTTTAATTAGTGTTTAAATAATCAATTTGATGAATATAGATTTATAAAATTTAGATATAATAAACAATTATCCAATTTATATATGTAATTTTATATATATAGATATATCTATATGTATAACGGAGCGGATCGGATATCCGGCTTTTAAAATTTTAGTATTTGTGATTTGCTCTGGTTTTAACGGATATTAATTTTAGTATTTGCTTTGCTTTGTAAAATTACGGTTATCCGGATTTTTCGGATCGAATCGGAACGGATAACGGATCGAAGCAAATATAACGGATAATTTGCCCAGGCCTATCCCAATGTGATCAGGAGCTTTCTTTATCATCCTGAATATTTTTAATTTTGTTGCACTCTCCTTCGTTCCTTTCTCTTTTTTTCCATAACTATCTGCCACATAAATGAAACTCTTGCCTTTAAAAACGAAATCACCCAAATAGCCGACAAAAATAAAAACATGCATTCAACATATATAACCTTTGTACATAAGACCAAACTGGAATTTGAATAGAAAGCAAACCACAGTAACAATTATTCCCATTATGCCTTACGTAGATATTGTGATTCTCATTCTAGTGAACATAAATGATATGAGAAAGACGATTCATGCACGCAAAAATTAATCGCGATATTTTGGATACGACCGTTTGATAATTCACAAAAATTAAAAAACTTAGTTTTCTCCTTTGTTAGATCATGACAAAAAATAAAATAATAATAAATTTCCAAAACGAAACTACCTCCATACAAGATTATAAGATCATGTTTAACACAGAAAAAAAAAAACTTGTTTTATCTCACAACTGACACAAGCCCTTCACATGGACACAAGTTAGTTAGTTGCGGCTTCATCGTGCTGAAGTCACTGAACTCCAACAAGATGCTTGTCGAATTGTATCTATCCAATTGATGTCAGAATATGCAGATATATATATATATATCTTGTTACTAACTGATAAAATAAAATTGTCTTATTTCTGGTTACTAATATATGTGGGAATTTCGGTTTGGATATATTCAAAGGGTTCCCAAATGCTTTTATTCTGACATGTGGGAATTTCGGTTTGTTGGCTTTGGCATTTCTCGTCTATCCTCAATGATTTTGTTTTCTGAAGATTTTTTCTGATGGGAGTTCAGAATTTTGTTGGTAAATAAAATAATTTAAAGGGTTCGAATTTCTCTAATCTATGTCAGCATTTAAGGGTTTCATAGTATAAATTATTAAATTTACACTTCATGCGTTTTTATTTATATGAACTTAAATCATGTATTAGCGGGAATTGTTTTTGGTAAAAGTAAAGGAAAAAATGTGGCTAATTCCTATATGCTGTCAGTCACCACTTAAAATCGATATAATTTCCTGGATTATCATCGTAGAGCACATGCAAACCAATAATCCAGTGTTAGATGGATCTACTAGTTGTCTAGCTATATAGAGAGAAACATCTTTAAATCATTACAAACTAAAACTTCACTTATCCAGTTATCGGATAACATTTCTCCTTTACAACTATGCCATTTAAGTATTAGATTTTGACTGACACACTATTGTTAAGCACGTTTATCAATATAATAGATTTAGATGAAGTCATGAACCCTACATTAAATTATAGAATTGGTTTTCAGAAGTAGACATTTTATTTCGAATTGGCACGTAATTTTGTTGAATCAAAACAACAATGAAATAATGATTTTTTTCCACTTCAGATTTGTGTATTTTAGTTTTGAGTATGTTTCATTTTAGTTTTGATTGATAACAAATTATTGCCAGCTTAGCTTCATAATCTTCTGAATCAGATTCATCATGGACCCTACGCCTCAACCATATACATCATTACTTCCTCACTGATTAGCTTAATTACTACCGAGTACAAAAAACAAAATATGGTTCATTGCTAAATCAAGCAATTTTTATATTTTTTTTTTGCCCAACACATTTTATAGCCTTGTTGTGCATGCTGTATATGTATAGCTAAGATTTACTATTACAAATCTTCGAATATAAAAGAATTTGGTTAATGCTGTATAGTTAATTATGTTTAATTAAGTGAGATTTTTTTTTTAGTATCAAGAGCGTTTGAACTTTGTAAGTAGCACTACCTGTAACTCACTGATTGTGCCAAAAAAAGTTTGATGAAAAGTTTGATGTTTGAGCCAAAAAAAAAAAAAAAAAAAACTCACTGATTGTGCATACAGTTCTTTATAGGGTACCCTTCTTTATATATCTGATCTAAGATTTTTTATTAGTATAAGTAACTTAAAAGAAACAGCGAAGAAAAGACATACAATATACTCTTTATTAGGGGTGTTCAATTTGGTAAAACCGAACCGACCCGAACCAAACCGAACCGAAATAAGTCATATGGTTTGGATTTGGATACACTGTATAAACCGTATGGATGCAATTTTATATAAACCGTGGATATTGATATGGTTTGGATATTAACCGACCGAACCGCAAAAAACCGAATAGCTATATATATATTAAATTACTCATATAATAATATATAGTATAGGTATATCTTATATAATAATATAAGTTTAGAGTAATAGATCATTAATTAATCATTGATTAACTAAATCAGTTTGGATTTATTTGATATTTAAGCTTACAATATAATTGCATTTCATTCGTTTTCAAGTTTTGTTCTTCAATGTGTTTTTTTATAATTTTTCTATAGAATTTGAAGAGTTTTATACTTTTAAATAAGACATGAGTTTGCATTTTTTTGAATTTGATCATTTTGATTATGAGAAAATTCGAAAACCCTAATTAATAAAATAATCATAAAAAAAAAATACAAATAAACGAAAACCGAGATTATTCGACCGAAAATATCCAAACCGCAAAAACCGATAACCGAGACTATCCAAACCGAACCAAACCGAAGTAAGTATGGATCTAATATGGTAGCTATTTTTTATTAACCGAAAAACCGAATACCGAGAAAAACCGAACCGAAACCGAACCGATATCCGGATTGAACACCCCTACTCTTTATAAGAAAAAAGACATACAATATACTAATAAATTAAATAAAATAAGATGATTATAGGAATGTATCAATCATGTGTGTTTCTCTAACTAATTGGCCCCCACGCGCTACACGACGAGGATCGTATAATTGTACTACAGCCGCGCGGGCATCTGATTCCTTTTCCCTTGAATAGACAGCGATCTCGATTTCTCATTATCTTTATTTATATTTTTGTAATTTTTATGTTTTTCATTTTTTTTTTTGAAAAAGACTGATCACAAGTATTTGTTGGATTACTTTTATTCAACGTACGTAGATGAATATGTAGAACCTCGAACTTATTATAAATCATCAAAACTAAGAATGTTAAATTTCTAAGTTTCTAACCAAAATGCAAATCTACAGAAGTAGAAGTTAATGTTATCAGTGCGGAGCATCGTGGCCAATGATAAGGATGGGCTCCTTCCTGCACACAGGTTGTGAGTTTAAATTCAGCTGGAGAGAACTGCTTCACGATTATCTTTGGACACCTACACGGATATAGGCCTCCTTTTACGGCCCATTTAAATATCCGGAAAGAGGGTCTAACTGTGGGTTACACCTCCCCTAGGGGATTAGTCTGGGCCCGACCATACGCCTAAGATTTACCTCTGAATTATCAAAAAAATAAAAAAGTTAATGTTATCAAACTATTGATTTTATTAAACTTAACCACATGTTAATTTAATTTACATCAAACAACATATGTTCACTTTGATAACCATTCAGAAATGAAAAATCAAGATATACAAACGGATGTAAAAAAGCAAAAACATAAAAGAAAATTGAAGTTAAGTAATAACTGGTTAAAGATTGTATATAAAGTTTTGGACTGACATACCGTTTAAACCCGTCTAATTATGTTTGATACCTAAATGCTTGATTCCAACACTTTGAATTCAAAATCTATATAAATTAGGGAGCGCATAATTTTACATTGTTATTATTAACTTGATTAGAAAACAATTTGAAGATATCAAATTTTGTAATTTAATTTTGTGTTGCAAAAATGTCATACACATATTAGTTATATATAATCTGAAGGTAAACTATATAATTTAAGAAAACTAAATTATTAAATAATAATTTTTGTAGATTTTTTTATTTTTCACTTGAACAAACAATGTACAATTCATTAACAAAGTTATCTTCTTTTTCCAAATCTAAAAATTGTAACAGTCATCGATTACAAGCACTAAATCTCAAATCAGATAAACAATTCATCTACTCATCTACAAATTTTCCAAATCAAAAGAAAAAGAAATGATTAAAATTTTAATCAGATCAGATTTTTGGGGTCTTCAAAATACCCAAACTCGTTTTTCTTTTACTTGTCGTTCTTCTTTTTCTCGTCGTCTTTCTCAGCCTCCAAGTCGTTGTGTCTACTTCATTTGCGAGGTCTTCATCAAATACTAGATGAGTTAAAAACTTAAGAACTGCATCAGACATAAGAATCTTAATTGCAATGCCCACCAAATGACTTTTTTTTGTAGATGGGAAAAACCCTTAAAAGTACATGAACTATTTTTCATTTGTTAGAAAAAATCATAAACTTTTTAGGTTGTCAAAAACAAACCCAGATTATTTTTCAGTGTCATTTTAATACACAAAAAATAAAAAAACTTAAGTTTTACTAAACGTTTCATTGTACCAGATTACTAAGTTTGACAAAAATATTGGATCTTCTTCTTATTTCCTCCTTGAAACATTACAAAGATTTTTCCTTTTTAGTAGACTTGATTGTCCCTCCCTCAAGCATATCGTCTCAGATATTTCTAAGCTGAAGAGTTCAAAATGAAGCCTACGTGATAACGAGCCACCGCAATCATCATTATCCAATAATGGAAATCATGTGAGAACGAAATCGTTCAGACCACACAACAAACACTCAAATTTCTTGGTGGCTATCGAGAGAGAGAGAGAGATAGAGAGATACAAATTGGGGAAAAAAATTTAGGGCTCTAAGATTTGAGGGAAATGGAATCGATTTGGGGTGAAATAAGGCAAGAGCAAAATTTAAACGCTATTTAACCATTACATTAAACGATTAAGCGTTTTCTAAAACATTTCATAAAATTGATTGGGATATATCCTATATATCTTTGTGTATATTCTCTTGTGATAAGATTAGGCAACTAGGTTATTACCTTGTTATCATAAATATAGACCCGAGACTTAATGTAAAGTTAACAAATCAATAATATACAATTCAGAGTTTATCATGGTATTAGAGCTAAAGATCTAGAAACCCTAATTTTTTTCTTTGCGCCGCTTGCTTCTCCAACAAGTATTGCACTTTGTTCTTCAAATTTTGAATCTTTCTTTCTTTGACCTTTATCTCTCTCGAGATGTTGATTGTTGCTCATGATCCTAAGTACAAGAAGATTAGTTCGTATGACCTCACCTCCAGAAACAATCCTGGTGCCATAATTTCATAACCACTACTCAATGGTTTGAACTACGACCAATGGGCTTTGAATTTTCGGATGGCTTTAAGCTCAAGAAAGAAGTTTGGGTTTCTTGATGGAAGTATCCCAAAACCAGCGGCTGGAGATCCTCATCTTGAAGATTGGATAGCAAATAATCACCTTCTGGTCGGTTGGATTAAACTCACAATCAAACCGAAGCTACGCTCATTCATATCCACTCGAGAAGTTGCCAAAGACTTGTGGGATATCATCAAGAAACATTTTTCACTCAAGAGTGGTGCTCGTCTACAACAGTTACGTAATGCATTTGCAACATGTAATCAGAATGGGTCCACGGTGGATGATTACTTTGGGAGATTAACAAAGATTTGGGATGGCATAGCTGAATGTATGAACACAAAGCAGTGTTCTTGTGGAAAGTGTGAGTGTGATCTCAACACAGCTCATGACAATGAGAAAGAGATTTTACGTGTTCACGATTTTCTCTTTGGCTTGGATGGTACTACTCATGGAGTTTTTCGATCTCAATTGTGTGCGATCACACCTCTTCCTAACCTCAAAAGCATCTATCAAACGATAATGCAGAATGAGACGTTGCGTTTGAATGCGACACCGGATGTTGCTGTGATGGGATTTGGGATTTGCGGCTCAAGCATCTCGTCTGATGAACCATGTTTGGACTCGTGATGTCCTTCGACAGAGTTCTGATCGACCAGCCAAACACTGTTGGCTTCGGCTCAACCAACCATGATCCGACTAGGAAGTGTACTACTTGTGGAAAATCTGGTCATGAAGCAAGTGCTTGTTTTAAAGGTATTGGTTATCCTGACTGGTGGCCTAATAAGCCGCATAATCAGTTTGGTGCTCAAGGATCGCAAGGGAGTTCTATGGGGCGTGGTCGTTGATATACCTCTATTGTACATGCTTTTTATACTATTTTAGTATGGTTTTCTAATGGTTTTTAGCAGATTTTCAATCTAAAAAGATAGTTTTATTGGATTTATAGTACTAAGAGTCTAAGCAGGTCGAATGATGCATTTTTGGAGCGAAACTACAAGATTTGGACTTCATCCCGCTCAATACCGCATCATCAACTTTAAGAAGGCCTTAAAAACATATACTCAATGGATTTCACCGAGACCATTTTGCCGCATACCCTGAGTGAGTTAACTCTCTGGAAAATATTCTTACGTATTTCCAGAAGTCGTTGAACTGTCTTGGAGCTCCCTGCTCCTTGACAGTTCCAGCTCAAAATGCTCATTGGGATGGCAGCGGCTTCAAATCGGAAATCACCGTAGGTGTTTGGGTTTTTGGAGATTTGTTTGCTAGTGTCATAGAGTTAGCCTCCAACTTCCTCTTAGCACTTGATTATGTAGTTACCGTAGCATTGCCGGACACATTCTCAGACTCATGAGATGGTAGATGCGCACATGATCGTCGCTTCCAAGCAAGTGGCCTGCGTCTTCCCTGTTTTCCAACTTTCCGGTTACCGGAGGATGGATTGGTTCCCATCCAAAAGACCGTTGAACCATCAGCCGGAGAAGGGTGGTGGAGACTGCGGACAAATGACGAGGCCTCAGCGTCATCTGTAGCTAAGGAATGATGAGGGGCAGATGCTAGAGGATATTCTCCATCTATACATAAGTATTTTTTAAATGACTTTTCATAGTTTCGTTAAACTTATTAAACTTATTACAGTAATGAAGTAATGAATGATAATTATTCTGAAAATTAAAATAAAAAATATAATAAATCAAATTGATTGCACTGACGTATCAGTTTTCTATAACCCCAATTTGGTGACATGGCCGCACAAAAAAATAGCTCCTTCAACTCTCTCTTTATATATATACTAGACTAATGCCCGCGTATATGCGCGGGTTTTCTTATCGTTATAGTTTAAGAAAAATGTTATTCTAAATAATCCAAATTTTAATTTTTATTTGCGTGGAGTATAAAACAATTATAGATTTAGATTAATCTTTTAACTCAAATGACACCCATATTTTAATTCTTATTTGCTTCGTTAGTCTTTCAAATATATAGTTTTGCATAATACCACATGTTTTATACGTTGACATTCTTTATTTATTCACCGCTACGTGAACACAATCTGTTTCTCTGCCATCACTTTTTTTCTGAATCCAATTCTCTGTATATTAAGCAAACTTAAATGTTTAATAGTGATTCAAGATTGGTGATGAAGGATAATAATTTTCAAATGATATAGTAGTTTTCTTTATTTTATAAGTTACAATGGACACAAAAGAAAACCAAAAGTTGCATTGAAGTTCTATGAAACTTTTGGATATATATATATTTTTTTTGTCATCTTTTGTGGGCCACAACAGGCCGGCCCACGGTCCCATAATCCTCCCAATGAGGAAATTAACCCCACATGGGGTTAGGTGGAGTCGAACTCCAGATGAGATGGATACAGAGATGTGCAACCACTGGGCCACTTGCTCCTCTCTTTGGATATATCTTTTTTAAAGTGAAAATTATATAAAAATGTAATTTGTAAGTTACAATAAACACAAAAGAAGACCAAAAGTTGCATTAATGTTATATTAAACTTTTGGATTTTTGTTTTTTAAAATGAAAATTATATGACATGTGTCATTTTCTCATGTGACCATGTGTCAAGAATATGGAGAAGGTTGGCCTCTTTTCATATATATGATTCCTCTCTTAGTTGCGGCTTTAATATTTGTGATAGTTCTTCCGTTTCATAATAAGTGTCGTTTTAGAAAAATAACACTAGATATATCTGGATATATTTAGATATATTAAATTCAAAACACATCGAGATACATCCAACTACTGTTCAGATATATTTTTTTTAAATGACATTTATTACGAAATGGAGGGAGTATGTGTATATTTTCATATGCGTCTAGAGAGGAAATGCAACTTTACATACGCGTATACCTAATTAACAAATATATCTCGGAGACAGAGAAAACATGGTATGGAATTTGAATTTAGAATGGGGTTGATTGAAGTTGGCCGATGATGATGGTGGCTAATGGCTATTGGTATTGGTGTAAATGGTGTGGCAGGAGGGTCCACATGCCAGATTCGGTGTGTTCTTGACTTCTATGTACATAATATACGTATATCTGTACGACACAAACATAACTATCTTATTTTTATTCATCACCACCATTCATTTGTCATAGTGTTAGATTCATTTTGGAGTGAGCAGATGTAGACTTTGAAAAAACATGGTATGGAATTTGAATTTAGAATGGGGTTGATTGAAGTTGGCCGATGATGATGGTGGCTAATGGCTATTGGTATTGGTGTAAATGGTGTGGCAGGAGGGTCCACATGCCAGATTCGGTGTGTTCTTGACTTCTATGTACATAATATACGTATATCTGTACGACACAAACATAACTATCTTATTTTTATTCATCACCACCATTCATTTGTCATAGTGTTAGATTCATTTTGGAGTGAGCAGATGTAGACTTTGAAAATTGTATGCATTATTATTCTGAGTGGTAAACTATATACAAGCATGCATATATAGTAATAGTACTATAGGTATCTCTTAATTGTGTATATATATATATATACTAGGAGAGTACCCGCGCAATGTGCGGGTTTAATTTTACAAAAATTTGATTCCTAAATTCATATCAAATTTAAATTTAGTAACCATTTGTTTAAATGTTATATTATGATGATTTAAGTGGTAAACAAAGCAAATTTAAAATGGTAACAAATTTATGAACCGCTTATATAAATAATCTTACAAAAAAAATGTTTGAACTACAACGACAACAAAATACAACATCTTTTGTAAATCTACAACTAAGAAAATTTTTAATTTCATCATTTCTGTCACAATTCTCAAGTTGTTTATAAATACTCTTCAAAGTGTTTTCCATAATGTGCCCCTTCATCAACCCCTAAATGTTGTACTCAAAGATTTATTATACCACTAATATCATTTTAGTTCATTACTTTTCTGTAAGATGTGAGTATAAAGTTCAATTCTTCCACCAAGTTTTATGGACAAATCAATACGTGTCCACTACTACGAGCTGTTTATTAACTTTTTGTATCATGAAGCTAACGTGGATTTATGCTGCGCCTCTTTCAGATCTTTTCTCCACTAAAGCTGCTAGTTTTTATAGAATTAGCCAGTTCAAACGAAGTGATCATTATGTCCATTTGATCCTTTGTATTTCAGAGACAAAGAAGCATAACATTCAGATCATATCACACATATAGATTGTTCGAGTAAATGTTTGCTTACTCTGAAGTTCGAGTAAATGTTTGCTTACTCTGAAGTTCTGAACTATAGGAGAACCATGGCATAATTTAGTAAAAACGAAACTATAACAACAACGTTTCAGGCAGATTAGACGCAGGCAAAACATTTGTAATTTATTAAGTGTGATGTGCTTTTAAAATTCATGATCTGAAATGAATAAGAGTATAAAGACCAAGTAAAGACGCCTCTAAAACACCAAAACCAAGGCACGAAAGCAAAAGACTTCTCATGTCTATGAGGGAAACAAAATAACACAGAACTGTCGTTAGAGATGGACGCGGGTGTCGTCCGTGACGTCTTTTTTAGTGGCTGGAATTTTTGGGCGACAGTTATCGTGTCTTGAGATTGCAACAATGGCGTGTTGTACCTGTAAAGAGTTTCCAACAAAGAATGAGTCTATAAAAAGGCATAAAAATGTTTAGATATATTGCATTGCGGCTGGCACTCCTGACATGTCTCATCCAAGTTTGGAGCGATTGTCCCTGGAAGGACCGCTTTTATGATGGAGTCTATGATGGAGTCCTGAAAGACAACATGTCGGAGGGACGTAAATCTACAGATTCAAGCAGAGAATGAACATTGATCAAGACTTACGGGTTCTTACCTTCTGATCTAGAATCTAGCAGAAGCATGACAATCCCGTTTTTTTCCAGTGAATCGCGGTGACCCCATAGTTGGAGGAGGCGAGCCGTGATAGTATCCGCAGTGGGACCTAATAGTAAGTCGTCAATTTGACGGAGGAGGGTGGTGGAGCAAGTGGGTAACCGTGAATCATGGCGACGGCTGGCGAGGAGAGGGTGAGGGTTTGAAACTTCGGAGGGAGGAAATGTTTCTCGACGAAGAAGCAGATGTGAGATGAGAGAAAGGAGGGTGAAGGAAGGAGATGTGGGTGGAGTTTTTATATTGGAATCAGATAATTGAAGGCGAGGAGACCTCTTATCCTCTGTAACGGCGGCCGAAAGGAGGGTGAAGGAAGGTGGAGAGTCTCGGCGGCAGGGTAAAGATTTGGCGGAGTTAATTTGACGGAGAAAACGATGTCGCGGAGTAGATTTCACAGACGACGACAGTGTTTTGTTTTAGTCGGGGTGAAAAAAAAAAAGTAAAACGAGGCAAAAAATTTAAAAAATTGAAAACGCAAAACGACGTCGTTTTGGTGTTAGGCGAAAAAATTTAAAAAAAAACGAAAACGCAAAACGATGTCGTTTTGGCGTTTGGAAGGAAAAAAAGAAGAAGGTGCCACGTGTCCTGAACAGGAGAGTGTCCAAGCCTTATTAGTTATGTAGATTACATATTCAATACTCTTAACATGCATTATGCATCTTATTTGCCCTTTAACAACAAAAAATGATGCATCTTATTTTTTGTTAACGAAACAAATGTTTACCTAGCTATTTTTTCAGTTTTCCGAAATTTATAGTGAAATCTTGTATCTATATTTTTAAAAATCTTAGAGATATATAGGTTATAAAAGAAAGTCTCCTTATGTTTCTATTTTGAATGATATAGTGAAATTATATACTATTACAATGCTAAAGTCTAAGTTTGCACCAAAGATAACAAACATTTAACTGTAAACGTGTTAACGTAGTATTGTTAAAGATTTTTGCAAAATATTATCGACTTAAATGTGAAAAATACCAATTTTTTTTAAAAAAAAAAGTATATATAACAAGTAGCTACAAGAAAAGAAAAAGAAAAACCATATTTTTAAAAAGGACCCACTTAATCAGTTTTGCTTTATATATTAAGAACCGTGCTCTTCTCTTCTATTCATATCTTGCTCACCACTTTTCTTCAAACGCTCTCTCTTTTTCTCTCTCCGGTTCCCTTATTCTCTTAAAATCTGAGAAAAATAACAACCATAATTGCTAATTTTCTGTAGAAAACTTAGTAAATTTTGCTTCTTCGGTACGTCCTTTAATTTGTTGCATGGATGGATCCTCAACAGGTAATTTAGTTTTCTATCTCTTTAAATTATATCACACCTTATTTGATTATCACTTTGAGCTCTATTTGTTTGAATGTGCAGGAAATGTCAAACGAGACATTGGAAACCATATTGGTAAGCTCAACAAAAGGAATCAATAATAACGCTACGAAAATGGAAGAGGAAATGAAGAAGAAGCAAGCAAAAGGAGAATTGGGAGGAGAAGCTCAAAATTGTCCAAGATGTGAATCTCCAAACACAAAGTTTTGTTACTACAACAACTATAGTCTCTCTCAACCTCGTTACTTCTGCAAATCTTGTCGGAGATATTGGACTAAAGGTGGTACTCTCCGTAACGTCCCCGTTGGTGGTGGTTGCCGTCGAAACAAACGGTCTTCTTCTTCCTCATCTTTCTCCAAGAACAACAACAAACCTATTAGTTTCCACAATGATCCACTTCACAGCCCTTTAATGCAACCATCTTTTGGTTATGACTCCATTGACCTCAACCTCGCTTTTGCTACTCTTCAAAAGCATTCATCTTCTCAGGCTACACCTTCTTTTGGGTTTGGAGGCGATCTTTCTGTTTATGGAAACTCAACGAACACACACTCTGGTGTGTTCGGAAACGGAGGGATCTTCGGAGGGCAAAACGGTAAATTTCAGTAATGGTAGTTTGTGTTATGGTTTCATGTCCGGAAATGAAAATGAAAGCAAGACTTCGTCTTTGGGGATTTCTTTGGAGGGAAACGAGAGAAAGCAAGAGAATGTGAACATTATCTCAGAGAATCCAAGCAAGGTCTTATGGGGATTTCCATGGCAGATGACCGGAGATTCTACAGGAGTTGTACCGGAAATTGATCCCGGAAGGGAAAGCTGGAATGGGTTGGCTTCATCTTGGAATAATGGTTTACTCAACACTCCTTTGGTCTAGAAGATCATTAATAAATAAATGATATATTACTACTATATATTAATCTTATGTCTTCATCACATGTTTGTATACCACTTTCATTATATGGAGGTTGTTTGGTTTTTAAATTTTTAGGGTTTCTATCTTTTTTAGTTTCCCAATTTTCTTTGTTGAGACAAAAACCAAAGAGTTCTCTTCTTCCTAAAAAGGGATAGTTTAATCTTTTGGTGTTTTAATTTGTAATTTAACGGTGGGTTGGTTGGTTGATTACTTGTTATCTATGATGAATCCTTTCTTTTTCTTGAGCTTTTATTTTATTATGATATGATAATAGATCTTTGATTAGTGGTGGTGTTGGATATATATTTGTTGATAACATAAAAATTGACAGATAGTTTTAGGATTATTTTCTATAACACGGACAATAAAACATTCGTACTAAAGTTTTGATATTGTTGATTAATAGGTTAATATGTCCATCAACATTCCACTTGGTTTGTGTCAGAGGAAAAGAATATTGGATTTTGAAATGTGAGTTGGTGAGTTTCAAGATATTCTGTCATGATTGCTTCGTATTTAGTTTCAATTATTTATTTGCAAATATATTACGAGTATATATTATTAACTGATTTGAATATAATTGTGTGATGATGATACGGCCATAAGAGGAGTTTTATAATCGTCTCAAAGTCTCATAAACAGAATCAAATCTAACAGAGAGATTTGAGCGTGGCGCCCTATGGCGCTTAAATTCTAACAAGTCTACATAGATGGAGTAAATTATATTTCTTAGTTTGAAATATACATTCTCTGTAGGGTCCAAATCAAATAAAGAAAACATAACTGTTATATGAAATCCCTTAGATTGAAATTTGGTAATGATGAAAAAAGTTCCGAATTTTTGGATTTATAGGTAGTTGCCTACCGACAAAAGGGTCAAAATTGGTACGAGGCATGGAGCCGTATGTTTTATTTTAAACTTTACCAAATTGGATTTGTCAAATTATTGCTTTCATTTGTCTAATTGTACTTATATTTTTTTAATAACAGTTAGAAAACAATTATAAGCAGAATAATCCCAATAAACATACCGCGCATCACAATACAAAAATATTAAAAGTGACAGTGATTAAGAAGTAGAACTTTTTTACCAATTAGACATCGAATTTCGTATTAAGAACAACGGATAAACATATGATCATAATCTATCTTGTCAACAATATGAATGATGAGATTTGTGTTGAGACTTGAGATTAATATGAATAATCAATAATGTTATATGGGTTGCAAATTTTTGTTTTGTCTTTTGGTGCATGTTATTTGCTGCTTTTAGGATTTGGGTCCCCTTTATGGCTTGTACAATTTCCTGTCTCTTGAAAACTTGGAGCAAGGTATTGGGGAGTCATCATAAACAGGCCTGGACCTAGCTTAAAGTTTGTTGGGCTTTTCAATGTTTAAGGAATATAAAGGATATAATTGCCTATTTGGCCAACTCTCTTCTTCTTGCTTCATATCTTCAAACTTTAAATATCCATTTTTTGGGGTACAATTATGATTAAAAATGGGCATTATTTTATGCGTACTTTAGTCACAGTAAAATGAGGGCCAGTGATGTGTTTGGCCCTTTTGTTTTTTTAGTGTTTAATATTTCCTTTTAGTTCTTGTTTGATTGTTGTATCCAGGCGTCTTTGGACATTTTCTAATTGCATTTGCATTTTTGGTCACATTGCAGGTCTCACTCAATATCCTCGATCTTCCTGATATCAAAAACGAGAAGTTTGAAAGCATATATGAAGGACAAGGACCGATCATTTTGTTACAGAACATTTGATCATTTTAGTTAAGCGTATATAGTTAAGATTTGGTTTGATTAGTATGAGAATTTAGGTGATTCAAAAAGAAAACAACTGGTAGCCCCCTAATATATTTTGTCTTACAAAAAACTCAATAAAATTAACATTTTACCCCCCCCCCCCCCAACAAAAACTCAATAAAATAGTGTAATAGAAAGGGACTTGAACCAATCAACTAACATTTAATGTATGGATTTTGCTGGCTAAAAAGGCAGAAAACAAGAAGAAGAAGAGGTTTTTTGACTTGTGCGTGTGTGTTTCCCATTGACACATTTAATGTTTAAAAGGGTTTGTTTGTGTGGGAAATTGGAAGTAACATCACTGCTGCTTCATTCCGTGTGGGTCTCTTAGTTTCCATTTTCATTTCAATAATTCAAAGCAAATCAATACTCTTTCCATATTGAGTGATCTTGAAGCCAATTTTTGTTTGTTTTATTTTCTTCCATGCAAAATGAGATGTATTAATAAATTTGTGTGACCATGTAGCTTTTTCTATTCTTGTTTGTATTATTGAAAATAAAATAAAATAATATTTTAATATAGAAAAGACAACAAAATTTACATTATTTATGTGATTTTTCAAATTGTGTACATGCGTCATTTAAAATGAACATAGGAAATAGTTAAAACTAAATATAGACCATATGATTTGGACTTGTAACAATGTAACATATTAGTATGAGCTTAACTCACACACTATATAACTCACACACTCAAATCTCTCTGAACCTCGACGTGGGACGATTGCAACACTCAGTTACATTCAAGACTACACATCCGATTTCTAATTTATGAAACGTGAAATTTGTGAGACTAGACATTCACGGTAGACGTATGAGATATTGAATTGAAAGCTATGATAGTATGAACTATGAACACTACTGCCGCACACTTACATAGTCAACCAATCTGTCAAAGTTTCGATGTAATAACCTTGATTGGCGTTATTAATTTATTTTTAGTAACACAAATTTTAAAATTATTAATGTGTATTGTGAAAAATAAAACCATGAACGTGTATTTAATGCTTGATATGGATGTTAGCAAAAGCAACTTCAATACTGTTAGTGACATTAATACGTTCACCCTACAAAACCATTAGGGGAGAGCGACAAAATACCACAATTCGTTGTTCAGTGGCATGAAATTTAAGAATATACCTATCGTCCTTCCTTGATGGTATACTTGGCTCACTCCAGATTTTTGCCTATTCAAAATTCAAAAGGGAAACATACAGATAAATAATAAATTCTTACGAGATCAGGAAAACCTTTGACCAGTATTTATGCTCAAATTAGTGTATAATAAATTCTTAAGAGACCAGAAAAACCTTTGACCTGAAAATATTGGGGAAATTTCAAAATTACACATTTTAAGGTGCCAATTTTTAAAAATACACTTTTATGGTGTTCATTTTCAAAACTATAATTTTTTCATTGAGTAAAAGAACTCTAAACCCTAAAATATAAATCCAAAACCCAAAAATCTAACATTGAACCCTTAAATCTAAACCCTAAACCCCTAAATCTAAACACTAATTTAGGATTAATGAACCCAAACATAAATATTAAAATTAGGAAAAAATGTATTTTTGAAAATTGTCACACTATAGATGTAGTTTTGAAAATATGCACCTCAAGAGGTGTATTTCTTAAAATTTATCTAAAATATTTGCATTTGATTATGATGAGCTTTCTCATTCATTCTATCGCAGATTTATTGAGCAATCAAAGGTGCTAATAATGACCAATTTGAACGTACAGAAGCCGCATTTTCTAGACATGCTGCTCTTTGTCTTTACAAATATGAGCGTGCATGGGCCAAAACACAATCTTTGACCAATGCATTAAATTATTATAGTGTTATTTGTTTTATCAATTTATTAATTACTCTGTCACATTCGGGTGATTGTTTGATTGTAAATTTAATGATAATTATTTTATATTCCCTCTATTTCAAATTACTTGTCATTTGCATAAATATATCTGAATGTATAAATGATATTTAAATATATTTTAGATATATTTATACAAATGACAAGTAATTTGAAACGGAAGGAATAAAATGTTGTGTATTATTTATTTTTTTCATTTTCCCTTGTTTTGTATTTTTTGTATTTGCTATATAGTGTACTTATTTTTTTCGTTTTTGGCTTATCATTGTAGGGATAGTTTTTGTTAAATTGGGTTTTTTGAAATTTCTACTATAATGTCAGATATATTGCTGTTTCTGTTTGTGTTGTGAATATTATGCATCTAGTTTTATTTCTTCTAAGGATTTTCTTTGTGATCAAATGCTGATTTAAAAGATTGTCTTGGGTAATGGACTCACAGTTGTGAGTACCACCACCCGGGTTCGAGGTACCTTGGCCACCTAACCGTGCTTTTAACGATGGGATAATGCATAACCGGATGCAAGGCCATATTGGATTAGTTTTGGGCCTGAAAAACCTTTAGGAAACTAACTTTAAAAAAAAAAAAAATCGGTATATATATGCAGTTAATTTTTCTCCTTCTTCACTCTTCATTAAATTTTCATCTTCTCAAACAACGGCAGTGGTCTTTAGGGGAATTGTGTTTGCTACAGAGAGTAAGAATGCACGCTAGACGTGTGAATAGCTAATCGTACACGACAGCTCCGACCGATTAAAGTGCTGAAGGATACTGAATTTTGCCCAGAAGGAGGCGAGAACGAAAGCTACCGTCAAGCCGGTGACGACCACGAGAACTGTCTATGGCTGCCAAAAATCGTGGATTAGGTTTTAATTATGTGTTGTTAATGTGGAACCTTTTTGAAAAGAATAACATAATAATAGTAAAATTAAAATTAAATTCAAAATGTTTGATTATAATCGCATGGTGTAATTATTAAAACCTACAAGGGTATTTCGTCTTTTAAGTGTCCATCTTACATCTTTATTTAATTTTAATGGATGCCAATCTAATAGTAATAAATTGTTGAATGAATGCTATTCTAAGTAATTATATCATTTTTTAAAAATCATTTCACAACAATTAAATATCGGATGCGACATACTATACTATGAACATGAGATTCATGAGTTCACAGTCATAATGAAGTAATCAAGTGAGTTGCGTGAAGAACCTCCAGCGAAAACATAGACTTTGAGTGTCCCTATCAAACATAGAGCTCTCAACTTCATCTCTTCTCCCTCTTCATCCATCATTAACCTCTTCACAGCTCTCTCCACCGCTCCCTCTAGCTCACCCTCCACTTGAATCCCTGCTTTCCACATACATTCCAAGTACCATCCATTCCCCCTTTTGATCAGTGTAAGAGGTCTACATATCATCAGAACTCATTCGTCGAGGCTTCTAGAGTCTAATTCCATCCACAATGGCTACATATTCGCAATTTAATTTAATTTAATTTTTTAAAAGGCTTGGCTTTAGTTTTACTGATTAAGCTATTTATGTTTACACTATAAGTATAAGAATCGATCGTTTTTGATATTTTTGCCCCTCACTAATCTCCTAGAGTCTTTGTCTCTTTTTTCTTAGTATTCATTTTAATCTTTTCGTTTCTGATTCTTTCAAATTATAATTTTCATTAATTAAGTATGTGTTTTTGAATAAGAAATTTCACATTCGAACAAAAAATATGATAATAATGCTAAAATCTTTGACGGGTATGAATTAGGAAAAATGTAACAAGCGGAAAAAAATAAAGGGCTGAGAAAACTAAGAAAAAAAGATTAACAATTCGAAAAAAAAAAAAAAAAAAAAAAAACTTAGAGGAAGAATTTCATCTACCATTGTCTGAATTAAGCAGTAAGTTCATCCAGGAGAAAAAAAATAACAAAAACAATATTTTTTCAACTTTTTGTTTGTTCATTTCTTTTGCAACGCGGGAGTCATAGCCAAAATGTTGTGTGTTTATAAAAAAAAATATTATCCTAATATTTTAAACAAATTAAAATGTAAATATATTTGGGTGATTGGGTCCCAAGCAATTTAGCTCTTAGCTAGTCAATATCTATTTCTAAATTATTTATAAGATATGCAAACAACGATCTAACCTATATACGCTAAAAGACGATGAGTACGTAATCTTGATGTCTCTTGGATTGCCAGTATACGTAGACTCTTTGGGCAATATGAACTGTTACAGTTTCTAATATACAGTTTAATAAAGAGTAAGATACTTTGGAGTTGATCATTCATTTCAAGTGATAATGTATCGTGAGAGTTTTGAAATTATATGTTGACAAAGACGTAACAGTTTCTTAAACAAAAACAAAGACAGAATTGTTTCCAGTAATACAGGCACTTATCTAGCCAGTTAGGCAGGACTAAATAAAACAAGTTAAAGGAGTAAATAAAACAAGTTACAAAAAGACACTAATCTAACTTATTTCATTTTATCCAGTAATTTTTTAATTTTTTGAATAACTCCAAGATTGAGATACGTGATTTTCTAATATTCGAATGATGACAGAATATTAAACAGTATTTCTTAGTGATATGTACACGAATTATATTTTTAATAATATCATTTTCTGCATTTTAAATCTAGGGTCTATTATTTTTCGTTGTGGGTCTAGTATGCAAGAAAATCGCAGTAAAATTTAAATCAACATATTATATTGTAAACAAAATACAAATTATTAAGTTCTTAAACATTTTAAAAAAATATTTCCCTGATAATTTTTTTTTTCAATCAGAACTTCAGTGAACCATACGTACATATTGTGATGTAATATGAGTGTTTATACAGTGATATGCTCAAAACAAAATTAGTACCCCACTTGCTCGCGATAATATCGCTAATCACCATGATGCCATTTTGTATTGACATTTGATTTTAATCACATTTTAGGCCGGAGTTTGATAAACTTTTGTTGTGTTTACACTTTGAAATCTCTTCGTATAAATCTTAATTTGCTAACGACTCTCACTGCAGAATCATAGTAATTATCAGTTTATCACAAAGCATTGCTTTATATATAAAAATATGCCTCATATTATCTTCCTTTTCCGTACATGCATATTACCTTCAGATAATTCCAACATACTTTTTTTTTACAATTAACACACGTATTAAAATAAATATGATAACAAGTGTTTTTTCCTTTGGAACTTACACAAAGGTCCACGCGCATTTGATCTGTGAGTGACAATACACAGAGTGACAGAGATACACATCTATATAAATACACACACGTATGTTTGTATATTCTTCCTTCATGTGTGTGGAAAATTGAAGAATATATATGCAATATGTAAATGAGTGGTAATATAGTGGGGGCAGATGGAGACTTCGGAATATATCACATCTAATGGAGACTATAGAATATATCGCAGCTAATTAACTACTGCCACCTTAATCTTATATTGACAAAAATGATCAATTTTTTCTCTTTTTTTCTTATTCATTATAAGATGAAATTACAATTAAAAAAATGAAGAAATATATTAAAGATCTCATTGTTTGCCTTTCAAAGAAGCCAAGAAACTAGAAGTTGGACCAATCTGTATTTCCTATACATGTTATGTTATATTAGGAAAATTGTTTCATTTATATCAATAATTAAAAAATCTCATACTAAAGTCCACACTAATCTCCAAAATTTGTAAACACTAAATGTTCATTCTATTTCAATATCGATTCGAAAAATCAGAATAAATTTCTTAGATGGAGAAATCAATTTTTAACATTGACTTATATGGCGAATCTTCTATACGCACTCGAAGAGACAACTTAGACTTAGCTATATGCTGTTAAGTTTTGAATATATAGTTTATTAATATCAATAACGCGTATAATCATTATTCCTAAATATAGGATCGTATGTAGATTTGATTTACAGTTGAGTTGATGGGACAAGAGTTTGAATATGAATCTTGATTTTCGTAGCTTTTGCATGCGCTTGAAAAATAAGCTTGGGATGGTCTGTTCCAATACAACCAATATAATTCATCAACTGTACCTAATATGCGAAAAATCCAAGACTTGATCTCTTTCGTTTCCTCCATGTTTTTACTTTCATATAATTAAGAGACATGTAACATGTTATGCGGAGGAATCTCCTTTTTCTACGAGTTAGAAATTTGGGAGTTTTGGATTGAAATAATTCGATAATTTATTATCTTTCTTAATTTTTTAAAAGGTAGTAGTTTGACAAATCTCTACTCCCGTCGACATTTAGTCTATTTTATCAATTGTAAGTGATCCATATACATAGGAGAATAAAATATGCATTATACAAATATGCTTAGTATATAGTCTAATAAGCTTAATAATTAGTCCTGGTGTATATATACTTTTCATTTGATAATAATTCCACTTGTCATTTTTCTTTCTGATCATAATGCCTATCAAATATCAATATGTATACACATCAATAATTCCACCATTATAGCTGCCTAACAAAGTGGTACATTATACATTTTGACTCATAATTAATGAGTGTGATTATTCTTTCACATTTATATGTGTTTATTGCAGATATATATAAAAATATAGCGTATCGATCTACTTTAGATTGAAATACAATAATAAGAATGTAGCCCTTAGGATACGGCTCAAACATAGTTTATTCGAAAGTTATTTTGTGGATGGATAAAGGCAAACCAGAAGAGCTTTCGTTAGTACCTCAAAAATCAAAGAAGCCCTTTTTTCCTTACTTAATTTGTCCAATGAGCTGACCAATTTTCACCAAACATATCCCTAATATGTCCCCAATTAAGTAATTAATTAAGTTAAGACTACAATAAGAGCTAAATTTAATAACAAAATATCTTTTAAAAAGGCGAATAAATTGATATATGGTTGAAAGAAGTAGAAAGATAGCGTTGTCTTGATAGCACACCCAATAAATCTTTTTAAAAACGAACTGGCTCGCTCGACCACTTACGACGTGTCGTTCTTATGCTTCTCGGACGACAGGTAGTTGTAACGTGCACCTCGTGATTTTTTTCTTACGTTGTTGACGTGTTACGTTTAATATCTATTCTAATCAAATTGTTTTCTTTTGTATTAATGTCAGTCCATACGATATATTATTGTATTCGTATCAAACCGCTGGGAAGTCGTAGCATATATGTGGAAATTTACGTATTTTACGAAAAGGATGTGACTCAATTTTCATACAACTATCCAAAAAGGAAAAAGCGAGAATTTAACTTGAGGAATGATTACAATTCAACTAATATTACTGATATTCTAGTCATAGAGATATCAAGGGTACGAGTCATCCCTAACCATCCCTAATATATTAAAAGAGAAAACACTATAAAATAAACCTTTGTCTCATGTGTTATTAACAGAAATGTCATGCTGATGTGTCAACACCAGGTTCACTTTCAAGGTTAGTTTTAATTAAGACAAACATTACTAGACTAATTACATGTTATGCCATTCATATTTGGTTAGAGAATGAAATATATATGATTAATTTAGTCAGAAAAATAATTATTAATGAAAATTATTTTCTTTCAGTTTCCTTATTTGGTAATGACGAAAATTTATTTATTAGTCAATCAATCAGTAAAATATGGAAAGTTTTATTCAATTGTATTATATTAATTGTTTAAAAATTAATTTATTCATCTATCATTTTTGTTTAGCTTTACTTTCAAGAATAAATTATATCATCACATCAAAATATTTAAAAAAAGAAAATTAGTTTTTTTTACATATGCTATGGTTTGAATTTTTAAAAATGAAGCAAATCTCTAAAAATGTTAAATGTCCCACATGATTATATTTTGGGATAATAGTTCAAAAACCTATTATAAAATAGGATCCAAATAATGATCAACCATAATCACAAATAGGAAAGAAAAATTTACCATGTTTGGAAATCTTTAAAATTTCTTTTATTCGATTTAATTTGATTCTTTAATTGAATTAAATAATTAAATCGTATTTTTTAATATTTTGGTTTGATCAAAATTTTAAACGTAATAAATTCTAATAACTTATCATATAAGTTAAATTATTTTAGTTATTTAAAATTGATAAAAACATAAAATATATATGCCATTTTATATTTATCAAAATATAAAATTATTTTAAATGTATTAAAATATTATATATATATATGGGTTCGGAAAGGGAGAAACTGTTGTTAAAGCAAATGTTAGATTACCACACTGTAAACGATGACAAAAATCAAACCACAAAAATCAAACCAAGAGCTAAAAAAATATGCATCACTCAAAATTTCGTCTAATGTAAATTGACATTTTTTTAATTGTCTAACACTCTATGTTCCTAAAATTGTATGTAAATAGACATCTTTTAATAAAATCAAATTGAGAAAATATCATCCCGTGCAAGGCGCGGGTCAAACTCTAGTAATTAGTTATAAAAAAAAAAACTATTTCATACTCATTTGAACATTTATGAACAGGTTGTTACAAAGAGAATGTAGTCACCTTTTATAAAGTCATCACATAGTTATAAGCTAAGACTAAGGTGAAGATTAATAGATGAATTAAATATGTCGTGTCCTAAAGAAAACGATGAAATAAATGAATATAGGTCTTTACCAAAAAAAAATGGAGATAGGTCAATAATTCTCATATTAAAGACGAGAAGACTGTTTAATTATGCCGATTTTTTTTTTCTTTGTCAACTTCGGCCAAATATCTTCAAATGTTCGGTCTTTTAGAAAAAAAAATATTGAAGAAGAAAAAAAGGTTTATAAAGACATTACTGTTTTGGATATTTCCTACCACTTCCATAGAACTTGTTATTTCAAACAGGGAAAGTCTTACAAAATCATAAAACTCAAGAATATACGTACATAAAAACAAAAAAATAAGAAGACATTTCTAATACTATAATTAATTAGGCAACCTATATAATATAGTATACGTACAGGCGACCATTTGGCTTTTTGTGTAAACCTTTGTTTCTTATGCAATATTATTTCATTTACTAATCATATAATCAAAATTTTCAAATTGTTTGCCACTATAGACGTGGCAAAGTTTAGAATTATTCATTCCAATATTTAACAGAAATTTCTCCGATTTTACAAAATTGTCGACGCTTAAAATAAACAAACTCAGTCAAAATCTAACTTTGTAAATCTAATAAGTTGTCAGAATATTAAACTTCCTACAAAATAAGAAAAACAAAATCATGAATATATATTGCGAGTTTTTGTATTGAATCTTTCTACCATATATTTTACTAATTTAAGAAATTACAGAACGGATAAAATATATACGGTTAATTATTTGCAAAGCTAATAGAAATGAAAATGTTACGAACGGACCAAGTAGAGAGGATCACTCACGTATATCACAAAAGTTTCAGAATATTCTCTCTCCGGCCACCTTGACCTAAGGCTATGAATAGATTCTTCTTTTTTTTTTTTTGTAAAAGAGGCTATGAATAGATTCGATTACAGCTTTTGAATCATCTATGGATCCATCAGATTCTTAGGATCAACATGGCAGTCAAGCTGAGCATCATGAATATAATTTAACTAATGTTCGAGTTGATGTTATCTCCAAATAGCTTATTTGAAGCAAGCGTGTTCCATGCCGAGAGCATTACAAGAAAATATAAATATTGTGATAAAATATTGTCAATAACAAATGATGAACTAAATGAGATCATATGTTATCTAAATGTTCAACATAAGATAACTCATAGATGATAACTATTGTCACGTTAAACATATTAACAATGACAAGAGGGGTTTGAGAATCACCACATTTGGCGATGAATATTACGATCCTTGAAAAAGCTTTTCTGATATCATATGTAGAAAATGGCAGTGGTAGATGAGATAATTGTATTGTTTAAATAATGCCAACGTGATAACAGTATAACACCCATATTTGTACACTAGATAAAGATTACAAGACACATATTTTCTTATCCAACAATAAGGAAAAATCTTATAGAGCTTGATGATATATCCCAAAAGCTGCAACATTACTAGAAGCGAGGACGAATCTTGTCTCTGCCCATGATAAATTAACAAGAAGACATAAGAAGTTGCAGTATATTTCATTCTTGTAATTATCGACTTATTCTTTCTTTTTTCTTTATCTATATGCATATATATAATATTTTTTGTTGTTGTTAAAATACACATATATATAATCTCACAGATCATCTGAGGAATTGTTGAAAAGAATTCCTGTCGAAATAAGTTTTGTTTTCACATTGAAACTCAGTGGAACTCGTTAATCCCTTTGTGCAATTTAGTTTCTTTCTCCTAATCAAAATTTGTTTAATAGTAAGAAATTTTAAACTAAAAACAAATTATTTTGTAAATATCAAAGACCACTTTTTCACACCAATTCATTTATGAAAATATATACTAGTATATATTAATATATGAGTATATAAGTAAGATGTGAAAACGGGGAACTGATTACTCCCTTTTAAAGACCACTTTAAGGATAAATTGTGTAATTTAAATATAAAAAGTTTTGTCTAAGTGCGAATGTGGAAATAATTTAATTAAGCTGCCTAAGTCAATCAACCGTTGAAACAAAAAGAGCAAGAGGAATTTAGGAGCCACCGTAAAGGTTAGAAAATAAACTATATTTTTTTCTAACTTTTAGAAAACAAATAAATTATTCCAAACAAAAAATGACGTTATAACTCAAATATATGACATCACGTGATCATTCTTCTTTGTCTCTCTCTCTATATATACACTCACAATCTTCCTTACCATAAATCACTTCACTACTCTTCACAGAACACTTTCACTCACAAACCATCTTCTTTTAAAAACTCAACAAATTAATCTCGAAGAAAATCAAAATATCAACTTATCATGCTAAAGATGGAGATTAACGGTTGTACTTCGGTCGCTACACCTACTGTCTCCGCCGTCTCCGCTGCAGTGGCCGAAACTGCCACTCCCGTCACATCTCCTTCTCCGGCTTCTTCACCTCAGCCGCCTCCTTCGCCGCAGCGGCCGCCACAACCGCCGGTGGTGCTAAGCCCTTGCGCGGCTTGCAAGATTTTGCGACGACGGTGCGCTGATAAATGTGTTTTGGCGCCGTATTTTCCTCCAACCGATCCGGCGAAGTTCACAATTGCCCACCGTGTCTTCGGAGCTAGCAACATTATTAAGTTCTTGCAGGTAATTTTATTTTTATCATTACTTTTTACACGTGTGTATTTCCTATGTATATCAGTATATGGCATCACGCACGTGTGTACATGAACATATATTTCACATTTGCTTTATAATATTTTTGACATCAAGAGGAATATTAACACGCAGAATATCACACTAGTGGTAACTAATATAAGAATTTATACAATAGAAACTGTTTTTGTTTTGTTTGTTAGTTGTTTATACGTAGTGTTTTTGTTATTTGTATAAAAAATATGTAACTTTAATTTCGTAAATTTAAAAAGAAACAAATTATGGTTTCCAAAATGTGAAAAGGAAGTTAAAGTAGTTAAAAGTCTAGTTGTTGAACAATAATGGGTTCATAAGTCATGTGACCAGAACTTGGCCCTACAATTGCAATGAAAGGTCAATAACAACCTTCCCTCAAAGCTACATGCAGCCTTATTATATACAGCATGTTCAACATAAAAGTAAAACATATCTAACCCTTTAAGAAAAATTAAAGTCTTATGTATAATTTACATGTCTACTTCAACAATTCCTTTTCATTCACCTTTGAAAAAAAGTCATGTAGGATTTCTTCATGGTCAAACATCAAAACAAAAGTTCATAATGTCAAATATAAAGTTCCACAAAAATGTCCCTAGACTTTTATCCACTTCTAGAAAATCATGTATTAGTGAAAATTTATGTGTTTTGTTTTGAATTTCAGGAACTTCCGGAATCGCAAAGAACCGATGCGGTTAATAGCATGGTCTATGAAGCAGGAGCTAGGATGAGAGATCCGGTTTACGGATGTGCAGGTGCAATTTACCATTTGCAGAGACAAGTGAGTGAGCTTCAAGCACAACTTGCCAAAACTCAAGTAGAACTAGTGAGCATGCAACTCCAAAGATCAGATCTGTTAGAAATGTTGTATAAAATGGAGCAAACAAAGTTATCAGCACAAGAGCAAGGACAACAAAACATGTCCTTTGCGAGTTCATTTGAAAGTGGTGATGAGTTTATTAGTAGCCCCGATGAAGTGAGCAATGATTTGGGATTCCTTGAGGACAACAACAACAACAACAACAACAATAATTCATCAATGTCATGGTGGGATCCTCTTCTGTTAGAAATGTTGTATAAAATGGAGCAAACAAAGTTATCAGCACAAGAGCAAGGACAACAAAACATGTCCTTTGCGAGTTCATTTGAAAGTGGTGATGAGTTTATTAGTAGCCCCGATGAAGTGAGCAATGATTTGGGATTCCTTGAGGACAACAACAACAACAACAACAACAATAATTCATCAATGTCATGGTGGGATCCTCTTTGGACATGATCATAACTTATGGTATTATTAGCTCACTTTAAAGCGCTTTAGTGGTTACTTCCATATGCATATTGAAGACCTAGGATATGACATATGCGCCGTTTATTTTTTTCTTTTCTTATTTTGTCTAAGTCAACCAATCATATATAATAAGCACGTAACGAAACTGCTACAAACTTGTCCAACATGTACGTTACGTGTTAGTATTATGTAAGGATATTAGATCAAAAGAGGTTGTATTAAGATTCTAAGAATCTTCTCCTAACTCTAATGTGGAGGTAATTGAGATGCAGTTTAAATTTAATGGCTAGACCGTTTTTGTATATTTGTTATTTTGTTTAATATATATATATATATATATATTTGTTGGTTTTTTTTACTTGAAAAGGGAATGTTTATAATTTACAATATAGAATATAAAAAAATGCACCTTATCGACATGGAATCATCGAATTGAACAAACTCAGTACAACAGCAAACTTCGAAACCACAATGCTAAATTTTCAGTTTAACAAACAAAAATTGTCAATAATCATTGTTTTTTTTAATAAGGAGAATGAGGTCACTGTTAATCTTTCTCGTGCTCGACGGAAACGACTAGTGTGCAGTATCTTTTCTTCTGACGACGTGTTTTGTTGTGTATATAACAAATAATAAAAACAAAAATTTCAAGTTCTTGAAAGCATACAATGTGAAGGCGAAGTAACTTCATTTGCCAAGGAAACGACGAAGACATGACATGTCCCTGTAGACTACAGCGAGTACAAGACATTTACGCGTTTGCTCCATGTGACAATAAGTAATACATATGCGTATGATCTATTAATACGCACTCATGTGTATGTGTGGACAAATAAGTTTCATCATAAGGTTAGTGATGGAATTAAGTAACAACCTCGATGTTAGAAAGAAAATCTAACAACTTTAATGATGGTGTTTTCAAGGGTAAATATTATTTGGACTTATTGACCTTAATCATTGTGTTCCGATTGTCTCCCAAAATTACTCTTTCGATTATAGGGACGAGAATATATCGATCTTGAAAACTCAACAAATCTTCTAGTAGTAAATTTTAATTACCATATATAACCAAAATACAAAATGTGTTTACCGACAAATGTAATGCAAAATGACCACGTTGACTACAATACTATTTATGTGAATGGTCTAATTAACATTCAACCAAAGAACAAAATCAATACTCAATAGTGTGGTCCAAAATTCGAATGTGTGTATACATTTTACCGACATCATGTGCATCCCACGTGACTGTCATGACACGCAAAAGAATAAGTATTAATTATGGTTAAGTGCATCGTTAGTTCGTTAACTGTCGGCACGAAGTCGAGATCGCTACTAATTATCGTTGATGGAGTAAATAAAAGTTATATAGAAGTTATTGATCTAGTATTAAATTTAACAAAAGTATCAGGTTCGCTAATTATAACCAGCAAATTTTAAAATATGATTTTTGTTTGATCTGAGATAGCACATGTAAAGACGGGATATTAAAGATTGAGTTTTAGGATACCTTTACTCGAAGAGAACCGAAAGATTACAAAAGGGTTTGGCCTCGTCAAAATGAAAACAAGAGAATACTATTGCCTAGGGTTTTTGCAGCTGATTTCAGATCTTTTTCCAGGAATGGAGGGTTTTCATCATATAGTGAAGGGAGGTCAGCTTCTTGATAAATATCTTTCTTTTTGTCAAATTGGAAAATTTCCTCTTGTCCTTGATTTCTTTCCATTCTTCAAATCGGTATGAACCATTCTTTACATTTTCCCAAAGATTTTGTTTTTTTCCTCAAGACTTGCATTTTGCTGAGGAGGTTATGACCAAAGATCGGGTCAGGCCTTTGTGATTTTACTAATACTGGCGGGCTCAAGGAAATGTGCTAATTTCATCTCTAACAATAATTCCCCCCTAACTCGGTGAACCAAATACAATTTGATCTCGGCGAGTTTCATAAATTAAGAAGGAGCTTGAGAGCCATTACTAATGATGGTGCTATGCCAATGATGTCCCGTCTTTAAAGCCCAAATGCTTGCTGAATTTAGACTCGTACCGCCTTACTAAAACCTTAATATGGAAAAATCCAAAGGGGACAAAAACCATAAGAAGGAAAAAGAGATTGTTGACGTCATATAATTCCTGAAAAGTACGTGCATTCGAGTAATCTTGCCGAGACCGAGAATGCCTATCTCATCGGATTAAATAACTACATAATTTTCGCATGTTGCGATGAGTCGAATTAACCCTGATAGCTTGCCACATTGATCTATGCTAACCATGATATTGCCACGTCACCGCGCGTTTGAGCGATATTTCATTTTAACAGAAGATGGGCCCAATAAACGGTTATTTGCAAAAGGGGCCCAAAACCCGTTAAGATTTCTTCCAAACAGGAAAATGAAAAGTCTAAGAGAAGTTTCTCCCTTGGAATTCGCACGATTCCATTTAAGGAACCGTTCAGATTTCCTTTTGCCATTAAATCCTTTTTTGCTTCATCATCCTCAATCGTCTCGACGAAAAAGGGTAAATTCTTCACTTCATCTCCAGAGTTCGACTTTTCTCGACTCGTCAAAGTTGATTCCGCCGATTTGCTAGTAGAAATTCGCCGATTACTTGAATTTACTCGCCCTTCTCCTCTGATTTCGTCTTCAATTTCCGGTTTCTTTCTCGATTTAGGGTTTTGCTCCGTCGAATCTCCTTTCTTCCGATTTTCTCCAATATTTTCTTTTGATTTCCAGAATGGGTTCATCAGATCGGACGGGTAAAGCTATCGTCCAGGACGATGACAATATGACACTCGCTACTTTGAGAAGCAAGACGCGTCCTTCCGGCGACCAGTTGAGAATTCTCAGAGGAGCCATCCGTGCGGGTGCGGCTGAAGAGCGCCGTAAAAAGGCGGCGGAGGATGCTGCGGAGGCCGTGAGGGCGGCAGAAGAAGCTGCTGCAACTGAGGCGCGGGTTTCCAATAAGGAATCCGATTCGGGATAGCTCGACGGAATTCCGTCGAACGATCCCAACGCTGATTCAGATCGGGATGACGAAGGAACATCGGTTCCCGATCACGCAAGGCTTGAAGGTCTGCCGGAGAAGATTGATATGCCGGAGCATCCGTGCCTACGACCCTTACAGAAGATAGGAGATCATGGATGTCCCGGGATATTTTTCTGGCGCTCAAGGGGAGAGTAGATAACCCTGATTCCATCGAGGTCCAAATTCCCAAGTCTCACAAGAGGCCTTATGATGTTCCATCGGGATGGTTCTGTGTTTATGAATGCTTTTGCATGGAGTTTGGGATGAGATTCCTTCTTCCTTTTTTGCTGTTGAAGTTCGCGTCTGAGCGCGGTGTTGCCGTGAGTCAGTTGAAGACATTATCCTGAAGAGTTGAAGACATTTGTCATTTTCCTGAGGAGGTTAGGACCAAAGATCGGATCGGATTTTTGTAATTTTACTAATGATAATAAGCTCAAGGAAATATGCTAATTTCACCTCTAATAATTTTTTTCTATATTTAATTGTCACTTTTGGCATCTCTATTTTCAAAAGTAATGATAGCCGTGAAATTGTAGTTTTGAATTGTCCTAAATAAATTTGTATACAGTAACTTTGATCCACATAAGAAATTTGCTTTATACCACAAAATGTTTATGGTTCAGTTTGCTAGGTTTGAGAAATATATATACGACAGTCTCCAAAGCATTAAACAATGATTCTACATTTAAAAATCGGGAAAATTGCATAAAAAAACTTTTAGAGTGGTAGTTACTTACATTTTAAACCTCGAGAGTTTTTAACTAGCATTTTAAATCTTCAAACTGAAATTTTTAACATATAGAACCTTTAATCTAACACTTATATTTGTATCGATAATTGTTTTGACGATATTTTCAACTTAAATAACAAGACAATAATCTCCGACAATAATATATTGATTGCCTAATCAAATCTGATTGATTTTATGCAATTTGAACCCTCAAACTGAAAACTTAATACATACAACAAGATGTATCATATAGTATGCTATATAAACCATAGTTAAATGTATAGTATAAACAATAGTTAAACAAGATGTATCACGCGATTGATATCGACAATCCTAAATCAACACTATTATGCATTATTTATATTAGGTTTGAAGGCGATTAGGGTGTATAATTGCAATGATTCCATAAATTGGCTTTACTTTTCGTGTTCCTTTATTATCATAAGTAGCCGAAAGGAAAAACAAAGTACCTACCTTCAGTCCTTCCATTTTCATAATTGCATCAGTTAGATATTGGTAATTCATTCGATTGAAATCGAACTCTAGTCATACAAATGAGACTCTCGTTTGTAAAAGTATTCACAAACCAGGTTGATAGACATTTACTAAATTGGCGGTAAGAAAATATGTTTAGTGTTTTATGTTTAGATAGTATCAGGAAACATGTGGAACCAAGATAAGGTATGGTGGATACGACGCGCCAACAAGACTAAAACACTATTTTATTTTGTTATGAAAGCCTTATAACTTTATTAGATTTGGTTCAAACTATCTCTAATTAAAACTCATATTAAGTCAAAGTCCAAACTCTACCTCCTATATGATACGAATACGAATCAATATCCATAATCTAATAAGCAAACAATTAATTTCTAGAAATTAATATAACTTTTCTATCGAGGGTTTTGCAGCCGATATATGGTGCACGTATGGATTGCCATATGCACACGGTTTGCGTACTATGCCAACATCTTAAATAATTAAACAAAAATTTCTAATGTTCTCATCATTTGTTTGAAAAAACAAAAGTTTTCATCGTTATTCATTTTTTTTTATTTTTTTTATTTTTTTTGTTGTTGTTAAAGGGCCTTCATTTATTCGTTATTCATTTGTTTTAGCTTTCTCAATCTTCAAAGAAGATATAGTGAATGCAAGTGCAAACGTATTAGCGTGTGAAGGGGACAATACTAAACTTGAATAAAATGGCGCAGCCTTTTCAATTTCTTGCATGGTTTTCTTTTCTCATTGCATATCCTAACCGCATGGTACTATTCATTTATTTATATTATGACCTCAAAATCTTTAAAAGTAATCAAATGATTAGCTTAGAATCATATTTCTTTATCAACCAGGAAATATGGTTTGCTGGTTTGTATTGTATTACTATTAGTACCAAAATAAAACATAATAACAAGAAAAAGAAAAATCAAAATAATAACTCTTTTTACTATATGAATATTACCTATCTACCACAATATACAATTTGTTTTCTCTTAATGAGAGATTAGGATTATAAAAATCTAGTATATATTCAGATTTCAGAAAGAAAAAAAACGGCGACTGTGAAATTAAATATGGAGAATAAAGAGAACTATTGAAGTTCTGCTATGTAAATTTTTTGTGTACAAAAATGAGAGGATATACATAAATAACATGACAATCAGAAAGAAATTAGCAAAAAAAAAAAAGAGAACAAGTGACTGATGGAATCAAACATATATATATACAAAATTCAATTGTTCTTTCTAGAAACTATAAAAAAAATTCCTGGCACTAATGTACAAATTTTTGTTTCTAGCTAGGACAACTCGAGACTGAGACTTGTTTACTAATGTCGAAGAAGATAAACAACGCGGTTTCATTTCTTTTTTGGATCAAAACATAATTAGTTATCTCATTCTTTCTCTTTATATAAACAATATTTATCTTTTACTTCTGAGTTCTGACTGTTTTCTTCTGTCTGCAAGCTGAAACTAAATGTGGATTGAATCTCCGCAGTCCGCACCGTACAAAAGGTTAATTTTTACGATTTATTTTACATTTTTTTTGTCTCTATGTAGGATGTAGCATCTTATTAACTCTTCATTTTTATTATTTTGACAATATTAAACTCTAATAAACTATAGAACACACATTTTTCTCAATAAAAATGGATTTAATACTATTACTAAGTTATTATGTGAACTAGATGAGTATCCCACTCGAGCTAGGTCCAGTTAAAGGCCCAAGAACAAAATCCAGCCCAGATGACGCCCATTCTTTTGATTTGTGAGGATTCAGTGGTGTTATTTCAGAGTTATGTCGAAAATCATTTGAGTAAGTCAATTTAGTTCGTTGTTAGGATCTTTCAAGATCATTGTCGACCATCAACTTTGTTAGAGCAGAAATTAGCACAATTTCCCTGAGCCCGTCACAATTAATAATACTATGTAAGCCCGGCCCGTTTCCACTTCCACCTCCTCAAAGAAAAGGAAGTACTTGGAGAAAAAGACTACATCCAAGAAAAATAGAAGGAGATCAACGCCAAAGAAGAATATTTCCAAAAGAAATATGGAAGAATATCTTGAAGAAGCCAACCTCCTCTCCATATAAATAGAAGACCCCCTATTCCTTGAAGACCATTCAGAATCATTCATAACCACCCACAATCACTGAGAGCAAAGAGGCCCTAGTTATAATTCGTCCTTTGTTCTTAGTTCTCTATTCTTTTCGTATTCGTCTCGTCAACTTTCGTCGAGACGAATCACCCCTTGTACATCTTTGTCTTTGGTTGATCTAATAAAGAGTCTCTCCTAAACCTCACATCTCTTATCTTACTATTATTGTGTGATTTTGAGATCTAACAATTGGCGCCCACCGTGGGGCTGGAGAAAAAACTCTGAAAAAAGTCAATCAAGGTTCAAAGATGGCACCTCCAGCTGATGATCCCAGCACCAGAACAGGCGGACTGCAAAGTCAACTCGGCGCAGATGGAAACCCCATCGTCCATCCCGTCGAAGTCGACGCGACCAACGGTCACGTCAACCCTCCGCCGCCACCGGTTCCTGACGTAGAAGCTCCCGTCACGACCGCCGCGTTAACCGCCGCCATGCAAGGCTTTGCTGCTCAAATTGCTTCTCAATTCGCCGAGATGCAAGCTCAGCAGCAAAAGTACAACGACAAGATCGACTCCCTCCACGTCACCAGCGACGGACGAGTCATCCCGACGGGACGAACTCTCTTCCAGACGCCGACAAGAAGCACCGCCGCGACTGGCTCCAATGCCGCGACGAATGGTGAGAAAGACACCGACCCGGAAGTGGCCAAGCTGCGCCGCGACCTCGACGCAATCAGCTCCAAAGTGCACGACGCTATCAGCTCGTCACCCGAGATTGCCAAAATCCTCGCCGAGACGAAAAGGAGTCCTTTCACTCGTCGCATCGCCGCGATACCTCTAAAGGATCAAACGGCTCTCCGTCTTCAGTTCTACAACAATGGTGACGATCCTCGAAACTGGCTAAGAAACTTCGAGATGGCCATGAGAAGGCAAAATATGCCTCCCCCGAAGAACAAGACGCAAATTACTGCCAAGTGTTCATCGAGCACATGAACAAAGACGCGACGAGCTGGTTTTCGAACCTTCCTGCCGAGACCATCGACAACTTTGATGATCTCAGCACGGCATTCATGAAACACTTTGGCATGTTTATGTCAAAAGGCAGCACCAATCTTTTCACTATGGCACAGGGAAAAGATGAGTCTCTTCGCAAGTTCGTCGAGAGATTCAAAACAGCAGCAGCAGAGCACTCAGACATCCCCAATGAGATGGGAATCAAAGCTTTCGAAAACGGGCTTTGGTTCGAATCAAAGTTGAAAGAGAGTCTGATGCTCGACGAACCCGCAACCCTCCAGGACGCTTTGCACAGGTCCCAAAAATACGTCTGCGTTGAAGAAAGCAAGGCGCACCACTCAAAGATTCATGGAATGACGAAGGAGTCATCTCGGCACGCATCATCTCGTCAAGATTCATCTCATCAAGAGTCATCTCGTCAAGAAAAAAGGAGGCCTCTAAGGAGTCTTTTACACAGGGCAGCGACGAGTCCAAATGGTGCAAACTCCATGGACGAACCGATCATACTACAGAAGAATGTAGGCGCATCAACAGCATGATACTAGAGTACGGCAATACTCCGCAAAGCCAAATGATGCTGAACGCCGCGACGAAAATCGACGAGCTGCAAACCAGCGCCAAAGTAGAAATACGCGCGCCAAGATCGAGACGACGACGCCGAGAAGAACGCGCCTGCATCACTCCCTCACCAAGATGATCTGCCTCCGCCGCCGAAACGGCAAGTCCGATAAACATCTCGGCATCAAACCGGTCTCAAGCACGAGACCGAGAAAACGAACTACGAATGGCTTGATCCCGGCATGGGTACGTAGGCAGCCTTTCCAAAGGTTCAGCTATACCCCAATAAAATTCTATAATCCGTCTGACGAGATGAGCATTGTAAAATTTTATTCACCTCCAAAGGCACACGTCGACGTTCTGGCCAAACCTCTCGACAACACCGATCTCGTCATCACACGAGATCGAGCGGTCTCGTCATCACACGAGCCCGAGAAAACACCGATCTTGTCATCCGAGATCGAGCGGTCTCGTCATCACACGAGCCCGATAAAACCGATCTCGTCATCAAACGAAATCGAGCGGTCTCGTCATCACACGAGCCCGAAAGACACCGATCTCGTCATCATATACGAAATCGAGCGGTCTCGTCATCACACGAGCCCGAGAAAACACCGATCTCGTCATCCGAATCGAGCGGTCTCGTCATCACACGAGCCCGATAAGACACCGATCTCGTCATCATATACGAAATCGAGCGGTCTCGTCATCACACGAGCCCGACAAGACACCGATCTCGTCATCATATACGAAATCGAGCGGTCTCGTCATCACACGAGCCCGAGAAGACACCGATCTCGTCATCATATACGAAATCGAGCGGTCTCGTCATCACACGAGCCCGATAAAACCAATCTCGTCGAAGCTCGAATCCGAGAAAAATCGTCACAGCAATCTATTCTCCTTGACGAGACAAAAGAGTCATCTCGTCAAGTCCGAGAGAAATTATCAAAAGCACATTCTATTTGCGGACAAGATTACGTCACTGTACTCTTTTCCCTTCTTATGGTTTTTATCCCATAGGGTTTTTCCATATCAAGGTTTTAACGAGGCAGTGCGGATCTAAAGTCAATAACGCAACGCAGCATCACGTCAGCGCAGCATCGCGACAGCATCGGCATCGCGTCGGCATCACATAGTTATTATTAATTGCTCTTGAGCTCCTCTTTTATACATGAAGTTCGCCGAGATTAAATTGCATTTATCTCGCCAAACTGGGGGGGACTTATTGTTAGAGCAGAAATTAGCACAATTTCCTGAGCCCGTCACAATTAATAATACTATGTAAGCCCGGCCCGCTTCCACTTCCACCTCCTCAAAGAAAAGGAAGTACTTGGAGAAAAAGACTACATCCAAGAAAAATAGAAGGAGATCAACGCCAAAGAAGAATATTTCCAAAAGAAATATGGAAGAATATCTTGAAGAAGCCAACCTCCTCTCCATATAAATAGAAGACCCCCCTATTCCTTGAAGACCATCCAGAATCATTCATAACCACCCACAATCACTGAGAGCAAAGAGGCAAAACCCTAGTTATAATTCGTCCTTTGTTCTTAGTTTCTCTATTCTTTTCGTATTCGTCTCGTCAAACCTTGTCGTCGAGACGAATCACCCCTTGTATCATCTTTGTCTTTGGTTGATCTAATAAAGAGTCTCTCCTAAACCTCACATCTCTTATCTTACTATTACTGTGTGATTTTGAGATCTAACAAACTTCACTCTAATGTTCTATTCTCTTCATCAGATTTAGTTTGGTTACTTACAAAGTTACAATAAATGGATCGAGTAACGGTCGCTAAAGAGCTATATGACCCTTGTTTTGGTTCAAAACTGGAATCTAAATGACAAACAGTAGAAAACTATGTTACAAAAGTTCTTTAGCTCTTTATTTACCTTTTTTTATAGAATAATTATGCCTTGATCTCGAATCTCAAATAACTAAGTATTTATATCCATTAGGAAGGAATAAAAAAGAGAAAATAAATTAAAGAAGTTGTGGTGGAAAGAAAACGCTATATGTATCAACTCTAATAAAAAGGTGTATTTAGTATATAGTAGACACGAATGCTCCAAATATTTGCATGTGCAACACGTGTCATCTGTCCTCCTCCTACTTAACACATACGCGCATGCACCACCCTTCTTACAAACTACAAAGATAGTAAAACATTCTAAATCATCAGAGAGATTAAGAGGAAAATGGAGAAAAACAAGAGAGTTTTCACGTTTCTGCTTCTGCTTGTGTTTTTCCATGGAGCTATAATGATGAGATCAAATGGATATGAATTTGAAGAAGAGCAGCAGGGAGGAGGAGAAGGAGAAGGAAGGGAAAGAGGATGGTTTATGATGAAAGAGTCGAAGCAAGTGTTCAAATCAGAAGGTGGAGAAATGAGAGTTGTGATATCTCCAAGAGGAAAGATCATTGAGAAGCCAATGCACATTGGCTTTCTAACAATGGAACCTAAAACCCTCTTTGTCCCTCAGTATCTTGACTCAAGCATCCTCATCTTCATTCGTCAAGGTCCATTTTCTCTTTCTCTTGCTTCCAACTCTCTAAATGAGTTTCATTCTCTCACATGTGTGTTTACTTGCAGGTGAAGCAACCCTTGGAGTGATCTGCAAAGACGAATTTGGAGAGAAAAGCTTGAAAGGAGGTGACATCTACTGGATTCCGGCTGGTTCTGCCTTTTATTTGCTCAACACTGGCCGAGGCCAACGTCTTCATGTCATTATTAGCATTGATCCATCTCAGAGCCTCGGTTTAGAAACTTACCAAGTACTTGATCTAAGTTTTTAAAATTTATGCCTAATAAAGTAATTTTTTTTTGTCGTTTGGCTTATTAACTTTCTGCTTCTGTGTAGCCTTTCTACATTGGTGGAGGCCAGTCTTCTGTTCTTGCCGGATTTGATCCTGACACTTTAACTTCAGCACTCAATGTTAGTACATTTCAAACTAGATCATTATTAGGGTTTCGATTGATTGTCTTAACATTTTATAAACGTTTTTTTCCAAATGAAACTATCCAACCTTTTGTATTGGAAAATATTGTTAATTGCTCATCTTGGAGATTAGGAGATGCTTAAACGACAATATTTTTTTTATAAATTATACATTTTAGGTAATAAAATTGCTGATTGAAATTCTCATATGGGTCTTATGCTTATAGATTACTCGACCAGAGGTGCAACAAATGATAAAGAGTCAATTCCGAGGACCGATTGTGCACATTAGGAAAGAAGAGGCTCCAACAATGTGGACCGAGTTCTTGGGGTGGAGAGGGGAAGAGAAACACAAACATCTAAAGAAGCTATTGGAGATGAAACAAGGATTCTCTCAATACCAAGACTACAACAATCCGTGGTGGTCTTGGAGGAATATAGTAAAATCGATGTTGGATCTAACTCAAGAAAAGAACAAACATTCCAAGTGCGAGGACTCCTACAACATTTATGATCGGAAAAGTGATTACAGTAACGACTATGGATGGAGTAAAGCTCTTGATTATGATGCTTACGAGCCTCTCAAATACTCTGGTGTTGGTGTTTATCTTGTGAACCTCACCGCGGTATAATTCACATCTCTTATTTGTACACTAAGTTCGATTTATAACATCTAGAGAATCAAGTATTGGTTGAGAGTCTAGAATTCGATTGGTAGAATATGTTGGTTCCGGTTAGTTTTTTTACATCCTTGAATAACTAGACCGGCTTAGGGTTATTGGTTTGGCTTAGATAAACCAAATTTAAGTTTAGATTAGCTATTTAACCGTGAAATGATTTGTTTGGTTCAGACAAAACCAATACTGAACCGTATATAACCGATTGAATTTTAAAACATTTTTCAGGGATCAATGATGGCTCCACATATGAACCCGACAGCAACAGAATACGGCATCGTTTTGGCCGGTTCAGGAGAGATTCAGGTCGTGTATCCGAACGGAACATCTGCTATGAACACTAGAGTCTCTGTAGGCGATGTGTTCTGGATCCCTCGCTACTTCGCCTTTTGCCAAATCGCATCACGGTCTTCACCGTTTGAGTTTGTTGGATTCACCACATCAGCTCACAAGAACCGACCTCAGTTTCTTGTTGGGTCAAACTCGCTACTTAAGAGTCTCAATCTGACTTCATTGGCCATGGCTTTTGGTGTTGATGAAGCCACGATGAGGGAGTTCGTTGAGTCTCAGAAAGAGGCTGTTATTCTGCCCACCGCAACTGCGGCTCCTCCCGAGTAAAGGTGAAACGGTGCGTTTTGGCTTGAGAAAATGAGAGAGAGTGAGAACTGTTTTGTTTTTGAATGCTATGTATGTATTATGTAGATAACCATGGGTATGTTATGTATGTTTTTGTTTCTTTGAAATGACATAATAATGGTAATTATGTTTTAGTCTTATCTTTGAATTCGTTAATTTTCTCTTGTGTGAATTGAACAAGAAGTCTAATTTCAAGAAAGATAAATTTTTTGTAAATAATGAATTTAATTATTTAATAAAAGCATAACTATATCTTGTGACCTCTTGTTTTTAGGAAATTTATAGTGAATAGTCATATTGGAGTTAGGAAATTTATAGTGAATAGTCATATTGGATAAGCAAATTAACAAAGTAATTATATCAAAACCATGGTATTCAAATTATATTTTCTGAAATATTGTCCATATTAACTTTAAAATTATTCTATATTATTTGTTCTTTGTTTATATAAAATAGTACGAACTAAATATTTATGTTTTGGGTTTAGATTTTAGGTTTAGTATTTATATTTTTTGATTTTGGTTTCAATTTTTGGGGTTTTTATTTTTGGTTTTAGGTTTGGGGTTATTTAGGTTTAGGGTTTTTTTTTTAAATTAGGATTTAATTTTTTGAGTTTAGGGTTGAGTTTTTGGGGTTAGGGATTAGTTTCTTGGATTTAGGGTTTAGTTTTTGGATTTCAGATTTATATTTTTGGATTTATGTTTCATTTTTTTTGGAATTTTAGTTGTGGTTTTGGATTTAGTATTTTGAGTTTAGTATTTTGAGTTTAGAATTATTTTGGGATTAGAGTTTTTTTTCTAAATTAGGGTTTAGTTTGTTGGGTTTATGGTTTAGTTTCTTGGGTTTAGGATTTTGATTTTTTATGTAAGGTTTACATTTATAGTTTAGGGTATAGGGTTATTGGTTTTAGATTTAAAATAGAGCTAAATATATTATATTTTTCTATATAGTATAAGTTTATTAAGTGTAATTTAGGTAAGATTTGATGAATGTATTTATGTACTATAGCCAAATGATTGCTATGACTATATTTTTAATACTTTTTCCAGTATGTATATCAAGTAAATTAACCCTTATTTTTATATTCAACCAAATGTTAAAAAGAAAAACGATAAATATCAGATGAATCATTCTTTCTTTTCATTCAGTAACTTCGAGTCTCCCTTGTTCTAAGTCCACTCTATTATGTGAGCTGTTTGAGAGACCGGATATGATCATGTTCATTTGATGAAAATAGGAGAATATTATCAATGTATATGAAGCTGTGTTGAGGAGAGGTTTAAATATTGTAGCATCGCTTGTTGAAATAGTGAAAGACGCAATCTTCAGGCCGAAAGGTAAGAGACTCCATTGAAGATGGCGACTTGACAGATAGAATGATGTCATGTATCTTTCATCCAGATCGATTCCAAATTGCCATAATCCTGATTTTAAATCAAATTTTGAAGATATTGTAGCTCATTGAAAATACTGTAAAGGGCTTTTTTGTTTGGTAACGGAAATTTAACATTTCATTTTATAAATACTACTTCAAAGTTTTGTAGTCCATGACTAGTCTGAGCTTTCCTCTTGTTGTTGTTCTACATGGTTTTTAACATAGAATGTTCTGCATACGGATGAAACGATTCAGGGAGAGATCATCTAATGCTAGTGTAAATCTACTCCAGGTTTGAATATGCCACATCTAAAGGCCTTCCAAAAACAAAATCCTCATATTCAAAGCTTTTAAAAGCTTTGCCCAAATCCCTTCTCGACATGTTTCTTTAGATTTTTGGTCGTCAATGACTGTTCACACAAGTTTTTACACGTTTTTTTTTGTCTAAAAAAGAAAGAGTCATTAAACATCTTATTAATTTATTATTTTATTGAAGAATACATTTTATCTTTTATTATTAACCTTATGTTGATCATCTTTCAACAGTTTGAAAGTATACAAATACAAAATCGTGGAGATTTTAAAATTCTCTTGGAACATATTTGGAGGATAGATTATTTTGATTTTGATTTTGACTCAGATCATTTGTTTAGTCTTTAAACTCACAACATGCTGGATAAATTCATCTAAATCCTTAACCGAACTCCCACGTTCTTGAATCGCATCCAACGCTGCTTGCTTCAGCTTCACGACTTCACTTTTCTGGCTAACTCGTCCGAGTCAGGCACAATGTCAGGTCCTTCACAGACACACGTATTAGTAAAGAAGAATTATCTGAGAAGATGAGCTGAAAGAGAGAATAATTTTTGTTATTCATTAATGATGCTACAATGTTTCTCTTATAAAGAGATTTGGTTCCGGTTAACCACACACGGTTAGAATCGGTTTACAACAATTCTCAACCATATACTCTAATATCCCCCCTCAAGATGGTGAGTATATAGATAGAAGCGACATCTTGCTAATAAGATAATTGAAATTAGTAGGAAACAAAGGTTTAGTGAACACATCCGCAAGTTGATACTCAGTCGTAATGTGCAAAGTCTTGATCAAACCACTAAGAACCTTGTCCCGAACGATATGGAAATCATTCTCAATGTGTTTAGTCCTCTCATGAAAAACAGCATTGTTGGCAATGTGTATCGCTGCCTTTGAGTCACAGTAGAAAGCCACAAAGTGAGGTTGTTTGACAAGAAACTCTTGCAAAAGATTGACAAGCCAAGTAATCTCCCTTACTGCAAACTCCATAGCTCGATACTCAGTTTCAGCCAAAGAGTGAGAAGACGTTTGTTGTTTCTTAGACTTCCACGAAATCAGGGAAGGACCAAGAAACATACAAAAGCTAGTAGTAGACTTTCGTGTATCGGAGCAGGAGTTCCAATCAGCATCAGTGAATCCTTTCAACAATAAGTCAGATTCAGCTGAGTAGAAGAGATCCAAACCGACAGTACCTTTCAAGTAGTGAAGGACCTTATGAGCAGCATGAAGATGAGATGCCTTTGGAGCAGAAGTGGCACAAGCGATTCACAGCGTACGTAATGTCAGGGCGTGTGATCGTCAAGTACATCAGCTTCCCTACCAAACGACGATAAGATGTGATATCTTCAAGAACAGACTCATCAGAATCCAACGTCAACTTTATACTAGAAGAAGGCTTACAAGCAAGCATACCAGCTTTGTCGAGAAGCTCCAAGGTATACTTCCGCTGACAGATAGAGATTCCCTTGCTTGAGCGAGCTATCTCCAAACCGAGAAAGTATCACAACTCTCCCAAATCTCGAAGCTTGAAAGCCAATTTCAGATTAGTCTTCAAAGCTTCCACTTCTTCATCATAGTTACTAGCAATGATTATATCATCCACATAAAATAAGACAGCCACATATCGACCACCATCATGCTTAATAAACAGAGTATGGTCGGCATGAGACTTCTTAAAACCCAAACTCAAAAACATCGTGCTGAATTTAATGAACCATTGTCTCGAGGCTTGTTTAAGGCCATAAAGTGATTTCTTCAGCTTACAAATAGCATTATGAGGTAAGATGACTCCCGGTTTAGGTGTGTTGCCAGGAGGAAGAGTCATGTAGATTTCTTCATCCAAGTCCCATTAGAGATATCCAACTGAGTCAAGCTCCAGTTCTTGGCCGCGGAAACAGCGAGTAGAGTCTTGACAGTGGTCATCTTGGCTACTGGTGAGAATGTATCGACGAAATCAACACCAGCTTGTTGCGTATACCCTTTGGCAACTAATCTCGCTTTGTAACGTTCCAAACATCCATTTGATAAAAGCTTGAGTTTATATACCCATTTGCAGCCAATAGCATGTTTTCCTGGAGGCAAGGAACAAATATCCCACATATCAGTCTTTTCCAGGGCCATAAGTTCCTCATTCATAGCTTGAATCCATTCTTCCAATTTCAAAGCGTCTTTGAAGGAGGCAAGCTCAGGTAACATAGTGAGAGCACAAATATATTCCTTATATTCTTCAGAAAGCTGATCATATGACTGAAATTTGCCAATGGATAAGAAATATCAACTTCATTGACATTACAGTAGTAGTCTTGCAAATAAGCAGGCTTCCTCTTGTCCTTTTCCCTTTGATTTCCATCACAGGAATCCTGAGAACGAGAACCAGTGTGGTTGGGATTTGGGTTCACAACCGTAGAAGGCAAATCACAACTACGGGAACCTCCCTGATGTCCACACCAGAACTATTATTGTTCAAAGGATCCTGTGAAAAATCGAAGAAATATAAGGGAAAAGAAGACTGACCATATGAGAACGGGAAAATATCTTCATGGACTAATGTGTATCGAATTCATCTCCAAATCCAATAACTTGTATCCTTTATATTCAGAAGGATAACCCAAAAACACACACGGCTTTGAACGTGGTTGAAATTTGTGTCATTGCTTAGAAGAGGTTGAACAATAGGCAAGACAGCCAAACACACGCAAGCCATTATAGTCGGGTCGTTTAGAAGTAAGAACTTCAAAAGGGGACTTGGCTTTGAGAAGAGGTGTGGGAAGTCGATTAATGAGGAAGACGGCCGTGAGAACACAGTCTCCCCAATGCTCCAATGGGACATGAGCTTGAAACATTAAGGAGTGAGCAACGTTCAGAATATGTTAGTGCTTCCTCTCGACAACAGAATTTTTCTCCGGTGTTTCAGGGCATGAGTGATAAGAAACGATCCCTTTCTGCTTAAACAAAGCAGTGAATTTTAATTCAGAAGCGTTGTCTGACCTGACACCCTTGACTACTGTCTTATACTGCGTTTCCACCATCTGCAAGAACTCAGGGAAAACAGTAAGAACCTCGTCTTTAGCTCTCATCAAGTAGATCCATGTTACGCGAGTGTGATCATCTACAATTGTGAGAAAATATTTGTATCCTTCAGCAGTAGCAACCGAAAAGGGACCCCAAGTATCAATATGCAGAAGGTCAAAAGCAGCTTCACACATATTATTCTTTGAATTGAAAGGAAGATGTTTCTGCTTGGCAAGAGGGCAAATGGTACAATGAAAATCTTTATTCCTTTGTGTAACACCAAGTACATCCGCCATTAAGTCGGTTTTAGATACAGCAGGATGACCTAGTCCATTGTGCCACATAGATGAATCAACGACAACATTAGAACATAGATACTTAGAAGAAGAAACGTCTGGAAGAGAAGCAGCATCCAGAACGTAGTGATTTGCAATCTCATCACCCTGACCAATCATCAGCCCCTTTGCATGATCATGTATTATACAAGAATCTTTGTCAAAAACAACTCGATATCCCAGATCCTTCGTCAGTTGACTGATACTGAGAAGGTTTAGGCTAAAATACGGGATATAGAGAACGTTGTGTAAAACCAAAGATGTATTCAACTTAATCGTGCCAATGCCTGCAATGTTCACACCTATACCAGTAGGTAAGGTCATTGATCTATTCACAGAGTCTGAAAGTTCAATAAACAGCTCCTTATCATGGCAAACATGATGAGTGGCACCACTGTCTATAATCCAAGACTGAGAGGATAAAGCATTCCCAGTAGCTTTCAAAATTCCAACAAAACACAGCATAGAGGTGGAGAAAGCCATACCAGGAAGAGCAGTAATGGTACCACCAGTGAATGATGATGAAGCCACAGAGTTTTGAGGTTGAGAATTTTGCAGCTGAGAATTGAAGTAAGCAATGACACCTTCAATTTGATCTTAGGAGAGGCGGTTGATAATTTCCGGAAACTGGTTCTCACGAGTGTCATTGTTTGGAATAGACACCTGAGCAACTACCGGCTTAGTAGAGGATTGAGATTTTGGAGCAGCGTGAGTAGACTTCTCAGGTTGTTGTTTCCCTTTATGCTTGAAGCCAATCGGATAACCATGAATTTTGTAACAAGTCTCAACAGTGTGACCATTGTAACCACATTGAGAACAAATAGGACAATTAGGATTTGGCTTTCCATAAGATGAAGTAAGGTTGAGGTGAATCCGAGACGGCCACCTAAAAAGCTCCAGCGTTCTGAATCGGATTGAGAGTACGCTGGCTATGGTCTTGATCAAGGAGCTTGTAGATTTCAGAAAGCTCAGGGACATGCTTCTTCATGATGATTTGGCTTCTATTGACGGCATAACTATCGTTTAAACCGGCCAAAAACTTTATTACTTTCGCATGATCACCTTTTGTGGAAGTAGCTTTGCAGCAATCACAAGATCCACAAGTTTTGACACAATCAGCACCATCCACTTCATCCCATAGAATCTTCAGCTTGGTATAGTAAGTAGCAAGATCATTAGAGCCCTGCTGGAGAGACCATATTTGCTGAGACAATTGATATGAACGAGGTAAATTGGTGATGTGAAATCTGGTCAATAGATCCTTCCAGATCTCGGAAGCATCGTTGAAGCGAAGGATGCTCCTGTAGATCTACTTCAAGACTGAGTTAAGAATCCATAATTTCACCATAAAGTTACATCGAGACCAGATTCTGAAACTAGGATACGATTCGCTAGGCCAAGAGATAGATCCATCAACAAACACTATCTTATTCTTAGCATATAAAGCAATTGTCATCGCAATACACTAGTTATCAAAATTCGAGCTATCAAGTACCTCAGAAATCAGAGAAATGCCTGGATTGTCACCGCTCGTGAGATGAAACGGTGAGTGTATGCTGTTGATGTCTAAGGAGAAATCCGAAGAAACTGGGAAATCTGGTGGCGAGACTTCAGGAATAGAAGTTCTTCGTGCCGATGACGTCGTACGGGAACCGCGACGAGTAATGTTCCTTTTGATCACCATTGAAATAAAATCTGTGCTCAAAAGGAAGAAAAAATTTGTGAGATTCGCGAAACTTGGAGGAATGACCAAGGATCTTTCACATAGAAGAATCAAACGCGAGAATCAACGATTGATTGAGGTCAAAATGAAGGAAAAGAAGGGAAGACAAGGATCGTGTGAGCTTTCAGAGCTCACGCTCTGATACCATATTAGTAAAGAAGAATCATCTGAGAAGATGAGCTGAAAGAGAGAATAATTTCTGTTATTCATTAATGACGCTACAATGTTTCTCTTATAAAGAGATTTGGTTCTCGTTCCGGCTAACAACACACGGTTAGAATCGGTTTACAACAATTCAACCATATACTCTAATAACACGCACACCCACTTTCAACTCATCCACCACCAAAGACGCATCTATAAACTGGTCCGCACACATCGGCCACGTCAGCATCAACACGCCAGCGACCACCGCTTCCACCACGGAGTTCCAACCGCAATGCGTTAGAAACGCTCCCACGGCTCAGGTGCGGCAGCACTTCCACTAGTGGGGCCCATCCTCTGATCACTAGACCCCTCCCAGCCACACGATCTTCAAAACCATCTAGGATGTTTCCACGTGGCGAGTCTTCTCCCTTGACCACCCACACAAAATGGACCCCACTTTTTTCTAGCCCGGAAGCGAGCGCAAGAGTCTGCTCCTTTGTCAACACTGCTAGACTTCCGAAACACACGTACAGCATGTGGTTATCCTCACTTGCGTCTAGCCACGACATCACGTGATCTAACGTCGGACCACCACCATGAGATAACGGAAGAACAGGGCCTATGGCGTATACACGACTATGCCCCATCTCTCGTTTAAGGTGCTCTATATAATCACTTTTCATGCGGAGAAAGAGTTAACGACAACTCCATAACTTGCTGCGTTATCTCTGAAAGAGGCTTTTATAAAGTCCCAAGTAGGATCTCCATTAACGTAGCTCTGGTAGGTGGAGGAGATTTGAGACCAAGAGTATTTCGGACAATTCGGGATCTTCGGAAACTCGAGGATCTCTTCATCGTTTTTCTTTGTGGGAATTTCGGTCCAGAGAGTGTTGAAGATGCAGTAACCTATAGCAGCGGAAGGGGAGAATACGAAACGAGGGATTCCGAGTTTCTTGGTCCATCCAAGGAAGAAGTCAGAGACGATGGCTACAGGAGGAGAAGGATGAGAAGTGATCCAAGAGAGAAGCAGCGCGTGGAGGTCACCAAGCGCTTGGATCATGTAAGGGTAAGCGGATGGGTCTAAGTCTTTGATGTTTTTTACGCCGGAGGGAAGTGAAGGGTGAGAGGGAAAAGGGAGGATGAGAGTTTCAATGTTGACTCTGGAAGAAAGAAGAGGAGAGAGGAATGAGAGGTTTTTAGGAGTGACTAAGACGGTGATCGTTATGGAGGAGGAGGAGCTGCGGAGAGCGAGGCGGCGGGTAAAATCTAAGAGGGGAATCATATGGCCTTGCAAGGGAAATGGGAATATCAAGACGTGTGTTTTTATTGTTGGAGTGTTATTTCTGAATTTGAGTGTCATATTGAGTGATCTTTCTTTGTTTTCTGTTTTGGAAAGGAGTGATATTTTTCTAGTGATCTTTCTTTTTTTGGAGATGTTGATGGATCCAGTAGAAGACAGTGGTTTAAATAGATGTGTGTGTTATTGTTGCGTTACCCAATTATGGGGGAAATGGTCATGCAGGTGGTTGGCATGAGCTCACCAAATCTTTTTTTTTTAATTTTTATTTACTTAGTACGGTTGTGGAGTAGATTCAGGTCGTATAACCGGATGGAACTTCTGCTCTGAACACGAGAGTCTCAATGTTTTGAAGAAAGATGATAAAATTCATGTAAATAATTAATTTGAAAAACATAACGTATACATGTCAAGATCTCTATTCAAACCAAATGTTAATTTTTTTTTTCTTTTTTTGACAACAACCTAAGTTCCTAAAACGGTTCGGGAAGCGAGACCGGTAAAACTAAGTTTACATAATACACATCGTAAGGTAAAGCTGATCATAATACACATCATAATACCAAATGTTAAAATTATATCAATTGTATCATTCTTTCATTTCCTTCAAATTCCTAACCACCGATTTACAAATATCACTAGCCGTAGATTTTAATGAGCGGGCATTATTGCACTTCCTTCTGACCCGGCCGACCCGAAAAAAAAAATACCTAACACCGAGAAAACCATTCACTCATGTTCCACGAGGTGCTTGTATTTGTGAAAAGGTATGGTTGTATTTATTTTTTGTAGGTTGGAACTTTCTAAATATAGCATATGAATGTTTTTTTAGTGAACAGTTTAATATATGCTAATCAGTATGTATCCAAAATAATAAGATTGAGACACGTTGGGTACAGTTGGAAGATTCAAGGTCCACAAAACATAAAACGGACCAATCAAAACGTTACGAAAATTATTAGACGATTATCAAATTAATTGTTTGATAAATAATTAGAAAATATCATAATAAGATATATTAGACAATTAAACTATATTTTAAGTCCTCATACCAAAAAAAAAAATCATCATAGCTATTTAGTACAAAAAGTTTGAATCTAATTTATTTTATTTATGTTAATAATGTACTCCTTTTGTTCCATAATATAAAGAGTTTTGAAGGTTTATTTCTGTTTTAAAAAGAAATTGTTTTTACATTTCAATGCAACTTTTGTTTTATTTGATATTGTCTGACCAATTATATTATGCAGTTTTAAGGATTGATTAAATGATATTTTATTGAAGAAAAATATTCATTCTGTTCTCTAATAACTTATGTTTTAGAACATTTTTTATTCACAAATAAGTGATGTTCTCATAAATCAATGCAAAAGTAATTCTACTGCTTTTTGTTGGTAAATAAAATAATTCTATTGTTAAATAATTTACTATTAACAATAGAGAATAACTATAGAAAAATTTGCTTAGATAGGAAGAATATACTTTCTATTTAGCTAATAAGGAAAGTCTACTCTTGTGTACAAGCAAATTTTAATTAATACAATTATGCCTTCTTTCTCCTCACTTTTCTTTTCCTTTCTTTTCTCCCTTATTTTCTCCGCAACTTTCTCTCTTTTTCTCTCATGATTCTGATTCAGTTTTGAGATTTTTATTCGCCATGAACCATGGCGACAGTGACCATAGCGAGGGTGATGAAAACAACACGGCAACGACCACGCGGCGACAGACGATGATGGTGACGATGGCGACCGCGACAAAAACGACACTCATCTTCACTTACAAAACATTAAAGAGAGGATTCTCCAATCACGGTCTGATGCAAGATCTAATCCGACAACACCATTTTTAAAGAAAGCTTCGGATGAAAGTGTATAATTTCACTTGTCTCGCGATTGTGAGCGGAGAGGAAGTGGTGGAAACGCTGGTGGAGGAAGCAGGGCTTGTTTCAACTGCAACAAGGAAGGTCACTTTGCAAGGGATTGTCCTGTTGCTTGATTGCTTCTCTTTGTCAACAAAAGAGATTGAAGATGAATTCGAGTGATATAAATTTTTTATATTCCTCTTCGTTTTCATAATCTTTGTTGTTTTGGCTGACGGGAATGATGAATTTGCCTGGTCCTTTTTGGTGTTTTTGTGTTTTATTTATATACAAAAGGTTTGATCCCTTTGTTGTGACAACTACATAAGTCTTAGCTAGATTTGGTTTTTGGTTTCTGATATGGATGCTGTCCCTTTTATCTTTTGAAATTTTGACCTCTCTATGACTTGTGTTCTTTTGCTTATGTCATTCGAGTTTTGTCCTTTTATTGAGCTGTTGCTGGTTGGTTTCAGTTTATTACATTCGTTTGTACTTTGAAGTTTCACTTTAGAAAACAAACCTATCCTGTCTGAAATTCGAGAGTTTAGACAATTATAGACCACAAGATCAATACTCAGTAGTGTCTTTTTGGCTGCTTTGGTGTAGAGCATAACATGTCTTGGGTCCAATATTTTGCAAAATCGTTAAAACTTGGATTTCGATTCTTAACATGTGAACAATTTTGTTATATCGACGGTTATATCGAACAATTACACATTTTAGCTGGAAAAGGACCAATTATTGGATTTCGGTGTACGTATTACAATACTTCCCTATTACCTAATTGACTCTTAAGTCTTAACAATATAAATAACAGAGAAAATAATGTTACTCCCTCCGTTTTTTTTTTATAAATTTTCTAGGATTTTCACACATATTAAGGAAAAACAGATTTTCAATCATTAATGTATTGATTTTTGCAATAAAACAATTTTCTATAATTTTCAACCAATAAACATCTAACAGATACAATCATTGTTTCTTGAAAACTGAAAAAATGTATTAAAAAAGTAGAAAATTTATCTTTGTGAAACAACAACTAGTGTCTAGAAAATTCATCTTAAAAAAACGGAGGGAGTATTAAATTTGTTATTTATATATAAAAAAATGTATTTTATTTAAAACTGTTTTTTATAGAAGAGAGCCGTTTGTCAATACTCTTGTTTTGATTTTGTAAGATGTCATATTGTCATTAAGGGTGTTATAGTAAATTTCGAAAAGCGGACGACCATCGTCACCGTAACTGACCGCAGACCTTTCGTCGGTCTCTCGCCGTCTCGCCGCCGATTCCGCCGCTGTCATCACCACAAGACGAGACTCGTAAGTCAAATCGTGTTTTCCTCAATATGGATTACGATCTCTAATTGAATGTCAATTTTGAAAGAGTCTCAAAGTAGTTCTCAATTCTCTGTTTGTTCTTGCTTATTTGCTCACCACTTGTTCGATAAAATGCTTCTTCGAACCTTTGTGTGTTTGTAGCCTCCTTGACTCTTCTTATTCTACAAAATTCGATCCCTTTTCTGATGTCAATCACCTAATTGTTCCATGTATGTCCCAAATTTGTGGTTATGGATGTTTGAGTAGCTCATTGAGTGTGCAAATTTGTGTCTTTCTAGGTGTTGAAGCACTTCTTCTATTAGCACTATCAGTTTACATAAAAACCACCTCTTGCTAAATGTTTGGATCTTCTTGAGCAGGCTTATATGAAACACTCAGATTCTTGATGGCAATTGCTTTTGTTCGTAGTCTTCAAAGAGCTTCTTCGTCTCTTCTTAGATCCTCACATCCACTTCTCATCTCTTCCAGGTTTGTAATTATCATCAGAGACCATTAACAACAAAACGTGATTCTCTATTCTTCTTGTTAACAAATTGTTCCCCACTAGGTTGCTTCTGCAAAGCCAAGACCTTTTCTCGGATTCAAAACCGACATTCTTGCTACCGAGACCGATATGCAGAAGCTTTAGCCATGGAACAGTGAACCTAGTGATATCAGAAGGGAAACCAAAGTTCGAGACTCGAGAACTTGACCCTCCCAAGAAATGGAAATGGCTGACCAAGAAGAGACTGAAGCTGAAGAGAAAGAAAGAGAGAGAGGAAAGAAACGCAGCCAACAGGAAAGACCCGAGACGACTTACCGTCAAAGGGAAGAAGAGGAAGTTCGCTAATCCAGAGGAAAGAATCAAGAACAAGCTTGAAAAGGCCAAGATCAAAGAAGCATTGCTGATTGAGAAACTCAAACGCTACCAAGTTGCTAATGTGCAGGGACCTGAGGTTAGACCGCATGAGATTACAGGGGAAGAGCGGTTTTACCTGAAGAAAATGGGTCAGAAGAGATCGAACTACGTGCCGATTGGGAGGAGAGGAGTGTTTGGTGGTGTGATTCTGAACATGCATCTGCATTGGAAGAAGCATGAGACCGTTAAGGTTATATGCAACAATGTTAAGCCGGGACAAGTGCAAGAATACGCGGAGGAGCTTGCTAAACTCAGTGGCGGTGTGCCTGTTAACATCATCGGCGATGATACGATCGTGTTTTACAGAGGGAAAGGTTATGTTCAGCCTAAAGTTATGTCTCCTATTGATACATTGTCCAAGAAGAGAGTAAGTTCTTGATTTTTTTTTTTTTATTAGCACTTATCTTTCTTAACATTGCATCTACATGTTTTGTGCATTTAGGCTAATCTTTGAGTCTTGTATCTTTTGCAGGCATATGAAAAGTCGAAGTACGAACAGTCACTTGAGTCGGTGAGACATTTCATAGCGATTGCTGAGAAGGAACTTGAGCTGTATTACAGGCATGTTGCTCTTTACGATGACCCGAGTAAGAGAAGTCCTCTTTCGATCTTGGATGATTCTTTATCTGAATCAGATAGTCACCACCAGGATGAGCTTTCTCTGAGTTGTTCGGACACTGAGGATGAAGATGAGGATGAAGAGGAAGAGATGTGTGAATTAGATAATGGTTCTTCTTCAAAGGAAGAGTTGTTTGAAACTAGTGGAAAAGTGGATTTTTAGAAACTTTATCTTATAGGTTTGGTTATTAAGTAAACACACAGATTAAAGTTATCTCTTGTTGAGAAACTGCTAAATAAAACCTTTTCTATTAAAGTGCAAACTTTTTAAATAAAATTCAAGAGAATTACGTTTCTAAAAGTGTATATACTAAACACCATTGAAAATCTTTTGGCAGCACCCAAAAATTTGCAACATAATGTGGATGAAAATCAGGCTTTCAAGCAGAAAACATGACATGTGGTTGACTAAAAGTTAAGAGAATTTAAGTTTTCTAAAAGTTTACATACTAAAACACCATTGATATATTTTGGCAGCACCCAAAGATTTACAACATAATGTGGATGAAACCAGGCTTTCAAGCTGAAAACATGACATGTGATTGACTCTAATATTAAATGGGTATAAGCCCAAAAACTATATTTGCTGTGACAAATGGCAATTGATCCAAATAGACAAAAACATACATGCAAAAGCTATTAGAGTTTTTTTATAATTTATTTTTTATTAACAATTCAAAATTTCAGAAAACAGAAAGTAATTAATCTGTTTGAGATTGTTACATTTTCAATGTGATTTCAAACTTCACAGAAGTAATGTGATCACAGCAGTTACCCTGGATTAGGTAAATGATTTGCATACAATTGACATGGTACTAAAAAACAATAAAGATAATAAAAGAGTTAAAATAATGAAAATGTGGTGAGCGACTTTGCGAGTGAGAATGATGAATTGATGATGATGAATGAGAAAGAGGAATGAAAATTAAGGTCGCTAGGCTAATAGTACCAAACACGGACGATTCATGGAAACGCGCGTCACATGTTGTTGGCTTATTAGTTGAGACAACGACAATCATCCCCAACGCTCTCCATTTATATACATCGTTTTCTATTTTTTTATTCTCTTCTCTTTTATTACAAGGGATTCTAATTGACGACAAAAACAGAATAACAATCCTATTTTAATTCCACATCTAACCACTATATTTCAAGTCTTCTAAGTGACAATTATGATAAACGCCAAAAATAGAGTAATGTACATGAGTTTTAGGTTTATGATTTAGTTTTGTAAGGGCTTATAATCTAAAATGTTGGGGTTTAGAATTAGTTTCTATAGTTTACTCTTACGAATTCAGGGTTTAGCTTTTAAAAAAAAGTTTAAAACGTATTAACCATTTTGCTCATTTTAGTGTAAGATAGTTTTGATGATAATGAATTAAAATAGTTCATATTTGTATATATATATATATCAGATTAGTTCTTTCTTTTTAAACAAAGTTTCTCTTTTAAATCATTCTTCTACTGCTTCCCCATTATATTTATATCTATACAATTGCTATACATTCTTCTGTTACTGTTCATATCATATTATTTGTTTCTTATACTAAAGGCAAATATATTGTTTTCTGAATATAGAAACATGTACTGAATCCAATCTAATAATTAGGCACCAACAGCAACAACCAAATAAAAAAACACCAGCAATTACATTATTAACACCAACAAATATATAAAGAATATTAATAGACACCGACAGATAGTTATTAGCGTGTCGAAAGTAGATATTGGATGAAATTTTCTTTCATTTTTTCTGTAACAGAAAACAGGTTTCAGTGGGTGACGTCGTGGTGTGAGCTATGACGCAGTACACCACAGTCTATCTATAAGTCGTTGGAACCAACACTATCTGATGGTGAGGTGATATCGTCGCCCATAATGGCGGTAATGCTACTACACACACACACACACACGCACGATAAGCCTATAATATTTATGTTAGTTTTTGTCATTTTTTTGGGTAAATGATCTTAAAATAACATGAAATAATAGACAAATATATGGGAGGGTGTTTATACATTCACATAAATATGCGGTTTTCTAAGTCTTAATTTTATTATATTTTTGGATAAAGAAAAGTCTTAAATTTTTATGGGGCTGGCTTCCTTATAAATATCTTCTAGTCTATTCCTAATTTTATCCTCTCTTTTGTTTTTGTCGAAAGATAGCTAGAAAATACAGTCCTAATTATATCTTTGTTTTGTTGACAAGTATAAGAAATCTCACATATGGAAAATACAAAAAGAAAGACAAAACAATACATAGAGATATGAGTTGATCTATTTAAGGATTCAGTTTTATGGGTCTGGCTTCCTTATAAATATCTTCTAGTCCAATAATTTTACATTTGTTTTGTTTGAAAAGTATTAGAAATCACACATATTGAAAAACAAACAAAAAGAACAATAATACATCAAAAATTATGAGCTAGTTTATTTACAACTACATGGTTTTGACTTTTGAGTACAAAAATGCCTCATGTATTAAGATCTTAATATGGTGTCTAAAACTACGTTGTTAATTAATTAATGATGCATCACATTTCTATCTTTTTTACGTCTAAAGTTAGAGCAATACAAAAACCAAAAAAAGAAGTTAGAGCAATACTTTTCCGATTTTAAATTGAAATGATTTCCCAAGTTATATAAATTAAGATGAATATTCACAATTTTTGTTACGTTTTATAGAAGACTATTATGAAAAAGTTCACATAGTAAAGTTGATTTCATGTCTCATTTTGTATATCAATACATGGTATAGGCTGTTTTTATTACTAGAAAAGTAATGATTAGTATGTCTTGTAAATATTTATAAAACTGAGATTACAGTTTATACTTTATACATTTTGTTTCAAAGAAAAAGAAAAAATGATCTCTACTTTGGCTCAAGCTTTGACACATTCTAATTTTTTATGAAAAAAATCTTGCTCTAATATATAAGAGAAGAGATTACTCTTATGATCTTATTCTTCTCATGAACTACTCTTCCAAAACCATCTAAAAATTCTTCTATTTTTTTTTTTATAGATTTAAGAATATTCCCCCAAATTACTCTTTAACAAAAAAAAAAAATTCCCCCAAATTACTATCAACTATCAGCAACCTTCGAAAGTCGTCGTTACAATATTTCTTCGTCCCATCAATTTCCCATAGCTTTCCCTACCATCATTAACCACCACGTGTCTCCTCCTGTCGAAGTAATAAATCGGTAGGTCCATTGTAACAGAAAAACACTGAGAAACACTCGATAATTACCCACCATCCCCTCCTCCTCTTTTGTCTCTCCTTTATAACTTGCTTCGTGTCTCGGTTACTTACTAATACTATACGCGCGTCTTCTTCACCCTACAAATCTTAAACACCAAAACATTAAAAATTACTAATTATAACACTAATCCTTTTCGTTAATCTTTCTTTCTTTAATAAAACCTTTCTGTTAATCTCCCCAATTTCAAGAAAATCCGGCAAGAAAACGACGGCGATGCATTACGTATACGCATAGCTCTTTAATCATTCTTCCTCGGAGAAGCAAACAATGCGGTAATGAAACATTATCCAGAAAAAAAAAAATCAGAGCGAAAACGAAAGCAATCTCTAATGTCTATCTTCTAACATTTTTGTAGGTGTTGATTTAAGTAAATGCAGTAACACAAAGCGGCGAAGCAACAGGTGATTCAGAAACTGAAGAAAAACAAAAAAATTAAAGAAAAAAATGATGCTTATCTGTATCTTGAAGCCAATTTGTAACTGTTTATATATAGAATTTTTAACAGAGGAAATTGCAGCGAAAATGGTTAGAGTAAAGAAGATAGAGACGGTTTCTCTTGTTCTTGTTCTTGTTCTTGAGCTTGTGGTGGCGGCCACGGCGACGAATGTGACGTACGACCACCGTGCTTTAGTAATCGACGGTAAACGGAAGATTCTCATCTCCGGCTCCATTCACTATCCTAGAAGTACTCCTGAGGTATACATACGGTTATGTATGTGTATGTATATGTTTACATTTTTGCTACATATATACATAATTATTTCATTTTTATTTTTGGGATTCTTGTAGATGTGGCCGGACCTTATAAAGAAATCGAAGGACGGTGGCTTGGATGTTATAGAGACTTATGTGTTTTGGAGTGGTCACGAGCCGGAGAAGAACAAGGTATTTTTCGATTTTTTGGTTTTTGTTTTTATTCATTTGTCACACATTTATGTTCATCGTCGGTGCATTTTAATTTTAGGCTTTATTTTTATTATTTTGGTAGAAAGTGGCTACTGCATTTTTTTCTTGATTTCTGTCTTTTTATTTTATTTTTGTGTGTGTGGAAAATTTGCAGTATATTTTTGAAGGAAGATACGATCTAGTTAAATTTGTGAAGCTTGTGGCTGAAGCTGGTCTCTATGTTCATCTACGAATTGGTCCGTATGCTTGTGCCGAATGGAATTACGGGTAAATGTGGTTTTCTTGTTAATTCTGTTTTTTTTTTTGTTCTTCTGATTTTTTTTTTTATTATTATATTAATTAAATCTGATTTTGTAAAATGGTGGATTTTGTGCAACAGTGGTTTCCCAGTGTGGTTGCATTTTGTTCCTGGAATTAAGTTTCGAACTGATAATGAACCATTTAAGGTATTGTTAGGTGATATGTCTCTTTTTAATGCCACCAAATGTATAAATTAAAATTTAGTTATTTAAGATGGTTTGGCTTTTGTGGTTTTGTAGGTGGAAATGCAGCGATTCACTGCCAAGATTGTGGATGTAATGAAGCAAGAAAAGCTATATGCATCACAAGGAGGACCAATCATTCTCTCTCAGGTTTGCCCTTGTGGAAACAAAATAAAAATCTGATTTAGTAATTGCAACATTCTCAGGCTTTTCTCATTGGTTTTGTGTTTTGTTTTGGAGGTTTCAGATTGAGAATGAGTATGGAAATATTGATTCAGCTTATGGTGCTGCGGGTAAAAGTTACATGAAGTGGTCAGCTTCCATGGCTCTTTCTCTAGATACTGGTGTACCATGGAACATGTGCCAGCAAAAAGATGCTCCTGATCCCATTGTGAGTTTTTTTTCCTGAATATTTCTATTAATAGTACGCAAGTTCTTGTTTTTTCTTTGTTGTAATTTGATTGGAACAGCCTTTGCTTATTTGTTTGTTTTTTTTTCCTTGATAGATCAACACATGCAATGGTTTCTACTGTGACCAGTTTACTCCAAACTCAAACAACAAACCCAAAATGTGGACTGAGAACTGGAGTGGATGGTGAGTTTCTTGGTTCTTTACTTTTACTAATTTTGTTAGTTTGCAAAAGATGGTATATGATTCACTTTCTTGTACAGGTTCCTTGGTTTTGGAGATCCTTCACCTTACAGACCAGTTGAAGATCTTGCATTTGCGGTCTCGCGGTTTTACCAACGAGGAGGAACTTTCCAGAACTACTACATGGTAAATAAAACACAAGATGAGAAGCTAATTGTTTTTACTCTTCCTAAATTAAAACTGGTAAAAATAAGTTGTTTTTGCTTTGGTAATTGTTTAGTATCATGGTGGAACAAACTTTGAGAGAACAAGTGGAGGACCTTTAATTACTACAACTTATGACTATGATGCTCCAATTGATGAGTATGGTACGGCTTCTACCTCTTGATGTCTTTTGTTTTTCCTCTGTTGTGAAAATTACTGAAAGAGTTTTTTGTTGTTGTTGTTGTAGGACTTCTTAGACAACCAAAATGGGGACACTTAAGAGATCTACACAAGGCTATCAAGCTTTGTGAAGACAAGTTGATTGCTACAGATCCAATTATTACTTCTTTGGGCACAAATTTAGAGGTATCAATAACATCACATAAACTCTGCTATAATTTGAATAATTTTCTTGTTAATTTTTGTTACATCTAAATATGATTTATCTCAGGCCTCTGTTTATAAAACATCATCTGGATCTTGTGCTGCTTTTCTTGCAAATTTTGGGACACAATCTGATGCAACTGTGACTTTCAATGGGAACTCATATCACTTGCCTGCTTGGTCCGTAAGCATATTGCCGGATTGCAAAAACGTAGCTTTCAACACAGCAAAGGTTTGTTTTAATAACCTCATCACAAACTTTATCATATTTTGCCGCATAGGAACAAGAACATCTGACTAATTTGGTTTATCTTAGATAAATTCTGCAACTGAGTCCACCACATTTACTCCTCAATCGTTGAAGCCTGAGGCAGATTCGTCTGCGGAGTTAGGTTCACAGTGGAGTTATATTAAAGAAACTATTGGAATTTCCAAGAACGATGCATTCTTGAAACTTGGATTGTTAGAGCAGATCAACACAACAGCTGATAAAAGCGACTACTTGTGGTACTCTCTGAGGTAACTTCTCTTGCAAACGATTCTTGGTTTTGTTCTTTATACCAAATTTCCTACATTCCTTCCATTGATTTAACAGAGCTTCTCTATGTGTTTGTATCTAATACAGGATGGATGTTAAAGGCGATGAGACTTTCCTTGACGAAGGATCTACTTCTGTTCTTCACATTGAATCTCTTGGTCAAGTGGTCTATGCTTTTATAAATGGAAAACTTGCCGGTATATATCTCACTTAGACTTTCACAAGAAGTTGAAATTCAGTTTGCCATTGAGTTCTTATTAATTTTGCGGTTGCAGGAAGTGGAAATGGCAAACAAAAGATTTCTTTGGACATTCCGATTAATCTTGTAACAGGGAAGAACACAATTGATCTCCTAAGTGTGACCGTAGGCCTTGCGGTACGTTCTTGATTCTAATCTGCATAGCAATTTTTTGTTTGGTGCAAGAACAATAGCAGTTGATGCTTCCATAGCAAAGAGAACCTCAAGATTACTGTTTGCTAAGCCAATTTATCTAATATTTTCCACAGAACTATGGAGCTTTCTTTGACTTAGTAGGAGCAGGAATAACAGGTCCTGTGACACTTAAAAGTGCAAAAAGTGGTATCTCAATCAATTTGGCTTCACAGCAGTGGACTTATCAGGTTCTTTACATTACAAGCATCTCTTGTCCTATCCCTCTTTTTTTCAAAGTTTTAACGGTTGTGATTTATAATAGGTTGGACTCAAAGGAGAAGACACAGGTTTGGGAATTGAAGATTCTTCTGAATGGGTTTCAAAATCTCCTTTGCCTACTAAGCAGCCACTGATTTGGTACAAGGTGATGATGATACACAAACAAAAACATTTGAGAATACTCAGTCTTTTCTTGTCATGCTCTAACAATCTTTTGTTACGTTTGTCAGACAACCTTTGATGCTCCTTCTGGGAGTGAGCCAGTAGCAATAGACTTCACAGGTACAGGAAAGGGTATTGCGTGGGTGAACGGACAGAGCATAGGTCGGTACTGGCCGACCAGTATCGCGCGAAATGACGGTTGCACAGATCCTTGTAACTATAGAGGAACTTACAAAGCCACAAAATGCCTCAAGAACTGCGGAAAACCTTCTCAGACATTGTAAGTCATAACCATCTTAACATTACTTGGGACGCACGGGACCATATGAAATGTTAACTGTTAACCTAATCGTGCTTTTGTTTGCTTTGTTTGCAAGGTATCACGTGCCACGCTCGTGGATAAAACCGAGCGGGAACACTCTTGTTCTGTTGGAAGAAATGGGAGGAGATCCGACAAAGATATCATTCGCGACAAAGCAAACAGGAAACAACTTGTGTTTGACGGTGTCACAGTCTCATCCAGCTCCGGTGGACACGTGGACTTTCGACTCCAAGATCTCAAACAGAACTACTAGTCCGGTTCTTTCCTTAAAATGCTCTGTTTCTACTCAGTTCATATCTTCTATAAAGTTTGCAAGTTTTGGTACACCTAAAGGTACTTGCGGTAGCTTTAGCCGCGGCCGTTGCCACAGCTCTCGATCTCTCTCCGTTGTCCGAAAGGTTTTCTTTCTTCTGATCTTTTTATTAGTTTTTTCTTTATTTTGTTTGTTATTTATTCTTGGAGTATGACATGTGGCAGGCATGCATTGGGTCAAGGAGTTGCAATGTTGAAGTCTCGAGTAGAGTATTTGGAGAACCTTGTCGTGGCGTCGTCAAGAGCTTAGCTGTTGAAGCTTCTTGTTCATGACTGTCCGGTTCCTAATCTACCTCCGCAGATTTGATGATGTGATATTAAAGTATGTAATTGTTGAAAATAAAAGCAAATGAAATAGTCAATAATTATAAGTCTGGCTAATCCAAATAATTTTTCGTTTCTCCTTGAAATCTCATAGAGCAAGAAAATTATATACGAAAATAAAAAACTCCAAAACCATTCATGTACTTCTATCAAATTCAAAGTACAGATCATAGTCTGGTGGACGAGTCTCCTATTCTGCATTTGCCGCCTATTATCTTATAAGAACAAATTTAATTATCCTAGTAGTAAATGCTAAACTTTGTCTAATCATTATGTCAATAATTAGATTCACCAACCGTGACTGAGCCACGGTATCATGTACACTACAAGAAAACAGGCGTTTTGCAACGGCGAAAACATTGTTAAATCGTTGCTAATCGACCTTGGCATCGGATTTGCGTCGAATTCGAAATCGTCGTTAAGCTATCGACGCTAATGACCTATCGTCGTTAATTCCTTGCTAATTAGCAACGAAAAAAAAATCGTCGTTAATTCGTCGCAACCTAAACATCGTAAAATCGTCGTAACCTTTATGACGGATTTACAAGGAGGCTTCAATTCGACGCCAAATTTACATCAAAAAAACGTCGGAAATTTTAAGTCGGTAATATTTTGTTGTTAAATCGTCGCAAATTTCCAACGATTTAACAACGACAGCTGTAATAAGTTTGCTTCGATTTAACGACGAAAGTCGTTATTTTACTATTTTATTTGCGTCGTATTTGCGACGATTATATTTTCTTTAAAAAAAAAAAAATAATAATAATATAATAACTAATAATCCGAGAGAGTATCGATGGAGGGAGGGCCGGCGGAGAGAAGGAGGTCCGGCGGAAGAGAGAGGGTTGGCGGAGAGAAGGAGGTCCGGCGGGAGAGAGAGGGGCGGCGAAGAGAGGGAGGTCCGGCGGGAGAGAGAGGCTTGGCGGAGAGAGAGAGAGGGTCGGCGGGAGAGAGAGGATCCGGCGGGTGAGAGAGGATCGGTGAGAAGAGAGAGTTGCAAATGAGAATCAAAGGGAGATGGAAGTGTGAAAGAAGTGAGGATCCCTTATATAGAATTTTGTTTCCTCGCAACAGCGTCGCTATTTAGCGACGAATTTCCGATGATATGTATGCATCGTCGTAAATTCGTCCCTAATTTTTTTCGTAAAATTTCGTTTTCCCGCACGCGGGAATTAAAATTTTCATTTTTTGATGTCCCTTGGTAATTCGTCGTTAATTACCAACGAATTAACAACGATTTATTGGTAATTGTTGTTGATTCGTCGCTAATTTTTTTTGCAAAATTTCATTTTCCCGCACGCGGGAATTAAATTTTTCCATTAATTGATGTCCCTTGGTAATTCGTTGTTAATTACCAACGAATTAACAACGATTTCTTGGTAATCGTCGTAAATTCGCCGTTAATTTTTTCGCAAAATTTCGTTTTCCCGCACGCGGGAATTAATTTTTTCCATTTTTTTATGTCCTTGTTAATTCGTCGTTAATTACCAACGAATTAACAACGATTACTAAGAAATCGTTGTTAATTCGTCGCTAAAAATTTTCATACTTATTACCTACAAATTTACAATGACGTGTCCCAAATCGTCGTTAATTCGTTGCTAAACAGGGACCACATAATATTATAATTCAATTTCATCCGAGAAAACATTTTAAGAATTGACACGATTTTGCTTCATTTTTACGACGACTCGTCAGAAATTCGTTGTTAATATGAACCCTAAACCCTAAATTTGCCCTAAACTGTTAGACGTTCCTTTACTCGTATGAGAAATGTAAGTAGGAGCTATAAAAGAAGTTGTATTGACAAAATACAACAACATATTTGGAAAAGATCATAAATTATAAGAAATCCTCTAAGATGACATATAGTAAACCTTATACTATAAGAAACACTTGTTCATTTTCTTTGTAATGTTCGAAACTTACGTTTACTTGGATTAAACATGAAAAAAGTTATCATTTGTTATTGGTTAGGTTGGTAATTGAAAAATTGAGTGTAACACGTTGTTTTTAGGGTTTAGGGTTTAGGTTTACAATTAACAATGTTAGAGCGACTATAGAACCTTATGCCGCTAACACGTCGCTATTTACATCGGCATTTAGCAACAGATTAACTACGAAAATCTTTACGTCTTTATCTTGTTGGTAATTCGACGGTATTTACCTATGAAATACGGTAGTTGTCAATTTGTCGTAAATTTACAACGATTTACCAACGAAACATATAAACGTTGTTAATTCGTCGCAACAACGTCGCTATTTAACGAATTTACTTCGACTGCTGATCGTCCCGATTTACGACGAATTTACAACGATGTTGTGTTTCGTCGTAATATCGACGCTAAATTGATGTTATTTTGCGACGAAATAAATTCGTTGCAAAATTTCGTTGCAAAATGACTGTTTTCTTGTAGTGGTAACTCGACAACCGTCTGGGGCCTCAGCTCCAACTCCTCCACGTTCAAGCCATCCAGAGGAATGTTCTACCACATAACTTCTGTTCATCTATCAATTCCATCAACATGTTCTCCTTCTCCTTCACCATCACAAACTCATCAACGCGGTCCACGTAAATATTCATGAGCTCCTCGATCCTTTTTCACATATAAGCATCAAATAGCGGCATGGTCTTGTCATCGTCCTTCTCGGATGCTTCTTGTCTCAAAGGATTATTTAACCGAACAGCGACTTGCTTCCTAGACGGATGTGAGAATGAGTAAGGCTTTCCGGCTTGAGAGTAAACCAAGAAAATCGCAGACAAACTTACGATTGAGCACGTGCAGTTATTACATTTGCTAATTTTTATATGTGCAATTTGAAACTGAACGACAAAGAATTTGTCAAAAGAAAAGAAGACCGATTACACTAATTGTATCCATTTTCGTTACTTTACAACTACATATGTTTTCATTACAAGATATTTTTTTATAAACCTATTGGCTTTCGGTTAGCCTCAGTACTTAATAGAAACACCAAGATCGTTACAAAATGGACTCTTTCCTTGATTTAACGGTTCAACCAATACAAACCATAAAATCTATTAGATCTAATTTGTTGGGCTACCACATTTTTGCATAGAGGTGTAGTTTTGAAAATTCACATCCTAAGAAATATATTTTAAAAATTTATCGGAAGCTATTTTGAATTTCCAATATCTTTATATTATTAATTGAGAAGTACATTCTAATGTTTGGATACAAGAATTAGAGAAACATCTATTTGGATAGAAGAATAAATGGAAACAAAAGTTGTTTGGATATAAGAATAAGAGAAAAATCTATTTGGATAGAAGAATAAATGGAAAAAATTGTTTGGATACAAGAATAATAACTTAAAATAAACCGATGGTTTAGAAAACTTCCGTTTTCCATCTCTTAAAAATCTGCAAAAAAGAAAACTTAACATAATCTAACGATAATTCCAAATCAATAGAATATGCTTTTTGGATTTTCGGGTTTTTATAGACAAGTTCGGGTTTGGGTGAAAATCTGAGACATAATTTTATAGAGATATATATAGAGATATAGAAATTGTTCGGGTTTCTTTGAAAATTTCTGTTCGGGTTAGGTTCAATTTTTTTTTTCAGTTTAGGGTTTTCCGGATTTTTTAGATTTCTGGTTTTCGGGTTTAGATATATTAAAAAAATTGAGTATTTTAAAATTTTGATTAGGTATTGGGGTCGGGTTCCGGGTGAAAAAGTTTCCAGATTTTTTTTGTTCAGTCAGGGTTTTCGGGATTTTTTTGATTTCGGATTTTCATGTTTAGACCTATTAAAAAAGTTTGGGTTTTTAAATTTTTTGATTAGGGTTTTTTGTCGGGTTCGGATTTAGGGTTTAAATTTTCTACACAAAACAACAACGTCACACCGCACAAACGTGCGGGTACTCTACTAGTTTGTAAATGTTTGTATTCACATAATAAATAAATATTTTTTCCTTTTTATCAATCGGATCTCTTATGTATTTATTCCTTTTTTTTGTCGAATATGGAATAAGATTGTGGTGTTCTTTATACATAGTTATTTATTTCCTTTTTATCAATCGGATCTCCTTATGTATGTATTCCTTTTTTTTTTTGTCGAATAAGGAATAAGATTGCGGTGTTCTTTATATATAGTTGTCGATAACTTGGTTTGTACGGCACGACTTGTTTAGAGGGTTTCTTTGCTTCAATTGTCTGTTACAGCCACAAGAGAGCAGAGAAAGAATACCAATGACGACGACGACGACGATCTCCAACCTTCCAGCGGAATTGGTGGAAAAGATCATCTCTCGAATTCCGTTGACATCTATGAGATCAGTTCGATTAACTTGCAGAAATTGGGACACTTTATTCAAAAGCCGGAGCTTTACGGAGCTGCACATCGGTAAGATCGCAGCAGCAGCAGCAAGGGAAGGCGAGTCTCCTCCGGTGATCGTGTTGATGGAACACCAACTTTATCTGATGAGCGTCACGGCAAATTCAGGAATCGACGCTGATCCATCTACACAGCCTAAAGGTAAACTAATTAGAAACGATTCAGACCAACAAGTCAAGATACATCAGATCTATGATTGCGAGGGTTTACTGTTATGCACCTTGGAAGACGACAAGAGGATTGTGGTTTGGAATCCGTATTTGGGCCAAACAAGGTGGATCAAACTAAGGTTTTATTTCGAATACCCACGGGACGGAACCGACAGGTACCGCTACGCTCTGGGATACGACGAGACTGACAAGACTTGTCGCAGCTACAAAATCTTGAGGTTTATGGATGTTAACTTGGCTCACTGGGATCATTATGTGCCCTATGAGCCCAAGGATGACCCTTTATGGTATGAAATCTACGATTTTGACTCTGGTGAATGGACTACTCTTGATGTCGGAAATCCACACTGGTTTATCAACTTTGATAGCTTTGGCGTGTCTCTCAAGGGAAACACTTACTGGAAAGCTTCACCTAGGATCTTGGACGATGGATTCGTCAAGTACTTTATATGTTTTGATTTTACAAGAAATAGGTTTGGACCGCTTCTGCCTCTGCCGTTGATGGCATTGGATCATGAGCCTGTGACTCTATCTTGTGTTAGAGAAGAGAAGCTTGCGGTTTTTTATCAGAAGGACGTCCGTGCTTTGACGACGAAGGTTTGGATTACGCAGACGATTGAGGCCAAGGAGGTGTCGTGGATCCAGTTCTTGACACTGGATATGAATCCGGATTTACTTGGTTTGAATCCTTGTCTTTCAGTTGGGAGTTTCTTCATTGACGAGGAGAAGAAAGTCGCCGTTGTTTTTGGTAAGGACAAATGCACTGAGAGGCACAAAGTTTACGTCATTGGAGAGTCTGGACACTTTAGAGAAGTGCCACTCCAAGAATATACCGACAGGTGGTCTCTTATGCGTGCGTGTTGTTATGTTCCGAGTCTTGCGCAAATCAAGCAACCAAGAGGAGGTCAAAGGGAACAACAAATCAGCTTAGCACCGGTTCTTGAAAGGCTAAAGATTTCGAGATTTCTCTCATTTGGACAGCAAATGTTGATGACAAAGGAGAATGGAAGAGCACTTTATCTCAACATACAATAGAAACTTTATAAATTAATAATGTCGGGACTTTGATATTTTATTAATTTATAGAGTTATTAATATATAGGTTTCGACTTAAATTTGTTTTTTTTTTAAACGATAATTTAATATTTATAAGCTTTTATATTTTCATTCAAATTCAATAAGAACTTTCATTTATAGTATATATATTTTTCTTAACGTTTTTGATATTTCTATATTTACTTTATTGTTTACATTTTTTCATACTTGCCATATTGTTTTAAATTCAATTTTCTTTTCATTTCCATATATGTTTGGTGTGTGAGTGATTCATATTTTAGTAGCTAGATATTTTAGTTATATAAATATAATTTTTTATATGATGATTATTAATTTATGATATTATTGGGACCATATTTTATATAGGAGTTTCAAAACATTATTATCTTATTATCTTATTGAATTATGTCATATTTTACACCAGCCCAACTCGGACCGAAATATTTTATTAATTTATCGTATTTATTAATTTATAGAGTTTCTACTGTATATATATATATATATATATCTTATTATATAAAGCTGGATGCGCGCGACGTAGTTGCGACACATAGGATTTTTATAAAATATAGGATCGCGACATGTGTCACTTTTAAGATTATGTCCGTTAAGATCGTGACACATGTATTAGGGGAAAAAATATTTTTAAAAATACTAGAAAAAGATAATTAAAAAAAACGAAATTTAATCTATTATATTAAAAAAAAATAGGATAATTAAAAAATGAAATTTAATCTATTATATTAAAAAAAAAAATTAATATTTGTCATATCCTAACAGAAAAAGGTTTTCCCATTTATCAAATTTATATTATCCAAACACATATTAATTTATAAAATAAGATTGAAAATAATGTAATAAATAAAATCATATTAGTACATGGAATAGGTACGTAAACTAAATTTCCTATATCTGCATGGAATATGTTATATGAATACCTATATATACAAAGTTACAATAGTCTCTTTTTTCTCATTCACAAACTCATTAAAGAAAATTCATCAAATTTCTCTGATTCTCTTTCTTTAATTTAAAAATCATGTCTTTGAAAGTTCAAGAAAACAGTGAAGATTATTTGACTTTAGGTCAATTGGATCGAAATTGAAATTATCGCCTGTTATTCGAAAGTGGAAAGCTAGAAATCCTAAAGAAACTAATATTCTTATGGGAGTTGAGCTTCTACTACTTGATGAAAAGGTTAGTAACATATTATATTATATTATCTTTAAAATTCATTCATCAAACTTATATTATCTTTAACACATATAAAAATTCAAAATAATGTAATAAATAAAATCCTATTAGTATATGGAATATGTTATGTAAACTAAATTTCCTATAACTGCATGGAATATGAATATGTTATGTAAACCCCTATAAAAAAAGAGTTAAGGTAGTCTTTTTTTTTTCTCATTCACAAACTCATCAAAGCAAATTCATCAAATCTCTTTCATTATCATCTATTACTAATAAAAGTTGAGCCTATATGTATTAGAGGGTGTCCATCTAGGATTCTAAAATTGTATTTGATTGGTCCATGTCATTATTATTACATTTTTAACTGAATAATTAATTTCCTAATTAATTTTCTTTTTATTTTTATTAGCAAATTTCCCTTTTATGCATATTAGCAAATTTCCATTTTTTTTAATATGCATATATTTTCTTTTATTCAAATAAGTATTATTACTTTAACATATAATTTTAGTAAATTTCCTATTTAACAAATATTTTATTAATTACATTTTAATAAAAGTTGAGTCAATATGCATTAGAGGGTGTTCACATAGGATTCTAAAACTGTATTTGATTGGTCATGTCATTATTATTAATTTTTAATTGAATAATTAATTTCCTAATTAATTTCATTTTTATTTTAGTAGCAAATTTCCTTTTATACATATTACCAAATTTCCATTTTTTTTAATATCCATATATTTTCTTTTATTCAAATAAGTATTATTACTTTAACATATAACTTTAGTAAATTTCCTATTTTACAAATATTTTATTAATTAGATTTTAATAATTGTAATTTTTATATAGATTATCTAATAAGAAATGACATTAAGTTATTTTTTATATTAGTGGAAAATTGATTAAGAAGCCCATACTATCTATTATCGCACATTCAACCATTCATTTTAATGAAATCTCAGACTTAAACATCTCTATTAAGCAGTTTTTCATGGCAAATATACTTAGTAATTAGACAAATAAATTTCCTTTTTAGCAACAAGGTGGTGTGGTGTAGCAAAAGGAAAATAAGAAACTTAATTTGATCGGTACACATAAGCATCTTAAAAGAATTTCATTTTATTTGTTATTATGATATTTCTTTAATACTCAATTCTATTTTTATTCATATTAAAGTGTTTAGAAAATAGAAAAAAAATTAGATTTCTAATGACATAAAAAGGAAAATTACTTCCTATGTTTTTTTTTTTAAATTTTGTCTAATGGATGTTTGGAAATTATCTATGTTCAAAATCTCGCTTCTCGCTTACCGTTCGGTTGGATAACGATAAGCGGTTTTTGAAAAAACCGCTAATAATTCGGAGATTAACCAGGGTGAAATTTTATGTATATTTTAATATATCTTAAATATTATAACTATATAAAACATTGATAATACAAAAAATAATATAAAAGTTTTATTTTTTTTATTTTTCCCAATTTACAAACATTTCTAATACAAAAAATAATAGTTCCACCCACTAATATTACAAAAGAGATATTATCTTGATCATATTAAAATATACAAAATATATATAAATGATGGTAATAGATAATGTGGATTTAATTTCTAAAACTATGGGCCTCAATATCAAATTCAGAGACTCATATGAGAGACTCATACTGGGGTATTAACCGATGGTAATGCCTTTAGTTAAGTGTGAACCGTCTATTATTGGGTATTTTTATTAAATTAATTTTTCATTTTTTTCTAATCAATGTATTAAGTGACTGCGTTGAACATGCTCTTAGAAACCGAACAAAGCAAATTTCAAAAATCACCCTTAAAGAGTCATTTATTTTCTAAACTCACCAAATTTAAAGTGTGAGGTAACAAATTAAATCATGAAAATAGTTTAATTTTGCTTTTGATATATTTCATTTAATTTGCTTTCAAATTTGGGTTTACATAATGCATATGTGTTTCTATTTGCCTTAAAATTTGTGTGTTTCACCTAAACTTTTGCGTTCGGATTTGTATTTTAAGTTTGCTTTGCGTTTAGATATGTATTTGTGAATATCTTTTACAACGCATTTCGTTTTTTTGTTAGTGTTGAGTTTGTGATCGTGTTTTCATTTTTTATAGTGTTCACACTCCTTTATATTTTAGGGAAATTATAATCAATAATCATATTGGCAACCAAAATTAACAAACTAACCATATGAAACTCTTGGCTAGAGTACAAAGTATATTTTATACAATAATACCAATTTGTCTTCTTCTTTTATACATAAAAATCAATTTCCATACTATTTTTTGTGTATGTATGGGATAGAACCATGTTTTCTTTTTCTCATTTGGGGTTTAGTTTTTTTTTAGATTTTGTGTTTAGTATTTTGATTTTAGGTTTGTGTTTATATTTTTAGGTTTAGGATTTTGGGTTTCAGATTATGATTTTAGTTTTTTTTTTGGGTTTAGGGTTTAAATTTTGGGTTTTAGGGTTTAAAGTTTTTTTCTTAAAACAGGGTTTATATTATAGTTTTAGGGTTTAGTTTTTTTTCAGTTTAGGCTTTAGGGTTTAGATTTTGGGTTTAGAGTTTAGATTCTTTTTGGGTTTTGGGTTTAGTATTTGGTTTTAGATTCTACACCCTAAACCTAAAACCTAAAATATAAATCAATAAACCAATATGTAAACCCTAAACTCAAAAATTACTCTAAACCCTAAAATCTAAACCCTAAATATCTAGTAGAAGTTTTGTTCTACAACAACAATAAGATAGTATAGTATTTCTTAGGGTTAATATAGGTAATTTTTGTGAATATATTTATGTATCATAGCCAAACATTTGTAATGGCTATATTCTTAATATTTTCCCCAATATGATTATTCACCAAATTAACCCTATATTTTAAATTTATTTGTCTGTTCGTGTTTGTGAGCACAATATTATTTTTTTGCGTTTTCGTATGTGTATAATACTTACGTCTATCTTTTAATTTCTATAATTTAAATAAAAATGTGATTTTATTTTCAAAATATATATTTAATGTGAAAATTAAATTTATTTTACAATTTTATTTATTAGATATATATGTATTAGTATGAAAAGAATATTTATGAAGAGAATTTTGATTTGTAGAACTTATAAATATATAAGTATTATATGATTTTAATGAATATTGACTAAAAGTACTAATTTTTTATTTATATTGTGATTTTATTATCCAAATCTTATTTTTTAATAAATATTATTATTTATTTTCGGATTTTATATAAGTTTGTGTTTTTTTTTTTTTTTTTTATCCCGCAACCGCCCGCAACCGCAAACGCTTGCGGAAAGGAGCTTTTGATTTTCAGCGATATAGAGCGGTACAGAGTGGTATAGAGCGATTCAAAGCGGTTGTCGTGATTGTTATAAACCGCCGAAAACCGCTACGAACCGCAAACGTTGCGTTTGCGGGTGGTAGCGGGAGAACCAATCAGACCCTTAATCAAAAAATCTATCTGGAAAATAACACATGTCTAAATCAAACCTCATGCTACTCAGAAAGCAAATTGCAATCATCAAATATCAAAAGTCAAAAGTCGAAAGATATTAGGTCCTTAGAAAAAAACCAAAGCTTTGCTTTTCTGAAGATGAAAATTCAACAAAAACGACCTAATATCAATCAAATGGCTGTTTCAAGTTTCTATTAAATATTTCATTATACAATAATACAAAGCAACATAACATGAGAGTTATAATCTTGTAGAAGATGTGTATTCTTTATAGGAGTTAGTACCTGGTTGTTTAGCATTGTACACATGTTATCATCGAAGACTATACAGTTTTCTAGGTATATAACTTAATTATTCGACTGCAATTAAAATGTGGAAACAAAAGATGAATATTGTTATTATGTACAAACGCCTTTAGTAATAGTTTCATGAAGATCTGTGTTTGTTTGTGGATTGTTCACTCAATAAAAACTTTTTACCTCTGCAATATTCCTGCAAGTTTTCGGTTTGAAATTTCTGTAACACTTTGACTTGCCCTGTTAAGAAAGAGACACTAAAAGATATGGTTAGAACAACACACAGTGAAGCAAAAGATGTACATCAAAAGAACTTTACCGTTGATGCTAAACCCAATGCAAAAATACAACACTGTTTTTACCAGGTTTATTATACCAAAACAGATTAATCTTGAGACATCATCCAATAATCCGTATTAAAGGTATCTCCTATATCATGTTTGAGCAGATACAGTAATTAGATTTTCTCCACTTAAGGATGTCCTTAGACAAGACTTGTTATAATGCAAGAATATTGAATTTTGTGAGTTTGCAGAGTCTTGAATCATATAGTTATGTTTTCCAAACATACAAGACGTAGAGGTAAAAAGTTTCATAAGGACATGTGAATGTGGTATTCTCTTGGTCATCTGGATGGATAGGAATTTGAAAGAAACCATAGTAACCATCTAGAAAACAGTAGTTAGGATGGTTAGCCAATCTCTCAAGCTTCTGAACAATAAAAGGCAAAGGAAAATTATATTTTCGAGTTGCATCATTCAGTTTCCTATAATCAATGCACATTCTATGACCGGTGACAGTTCTAGTTGGAATCAACTCATTTCTATCATTCTTCCCTACAGTCACTCCACCCTTTTTGGGAGCTAGATGAATTGGGCTCACCCATTTACTATCAGAGATAGCATATATGATACATGTCTCTAGAAGTTTCATTATCTCCTTCTTTACAACATCCTTTAGATTGGAGTTTAACCGTCTCTGATGTTCTATAGAAGTCATTTCATCTTCTAGATATATCTTGTGCATGCAAAGATTAGGTGATATCCTTGTTATGTCATCTAGAGAATAGCCTAATGCTCTACTATTTTCTCAATTCAGACAATAACAAGGCAGTCTCAGCATTGTTCAATTAAGAATTGATGATGACAAGGTAAGTAGAGTTAGGACCAAGAAATACGTACCTTAGCCCATCGGGAAGTGATTTAAGCTCAATCTTTGGAGCTTTCAGCTTGCTCCAAGGATTTTCAGTGGTCTCTACAGGCAATTTCTCTGCAGCCTCATCGAGTGAAACAAATGTAACCATCTTTCCCATTCTCACTCTAGAGCCCAGCATCTTTGCATACGCAATGGTGTCAGCACTTAGATATCCATGCTGGCTCTCAGCCTTTGTTAAAACAACTTCCAGAGGATCCTCAACTAAAGACTCTTAGCCACTTCATCGAAAAATTCCAACTCCTCTTCAATTCTGAAAAAAATCCCTTCCAACATTGGCCTCTTTAGCATCTTGTCTACCTGGAAATTCATGATCATATCTCCCAGACGAAGATCAATCCTTCCTCTCGTCACATCAATAATAGCTTCAGGTGTTGCCAAGAAAGATCTTCCTAGAATGAGAGAATCTTTGGGCTCTTCCCCAAGCTCCAGAACCACAAAGTCTGTTGGGACTAGATGACTACCAATCTGCACTTGTAAATCTTTCCACATATACAGTTTCACTGATATGATCCAAAGCTTTAGCCCTAGATCTAGTGATCCGACCTTGATAATCTATTGTTTAAAGTGAGAAAGAGAGAGTATTTAGCTAAGCTTCCTCTTAACCCTAAACACTCTTTTGGAGCTTTAAGGTTAATTCTTGGAAGTTAATTATTATTGATGCTTTGAGAATCCTTTTATAGACTCTTACAACCGACTAAACCAAAACTAATAAGTAAAACTAACAAAACCTTAATCCAATAATAAAAGGAAAACCACTAAAAAGACCTAAAACCATTGATCGTATCATTACTCCCCTCATCGACTAGGAGCTTGTCCTCAAGCTCCACTCTAGCTTCTAGCACCTTTATGCTCCCACCCAGTCCTCTTCGTCTAATGGCTCATCCTCTTGATTATCTCCCTCCCTGACTAGCATTATGTGAAAAATCTTTGGGTTACATACATGGTCTCGTGTGAAGTGTTCATCACGATTGAAGCAAAGTCCTTGTGCTCGTCACTCTGCCATTTCTGCACTGGTCAACTTCTTCAAATACTTCTTTGGTGGTGCTTGTTTTGCTTCTTCTTGTTCACCTCCTCCAAAATATTTCGTTGATGGAGCCAGATGGCCTCCAAACGTTCTCGCTCTGTTGTCATTGTCGATCTTATACTCATTATCCCGAGCATATTCCATAGCTTCAAAGATCGTTTCCGGTCTAAGGTACTCAACCTCTTTACGTAGACGATCAGTTAAGACTGCACAAAACTGCCACAGTTGTTGATCTCCTGTTAATCTAGTGTGTCGACCCAAACACTCCTCAAGCTGACTGCAGTATTCATCCACTGTCCGGTGTGTCGGAGATTCGACAATTCACCCACCGGATTAACCATGTCTGCTTTTCCGAAGCGACTCTTGCATATTCTCTTAAATTCTGCCCAACTCAACCTATGAGTGACCAATCTCCGGAGATTGCTGTTCCAATGATACGCTTTTCCAGTGAGCACAAACGTCACGTACTTTAGCATCATCATTGAACACCCTTTGATCATGAAAATAGTCATCACATTTTTGCAGCCACTCAATTGCATTTGTAGTTCCATCGTATGGTGGAAACTCCATCTTTGCTGGTGGAACCACACACGTTTCATAGCTATGACCTTTTTCCTCATAACTGTATTCCAAACCTCCTCCTTTCTGCACGCGAAAGTCTCCTGTTGAGTTGTTAGAATGGTTTTCGTTTTGGAGAGTTCCTATAGGACGTACATTCCAATCGCCACCACCATCTTTAAGACGATGACCATGTTCTCGTCCCACACCTGGAGTTGGCCACGGTCCTGCGGAGAAGGAAGGTTTGTGTCCATCTCGCATCAGCCCTCCACTCATTGTAGGCAAGTTGGTACCGGTTTTGGTTGGTGTACCACTCGTTCCCGCCGCTGTTGCTTGAGATTCGGTCTCCTTGCCTGTTTTGATTCCGCTAAGTACATGTCGTCCAAAAGCTCATCTGGTGTGAATTTGACAGCTGGTCCCTTCGCTGAGCTGTCTGTTGCAGGTTTCTCTTTTGGAAGACCTTGGTCTTTTTCACGTGCAGCAGTGAAAGCCTTAATAGCAGCATCGTTAGACTCAACCTTCTCGTTGATCTTATCAAACTTCTCATCCATCGTGTCAAACCTCTTTCCCACCTCTTTAAAACCCTTGTCAAATTGCTCCATGAGAGTAGCGATCTGCGCTGCGAGTGTAGTAACGTCCTTCATCGGATTGTTCGGCTTTGATACCAAATTGATATGATCCAAAGCTTTAGCCCTAGATCTAGTGATCCGACCTTGATAATCTATTGTTTAACGTGAGAAAGAGAGAGTATTTAGCTAAGCTTCCTCTTAACCCTAAACACTCTCTTAGAGCTTTAAGGTTAATTCTTGGAAGTTAATTATTATTGATGCTTTGAGAATCCTTTTATAGACTCTTACAACCGACTAAACCAAAACTAATAAGTAAAACTAACAAAACCTTAATTAATCCAATTATAAAGGAAAACCACTAAAAAGACCCAAAACCATTGATCGTATCATTCACATAGCGGTCTGAAAACACAAGAGAGATCTTGGTTGATTTGAAATCTGTAAAACCCAATCTCTTAGCAACAGAGTATGGCATGAGGTTCACACCGGATCCCAAATCACACAAGAAACATGCGTATGTAACACCTTCTATCACATATACGTTGTTAGTTTAATTTTGAATCTTTTAATCGAAACCAATTTTTTTTTTAAGCTTGCATTTTGTGGAGTTAATCTGGTTTTTTTTACCCTTGTCTATAGAAAACGCCTTTTTTGTGATTTTGATAATACTAGGGATAAGATTATACTAGGGCTACGCCCGGGGATTTTGTTATATATTTTTTATTTTCTTATGGTAATTATATAATTTTATATTTGAGCATATAAATTGTTTACATGTTTTAAAATGCTCAAAAAAAAAACTCTAAATTATTAGAAAGTAAAATATATTAATGTCCTACAATCTTCAGTAATACATAAATATATGTCTTATAGTTTAAGAGTTACTGCATTCTTAGTATCAAATTAAAAAAAAGGGGTATAATCTTATCTATGTGCTCTGCCAAAATATGAACATTTGTAGTTAGTTTGTAGCATTTTATTGTCATTAACTTCACCCATAGTCATTGGCTTGATAACCTTGAAAAAAAAGGTAGGTACTTTGCCACATTTAAATCTTAAAATTCCATGTGAACATACATTTCATTTCTCATCTATCTCATCCGGTTTTATTTCCTTTTGCTAAGCTTTAAACTCTTTGTCTCCGTCTTATCACTATTAAATGAGTCCTTCGGCTATAGTTATATTATGCATGGCCATATATATGCTTTTACTTTAGTCACTTTCGTTAATGTATAATTTTCTTCACGTTCATGTTCATGGTTTCTTGTATGATTAAAAAAAAATCAGATTTTTTTAAAATACATATGATTAGATGATTTAATTTTGAATTAGTTAGTGCAACATAGTAAAAGTGAACTTGATGGTGGAACTGGTTATCTTTTCAAGAGAATAAACAGTGTTATACTATTAGCATATGAAAAACACTACAATATCGTTTTAATAAATGTTATGTTTGCCAGAGAGCTATAATAGGGTAACCACATACTATAGCGTTTTATAAATTTGCTATGTCAACAGTGTGTAACTTATGCTATGATTTTCTTTTTCATAACGCAGTTTAAATGCTATACTTATTTATTTTGCAGTTTTTTTAGCTATTAATCAATTATTTTGTAGCTGTTTTCTGGGTTATAATATAACATTTAATTACATTACTTTTAATCAAAATTTGGCATATATTTATATAAAATTTTTTTTATATAAATTAAAATTGTTCTGCAGTAGATATTAAAGTTACTTTTTTTTTCATGGAAAAAATGAAGAACATAATAAGTCTTACAAACTCAAATCTAAAGTAAATCATATATATGAAAAGAGGCCAACTCTCTCCATATTTTTGACATGTGGCAATAAGTTTTGTTTTTTCTTTTATTTATTTATTTAAGAATTGACCTTTCATTTTCGTCTACAGTTTAAAAATTAATAAATTACGAATTTATTGGACGTAAAGTTATATATAAGCCGTCTTTACAAATTCCGCTCTGTCTATCATTTAATCCTCCGTAATCATAATATAAACCTCTAACTCTGTCATCTCTTTTATATTCCTTTCTTTTAAGATGGAACATGAAATATTAATAAACATATTTATAAAATGGTTCAACTTTTTCCGGATTTAGACACGTTAGCATTGTGTTAACTAAATGTGGGGAATCAGAGTTCATTTCATGTGGTCGTGAATAAACATAGAGAGTTATTCATTAAATGAGTGGTATGATGCAAAAATATATATTTGAAATTCAGTCGCTAACCAAGTAAGTTGGAACTAAAACACGAGTTTTGTTGTGTTAGAATTTATAATATTACATATCATATAAAAATATTATTTATAAATGTATAACTATTTTATAGTGTTTTTAAAAATTATAACAACAGAAAAACCCGCGCGTATGCACGGGCATTGGTCTAATCTGAAATGAAAACATAAGTACTACTCCTGTAGAACAAAACCAGCTTTCGATCTCTTCCAGGCTCCAGCATACTCTTTCTCTTCAGTCTTTGCAGCTGTAATAAAAACAATAAAAGAAACATTAGTGTCATACTAACATAATAGAGAAAAGGAGTAAGAAAAATGCAGTACGAGCAAGCCGTTTATGTGGACGATACCTTCGAACTCTCTCTTGATCTCTTCTGCCACACTTTGTGTCTTTCCAGCTGTTTTAAGACAGCAGAGTTGAATTTGATTCATAAAACAATATACAGGATAAGGAAAACAGAGAAAGAAGAGAGGAGAAGTTGTAACCTTGTTCTTCAACTTTGTCCCCGGTTTAATCATTCACCTTTAGTTTTTCAAGACTTTTTGTGGCAACTATGAGTAAGAAACGAAAAAAGAACACATGAACATATTCTTAAATTGTTATCAAAATATAAAAAAACATTTTTTCATGTAGATAATGGTATGTAACAAATATCTTAGAATTCCTGTTCGATGATATCTTCCAGCGTACTTAGATTCTTTGCAGCTGTAACATGACATAGAGGCAGCTTCAGAGACAATGGTGATGGTGGTGTTGCTGCTCTTGCATTGGAGCTACTACTCCCTAGCTTGATTTGTTTCTTTGGTGGTTGCCATGAATGGGTTCTTCTTCTTCTTCATACTCTCATTTCCTTTTGTCTTTGCCATTGGGTACCTACAAGAGCAAATTCTTGGGAAGAAATATGAGTTTGTGATTAATGCAAAAGAAGAATAAGCTAATTGAGTTGCAATAATGATATGGAATAATGGAACAACTCAAGGCTTAATCATGAATCAAAGAACAAAAATGGAAATTTCACTTTTTCAAAATTAATTTTCGGATTTTACTGTTCATCCCAAGATTATGGTGCTTAAAATCGAAATTTTCAGCAAATCAAGAGAAATTGAGTTTCTAATCCAAGTAATCACTAGATAAACTAATGAATTGAAGTATGCTAAGCAATTTCACCTTTGAATAAGGGGTTTGGAATGCCCAATAAGTTTTGTGAAAAACTATTCAATTGTGAAATTAAACTTCAAATAACTCTAAACCACCTAGGTTCCACCTAGCTAAGTTCATTACAAGACTATAAGATGGTAATTTCAAGTTTAGACAAGAGTTTAGACCAAACAAGAAACTTATTGAATTTCGATCTTGCATAAACATAGGATTAGAGTTAGAAGACATACCTTGTGTGTTGAAAAGTGAATAAGGAGCAAGAGCAAGTAAATTCCAATTTAGAGTTATGAACAGTAAAAGTTTTGAAATCAAAGCTCTTAGAGTTCCTCTAATGGAGTTTAGGGTTTTGGAGAAGAAAGAGAGGTTCTTGTTTTTTCAAGGGAAAGGTAAAGTTATAAAGCTCAAATCCTATAATTTTCCTTTTCAAATTCGAATTTTGATTGAAAACCGGTTTAAGTTGGTTTAGATTGGTTAAAACCGGTTTGAATTAATGAAAAGGGGACTTACCTTGGCCGAGAATTTGGGCCGATGGCCGATGGATTTTGTCGCGGTCGAGCGATTTGGTCGGCCGTTTGGCGAGAGAATTTGGCCGAGGCCGAGCGTGTTTCCCGGATCGACCGGCACGGTCGGTCCGTTCCGATACATTTCGGCCGATCGCGGCCTGTTTCCTTCTTGTCCGTGCGCGCTGCGGACGAGTTTGTCGCGCAAGTGATCCGGCCGAGCATACCGGCTCGATCCGGTTGGAAATTTCTCGGCCAAATTTCTTTTGCGCGTCCGCGGCCAATGTTTTCGCGGATTGTGTTTTCACACCTTTTTCTCCTTCTATCCTATCTTAAAACAAAGAAAACACAAAAGCAAAACAAAAACTAAGAAATTAAAGAAAGAAAAGTAAAAGTACCTCATGGGTTGCCTCCCATGCAGCGCTTGTTTTAAGTCTTTAGCTTGACTGTAAGGCTTGATCCTCCAAGTCTTTTCTCCTTGCAATGAGTATCTGGTGGGTGATTCACAGCTGGATAGACAATCTCTCCATGAATGTCCCTTGGCACTACTGCCTTAGGAAAAAGCTTTAGAGTTCTTGTCACTTTCTCCTTGAATCCTTCTAGATTCTCATCAATAAGCTCCTTTGGGAATAGAAGCTTCATGTTGCGGCCAGACCTAGGCTTTCTAACCTTCCTTCTTGGCTTGGCCTCATCTTCAATCTTGGTTGATCCCTTGGGCGGTTTTGGTGTAGGGGCCTTAGTCTTACTCCTTGCTTGTTTGGCAAGCTGCTTGGGCTTAGGAATGGGATCTTCCTTGATTGTTTCTTCAGTTTCTCCTTCTTGGGGTGGCTTCAAAGTAGCTTTCTCCTCTTGGACCATGTCAACAAAAGAGTTCTTTGTTGAACACATAGGGAAGAACATACCCTTGTTCACCTTGTTGAAAGAGATTCTTTGATTGGGGAAATCAAATATGGCACCCACAGTAGACAGGAAAGGGGTTCCAAATATGAGAGGTCTATGGCTACTCTCTCTCATTTCCACAATCTGGAAATCGTAGGGATAGAGCAATTTCCAATCTGCACCATCACATTAGGCACAAAGCCATAGGGGTTTGTGAGAATGAATCAGCATAGTTGATGGAGATGGATGATGGCTCTATCTTGGTGAGGCCTATCTTGTCAGCTATCCTCTTAGACATGATGTTCACATTGGCTCCTGTGTCACACAAAGATTGCTCAAGAATGTTACCTTTGATGATACAAGGCACACAAACTTTCCTGAGTTATCTGTCTTGGGGATAATCTTTGGGAAGAGTCTTCTCTTTCTAGCTCGATTGGACTCTCTCTCTGGGTAATTCTCTTCAGGCCAAATCATGCAATCAACAGTAGGTTTTGAAAGCATCCATTCTGGAACTTGGTCTTCAAATCTTTCTTCTATGGCGGCTGAGTTGCAAAAGGACTTCTTGGATTCAGCTTCCTGTCTCTTAACAGCTTCCATAGTTTGAGTGACTTGAGTCTCTAGTTTCTTCACATGAGTGGCAACAGCATCATACTTGGTGTTGAGATTGCTGAACAAAGTGTCCATCTTCTCATACATCTCTTTATTTTCTCTTCTGGCCATCCATGATCTGTTGGAGGATTCCTTCAAATCTCCCACCTTGTTGGTTTGGAGGAGCTTGATTTGGTGAAGAAGCATATGGCTCCTTGGGCGGATATGATGATCTCTGCTCATATCCTTGCCTTGGCTGAAATTGACTTCCTTGAGATTGGTAAGGAGGTCTTTGTTGTTGTGGATACCTTGGAGGATACACTTGGTCTTGAGGATTCTCCACATTGGGGTTTCTATAAGACATGTTGGGGTTTGGGCGATAGCTTGGATTGTATCCCTTGTTCCCATAGTTTCCAATGTAGTTCACATCTTCTTCATTGGCTTCATTAGAGAAATCTCCCATGCATTCTCTTGATGGGTCTTCATTAGCATCACTCATCCCTTCTATTGCATTGATATGCTTGAGCTGTCCCTTAAGAACTTGAGCCATCATGTTCTTGAGTTCAGTCATTTGAAAAGAATCAGGGGAGCTAGTAGTGGTGCGGCTTGAGCGGTCATAATCAGGACAGTTGTTACAATCACTAGCTGCAAGATTCTCAATAAGAACCTTAGCTTCATCAACAGTCTTGGTCATGAAGTTTCCATTGCTTGCAGTATCCAATGAAAGCTTGTACTTGTGGTCTATGCCACGATAGAAGATGTTCCATAGGTTTCCCTCATTGAAACCATGATTAGGGCAGTCCCTAATGTACTCCTTGAATCGATCTAGCGCCTCATAGAAAGATTCATTAGTGGCTTGGCGAAAGTTGGTGTAGAAGTGGTTGATGAAAGCAGCCTTGTACTCATCCCAAGTGGTATGGAGTGAGCTGGCAGAGACTTCAACCATCTTGAAGCTTTGTCGCCAAGAGAGAATGAAAAGAGCTTGCACTTCAAGTAGTCAGCAGAGACTCCATTGGATCTTGTAGTGCTGCAAATTTCTTCAAAGTTTTCTATGTGATCAAGAGGATGCTCAGCTGGAAGGCCATTGAATTGGTTCTGTCTAACCAATGCTATGATCTGAGGCTTGATCTCATAGTCATTCCTTGCAGGAAGTGGTGGATGGATAGGGTTTCTATCCATGAAGAAAGCATCGGCAGAGTCATAGTCTCCGATTGTAGGTTGCTCCAGCTTGAGGTTGCACATTCACATCTCCAGCAGGGTCTTGTGGATTAGGAGGAGGAGGTGGATCTCTTCCTTCTTCTTGAGCGCGCGCCACTTCAGCGGCGTGAGCGCGAGCTGCTTCGTCGGCCATCTCTTGGGCTTTTGCTTCCTAAGTTGCTTCTCAAGCTTGTCTATCTCTGGATGTTCAACTAGGTTGTCCTTGTTGGACCTCCTAGTCATGCACCTGAAAAGAGTCTTGGAAACAAGTTAAATCAAAAGGGAAAAACAAAAACAAAAGCAAAAATCAAAGAAAAGAAATCAAAAACTAAAATTCAAAAGCAAAAAAGCAAGAAAAAAAAGGTTCTAGACTAGATCCTAGTCGAGTTCCAAAGGTACTGCTGCAGTCCCCGGCAACGGCGCCAAAAACTTGATGTGAGTCAGGTTTTACCAAACTCCTAGACCTCTGCAAGTGCACAGATCGCGGAAGTATGGGTATCGAACACAAGGACTGGCTATTGAGTACACTTTGAAACTATGGATTTTGGATCAAGCTAAAACAAAAGTATGATTGAGGTTGTAATGGTGAACCGAACTAGCAAGTAAATAGGTTGTAAATCAATAAGGAAAAGCGCTAGGTCATAGGGGCTAATCGCAGAGAAGCAAGCAATGATCAATGAAACAATGATAGATGAATTGATTAGGGATATTGGGATATTAAGAACCGTCTAGAACACAGATCACGAATATAAAACCATTCCACTTTCGAGGCTCCGGCTCCTTTGTTAATCTACCTAGTCGCTAAACTTTTGGTATGTCCCTAGGTGATTAAATCAAGCATTAGAATGAATAGGTTCTGATACAGTTCACTAGATTATAGTAGATCAACTTTCGCAGTCTAAGAAACCTAGCTTGTCAAAGAATATGTCCGGCGAATGATACAACACTGTCGAGGCTCAAATCAACCTAAGATCGGATTACTAGATGCGCGGTAAAGCAATCAGCATTAGTTAAGTGCACAAGACGAGACAAAGACTCTAATATAATCCCTAGCTAAACATCGAAATCAAAGATCATGCAAGCAACTCATTGAATAGTAACCCTAGCAACCTAACTAGTGGATTACTCAGACATGATCAAAGCAAACACACATAGAGATGAAGAAAACATGATTGCAATAAAACTTAAGTAGAAATCGATACAAGGGCGGCTCTCTTTCTCAAGAGGCTAAAAAGTTATATATAGTGCTAGGTCTTCAGAGGCGGCTTAGGGTTAAGCCGGGCCGTTGAAAACGTGTGAAACGGGCTTCAAAAGGGCTTCGGGTCGACCGGACGTTCGGACGGTCGGTCGGGACTATCGGGTCGTGGTCGGCTATCGGCACGGTCGGGTCGATCGTGGCCGAGAGTTTTCGTTCGGCCGTCGGGTCGGAGATGGATGGATTGGCCGAAGGTTCTGGCCGGACGTGGGAAGCCTTCCTGGTCGGACGGTGTGATCGGCCACGGGACGTGGTTGTGCGCGGCCGCGAGATTGCTTCCCGGTTCGCGCGGCGCGGTCGTGCGCGGCTTGTGGTGGCAGGCTGAACGGCCGACCGCGGGACAATGCTTCCCGGGTCGGTACGTGAGCTCGGCCGTGGACTTGGCGGGATGGAACGCGGATGTTTGCGCAGGACGATCGTGGTATGTTCGTTCTCGGCCAGCCGGTGTGCGCGGTTGGGCGCGATGCTCGATAAGCCGTCTGGACCAGTCTTCACTCTTTTGATAACTCCTTTTCTACTCATCCAAATGATGTCCAGTTGCGTTGGAAAGTTAACTCACTCAGAGCACGCAGGGAACTGGTCTTGATGAAATCCATTGAGTAGATCTTTTTCTGGGCCCTCTTAAAGTTGATGCTTGTATGGAGCGGCTTGAAGTGCAAATCCTATGGTTTTGCTCCAAAATGCATCATTTCACCTGTTTAGACTCTAGACACTATAAACAATAAAACTACCTTTTTAGATAGAAAACCTGCCAAAAACCATTAGAAAACCATACTAGAATTGAAACAACCAACATTTTTTTTTAAATAAATAATAATCAATTCTAGCGGAAGGTCTTTAAAAATAAATTAAATAAATAAATATCAATAACAAATAAAACAGTTCAGCGGAAGCAAATAATAATTAAACAAGTCTAGCAAAAATAATGCAAAACAATAAAACAGTAAACATCCTATCATCCCCCTCTTCAGCCTTGATTCCGCGATCACACAAATCTTTTACCTGCAACACATTGGAATGGAGTTGCATAAGTATTTAATAAATACTTAGTGAGGCAATCACTCTGCCTACAGGCCATTTACGCAATTACTAGATATTTAATAATATTTATAAACTCCAATAATTATTAAATACCATTTTCCAATTATTAAATAATTATTAATAATTAAAACTCATTTCTCAATTATTAAATAATTCTCATAATTAAATAATAATTTTCCATATTTTAAAATAATTAAATAATTATTTTAAATAATTATTTTAAGCCTCTTAATCAATTAAATATCAATTAAATAATTAAATTAAATTCGAATTAAACCATTTAACCAGATTTTAACCAGAAATCACTTAATTTGAACCAGAAATCAATTTCCAATTGAACCAGACAGAACCGGCTGCGTCGACACCGTCACGTCGACAAAGATATCAACAAAACACGCAGAAACACCAAATTAACACAGGAATCAACCAAACATCATCACATAAACCTATATCATAAGAACACCAAGAACAACATTCAATCAATCCAATCTAGTGATTTGCGGACCTACAGTCATGCACTCACCTTGATTGGATTGAAAAGAGGAAAAGGAGAAAAAGCAGGAAAAAACAGCCACAAATCACCAAGATTCGCTCAAGACACCTCAAATCACCACAATCACCTCTCTTCTTCTTCTCTCAAGTTCCTGCCTCAAAAACAAAAGAAGGCTGCTCTCGACTTTTAACTTAAAATAGGGTTTCCAGCCCAAACCGGCTAAACCGGGCCCAATTGACTTAAATTGAACCGGGTTGATTTTGAACCTTGCGTCGACCGACGCAACCTTGCGTCGACCGACGCAACTTAAACTCACAATGGCTACGGATGTTACAACTCTCCCCCACTAAACTGGATTCGACCTCGAATCCCAACAAACGTCACAAAGACCACAAAAACCCGACCTCGCAAGGCCGCAACACTGGAGATCCTCACCTGATCCCCGAGACATACGTCAAATCCTATGTCATAAGCACGTTCCAAAAATTTCACTCCTAACTCATCATCCAAACACACAAACCACTTGTACTGAGGCCCACTTGCACCCAGACAAGTCCACACCGGTCCGCACTGAGGCCCACTTGCACCCAGACGAACCCGAAACGTCCATACTGAGGCCCACTTGCACCCAGATGAACTAAACTGCTTATACTGAGGCCTACTTGCACCCAGATAAGCTACACTCAACTGAGGCCTACTTGCACCCAGAGAGTCTGCCAGAGAACGAAGTCTCCAAAAACATGATGAGTTATTCAGGATCGCAATCCTTAGAGTAAAAATTCCGGAAAATGTCTATAACCATAAGATTAGACCGTCTCACAACCAAAACTGGTCAAACATGTGTAACATCCGAATACCATTTCACAACACAAGGCAAAATGAGGAAAACTGCATCTCATTAAAACTCCAAAATGTATATCGTTACAACCAAAACGAAAATACAATAACACCAAAGCCAAAACAACTGAGGCTACAAAGATGAAATAAGCTCACTCCTCGACCTGCTTGTCGAACCACTTCCTGAACTTCAACTTCATCTTTGCCTCTGGCTCCCAAGTCTCCTCTGTAGAACCACTGCAATCCCACAAAATCCTCAGTAAGGGAATCCTCTTGTTCCTCAGAACCTTTTCCCTCCTCTCTAAAATCCTCACAGGCACTGCCGGCACTGTCAAATCTGGCTGAAGATCCTCTGGAATCCTAGCCACTAACTCCTCTGTAGGGTGAAGACACTTCCTCAGCATCGACACATGAAAAACCTTGTGAAAGGCTTTCATAATCTCAGGCAACTCCAGCCTGTAAGCCAATGGCCCAACTCGCTCCACTACTGGAAACGGACCCATAAATCGCGGACTCAGCTTGTTCTCTGCTATGGATCTGTTAGGACCCCTCAACATAGCCATCTTGAGATAAACTCTATCTCCAACCTGAAACTCAAGCTCTCGTCTGCGTCTATCTGCATAACTCTTCTGCCTATCCTGAGCCTCCTTCATGTTCAGCCTCACAACACGACCTTCTCTGTCGTCTCCTGAACATAAGTAGCTCCATACATGCTGCGCTCCCCCACTTGGGTCCAGCATAGGGGTGTCCTACATGGCCTCCCATACAAAGCCTCAAATGGAGCCATGCCAATACTCGCCTGAAAGCTGTTGTTGTATGCAAACTCAACTAAGCTCAGGTGATCTGCCCAATGGCCACCCCAATCCAACACACACATCCTCAGCAAATCCTCCAAAGTCTGAATAGTCCTCTCTGACTGACCATCTGTCTGCGGATGATAAGCTGTACTCAATGCACCTTAGTGCCCATCTCTGCCTGAAAAGCTCTCCAAAACTCTGAAGTGAATCTGGGATCACGGTCTGACACAATACTAGCTGGCACTCCATGCAGCCTCACAATCTCTCGCACAAACTTCCTAGCCAAGACAGCAGCTCCATCTGTCTTCTTGATGGCCAAGAAATGTGCGGACTTAGTCAACCGATCCACAATCACCCAATAGCATCGAAAGTCCTCGAAACAGGTAGTCCAACCACGAAATCCATCGTAATCCTGTCCCACTTCCACTCTGGAATGGGTAAACTCTGCAAAAGACCACCCGGAACCTGATGCTCTGCCTTCACCAAGGCACAAGTGTTGCACTTCGCAACCCAGTCTGCTACATCCCTCTTCATCCCGACCCAATGATAGTACCTCTTGAGGTCATGGTACATCTTGGTCGCTGGATGAATGGAAAACTTGCTCGCATGAGCCTCTCCCAAAATCTGATGTCTCAACTCCACATCCTTAGGCACACAAACTCGCCCACGAACCAAGATAGTCCCATTCGCAGAGACCTCATACTCAGAACCAGTCACTCTCGTCGCATCCAGCAAACTCTGATCACTCTGCTGAGCAACTCTGATCCTGCTAAGTAGATCCGCCTGATCCACTGCCTCTAAACCCAAAGGCTCCTGCGAAATGGCACACAAACGCAAGGTACTGATCTCGCCAACCAGAGACTCCACATCTCGCTCAACTGCGGAATCATACCTCCGTCTACTCAACGCGTCCGCCACTAGGTTAGCCTTGCCCGGATGGTAGTTAATGCTCACCTGATAGTCCGCCAAGAACTCAACCCAGCGCGTCTGTCTCGCGTTCATCATCGGCTGAGTGAAGATATGCTGCAAACTCTTGTGATCCGTGAAGACCTGTACTGTCTCACCTAGCAAGTAAGACCTCCAAATCTTCACGCGAAGATCACTGCTCCCAACTCTAAGTCATGTGTAGGACGGTTACGCTCACTGCCCTGCCACTGTCTCGAAGCATATGCTATCACTCTGCCCTCCTGCATCAGCACACAACCAAGACCAATGCCTGAAGCATCTGTATACACCATGTAAGGCTTCCCTGGCTCGGGTAACGCCAACACTGGTGTAGTAGTCAACATCTCCTTGAGCTGACTAAAGCTCTCCTCACACTCAGCTGACCAAACAAACGGGACATCCTTCCCAGTCAACTTCGTCATCGGCTGCGCCATGGTAGCAAACCCCTTGACGAACCTCCTGTAGTATCCTGCCAAACCCAGAAAACTCCTGATCTCGGTGGCACTACTAGGTCTAGGCCAATCTCTAGCCTCAATCTTAGCCTCAACTTAGCAAGAAAAGCTTCTGCTCCCGAAGCTTCTCCAGAACCAACCTCAAGTGAGTCGCATGCTCCTCCTGACTCCTCGAGTATACCAGAATATCATCAATGAAAATGATGACAAACACGTCCAAATACTCCCTGAACACGTCGTTCATCAATCTCATGAAGGCTGCCGGCGCGTTAGTCAAACCGAAAGGCATAACCACAAACTCAAAATGCCCATAACGCGTCCTGAAAGCAGTCTTCCTGACATCTGCCTCATCTATCGGGATCTGATGATACCCCGATGCCAAGTCAATCTTGGAGAACCAAGTAGCACCCCTCAACTGATCCAACAACTCATCAATCCTCGGGAGTGGGTACCTGTTCTTCACAGTGACTCGGTTAAGACCTCTGTAATCGATACAAAGTCTGAAACTCCATCCTTCTTCTTCACAAACAACACCGGTGCTCCCGGTGAAACACGGTGAAAGACAAAAGGTCCTCTATCTGCTTCTTCAGCTCTGCCAACTCAGCTGGCGCCATCCTGTAAGGCGTCTTCGATATCGGTGCTGTCCCCGGCTCTAACTCAATCGTGAAAGGATCAGACCGAGATGGTGGTAATCCCTTCAGTGACTGAAAGACATCCTCAAAATCCTGGACAACCTCAATATCTCCCATAACAACTCCAGCTCCTGACTCAGACATAGAAATCGTCGCCAGATACGCCTCACAGCCCCGCTCTAACAACTGCTCGGCCTGAATAGCAGATATCACAATACTCCCGGAAGTCGGTCTCACTCCCTGATAAACCAACCTCCCTGCATCTCGCTCGAAGACCACTCTACCTCTGTAGCAATCCAGATGAACTCTGTAGTGTGACAACCAGTCCATCCCGAGAATAACGTCATACAGCTCCACCGGACTGATGACTAAGTCTGCTGGCATTGACTGCCCCGCAATCTCGATCTCGACTCCTCTAGCACGGCCCAAAGTAGACAAGAATCCACCTCCCGCCACCTTGACCATGCCCGCGCTCTCGCCCGCGCTACTCCGGATGCCACTCTTCTCGGCACGCTCCGGTGTAATGAAGCAATTCGATGCTCCAGAGTCGAATAAAACGTGGGACTCAAAACCGCCCACTAACAAGGTCATTACACACATGCGTTGAGAACCTCACAATTCTATCACAGACAAAAAGAACAAGGTAAACCACCAAAAATGCGCGTCACCACTCAGATAGTGACAGCTAACTCCACCTGATACTAAACAGACAACTGATAGACTGGAAATTCCGCTCCAATCTCTAACGCCACTAATCTGCCGCCTCTGGGCTAACTCCGCCCTAAAGTACGGCGTACCAATCCTCTGCATGTGCCCCATCATATCCAGATAGGCGGCACCATCAAACCCACAGCCTGCGGCTGAACAAAACCCGCAGCCCTCTGCTGCACCTCTGCCACTGGAGGTACTCCCGGAGCCCCTGTGGAACCACTGGCGGAAAACGAGCCAATAACTGCGTCAGCAAACCCACCACTAAGTCATCACGACCCTGAGCCGGAGCACCCCCACCCGGAGCAGCCCCCGCTCCCAAACCAACACTCGCATCCACACTGGCCTCACTCGCCACGGATACGACTGGGTCACCGACGCAGTTGCACACTTGAAAACCTTGCGTCGCCCGACGCAACTTTTAAAACTCCACAAAATGGGCTACGGATGTTACAAGAATAGCATAAAAAGCATGTAAAGTGGAGGTATATCAATCTCAAGATGGCTATGTTGAGGGGTCCTAACAAATCCATAGCAGAGAACAAGCTGAGTCCGCGTTTTATGGGGCCGTTTCACAGTGGAGCGGGTTGGACCATTGGCGTACAGGCTGGAGTTGCATGAGGTTATGAAAGCCTTTCACAAGGTTTTTCATGTGTCGATCCTGAGAAAGTGTCTTCACCCTACAGAGAAGTTAGTAGCTAGGACTCCAGAGGATCTTCAGCCATATTTGACAGTGCCGGCAGTGCCTGTGAAGATTTTAGAGAGGAGGGAAAAAGTTCTAAGGAACAAGAGGATTCCCTTACTGAGGATTTTATGGGTTTGCAATGGTTCTACAGAGGAGACTTGGGAGCAAGAGGCAAAGAAGAAGTTGAAGTTCAAGAACTGGTTCGACAAGCAGGTCGAGGAGTGAGCTTAGTTCATCTTTGTAGCCTCAGTTGTTGTTTTTGGCTTTGGTGTTATTGTATTTTCGTTTTCGTTGTAACGATATGCATTTTTGGAGATTAATGAGATGCGGTTTTTCCTCATTTTGTCTTGTGCTCTGAAAAATGGTGTTCGGATGTTACATGTGTTTGACCAGTTGTTGGTTGTGAGACGGCCTAATCTTATTGTTATAGACGTTTTCCAGAATTTTTAATCTAAGGGTTGTGGTCCTGAATAACTCATCATGATTTTAGGAGACAGTGGTTCTCTGGGTGTAAGTAGGCCTCAGTTTGAGTAGTTTATCGGTACTGTTCATCGGCACTGTTCTTCGTCGCGATTCGGCACTGTTCATCATCTTTCCTCTTTCCTTCAATTTCAAACCATTGTCAAGGTGAGTGCATGACTGTGGGTACACAGTTTGCTAGATTCAATTTTGTTTGTGGATGTTCTTGAGAAGTTTATGTGTTTGATTGTTATTTTGTGGTATTTTGGTTGTTGTTGTGGTGTTTCATCATTGTCTGGTTTAATCCGGTTCAATTGAATTTAATTAAATTAATTGGTTTATCTTGGTTTAACTGAATTTAATTGATTTATCTTGGTTTTATCAGTTAAATTCAATTAAACCAAGATAAACCAATTAAATTAATTAAATTCAATTAAACCAAGATAAAGCAATTAAATTCAATTGAACAAAAATAACCCAATTAATTCAATTAAATTCAATTGAATCGGATTAAACCAGACAGTGATGAAACACGCAATTCACAACAACAACAACCAAAATACCACGAAATAACAATCAGACACATAAACTTCTCAAGAACAACCACAAACAAAACCGTTGCGGACCCACAATCATGCACTCACCTTGACAATGGACTGAAACTGAAGGAAAGAAGACAAACGTTGAACAGTACTGAATCGCGACGATGAACAGTACCGATGAACAGTACTTCGATAACAAAATTCTGCTCCAAAATTTTGATTTCTCATAGAAATCTCCTCCTTTCTCTTTCTCTCAACTTTTTTGATCTGTTGGTGTGCCAAAAACCCTGAAGAATGACGGCTGCTGCCTTTTAAATACGATTTAAAGTTTTTTTCACTAAACCGGCCCAAACTAGATCACTTAAATTGAATCGGAAATCAATTTTCAATTGTTTGGTTTTCGGATTTTACACCATAAGTAACTCCAAAGTTAAGTGTGTTTGGGTTGGAGTAGTGGAAGGATGAGTAACCTCTCGGGAAGTAATTTACGAAACCGTGTGAGTAAAGTAAAAACACGGAAAAATGTCAGGTGTAGTAAACAAGTTGGTAGAGCCTCTCAATAATAACAAACTGACCGTCCAGCATGGGTGGGGCCAAGAGCCGAGAGAGGATGTTGGTGACTCACCGGGATGGGCAGGGCGTTATTGGTAAAAGCCCCATCTCTTTCTTCAATTGAAATATTAGAGTTTAATGAACCATAACAATTAGGGATTCCGACAAAGGATAAGACGCATCCGAGTAGTGACATGGGGAAATTCAGGATGTAGAGGAAGGGAAGAGGACGAATTCCAAAAGAAAAAACATGATATCACCTTTGTGATTGTGGTGGTAAATGGACGGCCGCTACCAAACCATTATGTAATCAGACCAAGATCATGAATTCATGATGGTGGAACAGGGTTTTTCGGTTTGTGAGGATTCATCAGGAAGATGAAGGAGTAGCATGTGGAGAAAATGGAGGAGAAGCTTCTTAAGAAGGAATAAAAAATGGAGAAGAATATAATAAACAACAGGTTTCTTTAATGTGTTTTTGATTTTCTTTAATATTTTGTTTAATTATTTGACATTTTGGTTTTTGGTAAGTTTTGGTTTTTTCATTCATTTCGGTATTTTGTTTTTGGTACAGTCGGGTATATTTGGGTAATTATACCCGGATCGAATGGTAACCGAATAATTTCGGGTAAAATTCGGTTTTTATAATGTAGATCCAAACATGTTCCAACTAAAACCCAACCCGTATGTTTTTCGATACCTATATGGGCACAAACTTCCAGAGCCTGATAGACCCAGACTCGATCGATACTAACCCGACCTGATCATCGCAGGCCTAACAAAGTTATTAGAGCACCCGCATTGCAGGATTCTGGAACGGTTCTCAAGGAAGAAAAAAAAGAAAAAGTTAAAAATTTATCCATGTGGCACAACTAAACTAAAGAGACGTCTCTTTCCATAGAGCTTAACATGTACAATGGAGAGAGTGCACATGAAGCTCTTTAACAATTAAAAATAAATGATTTTTGAAGTAAATAAAACAAAAAAAAACAAAATCTGACCAATTGTGTGATGACACGTGTAGAATTTACCTTCAAAAATGTCTCCAAAGTTCTTGTAGAAAGAGACGGATTTGGGCTTGGGTTTGACATATGAATATTTCTTTTCCTTTCTTCTTTAATTTTGGGTTGTAAATACTCCCATAAACTCTCCATTACATGGTCTAAGAGAGATATCAACCTATAACTAATCGAGGCCCATCTTTGACCCAATTCAAGATAATCGGCGCTTATCAATACTCCCCCATTAAAGAACTACCTTGTCCAGTTGTCCTCAAGGTAGAAAGAAAATGAGATACTTAGTAGCTATCTCAATCTTCTAGATGACTTCTCCTTTGATCGTGATTGTCATGGTAGCCTCATCTATTTAGACAGCCACACTTACACCACGAAACTACCTTAACTCCTCCAGGGTGCCGTTGTTTTTCGTTCCAATATCCACAAGAACCTCTACCTCACTAAAGAATCTACTAAAGTGAAGAGGAATCCAAGCGGAAAAAAATTAGAGGGAAAAAAATTAATTCCACTTATTTTTATTTCACTCGTATAATTCCTCACTATTCCTCTAACTTTTTCTTTAACACCATTTGAATTTTGCACCATTAATAATCCTCTCATTTGATGATTTATTGGGCGTAACTGTAATTAGCAATTACCATTTTTTGAACTTTTATCATTTTTTTTTGCTTATTTTATACTTATGTTATGCTTAGTTTTTGCTCATTTTTGTCATATCTTTTTTTAATCCATTTTTTTTGCCATTGTCAAAGATGAGATCAATGGACCCTTGGATAAAGCAGTTCTTAAAGAAATGTCTTTTGTTAATATCTAAGAGTTTTCACCAGCCTTACCGAAAATGAGGTCAATTAATCTTCCAATGAAGCATTCTTTGTAGAAATGTCGTCTTACTTATGCCCAAAGAACCCACAACCGTAAAAAGCAGCTTTGTCTCCTACAACTGCCAGAGTCATGGTTGTGTGAGGTATCATACATCCTAGGAATCATTAACCTATATACACAATCAAATCAAATTGATCACAAAGCAGAATCTTTTGCACAAGTAGCCACATAAAGATTGACAATAGTTTTGTGTGTTCTAGACACTAATACAATTAGATCTCCTCTTCATATGGTATTTTAATGGGTTTCTCAACATTAAATAAAATGAAAAGAATAAATCAGAGAGAGAAACTAGAACGAGTTCTTGGGGGTGATTGGTTATTGCTGTAGAAGTTGTAGAGCAAAAACAAATTCTACAGGCAAATAAATCACCAATCATGCTATATATATATATATATATATATTTTTTTTTTCTTTTAAACTCACATACTTTTTTCATTTTTCCTTCATTTTTTTAGTTTTGCAGAGCAAAATTTTCAGAGCATAATTTTAAGGGTTCTAAGTTCTTTTTGTTCTCTCTCTTTCTTTCATTCCAAATATTATTTTTTTCTTTTTACTTTTTTTCCTTATTATTATTTTCTTTATTTTTCTATTTCCTTTTTTACCAAAGTCCTATAATCAATATTATACAGCAAAAAAATAAAGCTAGAGCAACAACCAATCAACCCTCTCATGAGTCACACTTGTCTCTGCACCAATGGTTATTTTTTTTCCTAAATTTATAGTTAAATTAGATAATTAATTTAACGTCAAAAACATGGAACGAAGATTCTCTTAAAAGCATAAGTAACTTCCAGCTTCCAGCAATGCTCATGTGCCACAATCCCTTCAAGATGCTTTAACAAGTTCGTGAAATTTCCCCTCAAACTTTTGGTCGACCAAAAGATCTAAGAAACAATGGCGTTAAACCATATGTTCGTGAAACTTCCCGTGAAATTGCCATAATTGCGTCAGAAAGTTCTAAGAAACAATGGCGAGATTATAGTTTCAGAACGACGCCTGTGAGACCTCACTTAGTCAGTTCGCTTTCGATTTTCTCAGAACCTCAATCACCAAATCGTTCTTCTTCTCAAAAATTAGTTTCGTTCTCTCTTTATGGCTGCTCCTTCATCCTCTTCTTTTTCCTCCAATTCACACAATTGGTTATATGATATCTTCCGGAGCTTTCGCGGAGAAGACGTCCGCGTAGCTTTCTTGAGCCACTTTCTCAAGGAGCTTGATTGGAAACTGATCACTGTTTTCAAAGAGCGAGATCAAGAGAAGCGTATCGCTTGATCCCGAGGTCAAAAATGCAATTAGGGATTCGAGGATTGCTCTAGTTATATTCTCCACTCCAGAAACTACGCATCTTCAAGCTGGTGGCTTAACGAATTATTGGAGATTGTCAAATGCAAGGAAGGGTTTGATAAGACTACAATCGCAAGAGTTCTGTTAAGTCGTCTCTCTCTCCGACGCTTCCAAGGTAGCATTTACATAGATAAATTGGCACTTAACTTAAGTGGTTTAAGCACCTGCAGTTCTGTTAGATGTGGCAGCGTGCGATTGGAAGGAATTCTTTTGCTCTACAAACCCTAGTGCAAGGCACCTATATATTGATTGACCCCCATCCTAAGCCGCCCATGTCTCCTCTCTCTTTTTTCTTCCCTCACTGATGGCTTCCATGGCGATTGAAAACTTGGATCGATTTGCACACGAAATCAGTCATAAAACACGTATCCGGTGGTGGGGCTATCGTGATCAACTTGTGGTGATGAGAATTGGTGAAGAATCTACGCGAAGATCAACCAATTCAAATCAAGGATTCTCTCTTCTCTTTGCATGGTAAATTATCTTCCTCAATCGGGCATATATATTGGTTAAGTAGGGTTTTAGAGTTAACTCAAGCTCTGAAAATGGCATTTCTACCTTTTGTATCTTGTTGAATTTGTTTTCAAAATTTTGTTTTGTTTCGTTTCATTTGGATGTTGAGTTTCCTTGGGGTTTTATATGATTTGTTTTCGTAACATTTTATTTTTCAAACTATTGATTTTTTTTTGGGAGATTTGTGAATATACCCCCAAAAGAGAGAACTATTGTCCCCTTACACTTTTTTTGAAATTTATCAAATCTGGACTCTAATACCCTTACATATGCTAGAAATATGATATAAATATATTTAAAAGTTTTAAAAAATTAAATAAATTAAGTAAAATGATTCTAAGGTTTAGAGAATATTTTCACAATTTGTTTTTGAAATTTGAACCTCAGAAAAATAAATAAAATTTGCATCTACCAAATTCATTATTCAAAGTAGAATTTGTCTTCTACTAGAGACTCTCACATCTATCCCTCGTAGAACATAAAATCTACCAACTGTTCAGCCATCTACCATCGTAGAATTTGCTTTCTACTAAATACTCTATACTCTACGAGTTGGTAGAGTTGTAGAACATTTGTTCTACGTTGTATACGGTTTTCTACCGTTGGTAGAACCTATATTCTAACCTACACATTGTTTTCTACCATCTCTAGAATCTATATTCTATCATAAACAATTTCTTCCACTATTTGGAGAATTCGTGTTCTACACAAAATACTATCTTCTACTATTTGTAGACTTTGTGTTCTCCTGAAAACAATGTCTTCTACTGTTTGTAGAAACTATAATCTACATTAAACACATTTTTCTACGAAATGATAGAATTCAACTTCTACGAGAATCTAAAAAATATAGTAAAAATGGTAACTAAATATTAGAAAATATCTTCAAAAACTATATTTCCTTAATCTACTTTGCCAGAAGAAAAAAAAGAATTCTCCTCACGTTCTTCTTCTTCTTTTTTGCTTTTTCTTATCATTTATATAATTTTCTTTTAGATTATTTGTTTTAATCTATTTTTCTCAGGTTATTCTGTTGCATATCTATATAACATATGGAGACTGAGTGCAATCAAATGGTGGAATTTCGTTGTTGGTGAGGCAAAAGGAACTAGATTACTTGCTTTGAAATATATTTTTCTTTTCTTAAATAATTAATTATTTATTTGTTTATTACACTAATCATTTAATTTCATTTATTAATTATTTATTCATTTGAAAAAATCATGAAAACGTAATTTGAGGGTTTAAATTGGATTTAAAATTTAATTAAGGGTAAGTGGACAAGATTTGGCAAAAAAAGAGTAGATGGACAACTCTTCTCTTTTTCTGGAGTATTTTGCCAAATTTCCCTTTTTTTTTTGGTTTTGGATGCATGTTCCATCGTCTGAGTTTTTGGAAATTGATTTTAATTGGTGAGATTCAAAGTTCGAAACTGGAGTGTCTAGAAATTGACTTTGACTTTGAAACGGTTGTGATAACTCATGGACAATATGCTAGTGTCTTTCTTTTTTGTCATGTAATATGCTAGTGCATGGTTCCAATAAGACTTTATAAAAAAAGTCTGGGAGATACGTTTGTGTATGTTAACTTAAAAAAAGTCTGGGAGACCAAAAAGACATTTTTTTTTTAATGCGTTCTCTGATTTTGTTAGAGAAAAGCCATGAAAATAATGAAGGACATGTAATGTCGTAGAATGTTGATGAAATTCAGATGTTAGAACGATATGTTATAAACTATATAATCTCATGATTGTTCAACATCATGTAGTTTATTTTTGGCCTCACATAAAAATCTTAGTGTCTGATTCTTAAACCAAGAAATTTAGGTGCTTTTGATTAGGTATTTGTTTTCTCTTAATCAAAGTTGTTATTTCATAGATTGTAATGAAAGTACTAAGTTGAGATCTCATAATTAATTTGTTACGTTTAGATCAAAACTTGCAAGATTTAAGGACTCCATGAGATGCTAAGAGCAAGTGCAGCGGAGAATTTTTTACAGTTTCTTCCTCAAAAAATAAATAAAAACTAAATAATATATGATGTGGCGTGCTGAGGTGGAGAGGTGAGAGAAAGCACGTTTCTCTGGGACGAGCTTCTGGATCCGTTTCTCTGACACAAGCTCTACACGTGTCACAGCCTCATTGGTTACTTTTGTTTTTTTTGTTTTTTTTTGTTTTTAATTTTTTTTAAAGAAACTTCTATAGTACCTCCACTGCATTTGCTCTACGGGACTAAGAGCACCCACATCACAGAACGATGGACATACTCTACAGCATTTTAATAAATGATTTGTTTTTTTTAAACTCATTTTCGTTTATAAAAAAAAAAAAAAAAGAAAAAAGAAAAAGATATCAAATCAGATGATGCCACCTGTCGAGTTTCTCCCAGAGACGGTTCTAAGAGCAAGTGCACTAGACATCTTTTCAAAGTCTCTCAAGCCCAAAAGAAAAGAAATAACAGAAATAAATATCCATCTGGCAGTAGCGCGGCCCAGATCCGTCTCTGTGTGGAGAGACTGTGGATACGTCTCTACACGCCAGGTGTCGGCACGAGAAAGCGCCGAGTAAAAAAATGTCGCGTTTGCAAAATGTTTTTTTCTATTCTAAAAAAAACAAATTTCACTTCGGTATCTCCGTCTTCTTCGACGATTCCGAAACCATCGATTCTCCTCTTCGATCTGAAACTTGTGCGACGTTGTTCTTCATCCTCTTCGTCCTCCTCTTCTTCTTCTTCTTCTTTTTCTTCCTCTCGTTATCAGCCTCCTCCTTTCCTCTGTATTGTCGGTGGGGCGTCGGCGTGAAATTGGTCACTCTTTCCTCTCCGATATGTGAAAGCGATTCAGCGATTTTTCAGGTTGGTGCTTCTAATACAAGAGTAGAAGCTGGATTAAGCTGGATTAGTAGCTGTTCTACTTGATTTAGTAGAGTATTGAATAAGAAAATTTGGATTTCTTGACATTGAAAATCTGGGTTTTCCTCTTTCGAAAATGAATTGGACAAAACTACTCTGATTTATCATCATAGATCGTTTGAGTCAGGCCCGGCCCAAGAATTGAATAGACCCTATGCAAAATTAGAAAATAATTGGTCAATGTAGGAGCATTTCAGAATTGTGGACCTTTTCTACAATATTTTCAGACTTTAGGACCCTAAAATTCAAAAGAATTTTTGTAAAAAAACGTGGGACAAATGCAAATGCATTATCAGCCCATGCTTAGGGCCGGGCCTGGTTTGAGTGTTAGTATTAGTGTGATCATGTAACTCTATAGATTCTTCATTTCGTTTATCTTCTCTGTTTAATCTCGTGAATAAATTTGTAGATTATATTAATGATTTAGATCAATAATAAGTAATTGATAGTTCGAGTACTGATGAATTGCGAGTTGGGTTTCGTATCTGTTTCACCTTCTTCAATAAACTCTTGTTTCTCGTTTAATTTGGATAAATGTTGTTTTGAGTTGGGGATTTTGGTCGTTTCCGTGACTTCTAAACCATGTTATTACTTGAAATTTGTGTATACATGACTTGAAAACATGTACTAATACTTGGAATTTGTTTATGGATCTCTTCACTTTGTTCATGTTCTTATCAAATTCGAAGCATTTGCTGTAAATTGGTTTAAAACTGGTCATATGCTTCTTTGTTATGGTTTAAACTCGCTGTTTATTTGGCGTTTATAGACGTGTGTTTATTATGGTTTCGAATACCTTAATTACTCTCTTCTTTTTACTAATATGTTTTCTTTTTTTGTCCACTTGTCTTTGAGATGCCGGTGAAGAAGGAGTTGTTCAAGAAGACAGCTGGTGGAGTTGATGACAACTCCAATCAATTCTCCAAGCTACAGGTTAGGGCTCTTGTATTTATTTTCTCATAGGTTAGGTTGCGGCTGCAGTTAATTTTGTGGTTTTGGTAGATAATGTGTGTGTTTGCTGTTTGTTCCTTATTGGTTCTTGTTTTTTGTTGGTTATTGTTTTGCGCTTGTTCAATTCTTGCTTCTTGTGGTTCGGTTTATACTTTAGTTTCATTAACTATTTTAATTTGTCTCAGTTTGTGTTGCTTGCGTTGCCGTAGAGATTGTAGGTGAGTTTAGGAGTTGCTTAAAGTTGAGTTTAATGCCCCCAACCACTAAAGCGTAGGTGAGTTAATTCAGAAGAAAAACTTTAGCTCGTAGTAAAACAGAAACTTGTCTTGTCCAAATTAATTACCCTAATTTTGCCCTTAAATACACAAACGTGTTTGCTCTTCTTGAATACTCATCCACCATTTTCCTTAAGCTTTCTTCTACTTCGTGTCTTTGTTTCCTTCCTTGATTGCGAAATTGCTTCCAACTCTCCATTTAGCTACAGTTTTACAAACCTCTTGCACCATGCCGGAACACCACCACTAACACCCCTTTTCTGTACCCAAACTCCTACTTTTTATACCCAATCACCAGAACCCGGTACACCACTAACACCAGATGATGAACCCATTGATGAGAGCGCAGCAGGGAGTTCCCGAGAAGCAAGAAAAAGGTGGACAGTGCCGGAAGATAAAGCTCTGATAAGCGCGTGGTTGAACACCAGCAAAGATCCCGTCACTGCGACTGACCAGAGAGGTGGCGCCATTTGGAAACGGGTGACAACCTACTACTCTGAATGTGAAGCTGTGAAGAACATGACTCCAAGGGAGTGGAATAATTGCAAACGGAGGTGGCAGAAAATAAACGAGGGATGTCAGAGGTTTTGCGGTTGTTTCGAGCAGGCAGGACGACAAGCTACAAGCGGCCATTCGGACGATGATGTCTACCAGATGGCATACAAATTCTTCTATCAGGATCAGAAGTCCAACTTCCTGCTAGAGCATGCGTGGAGAGCTCTTAGGAACGAACAAAAGTGGTGTGAGCTAACCAAAGGGAAAGGAAAAGCACATGGCAAAAGGGCGCAGCCACATACCTCCGCAGAAGGCAGTCCAATGGAAGACAAAGTCGAGGTGAGACCCATTGGGGTGAAAGGAGCGAAGGCGGCAAAGCTGAAAGGGACTAATAAAACTGTCCCTCGAACCAAGGAAGAAAGAGAGGCCTCGCTAAAGAAACTTCAGACTGTGGCTGCGTTAAGAGAGAAAGAATTTGAGAACAAGGATAAGTTAGCCGATAAGCAATTGCTTGACACTCTTTTAGGGAAAACCGAGCCACTAACAGAGATAGAGAATGCCCTTAAGAATACCCTAATTACTCGGATCTATTCGCTTTAGAGAATGCCCTTAAGACTTGTTTTTAGGTTTCTATTCGGTTTAGGTTGACTTGTTTTTATGTAATGTTTGATGACTTGTTTGTCTTCAATGTTGTTAAACTTATAAGTCGGATCTTTTTATGTTTCTATTCGGTTTAGGTTGTCCAAGTTTTTATGTAATGGTCTAACGTTTGTTAAGTGACTTTCTCTTGTAATGTTTCTTGGAATTGAAGTATTTATGTTATAATTTTTTTTCCCTTGAACTCTTCTAATGTTTCGTGGAATTGAAGTATTTATGTTATGAGTTGTGTATGATTTTTATGTTTAATGCTTGAGTTATTTGCCTTGTCTTTTTAATGCTTCTTGCAGGACTTGATAGATGCTTACAACTTGGAGAAGCTCCGGTTGGACATTCTGAAAGAGAAACAAAAACGGGTTGAGGAAGCATTCCTGGGATCCTTTGAGCGCTTTAGACTAGTTCATATGAAGGATATTCAGCTGAGGTCAGAGTTGGTCGAGGCAGACGCGGAAGTGGAAAAAGGCGAGGCTGAAACATTGGAGGCTGGAGCAGCTAGCCGTGAGTCGAAAGCAGAAATGGCGGCGTCGGTGCAGCTCCTGAAAGATATCGGTGACGCAATGATCGACAAATGGAAAATGGAGCAGAGAAAACTTTGAAAAGGTAAGCTTCACTATACTCAAACCCTTGTTTATGATCTTGCCGGGGAGTAAGTCAAGATAGATTCCCTTAACTATAGTTCACCTTAAGCTGGAAAGCTTCCCTATCGAGTGGATCAAATCCGAAGCCTTAAGAGCCTAGTGCCATTTGATCACAGAATCCATTGACAGCTGTATAAATGACTAGTATTTGTTTTTCAAAGGGTCCATTGCTCTGTTTTCTAATATTAAAGTCTTTGCTCTGTTTTTTTTATTTATGATCACAGGTCCATAGAAGCAAGAAGACGTTGGCGTTTTCTGGTGTCGGCAAGAAGACTTTGGCATTTTCTTGTGTCGGCCAAAACAACTTTACAATGGACGAATACCTCCGAATCGGTGCGAGTACGGCACTCGCATGCTTGCACAAATTTGTGAATGCAATCATACTTTTTAACGAGGATGACTACCTTAGACGGCCTACACCAGCCGATCTCAAACGATTACTCAAGGTGGCAGAGAGGCGTGGATTTCCCGGCTCATAGGAAGCATTGACTGTATGCATTGGGAATGGAAAAATTGTCCCACGGATGGAAAGGACAATATGCACGGGGCCATGGAAAACCGACAATCGTTTTAGAGGCCTTAGCGTCCTATGATCTGTGGATTTGGCACGCATTTTTCGGACCCCAGGTACTTTAAACGACATTAATGTTCTCCACCGCTCACCCGTGTTTGATGATATATTAGAAGGCGAGCTCCAAAGGTGTCGTTCTCTGTTAATGGACACCGATACAAGATGGCTTACTATCTTACAGATGGTATATATCCGGAATGGTCGACTTTCGTCAAACCAATTCCTCAGCCACAAGAACCGAAAGCAAAATTATTTTGTATCCATCAATCGTTTGCCCGAAAAGAAGTTGACCGCGCTTTTGGAGTCTTGCAAGCTCGGTTCGCAATTGTTAAAAACCCGGCTCTTTCAATGGACAAGAAAGATAGGAAATATAATGAAGGCATGTATCATATTACACAATATGATTGTGGAAGATGAAAGAAAAGCTGGCACTCAACTTAACGAAACGGAATTTCAACCAGGAGGAGGAGACGGAAGCGGGTCTTCTTCACAAACACGAGTCACCAATCCAGCACACTTGCCATCGAATGTCCACAATATTATGGCTAATCGAGATGATCTTCGTGATAAACAAAAGCATCACCAATTGAAAGCTGATTTGGTTGAGCATATTTGGAATAAATTTGGTTAGATGTGGTTTTTAACGTGTTTTCATATCATAGGTTTTTAAATAAGTTTTTTTTCAAACGTGTTTTTATCTATGTATGCGATTTGTTTCCTTTCTTATATGTAATATATGTTTCCTTTATCTTTTTTTATAATGTATTTTACTTATTATGAATATTTTCAATATTAATAAGTTTTTAAAAAGAAAAATTAATTTTAAAGAGCCTCATGTTGAGTTCTCCATTGGGGAAGCTAAATCTCTACACTTGCAATATTAATTTTTTATGCATAAAGTGAGTTTAAAGAATCTCATAGGGGGCTCTCCATTGCACTTGCTCTAAAAGTATGTGGAATGGTAAACATCACATGAGTTTCTTTAATAATAATAAACAAATAAATTTTGGATGACAGAAAAATGATTTTCGAAAGAAAAAAAATGTGATGAACCACGCAGTGACATGTGAAGAAATCATATCCAGAAACGTCTCTACAATCTCTTTGGGAAGAGACGAATCTGGGTTGAGGCTTGACATGTGGATTTTTTTTTTATTTTTTGCTTTAATTTTGGGCTGTAGAGACTATGATAAACTCACCGTTGTATTTGCTCTTAATATTGGCTTTTGTCTTTACAATATTGCATTGTCGTTTTAGTGTTTGTCTCTTCAAGTAGAGAAGTATCTCTTTGTAAACACCATCAAATATGATCAAATCTAAAATAGGGTTTAATCCCAAATCTCTCGTCTTATTCTTTTCTCCTTTGATATCATTCTCAAATATCAAGTCCGTGACTTGATTGTTAGGTCACAGGCTTAACACATTTCTAGAGGAATTGACACGTTTTCCATTAAAACTTAGAGAAATGCAAATTCTACCTAAATGGTAAATTTTAAAAAATTTAGAGGAGTCCAAATAAATGGTAAATTCCACTCATTTTTGTTCTTCTAAAGTGTCAACCATTTACACCCTATTTTTTTTTTTAATATGGTTTTAAGTAATGACAATGTGGATGGTTTATGTGACATACGCGATGACCTTTTTTTATGTAGGCTGGTGAAAACTCTTACGCAAGTAACATTGAAACAATGAAATTACTTACTGACTTAGGACTGGTATCTCGTTTCTCTTTAGCAAAAAGACGCAAACTCTTAGAGCTTCAGTTTGATAAGAGGTTTTCTGTATTTTTAGTCATCCTAGGACAGTGATTTCAGCTTCATGCTGCCCATAAGATATACAGTATGCTATATTGCTGGATAGGGATCATACTGAGCTGGTTATTGACCATCAATATTTTGACAAAAATTAAAACAGAACAACATAATGCCAAGAAGGCAATTTGATTGTCTGTATATATATTTACAGCTTGGGACGAAATTCAAGTTCGGGTAAGGTTTTTTTCCTGTCAACATGTTGTCGAAGAATTTGTTGTGGTAGCTAATTAACACTTAAGAGATTAATGCGCAGGAGGAAGTATGTAAATCAGGCATTATGCATCGTGATCCCAATATACACGTTAGTAAATCCGATAAGGTCGTATTTGTTTTCTTCTACATAAATGGCTTCATTCACAAACATTTCTTATATAAATGGAGAGAAGTGGCTAAAACAAACGAACGTACTCTCGACCGTTCTTGTAATTTGCTCCTTTTCCATAGCAGTTAAATGCTCTCCAAAAGTTACTGTCCTGAAATGCATTTAGAACGTACGTAAGATATTTTTTATTTTTATGTATGGTTTGGAAAAAATTTTGTCGTCGACTATGCATGTATATAGAATGATATCTCTAATATCTGACTGGGTCACCCAAATCATTCCAAAATTCTTAGCTGTCTCTACCGAAATGTTCATCACTACTTTTTTGTCTACAAATTATCTTTCTCCTTAAGTTCTTTTTTTTTTTTTTTTTTTTTGTAGTTGAAAATTTATTAGTTAATTGTTACTCTTACGCATTGCTTTCTCATTATCTATGGCTATGCATGTTTTTTTTTTGTGGGTCGACTATACATGTATATAGAATGATATCTACATGTATTCTATGACAATGCTTATCTAATATAAAATATAAATACATGGCATCAGTTCAAAACTATAGTTTCCTCCACCTTCTAACATTGTTCTACATTTTCTTTTCTTTTCTTCTGTTTCAGTGGTGAAGACCAATATAATCTCACGATGCTTCATCGGACCTTGAACTTTCGTGAGAGATGCGCCAAAAGAAACTCATTCCTTCTCCATGTCAACTTGTAATTTTTGCGAGGGAAGGATCTTATTTTAATGCTCAATGTGAGAGTATTTGTATTCACAAAACCCTCTATATAACATTTATTGGGGTTAGTATTAGAATAGTACTTGACAACAAGAAGAAACTTAAAACATGTAACCCACTCCTAAAGTTTCAAAACATAAACACAAATTAATCAAAACACAATGTATATGCATGTATATAACAAAACCGCTTATGTTTCCTCTCCACCACCTTCAATTTTGAGTTCGTGAATAATTATATAGATGAGTGGCGGCGGCAAGGGATGGGGAGAGGCGGTGGATCCATTCCGGCTAATCACAACAACTCTCCTCAGCCTCCTCCTGCCTCTCTCCTTCCTCCTCCTCAGCCGTCTTTCCTCATCATCCTTCTTCCTCTCTTTAAACGCATCATCTCCTTCATCTTCACCGCCGTTATCATCATTCTTCCTCTACACGAACTCAGCGTTTGTAATCGTCTTCGTTTTTTTACTAAGCGTATACACTCTAGTCCACGCTCTAGCAACCAAGATCACAACCAAAGATCGTAACCGTTCGATTGCTGCCGCTTTCTCTCCACACGTCAGCGTCTCGTGGCTTATCCTCTTCCTTGTACAAATCTCTGTCGTGCTAGGTCTCGAAAGAACGGTCTCTGAGGGAGTCAATAGAATAATCATCAGCAGCGAACGGAGTTTCTTGATCAGGCTCATGTTCTTCTTTGGCCTTCACGAGGTGATGATACTATGGTATCGTGTGATCGTTAGGCCGGTGGTGGACAGCACATTACTGGGAGAAGGGTTTATGATGAGGGAAGAAACGGTGGAGGAGAAGGTGGCTTTTGCCGTGAGCTGCGGGACGTTTTGGTGGTGGAAGCTTAGAGATGAAGTAGAGTCTTTGGTTGGTGCAGCAGAGTGTAAAAGAGAATTGATGCTCTTGTTATTACAAATCGATGGTAATAAAGTTAGTTTGGATGTTGGAACGATGGATTTTGTGAATTGGTGGTTGTATTATTTGGTTGTGACGATTGGTGTGGTTAGGATCGTTAAAGGGTCTTTGTGGTTTGTGATGATTTTGGTTTTTGAACAACGTGGAAGAAGAAATCCATGTGAGATTTCTACTGCTTCTACTGTTTCTAAAGATTGTTCTGTTCATTGTGATGATGAAGGTGACAATCAAGTGTAATTAAACCATTGAATAATAAACTCATTAGTAGAAAGTGGTTTTTTGCGCAAAAAAAAAAAATTAGAAAGTGGTTTTGCTCGAAGATCAAATTCATTAGAATATAAACCTTCTAATGAATCTATAGATTAAAAGAAATCCTTAAACACCAGATTTCAACCGAATCATAGAAAAGGTCATAAGCATTAAGCATAATCTAAGAAGAGATTACTAAAATCACCAAAAAAACTGTGTTACTGTATTGACAAAACAAATTGAAGGTTAAATACTGTAACAAAAATAAAAATAACATTATTTTTATTTTACTTTCTTTTTAGGTCTCCGACGAAAATTTGCAAAAAAAAGTAATTTTAATTTAATTAAAAAAACAAATCGGGACGGGAAATAGAAAATTTCTCTGATGTCTGAAGGCGGTTTTCAGGCGATTTAGAAGGCGATTTGGCAGTTACTTCCAATTTCCATCACGTTCTCCCTCGTGGAGGCGGTTCTATTCCTCTACACGGTCGTGGGGCAGTTAATCGACGGTTCCGCAACGTGTTCCATCTCCGTAGTGGGTTTCGTGCTCCATTACGATGGATCGAGTTCCCCACATAGATGGAAAGATAAGTATAAATTCCGATTAGATCTACTTCACATTCCTCATCACTTAATCATCAAGTCTTTACTTTCATACACGCAAATCTCTCAATTTCCCTTGTTTCGATCTAGGCTATCAATGGCGAACAATCTTCGCAGAGCAATTCAAGATCTCAATCTTGGAATTGACGATGCTCCGGTGCCAATCCCATCGACTGTCTGCCACGAGGCTATCCGAGCGAATCGCTTCTCCTTGATTGGTCGGGCCCTTGTCCCCCGCCACCAGAATCTGAGAGAAATCGTCTCAACACTCCCACGAAATTGGGGTTTGTCTGGGTCGATTGCTGGTCGGGTCATTGAGAGGCGCATGTTTCAATTTGTGTTCCCTTCTGAAGATCTCATGCAGTCCGTTCTCAACCGTGGTCCCTGGGCATTTGGTGATAGGATGCTGGTCCTGAAGCGGTGGACCCCTGAGATGGATGAATTTTATCTAAACTCCATCTCTTTCTGGGTGCAAATTCGTGGAATCCCCTTGATTTTCCTGACTAGGAATGTCATCAATCACATTGCGAGCACACTAGGCGATGTTGAAGTGGTGGATTTCAATCCGGAGGCGGCTGCGGCGGTTGAATTTGTCCGTGTGAAGGTTACCTGGAACGTCGACAATCCGTTGCGTTTCCAGAGAAACTTTCAATTCACGCCTGGAGTGAATACGGTGATCAAATTCAAGTACGAGCGTCTACGCGGTTTCTGTGAGGTGTGTGGTCTCCTAACTCCCGATACGGGAGCTTGTGTTGTTGTGGAGGATGTTCCCGAAGCGGGAGATGATGACAACAACGATAATAATGATGACGGAAACAATGGAGAGGATGGTGATCACCATGTTCACATCCCCGATCCGTTCATCCAACATCTAAACCAACAACCGCGGCAAGGCGATTACAATCAGGAAGATGAAGTGCATGAACCTGTAGGAGAGGAGGGGATGAATGAAGATGTGGAAAATATGAGAGCCTCCGACTTTCATATGACTCCATCTGAGTTAATCCAACCTGTCACATCTGAAGCACATGCATTGCGCAAAAGGCGTTTTATGGCAGCTTTGGTGTCTGATCTTATCCGTGATGAAGAAGCAGGAAGGCAGGAATCTCCAAGAACCCCAAGGTCCGGTGAACCAAGTAGTGCAGAGGAGCAGGAAGATCCCTATATTCCTCAGTGGGTGACTCCGGCGGATGACGAGAGCTCCTTCCAGCAATATGGTAGTTTTATGAATTACAATGTTTTGCAGGACATACAAGATGAACCAAGCATGAAGAAGGCACGTCTCAGTGGGGAGTACGACAACGGAGAATCTTCTGCATCGCGGTCTAACGAGGAGGTATCAAACTCCCTCAGCAAACTCCAAGCTGATTACACGGGCTCGGACATTTCTTCTCCAGACCAAACTCCACAAGACAGAGGCGCGGTGGGCCCGGTTCCACCACCAGTTCCATGAGAGTTGCTGTTTGGAACTGTCGAGGCTTGGGACAGCGCCTCACAGTTCGACGTCTCAAGGAGATACATAGGGTGTATCTCCCAGATTTGCTGTTCCTGGTGGAAACTAAACAATGTGACGATTATGTGAGAGATGTTAGTGCTCAACTTGGTTTCAGTCAAATGCAGATAGTCTCTCCTCAAGGTTTTAGTGGTGGTCTAGTTGTACTTTGGAAAGATCATGTTTCTGTTTCTGTTGTTTCTTTTGATTCTCGCCTTGTTGATCTTTCAGTTGAATACAAAGCTTTTCGTTTTTACTTGTCTTGCATCTATGGACATCCAATGCCTCATCTAAGACATTGCTTGTGGAAAAAATTGCAGAGAATCTCAGTCTCACGCCAAGGTCCATGGATGATGTGTGGCGACTTTAATGAGATTCTGAATCAGTCAGAGAAGAGAGGTGGCAGAGTCAGAGCAGCAAGTAGCTTTCGTGATTTCAACCAGATGATGACTATATGTGATATGACGGATATCAAGCATAAAGGGAATAGGTTTAGTTGGGTGGAAAATACAAGAAATGGAATAGTGGAGTGTTGTTTAGATAGAGTTATGGCAAATTCAGAATGGAGGTCTTTATTTCCTGCTTCAGAAACAAAATTTTTGGATATGGCTGAGTCGGATCATCGTCCGATGATAGTTAATGTTGAGTATGAGGAACGACAACGAAGAAGTCAATTTCGTTATGATAAAAGACTGGTGGATCATGAGGACTTTGTTGATACAATCAATCAATACTGGGATTGAGGGCTATCCCATGTTCAAGAGTTTTCAACGAAGTTAAGTTTGTGTCGCACAAAGATGGCTCGATGGAAGAGAAGACATCGTCTTAATGCAGCAGAGGATATTCAACTTAGTCGGTCTCTTCTGGACCGAGCTCTAAGAGATCCGTCTATTTCATCATCTGAGATCAAAAGACTCAGGTCAGAACTTAATAAAGCTTACTATAATGAAGAAATTTTTTGGAGTCTAAAGAGTAGAAATAAATGGCTTCGTGTGGGTGACAGGAATACAAGCTTTTCCATGGAGTAACCAAGATAAGGAAACCGAAGACATGTATCAAGAGAATCATTGATGAGGAAGGAATCACACACACCAAAGATGAGGCTATTGCAAAGGTGGCTGAAGACTACTTTGTGAAAATGTTCACAGCTTCAGATACGATTCCAGTGGATGATGTAATCCCGACTATGGAAAGGAAAGTTACAGACGAGATGAATACTCAGCTTACGCAACCAGTTACTGATACTGAGATTAAGGAAGCAATGTTCTTAATAGGATCAGACAGAGCACCAGGTCATGATGGGTTCTCTGCCTCTTTCTATAGACAGTTTTGGAATCAAATAGGCCCAGATGTGTGCCTAATGGTTAGAAATTTTTTCGTGACAGGGACTTTGGAACCGCGGATGAATCATACCCAAATCTGCCTCATCCCAAAGATTACTGATGCGGATCAGATGAAGGATTATAGGCCAATAAGTTTATGCACGGTAAACTACAAGATAATATCTAAGATATTGGTATTACGGCTGAAGAAAATTTTAGATATTGTCATATCAGATACTCAGGCTGCTTTTGTTCCAGGTAGACAAATTACTGATAATATCATGGTAGCACATGAGATAATGCATGCACTGAAGTCAAAAAAGGATTGTGCAGCAAAATATATTGCCATCAAGACAGATATTAGTAAGGCATATGATAGGGTGGAATGGGACTTTCTAGAAGCTGTGATGATGAAGATGGGTTTCTCTGCGAAGTGGACTAGTTGGATAATGGCATGCGTTAGATCAGCCTCGTTGTCGGTGCTCATCAATGGCTCAGATTATGGCTTCATTCAACCAAGTCGAGGAATTCGACAAGGTGACCCTCTATCACCTTATTTGTTTCTCTTTTGTGCTGAAACATTATCCCAAATGCTTGTCCAGGCAAAAGTGAAAAAGGAATTCAAGGGTATGAAAATAACGAAACATAGCCCATCTATCTCACATCTATTATTTGCTGATGATTCGTTATTTTTCTGTGAGGCAACGAATGAAGACTGCTCTCGGATAGCACGAGTCTTGAAGGATTACGAAGCAATTTCAGGTCAGATGGTTAATCTCCAAAAATCTTCAATTATTTTTGGAATGAAGATTTCACATACGAGAAAAATATTAATTCAGAGCATCTTGGGCATCAGGAATATAGGAGGGGGAGGGAAATATTTGGGACTCCCAGAGCAATTTGGAAGAAGTAAAACAGAAGCTTTCCAGGGTTTGGTGGATGGAGTGAAGAAAACGGTGAATGGGTGGGTCAATCAGGTTTTGAGTACGGCTGGCAAAGAAGTTTTGATAAAATCATGTGGCACAGGCGAAACCGGTATATTCTATGAACTGCTTTCTTATCCCTAAACAAGTTTGTGCGAAAATAGATAGTATTTTGTCTGAATTCTGGTGGGGCACTATTGATAATGGGAGAAGAAAAATCTCATGGATAGCATGGAAACGTTTAGCTATTCCAAAATGTGAGGGAGGATTGGGATTCAAGGACTTACATAGTTTTAACCTTGCTTTGTTGGCAAAACAGGCATGGTGAATCTTGCAAAATCCAAACTCGTTGCTAGCTAAAGTGTATCGTGGAAGATACCAAAAATCATCGACATTCTTGGAGTCGGTGTGTGGAGTTAATCCGTCTTATGGATGGAGATCAATTCAAGCAGGTAAAGACTTGCTAAGAAAAGGGTTACAAGTGCGTATAGGAGATGGTAAGAGCACAAGTGTATGGGAGGATCACTGGTTACCAGTTCTGCCTCCAAGACTGGCTACAAGAAGGATATCACAGAGTCAAATGAAAGTGGAACACTTATGGAAACCGGACCTTACTGAGTGGGAGGACACAATGTTAGCTTCCGTCTTAACTCTTCCGGGAGATATGGCTTTAGCAAAGACAATCAAATTATCAAGGTATGCGTCACATGATGAATATTATTGGGCATATAATACTGATAGAGTTTACACTGTCAAGTCAGGCTATTGGGTTGCAACTCATGTAAGGCAATATCAGGAGCGATCCCCACTGGAGAACGATTATGCTCAAGAGGTATGAATCTAGATCCTATCTGTCAACGATGTTGTCTTCATGATGAAACAATAAATCATCTATTGTTTGAATGTCAACATGCACAATCAATATAGAGGTGTGCAAATATCTCCACATTTGATGCTGCCAATGTGGAGTTAGAGGATAATATGAGAAGGATGTTGTCAATATTGGATTCATCACAACTGCCAAATGAGGTACGTCTGCTTCTCATATGGATTGTGTGGATGATATGGAAATCACGAAATGAATTTCTTTTCCAACAGAAGACAACTCATCCTAATATTGAAGCAACTAGAGGGATCAATGCGTTAGCTGAATGGTTATAGGCAAATCCAATGGAACAAGATGACAGAAATGTCCATAGATCTCCTTCATCTCAATGGGAGCCACCTCCTATCGATTTTCTTAAATGCAACTTTGACAGTAGTTACTGTCGAGATTTAGACTACATGAGAGTTGGTTGGATCGTATGGGATTCTAATGGGGCATATTTAGATGCAGGTTGGCCAAAACTAAATAGAGTGGGATCAGCTTTGGAGGCAGAAGCAACAGGTTTTCTCTATGTCGTTCAACGTATGTGGAGCAAGGGCTGGAGACAAATTTGGTTTGAAAGTGATAATCAGGAGCTCACGAGGATTATTAACAAACAACAGCATCATGTGGAGTTAGGTAACTTAATCTTTGATATCCGTCACTGGATACAAAAATTATCTCTTTGCTCTCTGGATCATGTAAACAGGGAGAAAAATCAAGCTGTTGTGCTCGAAATTTGTCCATAGTGATTCCCTTGTTTCTTCTATGTTTTATGTAACTCCACCATTTTTGTTGGTGAAATATTTGTATTTTCCATACACTATTTAACCTAATAAAATGTAGATGTTACAAAAAAAAAAAAAATATTATTTTTATTTTTGTTACAGTATTTAACCTTCATTTTATATGTGAAATTTTAAAAAAAAATTGAAAAAATTTATTACATGTTAATCAGATAGGGTTTAAGGTCTGAATCTGATACAATTTGAAAACTTCCTCTTCCTCTTTCAAATTAAAAAACCCTAACGTTTCTCGACCTTTGCACCGCCACTTCCAATGGAGTCTTCATCAATCGACGAGCTTCCTTCCGCCGCCGCCCAGCTTCCCTCCGGTAACATTCCCGCTCCCGTCGAACCAATTCAATCGTCCGATTCAAATCCCACCGACGACGTTCCAATGGCGTCATCATCAATCGACGAGCTTCCTTTCACCGCCGATATCACTCCCACAGTCGCTCCCGTCGAGCCAATCTCATCGTCCGATCCAAATCCAACGGACGAGGTCGAATCCGTAGGGGAGAAACGGAAGCGCGCCGACGATGAGAAGACCAATCCGGAATCATCGGACCCGAATCCTACTCCATCGCCGTGGTTTAAGACGAGTCTCTGCTCATACTTCAGGCGCGAGGCTAGTTGCAGCCATGGAAGCGCGTGCAGGTACGCTCACGGCGAGAAAGAGCTCCGGCAGAAGCCTGATAACACGTGGGACCCGACTTCCGAGCGCGGCAAGAAGGCGAAGATGTCGGAGAACGCCGGGAAATCGGCGGAGGATGAGGAAGAAAACGGCGAGGTTCTGTTCACGGAGGAGATGATGGACGAAGAGTGTGGAGAGAATAGTGTTCATGATCTCTCGCTAAGTAAATGCTTAGTTCATTTACCCACAAAATGGCAATCTGATGATTTGAAGAAGTTTGTCAAAGAGCAGGTAAAAGTTTGAGTCTTTTTAATTTTCTTAGATATGAAACAGAGAACCATTGATTAGTCTCTTAAGGTTTTAGCTATGAAACAGAGAATCGTTGATTAGTCTTTTAGAGTGAGAAGTATACTTAGCTCTTTGATTTCAATAGATGTTTAGATATAGAAAAATGATAGATTGAGTTACTGAATCACGAGCAGGTAAATTTTTAGTCTTTTTAAGGTTTTTTATATGAAACAGAGAACCATTGATTAGTCTTTTTGGAGTAAGAAAGGCACTTTGCTCTTTGATTCCAATTGAAGCAGATAGATTGAGTTACTGAATCAGGAGCAGGTAAAGCTTTAGTCTTTTTTAAGGTTTTTAGATATGAAACAGAGAACCATTGATTAATCTTTTTAGAGTGATCTTTGACTCCAATAGATCTTTAGATAAAGTAAGCATATAGAGTGAGTTACTGAATCATGAGTAGGTAAAGTTTTAGTCTTTTTTGTAAGTTTCAGATATGAAACAGAGAAGCATTGATTAGTCTTTTAAGAAGTATACTTAGCTCTTTGATTCCAAAACAGATAGATTTGAGTTATTGAAACATTCATTTTTTTTTCTTTCTTCAGGGAGTTGAGTTTAAGTTTGCGAAGAAAAGAAGAGGAATGATGGTTGGTTTCTTGACATTTGAGAACGCAGAACAATTGCAGAGCGGCGTGGAGGTGTGTTTTTGTTACCTTCCTTTTCGAGATATCTATATTTCTGTTTGTTTGCTTAATAGTGTTCTTGAATGTTTTAAAGATCTTGGAAGGAAAAGCTGTGAATAGCAAGACTTTAAAGATCGCTGATGTCCTTCCTCGTTCAAGCGACAAGAACAACAACGGAACGAAAAACCCTGCGGCTAAAATCAAGAGTGCTCGTGAAGCTGTGACTCCATTGGCTGACTTGTCTTATCCTGAACAGCTTGAACAGAAAAAGGCTTCCATCATGCAAACGCTGAAAAAACTTGTAAGCAACTTTCTCATTTTTTTCTCTTCTCTAAGCTCCATTTGCCGTTTCTAGTAACTCCAATAAGCTGATTCTTGTTGGAAATGCAGACGAGGAATGCTCGTAAAGCTTGTCCAAATGGAAAATCACTTCCTGAATGGGTTCTTCAGTCCAGAGAAATAGGTAAAGAAAAGAAAACTACACACTTAACATTTGTTGAATGATCTTTGAAAGTTTTAACTTCGTCAAAACATAAAACCATGCAGGTGGTCTTGCGTGTAAGCTAGAGGGGATTATAGAATCACCGATAACGCATGGTTACAGGAACAAGTGTGAGTTCTCGACTGGATATTCCGTTGATGGGAAGCTAACTGTTGGATTCATGCTCGGAAACTTTAGGTATTGTATACATACTTTCTTCCCCTGAAACTTGTGTTTTGGGAAGAACTAATGCAGAAATCATTCGCAGTGCGGGCGTGACAGCAGTGGAGGAAGCTGTGGATTGTCCCAACATCTCTAAACTAGCTTGCAGATACGCTTCAATCTTTCAGAGCTTCTTAGAGAAATCAAAGCTTCCGGTTTGGAACAGGTTTAAAAGCTGTGGCTTCTGGCGACAGTTGACGGTATTATGTGTATTTGAGTAGATACTTTGTGTTGTTAAGTTATGTTATAATCTCATTACTCAAAAACCTAATTCAATCTTTTAGGTTCGAGAAGGGAGAAGACCTGGTGTGTTTTCGAACGACGAAGACGTCGATAAAAGAATCGCAGAGGTTATGCTTATGGTTCAGGTTTGTACAACTGGCTCTGATGAGGCGGAAGTAGCCACCGAGTTTGATGAAATGGCGAAAGCGTTTGCTCATGGAGCTAGAGAAACCTCTCCTCCTCTTCCTCTTACTGTATTAGTTGTTCAGGTGATTTAACTTCGTCATTGAAACCGCTTTCTTGGCTCTAAAGCTGTTTCTTGACTCTTAAAGTCTGATATTTTTGCTTTCATGCTGTTCAGGATCACGTAGGAATATCAAACGTTGCACCACCAGATTGTCCAATACGAATGCTTCCTATTCCAAACCAGGACCAATCCACTACTAATGTATTGACGGAAGAAGCTCGGATTCACGACCATATCAACAACCTTCGTTTCAGCATTTCCCCAACAGCATTCTTTCAGGTTAATACCAGCGCCGCAGAGAAGTTGTATTCGCTAGCTGGTGACTGGGCTGACCTCGGTCCAGACACTTTGCTCTTCGACGTATGCTGTGGAACCGGAACGATCGGTCTAACACTTGCGCATCGTGTTGGTATGGTGATTGGCATTGAGATGAATGCCTCCGCTGTCTCAGACGCTGAACGTAACGCAAAGATCAACGGCATTAGCAACTGCAAGTTCATCTGCTCAAAGGCATGCATGCATTTAACAATAAACACATCTCTTATTAACCTTGATCCTCCTATGGCTCTTCTTGATGGTTGTTCTTCTTTTGGCTTTTAACAGGCAGAGGATGTTATGAGCTCTCTACTCACACAGTACCTAGACGCGCCTCAAACGGAAGAAGCCAAGCCTGAAACGTCAAACATTCAAGAACAAGAAGATGAAACCAAGAAACCACCACAGTTCAAGAACGTGGTTGCGATAGTGGATCCGCCACGTCCCGGACTTCATCCGGATGTGATCAAAGCGCTAAGAACTCATCCGCGGTTGAAGACGCTAGTGTACATTTCATGCAACCCCGAGACGCTAGCGGCGAACGCGATAGAGCTCTGCACGCCGTCATTCGAGAACGTAGATCAAGGAGGGAAGCAGAGTTACCACCAGAGACAGAGGAGGATGGGGACTAGCGCTTTGGCTAGACACAGAGCCAAGAAAATGCCAGCTTCCGAGCCTTTTAAACCTGTCAAAGCCATGGCCGTTGACCTTTTCCCTCACACTGATCACTGCGAAATGGTCATGCTCCTCAATAGGTAAATCAAATGTAATCAGATATGAGAGAGATTCATCACCAAAATGCTCTGTTTTTGCGATAAACTTACAAAATAAAGGATTATATATGCTCTGTTTTTCTTAACAAGTGAGAATCATCATGAAACAAGTTTTTGATTAAATAACGAACAAAAATGTCAACTTTTACTTTTAAAGGAAGTCTGATTGATTGTTGAAGTAAGTGTAACGAGCTCTGGTTAAGTTATCTCTACGTTTCTTGTAAACGAGAGCTCCGATTACGATCGCGCCTACTGCGAGGATCGCTCCGATGGCGAGTCCGGCTTCCTGCAATCCGGTCATTCCGTTACCGTTGTCTTCTCCTTCGTCGATTTCTTGTCCTTCCTCGCTTGCTTGGATGTCTTCTGCTTCTGGTTCGTATTCCGGCGATGGAGCTGGCGTTGGAGATGGGAAGTACTCTGTTTCCGGCACGGGATCTTCATCGTCGGCGGCATCGTCGGAGGGAGAAGGAGCGGGAGATGGAGAATCAGAAGACGGTGATGGAGATGGTGTTGGAGCCGAGGGAGATTCTGGCTGTGGTGGTGAAGGAGAATCTGCTTCCGGTGAAGGAGAATCTGTTTCTGGGGGTGGAGAAGGAGAATCTGCTTCCGGTGAAGGAGACTCTGTTTTTGGTGGCGGTGAAGGAGAATCTGCTTCCGGTGATGAAGTCGGTGGCGAATGCGATTTCGATTGCGGTGGTGAAACCGGTGAAGGAGACGTTGGAGAGGAATGTGATTGTGGGGATGAAGAGGTTGAGGAAGGAGAATCTGCTTGGGAGTCACGTTTCGGAGAGACGGCCGGTAACGGAGAATCCTCTTGAGCGTTGGAGAAATCGACGATTAGGAGACAAATAATTGATAAAATGAGAATGAAACCGAACTTTTTAGCCATCGCCATGGTGAGAATTCGAATTTGTAATCGTTTTTTTTATGAGTTTTCGTTTGAATGTGGATTCAAAGACGTTTGTTGAAAATGCCGATCGAGGAATGTCTTCTCTCGTTTTTTTTTTTTTTTTTTGGTTTTTTTTGGGTATGTTTGAGAGAGGCTACGAAGAACTAGGGAGGGAGAGAATGAATATGAATCAATGCATGTTTCTGTAAAATTATACAGTTGAACTTAGACAAATTAGCGTTGACAAACAAAAAAAAGAACTTAGACGAATTTGATGTGTTTGTATTATTATTATTATTTTTTTATTTTTTATGATGATGCCACCCATGTCTAACGCATTCACCATTAAAACTTGGATGCATGATGTCTCTATTTCATTTGTTTTTTTAACACTTGTGGATGGATGTACTTATGCAAATTGATGATCTTTGAATTTTGAAATACATTTTTGTTTTTTTTTTGTTTAAACTTCAAATAAAACGTTGTACAGAATGTTACAGTTATGGGCCTTAGCCCATAGTTGGCCCAATCGATATGCTCGAGCATCGTCGTCGTCTTCCTCATTTGTTTTTGTTCTCCGAAATTCGCAAGAACCCCTTTCCGTTCCCAGCAAATCTTAACCATGATCAGCATTCTCGCTCAGGTTTTTCCTCTTCATCTGAAATTTCTGGATTTTTTGTTTTACCTTCTCATCGAATTTGATTGTTCTATCATTTTTTGATATTCGTCTATCTATTTTTTTTACTGCTTTTAACATTCGTCTGTAGGAGCGTCTTCTCGGTGCCACGCTGGGTAGTGCCTTGACCGGATTCGTCATTTTGGAGCAGCGTAAACGCATCCATGAATCCGTCGCTGATCCTAAATCTCAGTCCCTCGATCAATCTCAGGTCAATAATACCTACTTTTCCCCTCTCTCTCGTTTCTAATCGCGGCGTCACAAGTCCCTCCTAAATATCAATCAACTTTTTCCGTGAATCCTGTGAAATTTCATCGTGTTTATCCTTGAATTGATGAAGATCTCGGTTCCTATTTCGGGGATTCAATTTTGAAAATTGAGAACGTTGCAATTGCTTAAGGCTTTGAGCCACTGCAAACGCTTTATCTGTTACATTTCATTCTCCCAGATCTGCGTTGAGTGATAGATAGAGTGTTAGCTTCTGATTTGATATAGACTTGCTGGATATGAAATTGTGTTTACAGTTTTAGAGATCATTGCTGGATTTGTAGCTTTGAAAACTTGAGAGATTCTTTCGTTCTTTCTTGCAGGTGGTGAGAGACCGCATATTCGGGAAGAAATATCGAACGGAGTTTGAATCTCTGTGGAACAAAGCTGTGAATCAGACCTTTGAACCTGCTATTGCATATCTTAGTTCACGTAAATGGTAGAGATGCATAAGTTCTATGCTCAAATGTCAAAACTAAAACAAGACTAATGAATCGTGCACTCGATTCTTGGTTTTTTAGATACTATGATTTTGGGAATGTAGACACTTCACACTCGGTTTGTATTCTCTGTTTCGCTACTTTCTTGAGCAGAGAATTCTTGTGCGTACTGAAAAATGTTCAAGATCTTGCTTTGGCTTAATGATTGAGAGGTGCTGTGATCTATGATTTGTTATTGGCAAGTGATCAATTTTATGCAAATTTTAGATACAAGCTTTCAACAAGTGTGAAGAAAAGCACATATTTCTTCCACTCTCAAGTATCATGTGTTAGGTATGTTCTTGTTCTGATGAAGCCAAAGTGGGCCTCCGAATTTGAACAAATGGCAAAAACATTCTGCTATAGTTGTCAAGGTGATCACTTTTTCTTCTCTAGTTTGACAACGTTATGTGTCTTACCGTTGAGTTTTTTTATCAACATAACAATCTGAAAATAGCTCCAATGGCGATTCCCGCCTTCTTTGCTTGTGTGATAGAGTAATTGATAAAGAGTAATAGCTTAGCAAAATAGAAGAACAAGTAGGAACAAAAAGAGACTAAACACTATTACGAATTGGTCTGAAGCACTCTAGTATCCTTATGCTCGGAGGATCCACCAAGAGCAACAGGAGGTGCGTGACGGTCTTCCGGAAGACGTATAGCATCACCGGAACCCGAATCTCTCGGCTTAAGCTCGAGGTTCTCGCAGTTACAAATCTCGACCATGAAACCATCAGGATCGTTAAAGAAAAGCTGGTCGATCGCTGCGTCTTTCTCATCACCGACCGTTCTTTTCATGTACTTGACGTCCACTTCCTTGAGCCGTTTCTCCAGAGCTTCCATGTCTTCGCACTGAAACGAGATGTGATTGTCCATGGGGTCCAAATGGTCAGTGTTCTTCGAAGGCAGCTTGTTTTCGTCTTTGACTTGCACCAGATGGATCCCGACGCCGTAGTTGAATAGCCACGCGCCGTCGAAGTCGAGAGATGCTGGACGCTCTGTCTCCACGAATCCCAACACTTTTGTGTAGAACTCTAGAGATTTTTTCACGTCTTTGCAGAGTCTTGACACATGGTTTAACGCCATTAGTGGCGGTCTTGATTCATCGTCGCCTTTCTTCTTCTTCTTCTCCTCCATTGTTAGATTTCTTGAGTGATGGCTTCGTCTTGAAGAAACGAGTTTCTACCTTAAAAGCGGGAGCGGCTGAGGTTGGAAGGATACGTGACGTGCGGCTGAATGGGAAGCTTGCACGTGTGACAACATACTGGCTCTCGTGTCACTATCTTCCTTCACCTTCTCATCATATTCTATTAGGCCTAAACTTAATTTTGTGGAAATTTTTGTTAATTCTCTCCTACATTTTCATCAAATATATGAGCAGGTTTTTGTATGTCCCAATTTTAATTAAATGAATATAATTTTTTTCTTGTTAGTGTAGGACAAATCCTTTTATGAAGTCTCCTACATTTTCATCAAATATAGTTTTTTTGGCTTATGTGACAGGGTGTGGAAATACTCTGCAATGAACCAATGCATATGGAAATTTAAATACATAATTTCAAGAAAAGTGAAGAAAAATAAAACACACATTTCACACTCAAAGTCTAGCTATATATGCTCTATTCTGGTATCAGCTCAAAACACTAATCTCACTTTAGAATAGTTCACATTAGTACGGCCAACACAAGTCCAAAGATGCTCACAACAAAACCACCAGCTCCTACTCCGCTTCTAGAACCAGTTGACATTGTCACTATTTCACTCTCCTGTGCTTTTGCAGAAGCCATGGGGAGAGGCGAGCAGCCAGATTCTTCAGAGCAAGGGTCTAAAGTTGCATCTGGCTGTACGTGAAAGAAGTCAAATGCAGAAGGTGAAAACGCCACTGGGGTCTCATAAGCCAACCCGTGAGGAGCTCGGTCTTGCGCTAAGGCCACATTTGTGATTACTAGAGAAGAGAAGAAGAAGATGAGGCAAGTTTTTGAATTCATTTCTCTCTTGCTTAGCTTCAATGGGTTCCTTGAAAGTGTAGAAAGGCTATATTATAAGGTTGTTGCTAAGGTGGGGGATAGTGTAGTGAGTTTGTTAAGAGTTTGAGGTAAGGTTTGGTATTTATAATGTGATTGTGAAATAAAGTGGTTGTTGCTTGGGATTAGGTTTGGGTGGTGAGAAGTGAGAACATTTACAGTAGGGAACAATATGATTTCTTTACCTTTTCCCTACATATTTTTTTCCCTTTTTTCTGTTTCTTTATGGTCCAGCAATTTCTTAGTTTTCTTTTTCTAAACCCAAAAGATCTCAAGATTTTGTTAAATTAATCTTGGTTTTGATCCCAAGAACCACAACATTGGTGTTATGAAGGTTAAATGCTGAATTTAATTATAACTTTATATTAGTAGTAGATATGGATCATATGGTCCACATTAGTTGTTAGCGTCAGGCATAATTAGGAAGTCGGAACCATCATTAGACTTTGGCATCCTATAGTTAAATTTCAAGCTCTTCCTCCCTTGAAGGATCAGCAACAAATTTATATTTTTTAATAATTATAAACTAAGTTATGTGAGTGAGTGAGTGAGTGAGTGAGTGTAATAATAACACACATGCCATATAAATTAGAACAAACCATCGATCTCTTATTTATAAATGCACAGGAGGGGTCAAGCATGCATCTCTTAGCTTCACGCCTTCTATTGATGTTTGTGAGTTTTTGTGCACGAGATTGAATCTTATATCTTACGTTTTCTACTGTTTCATGTGTGGGGGGAGGAAGATTAAATTGTTAGTTGAGTTTTTAATTGGGTTCACATGTATTGTCACGTTACATTTTAGCTTTCATTTTTCACCGCTGTGTTTTGTAATTCACATGATTTTCCTCTCTTCTCGTTTAAAGACATAGGATTTTTCAACTTTGTGTCGCTGATGGAATTATATCGAGTCTATAGAGTTATTATTCCTTTTTATTGTATGTACTAAATGTATGTAGCATAATTCTGATATGTATCTGCAATACCGCCGATTGATTGAAACTGATTTTGAGCGACAATTTTTGGATATATATATTTTTATTTATTTATGACATTTCATTTTTTATAGTTTTTATTTAACATGAAAATTTTATTTATAAGAATATAAAAGGCAAAAACTTGGTACTTGGATAAAATTAGAAACTTTAAGAATCGAAATCTAAGGTGTTACATAGCTTTATTTATATATATGTTTGAATATGTACATTTAACTTATTATATATACAATTACACTTTGTTCTTTTGAAATAAAAACTAAAACTAGTAGAGGACCCGTGCAAATGTGCTGTGTGACGTTGCGGTTTTGTGAAGAAAATCTAAATCCTAAACCCGAGCCCGACCCAACAACCCTAATCAAAATTTTAAAAAACTCAAACTTTTTTAATATGTCTAAACCGGAAAATCTGAAATCCAAACAAATCCCGAAAACCCTGAACCGAATAAAAAAAACTCAAAAAAAAATTGACATGAAACCCGAACCCGACCTAAAAACCCTAATCAATTAAAATACCCAAACTTTTTTAATATATTTAAACCTGAAAACCCGAAATCCAATAAATCCGGAAACCCCTAAACTGAACTAAAAAAAACTCGAACCCGAACCGAACAGAAATTTTTTTTAAAAAAACGAACAATTTCTATATCTCTATAAAATTAGGTCTGAAATTTTCACCCGATATATTATGTTAAATTTTCTTTTTTGCAGATTTTTTAGAGTTGGAAAACGGAAGTTTTCTAAACCATCGGTTTGTTTTAAGTTATTATTCTTGTATCCAAAAAAAAAATTCCATTTATTCTTCTATCAAAATAGCTGTTTCTTTTATTCTTGTATCCAAACATTACAATGTTCTAAATTGACCCTCATTAAACATGTTGCCAAACACTTTCTCTTTATAATTACACTGATTTTTTTGTCAGAAATTTTTCATATACTTCTCAAATAATAATATAAAGATACTATCAATTTGTTCATCATAAAATAAACGTTAAGAAATTAAGGAACAAGAAAACAAAAAAGAAAATCAAATTATATCATCTACAATGAAGATATTCTTTCAAGTTTCGTTCAGTGTTTTAATTTTCTTTTCCATTCTTGTGCTAGGTTTGAATTTGGTGCAACAATTTTAATTTAAATATCTCCATTTGTTTTAAAATTGAATGTTTAGTGAATGAAAAATGGACCATATTCTTTAAATCGGAGGAAATCAATGAGAATAGTGGGTAAAATGCTTAAAATCTTGAACAAGTAATTTTGATTTAGACTATCTCCAATGTATTCTCTTATTTTTCCCCTTACTTTTAGTGTTCCCTTATAATAGTGTGATGTTTCTCTCCAATGTATTCTCTTATTTCTTACACTAAAAAAAAATATGTTATGGTATATTCTAAATCAAAATTTATTATAAAAACCTTTTATGTATAAGTTTTACAAATTAACCCCACAAATTAGCAATTTACGTTTTATTAAATTGTTAGTCTATGTTCTTTTAATAATTTGTATGTGCTCTTAAATTTTTTTTTTAATAATTTACTATTTATCTATTTATCTAGAGTTTATTAATATTTATTTTGTAATGAATAAAATAGGAATTTAATCTTTTCTATAATATTAATCATGTTATTTTTTAATATAATGTTTCAAGATTAATTATAGTTAAACAAGAAAAAGAAAATTAGATTTTATAATTTATTTTAAGTTCAAAAAAAAAAATTGAATGATCATTATGCAAATAAAAAAGATCAACATCAAATGTAAGGGAGAAATAAGGGTGTTACACTATATTTGAGGGAAAAAATAGTGTTCCCTTATTTTGATGTCAAAAAAAAGGGTGGGTTGGAGATGAGTTTTACACTAAAACTAGGGGTGACACCCGCTTAGTGCGGGTTGTGTTAGTTTTATTGTTTTTCTGCAAATTTAATATTTTTTTCAAATATATTATACACATATTATTTAAATATAATTAAAGTTAGGCAAAAATATTTGTACCCTCTTGTTCCATCTCGTTCCATTTCGTTCATTTCCATCATCTACGTTCTTTTTTGTCTCGTCCGTCTTGTATGTCACGTCCCGTCCAGTCTCATCTTATCTCATTTTGTTATGTCATATTTCGTTTCTTCTTGTCTCGTTTCCTAAATATAATTAGGGTTAGGGATAATTCTGTTCAATTATGTTCCTTTTCATCTTGTCCCGTTTTTTCCCGTTCCGGTCGTTCTATCCGCCCCATCCAGTCCCATCCTTTACTATTATGTTCTTTTCTATTTTATCTTGTCTGTCTCGTCTCTAAATATAATAAGGGTTAGGCAAAAAAATTGTCCCATCCCTTTCCATCTCATTATGTCTCTTTTCATCTCGTCCTGTCCCTTCACATTTTATTTCTTTTCATTCTGTCTCGTTCAACCTTTTTGTCTTTTCCTCTCTTATCATGTTTTTTTTCTTTTCCGTTCCGCCTCTAAATATAATTAGAGGTAAGCGGAATTTATGTCTTGTCCTATCTTGTTCTTTTCTATTCCTTTATATTTCGTCTCGTCACTTAGAATTCTCCTCTTTTCCAGTTATATTTTTTTTTCTCCTCGTCCTATTCGATCTCGTCTCATTTCATTCCAAAATACTAAAAATAAAAAGTGTTACTTCTATAATATCGTTCTATTATTATTATTACTAATTAATAGTTTTTGTAGATCTATACATAACATTTTTTAAATGGCTTTTCATATTCTTATTAAGTTACTATATAATAAATGATAATTATTATAAAAATTAAAATAGAAAATATCTATAATAAACAAATTGATATGCTGATGTGGCAATTTGGTGAATTTAGAAGAAACCTTGGTGATGGGTATATAACGCAGCTTGAGTCGTAAAATCTTGCGCTATGAACGCATAAGCAGGTAAAGAGTACATGTGTTGAGCTACCAAAGAAGTAATAACCCCTAAGGAGGCTAGAGCAAGGCCTCATCCCATATTATTGAATAGAGCACCTACTCTACATAGATTAGGCATACAGTCATTCCAACCCATTTTAGTGGAAGGACGCACTATTTGTTTACATCCATTAGTTTGTAAGGGGTTCAATGCAGACTTTGCTGCTGAGGTGTCTCCACCAGAATATAATGACATCAACTTTATATGTATAGATAGTGTTTAAGAGGAAATATAAGGATGGGTTGGAGATGCTCTTAAATGTAAAATATTACCATTCAAGATTTTAAGAGGATTAACTAGTCTCCTTGTGAATCAAGTTGAATTTGTCGAGCAAGGTGTGTTTAGAAGTTTAGAATGATATTGTAAATTGAAGTGTGTGAAAAATTACAAGTTCAACTTGGTTTAAAAGGAGAGAAGTTGATGCTCTTAAAATCTTGAAAAATAATATTTTACATTTAAATCAAAATTACTTGTTCCATATTTTAACTTCTTGCCCAATCTTTTCATTTATCTCTTTGCCAAGATTTTCTTGAGCAACTTCTGGAAGGATCTATTCCATTTGGAGGGCACTAAGTTGAATTATAGTACTGCCCTCCATCCTCAGACTGATGGCGAAACGGAGATTCTGAATCGTTGCCTCGAAACTTATCTGTATTGCTTTGCTTCAGGACACCCGAAAACTTGGCATAAGTACCTCCTTTGGGCCAAGCTCTGGTATAATACATCGTATCATACGGCTTTGAAGACTTCTCCCTTTAAGGTTTTGTATGGCCGTGAACCTCCTACGATCCTGCGTTATGAGTCGGTTCGACAGCTAATTTCGAGCTTGAGGAGATGTTAAAGGAGTGTGATGGTATGCTTACTCAGATTAAGGCGCAGTTACTACTGGCTCAGAATTACATGAAGGGTGTCGCTGACAAGCAGAGGCGAGATGTTTAGTTTGAGGTTCGGGATATGGTTTTTCTGAAGCTGAAGCCTTATCGGCAGCAGACTGTCGTGAAGCGCTTCTGTCTCAAATTGGCTGCGCGATTATTTGGTCCTTATGCGGTGTTGGAGCGTGTGGGGAAGGCGGCGTATCGTTTGGATTTGCCTTCCGGGTCGAAAATACATCCAGTCTTTTATGTTTCACAACTTTAGAAAGCTATTGGAAAAGACCACATATTACAGCCGTTGCCTGTGGCTGTGTCTGATTTGCGGACAGTGGATTTTGAACCTGAGGAGGTCTTGGCTAAATGTTATTCACGGACTGGGGCTGTGGAACTGTTTGTAAGGTGGAAGGGTCAGCCTGAGCATGAGAGTACTTGGGTCGCTTCAGCGGACTTGTTTCAGCAGTTTCCCAATGACAAGCTTGAGGACAAGCTTTATTTTAATGGATGGAGTATTGATAAGATACACCAAACTTACTATCGGAAGAAGAAGAAACAAATAGAGGGTTCAAATGAAGAGACAGGGCAAGCCGCGGATGGAAAGAGAGGGTTTGCCTAGTCAACGGTGAACAGGAAGAAGGCTCTAAGCGTGACAGAGGGTTTGCTGTTACGAATTGTTGGAGTCTGCTGAATAAATATCTCGTCTCTTTCCCTGTAGAATTTTTTATGCATTTATAATTGTAAAACTGAGCCTGCGAGGTTAGCCGATCGTCATCAGATCAGAGGTCAGATAGCTATGAGATCTAGATCTATACTCTTGTAAAGGCTTTTTCTCTACTTAATAAACAGAATATTCAGCTCAATCTCTATCTAAAGTCTATCATACTTTTATGATTGTCATTTATTTTAAGTTGTATCACCGGTTATATATGATTTCCAGATAGTCTAGGTATCAAAGTTGTCAACTAAAAATAACAAGAATACCCAACAATCTAGTGATGGACTAGTTTGCAACGAAAATACATAAGCACAAAAAGGACCAAAATTTGGTCGGTCACTTGATGCACTTTAGGTTTCTCTCTATCTTTCTTTTATGTCGTTCTACATCGATAAAACGAAACAATGTAACTAAACCGAGATATCACATTTCAATGTGGATCAAGAACATACAACATAATGTGAATATGGTTGGAATGGACTATACCTTGAGCACAATAATTTTTTGTGCCAGAATTCAACCTTTCCACTTGATTTTAACCAGTTTGGCCAATTATAATCAAATTTTCTAATGAAATTGGTTTTTTCAAAGGAGCTTTTTTTTAATGTAATTGATGTTCTCTTGAAAGGAATATTTCAAGTCTTATGATAAAGCTTTTTTCACCTATTTTTAACCAAAAAGTTTAGGACGAGATCCGACTAAAAATCATTACATTGTTTGTCTAGAAATTATCTATCACTATATTTTCAGGAGATTTTCCATTCAGGTTCGAGACGTCTCTTCCAGCCTTGGTAACTTCTTCTGGGGTGTTCAATCCGGATATCGGTCCGGTTCGGATTTTTTTGGTTTTTGTTTTTTCGGTTAATAAAAAATAGCTACTATATTAGAACCATACTTACTTCGGTTTGGTTCGGTTTGGATAGTCTCGGTTATCGGTTTTCTCGGTTTGGACATTTTCGGTTCGAATAGTCTCGTTTTCCAGGTTATTTGTATTTTTTGTTTGATTATTATTTTATTATATAGATATTTTAATTTTTTGGTAATCGAAATATCAAATTCAAATAAGAAAATGCAAATTCATGTTTATTTTGAAGTATAAAACTCTAAATATCTAGGTTTTAGTATCTAGGTTTTCTTAATTGTTAAATTTTGGTAAATTAATGATCTATAATTTATATGAGATTACTCTAAACTTATATTATTATATATCATATGTGTATACAATATACTATTATATTAAATATAGAATTATTCGGTTTTTTCAGTTTTTGTGGTTAGTTCTGTTAATATCCAAATCATATCAATATTCACGGTGTATATAAAATTGTATCCATACAGTTTATACGGTTCGGTTCGGATCGGTTCAGTTCGGTTTTACCAAATTGAACAGCCCTACTCCAGCCTTGCTGATCTTGATAGCTCATAGAATAGGTTCTCCGATGAAATTCCTGATGTAGTCAACAAATTGACTCAGTTCCAGTTTCTTGTGGCTCAAGAAAATAGGTTTCACTTTGACCTTGGTAACTTATTGAGTGGTCCTTCACGTTTGAATTGTACAAATATGACTAAGCTAACCTCACTTAGTATTGGATCCAGTAACTTCAGTGGCTCTTTACATCCTTCAGCACTGCAAAGATATGTCATATGGAGAGGTTCTTGGATTTGGTTTATCACGGGTATACCATGAACGACTCCACCTCCACTCTACTGACAAACTTTTTTTTATTAACTTACAATAATTTGCATTCCTTAGGAGTAAGGACACCAGACCTAGTTTTTCTTGATCGTATTATTATCATTATAGACTAAATTAGAAGTACTTTTGTGAACGTTCATCGTTTTACTTAATATAGAAAGAAGTTTTACATAATCAAAGAAACAAAAGCGAGCGGGTCTAAAGCTTTTACATACTGCGAAAGCAAAAAAACTTGAAATTTGGGTAAAACTAGAGCGTTTAAAAATTCGGAAATCAAGGTGTTACATCTAGCTATATTTAGATATATGTTTGAACGTGTGGATCTATAGGACTATAACTTGTTATATATACACTTTGTTCTTTCTGATAAGTAAAAATAATAATAAAAAGTATCAACAATTTGTTGTCCCTACCCAAAAAAAAAAAAAAATATATATATATATATACCACCTAAAGATGAAGAGATCCTTTCAATTCACTGTTTTGATTGTCTTCACCATCCTGGTTCTAGGTTTGTATTTTACATTTAGAATGTTTTAATAAATAATCGTAACAGAAAAAACTAGTTTGCATAAGAAATTAGTTATTTTCACACAAAAAACAACTATGTTGTATAAACCATTGTAGAAATTGAGTTTAGCACTTTTTATGTCAAATTCAGACCGAAACTAATAGGCAAACTGAGTTCAACTATTTTGTAGTATAGCGTGAAATGTACAAAGACATTTATGAAATTTCTTTACCTATGCTGATATACAATTTTTTTTTAGAGTAACAATCTTATTTTTTCAAGAATTATTAATGAATCGAGAAATATGATGTTTTAAAGTTTTGTATCAATGTACGCAGAAATCTTCAAAACATCCATCTTCATGAAAAATACAGATAGATTAGTTTTTCCCCATTTGAAATAGATGACCTGAGATCTTTCATTTTTTTAAAAACGTATTATTGTAACAGGAATGGTGGCAGATGCGCAGCCAGCAAAAAAACAGTGTACTGAGGTTCTAAAACCAGACGGTTGTGTTCAGGCAGAGTGTGACGCTATGTGCACGCAGAAGAGAGGGACTGGGGCCGGTAGGTGCTCCAGTGAAGCCACTAAGAAGTGTTTCTGCCTGTATCATTGCCCTTGATTCCCTATTATTATTATCTTTACAATAAAACTCAAATCATAACTATAATAAGAGTCTTATAACAAAGTATTTGACCAAGGTTTGTAACCTAATGATTTGTATTAGTGTCACCATCGAATTGTATTATATATTCAAATATAGTAATATGTATGCCTGTATGGGTCATAGATGACAAATAATAATGGTATTATGATTCAAACAGTTGTGTTGGCAAAACAATGTTTTTTTGTTTGTTAAAGGATTGGCAAAACAATGTTACATCAGCATTAGTATCATAATCATACGATTTAGCCTTAGGGCTTGTAATTACGAAGAAAAATATATAGAAACAAATTCAAATATTATTCATATGTTTTAATGCATATATAAATCTTCTTTACAAAACTCACGAGTTTTACAAAGAGAAGTTATAGACCTATTACAACGTCTCTTGATCAAATCGTAGTAGATAAGGACGCGAAATTTCTTCATATAAGATTTTATAGTTTTACTTTTGGCCGATGAAACTCTTAACATGACACTCGTCGTCATACTCCTCCACTCTGTCTTCTCTAATAGGTTCTAGCTCTGGACATCTCGACGGTCTCAGATTGATGCGCAAGAGCGATGGTGCGATCTCCGCTGTCCATCGTGGAGGCGTTTTGAGCCGCCTCGCCTCAATCTTCATCAAGAGAATTGCCATGGAAAATGCTCCAATTTGATCACAAACTTCAAGAGGGTGAAAAAATATAGAGAAGTTTTTGTTGAAGCTTAAAGTCCTAAAACGGGTTTTTGTAGGGTTTATAACGTAAAAAATAGATGTGAGAAAATTAGATGAAACCGGTTTTCTTTTCTTTTTTCAGTGAGGTGTTAACTATAACGAAACAAACAACAACGAATGGGCTATAAATAAAACCTCCATTTTTACTTTCTAGTTATCCTTACTTATATATAGGGTTTATGACGTTTGTTGTTGACTACTTCTAAGATAAGAATTGAGAATTTGGTATGGGCATTTAGGTAGTTAGGAGTTAGGACAGGATCGGTTATTTTTATTTAATTTCAAAAAAGAAAAGTGTTCATTTTACACTGGTATTATGTAAAGAAAATTTATATTTGGTTCGGCAAAATATTTAAACTAAAGTAAGTTTAGTCTTTTCTTGTTTTGTCAACAAGTAAGTTTAATCATATTACATATTGAATATTGTTCAAGTATACTATTTTATTTGAAAATTAGTTTGATTCTATTGAGCTTAGTTTAGTATTTATATCTATAAAATTGATGTGATTCTATTTTTAGGCTGCCACATCAGTAAAAGAAGATGTCTTTAAATTCAGCAAAAGATGATGTCTTTAAATTCAGCATATCAATTTATTTATTATATTTTTTTTCTATTCTAGTTTTTATAATAATTATCATTTATTACTATAATAACTTAATAAGAATATGAAAAATCATTTAAAAAAAAATGTATATAGATTTACACAAATCATTATTTAATAATCATAATAATAAAAAGATATTATAGAAAACTTTTTTTAGTATTTTGGAATGAAAATGAGATGAGATTGGACATGACCAAAAAAAACTAGAACTGGAGAAAAGAGAAAAATTTGTTTACTTCTTATTATATTAAGTGACGAGACGAGATCTAAAAGAATAAAAAATAACGGAATAGGACAAGACATAAATTCCGTCTACCTCTAATTATATTTAGAGGTGGAACGGAAAAAAAACATGATGAGAAAGGATAAGACAGAAAGGTTGAATGAGACAGAATGAAAAGAAATCGAATGTGACGGAACTGAACGGGACGAGATGAAAATGGACATAATGCGATGAAAAGGGATGTGACAGAAATTTTGTCTAACCCTAATTATATTTAGAGACGAGACAGAGACAAGATAAAATGGAAAAGAACAATGGGATTAGATGGGACAGACAAAACGAACGGACGGGAAAAAACGGGACAAGATGAAAAATAATAGAATTATGCATAATTCTCATTATATTTAGGGAATGAGACGAGAATAAACAAAATGGGATATAACAAAATGGGATATGATGAAACTAGACGGGACAGACGAGACGGAAAAGAATGTACATGATGAAAACGAACGAAATGAGACGAAATGGAATAAGATGGTACAATTTTATTGCCTAACTTTAATTATATTTAAGTAACATGTATATAATATCTTTGAAAAAATATTAAATTTGCGAAAAAATAATAAAATTAACACAATTTGCGCAAAGTGCGGGTCATCCTCTAGTTTATGTAAAAATTTATGAAAGTATTTATTAAATAAGTCAATGTAAATTCAATTTGCCATGTTGGTTGCATGCATATATCCACAATCAATTTGCCATGTCGTTTCTCTAATAGATATGCGCAAACCCTGCCGTTAAACAGACAATTAATGTTGCGCTCTTCGACGAACTACATTGTCGTATAGCGAGTTATCAACATGAATGGGAAAGCTTTGTAATTTATCAGAACCTGTGAAACGACGTCGCTCTCCACCAATGAACTGAAAGCAATCACGTGTCCTCACGCCACGAGTCGTACACGAAAGCTCATCTCCCCACGTGGATCACGAGGATGAACCTTCCACGTGTCGTTTCTTTGGGACCATTATCTTAATTTGTCTTCTTCTAGAAGTTGCTTTAAGGGCAAAAAATGAAAACAATGAGACATTTTTACAGGTTCGGATAAGTGAAACATTTTCATCGTACAATAGTTTTGTCGTATCTTATGGAATTTTTGTATCCAAATTAATCGACTGGTTTACCCTCTTAACCTTGAAGGTATTGACGTGTGATCTTAATCAAGATTACGTGGCATTGTTTGAAAGTAAACGCGTGACAAACATCGTGTTTAATTTCTCAATCCTCTCCAAGTAATTGGACACACATTTCCATAAACGTATTTACCTCGAAAGTCTTTGAAAATATAAAAGACTTTTTAGGTCAATTATTTCCTTCTTCTTAGTAAAAGATTACTTGCGCTTCAAAATGTCGAACATAACCAACTTGTAATTTAATAACTCGTAAACAGTAATCAGATTCTTCGACCTATATAAAACTTCCATTAACATATCTATATATAAATTTCATGCAATCTATTTTGGTGTTGTCATATACATCACTTTTAGAGAATACTTTTAAATTTTCCATTTCACCACATCAACATTTTATTTAATTTATTATATTTTCTCTTTTAAATATTTTAATTTCATAATAATTAACATTTATTACTATAATAAGTTTAACAAAAATATAAAAATTCATTTTAAAAATGAAAAAAATTATATATAGATCTAGAAAAATTATTATTTAATAAATTTATTTTTGCCTATTTCAAATTATATTAAAATAACGAGATGGAATATAAAGTAACGAAAAAAAAATGAAATAACACATAATTTTGCCTATTTCAAATTATATTTAAAAACAAAATAGAAAAAAATGAAAGAAACATGATGAGACAGGATAACACGGAAAGAAACATAACAAAACGGGATAAAACTAGACGGGACGAGACAGAAAATTTAGATATGACGAAATGCAAAAACATAATGAGACAAGATTGGGCGGAACGGGATGAAAAAGACATAATGGGACGAGAAGGAACGGAACATAAATTTCACTTACCTTTAGTTATATTTAGGAACACGACAGAGACACGACAAAACGAAAAAAAATATATAACAGGATATGATGGAACTCAATAAGGCAGACAGGACGGAACGGAACGGGAAAAGAACGGGACAAGATGAGAAGGAATGAAATGGGATGAGATGGGACTATACGGGAATTTTGCGGATACTTAGTTATATTTTGGAAACAGAACGAGAAGAAACAGAAAGAACATGATGGGACATAAAAAAATGGAAAGAAACATAATAGGATAGGATAGGAAGGGACGAGACAGGCAAAACGGATGGGACGGAAAAAAACAGACATGATGAAAATAAACGAAATGGGATACAATGAGATAAAATGATATGTTAATTTTGCCTAACCCTAATTATATTTAATTAATATGTGTAATATTTTTGAAACATTAATAACCATATAAATAAATAAAATTTATGAAAAACAATAATATAAATTCCGCGTGAAGATTTTTATATGGTTGGACGAAAAATAGTAAAATTTAGTCGTAAGATTTCCAGTTTTTCATGATTTTACCCTTTTGTTTTTAATCACTACTGATATATGAATGTGATGGTTGAAATCTTTGATAGCAAATAGTTATTTTGTATAAATATATAGTAATATACCCAACGAAATTCTGATATGTGAATGTGATGGTTGAGATCTTTGATAGCAAATAGTTATTTTGTATAAATATATAGTAATATACCAAACGAAATTCCAAATACAACGGATATGCAATGAAGTCAAACTTATTCATCTGAGTTATATTATTCAATTCACCGTCCATATAAATACGAAATTTGTAAGAAAAGTTAATAAATTCCAGTCTTATTAAACATGATTCAAAGATTTACACTACTAATAAACAAAACAAACAAAATACGAATTCACGTAGAGACAACAACAACAAAAACCATAAAATAAATAACTCATTCCCTTCGTTGTATTTATTGGTTGCCGTGTAGAACAAAACCTTTTTTTGACAGTCCTCGTTTTGGATAAAATCACAATTAACGTTTAAACTTGTACGTAATTTCCAAGGGCATTATTGTAATTTTGTATAACGGTTGAGTCTATCCATTGACCTTCCCTTCTATATAAAATGGACCAAACCAAAGCTCAAAGAGAATCTAAAAAATTACATAAAACCCCAAAAATAAACGAAAGAGAGCTAAATCATCTTCTTCTTCTTCTTCGCTCTTTGAAATGGCGACGAGCAAATGCTACTATCCACGGCCAAGCCACCGTTTCTTCACCAGCGAGCAACAAGTCACTTCCGCTTCTGATTTCGAGCTCGACGAGTGGGATCTTTACAACACCGGTTCGGATTCCACTTCAAGTTTCAGCTTCGGCGACCTTACCATCAGCTCTGGTCGAACCGGAGCTAACCGGAAAAGTCGTACCGGTTCAGTTTCTGATAAATTTAGTGGAACCGCGGCGTCTTCGCTTCCGGTCAACGTGCCGGATTGGTCGAAGATTCTTGGGGAAGAGAGTCGACGACGGAGGCAGGTTTCAAATGAGGAAGTCGTGGACGGAGAGGAAACTGTTGCATGTGGCGGAGGAACACGGCGTGTGCCGCCGCACGAATTGCTTGCTAGTCGGAGGATGGCGTCGTTTTCGGTTCACGAAGGTGCTGGGAGGACGCTGAAAGGAAGAGATTTGAGTAGGGTGCGAAATACTATTTTTAAAATTACTGGGTTCGAAGACTAATTACCTTTTAAATCGGGGGTACAAATAGAATACGAGTACTTAAATCGAAATTTTTGTTTCTGAATTCACATTTCCAGTTCCTCTTTTTTGTTTTGTGTTTTCCTTTTTATTTTCTTTTTAACTTGGCTGCTTTGAATTTCGTCTAGTAGTGATTATTATAAAGTGAGACTGTTAATTTAAGATTGTATTGAAATTTTGAGACACCAAATATGAAAAAAATTTGACTCGGTATTTCTTTTTACAGTTTTATTACATCTTGTCAACTTATTTCATTTGTAAATTCTTCTCTCCTCGGTTATTTGATAATTAATGAAGAACATATATTAATATATGATCGTCAACGAGGGCTAGTTTATGTTAATTAATACTAATATGATTATTATTAGCCTATTAGGTAGGTAGCTAACAAAGGGATTAAGATTATCATCTGGAATCGATTGAGATTATTTGCAGACATATGGAGACATGGTGCGTTGTCTTTAATCAAACAATGTTGGTCGGCATATCGAGTAATCCAATTATGTTTAAGCAAGATGAGATTCGACCGATCGAATATTCATGCCTGATATAGAAATGAATGGTGATTAGACGATTCATAAAATATGAAATTATTGATGTCTGATATAGAAATGAATGGTACAGTCGTTTTCTACTCGACCAATTATTTTAAAAATCTCTAATGACCCGATTATCTCGCCTAATTCACTAATTGTGTATGACGTTAGTGTAAACACAGATCTGGTTGGGTCATACTCTGGTTATATGATTCGTAATGCGAGGACGACTTGTTTAGTTGATTTTTATGATGTTAGGCTATGGTTACCACATCTTCTGACTTTTTGAGCATTGAGACTTTTATTTTATTTACCTGTAAATTAAGTAGACGAGACGATTAATGTTGGATCGGACACAAACACTTTAGGCGTTTTGCGTGGGTAAATCACTTGTTTGGATAAGATTTGGATAGTTAATTAATTAGTAGTATAAATTAAAATGTTCTTATGTTTCATTATTGTAGCGTAACTATTACTCCGTTGGATAAATCATATATGTCTTTATTATATCACCAACCTAGAGCATGTACCTATAAACATAACAAAAAATATAACGATATTTCAACTATCTATACTTGGTGTATTGAATATTATTAACTTCTCGAATCTCGATTTCTTCAAATGCATTTTGTTTTTCCGTTTACATTTACATATATTGCAAGAAAAAAATTTACTTGTTTGAAACAAATCTTGTTTTGCTCTTCATAACATATGTTTGCAAATGCAAACGAACATTTTGTTTCTTCCGTTTATTTAAAATATTTAGTTGTCAATTCATTTGAAAAAGAATATAATGTACTTCCTTTCTAACTCGGTTACATTTATAACTCTTGCGATTTTTGTTTTGATATACATAAAATAAAGGCTCAAAAAAAAGTCTTTCTTGTCTTATTACCCATTTTTTGATTTTGACCATTTTTTTCCATTATTGCCCTTCAATATTGTTTAAACATGATAATGAATATTTTTTTAAGTGAACACAATTTCTAAAAGTCCTAAAAATGATCTAAAGAATGTGTAAAATATTTGAATATTTTTAAAATGTTTTGGATGGTTAAAAAATTCTTTGAAGTTTTGGTTCTACAAAGTAAAATATCAAAGCAGAATACGCTTTCTACAAGTTATTCGCAAGTCTAACCGTCGTAGGATATGATATCTACAATTTCTTCATTCATCTTCCGGATTAGACTTCGATATCTACCATATACAATACACTCTACCATTTTGTAGAATTCGCTCCAAAAATATTCTACAGAATACACCATCCGCTACTACTCGTAGATTCCAAATTCTACGGTAAACACTGCTATCTACCAGTCATAGTTTTCGTGTACTACATATTTCATGTTTTTCTGCAAGGCGTAGAACTAGGGATCTACTAAAAAGAAGACTTCTACAATCCGTAGTATTCGTGTTTTCACAGGATGTTCTACTAAATAGGTTAGTTCTACATTGTGTAGAGTTCATCATCTGCAAAAATCGAGAGAATATTGCAAAAAAATATTTTTCAAATCTTTGTTTCCTTATTTTCATCCAACTATCCGAAAATAAACCTCCATGATCTTCTTCCTCGTCTTCTTCATCCCCTTCCTCCTCTGTAGTCCTCTTTCTCTCTATCCAATATGGTTCAAATCTATGTAGTATGTGGTTCATGGAAAAGGTGTCAAATCAATGGGTGGATATTTGTTGCTGATGAAAGGAAAGGAGGAAGAGTAGTTGGTGTGGAATCTAATACTAGGTTTGACGACCTAAAAGCGATGGTTTTAGAGGATTTCTCTTTCGAGAGCGGAATCGACGTCGAGTTTAGCTATTTGCCACGCGGTTTGATCAACGATGCTATATCTCCCCGAGTTGTGATTTCCAACGATCGGCAAGTGCAAAATTTCGTTGGATACATAAGGAAGCAGGAGTCAAAGCAGTTGTGTTTGACACTTAAGGATCCCAAAGAAAATAGTGGAGTCCACATTGATGGTAATGGTGATCATGGAGGTGTACCTCCAACCGATGGATTATCCCATGTCAAAGATGAGATCAAAAAAGGGAAAATGATACTCAAAGAGATCAATGATGAAGAGGAAGTATTGTCGCAAAAGGAAATCGAGTATGATTATCAATTTCGTGGCGCTTTGATGGAAGCTGTGAAGATAAAGCAAGAATTCAGAAGCAAAAGTCTGTTGAAATCCACTTTCGAAATCCTTGCTATGAAGCACAATTTCGACTACATCGTGCTCAAATCGGACACTAGTTTTTGGACAGCTCGGTGTGTGGTCAAAGAATGCAACTGGCGCGTTCGAGCAGTGAGTCTAAAAGGTACGACCATGTTTGTCATCACCAAGTATGTGGGTGAACACACTTGTGCTCCTTCAGGTAAAGCCAAAATCGGGAGGACAGCTTCAGCGAAGACAATTGGCAATCTCATTATGCAGAAGTATGAAGGTGTCAAAGAAGGACCTAAACCCAATGATATCATTCAGCTGATGCGTATTGAGCACGGATGCAAGATCTCTTACGATCTAGCATGGGAGGCACGTGAGTTTGCTGTCAATTATGTGAGAGGAATACCTGAGGAGAGTTATGCAAAAATACCAAGGTACTTGCACATGCTAAAAGAAGCTAATCCGGGTACCCATACAGCTTTCAAGACGGATCCTGATGGTAGTTTCAGATACATGTTCATCTCTTTTGGTCAGTCTATAAGAGGGTTCTACAAAGCCATGCGACGGGTAATCGTTATTGATGGTACATTCTTGAAGAATAAATACAAAGGAACACTACTAGTTGCTACAGCTTTAGATGGTAACTCGAATTTGTATCCACTAGCATTTGGTGTGGTTGATTCAGAGAATGATCTATCATGGGAATGGTTTTTGAGGCAGCTACATGTTGTTATTGAGGATGATTACGATCTGGCCTTCATCTCAGACAGGAATTTGTCCATTGGCAGACTACTTCCTATAGTTTACCAACGAGCTACTCATGGAATTTGTATTCACCACTTGCTGAACAATGTCATCTCTTATCTACATGGAAAAGGTGTGGCTGCTTTGGTTGCAAAGGCTTCTAAAGCATACAGAATTGCTGATTTTCAGACGATGATGACTGATATCGTTAAGAACAGACCGGATGTGGGGAAGTATCTTGTGAAAGCTGATGTGAGAAAGTGGGCTCGCTGTCTATTTGTTGGATACAGGTATGATGTTAGGACAACTAACCCCGCTGAGTCGTTGAATTCAGCATTGAGATCACCTAGAGAGTTCCCGGTAATCCCTCTACTAGACAGCATTAGAGAAATGTTGACAAGGTGGTTCTTTAAGCGTAGAACATTGAGCTCCAAGCATACCCACCCTCTAACCGTTGCTGTTGAGAAGAAGATTACAAGAAGGACGGAAAAGGGTAAAGCATTCACGGTTCAGCAAGTAGATGCAACTCGATTTGTGGTGGGAGGTGACATCTACGAATGTGTGGTTGATTTGGCGAAGCGAACATGTACATGCGCCAAGTTTGATCTGCAGAAAATTCCATGTAGGCATGCGATCCCAGCAATTTTTGCAATTGGAAAGCAACCACATGAATTCACAGATGAGCTGTGGAAAACTGAGTTATGGAGAGTTGGGTATGAAGAAGCAGTAAATCCAATAGGTGTTCCTGAGGATGCATGGAGTGTCCCCCAAGTTGTTGATGAAGAGATTGTTTCTTGTCCAGAATCACGCAGAGCTGCTGGTAGGAGAAGAAAGAGACGGTTTGAATCGGTTGAGGACAAGATTAGATCGCAGCAAAGGAAGACACACAAGTGTAGTCGATGTGATAATTCAGGCCACAATAGAGCAACATGTGACATGCCAATCTAGTATAACACCATGTTCCATTTGTTTTCTTTGTTTCTGTTTCTTTGTTTCCGTTTCTTTGTTTCTGTTGGTTTGATTGTTTGGAGAAAGACTCTGTTTCTGTTATCTTTGTTTATGTTTCTTTCAGTTGTTTTAATTGTTTGGAGAAAGACTCTATTTCTGTTATCTTAGTTCCATTTGGCGTCTTTATACTGCATTCGGTTTTTGGTAATGCTTATGCACTGCGTTTGAACGAAAGAGCAGGAAAATAGACAAAGCAAAACCATTATTTGAAACACTCTATGTCAAGTACACAACCTTAAGAACTGAACACATCAAACAAGAACAATGGAAGATCATGCTTCTACACCTCTTTAACTTAACTTAGCAACTTACTAAACCCAACCATCACCATACATAAAACGATTGCACCAATCACCATCTCCTTTCTCGTATGTGATGATTCAACCAAAGCCTCTTCAATCTTCATTTTCACTTTCTCAAACACAAGCCTCTCAAACTCCATCCTCTCAATGGTAACCGCTTCAAGTTTTTTCTCAAGCCTTGCATTTCTCATCTTCAATCCCTCTATCTCATCTAAGTGAGCCTCATCCACCCACTTGAATGTGTGGTTATCATTCATAAGCTACATCCATCAAAACAACTACTTTTGAAAATCGGCATTACAAAAACAATGAATGAGAGATTGCGATTATTATTGACACTTACTTTATTAGATACAGCATATCCGCAGCGATAGTACCGCCGGTACGGATTGTTGTTCGATTTGGAAATCAATTCCACGATTTTCTCTCCACATGAACAAGTTTTTGGCACTCCATAAACTCTCCCTCTTGGACAACCAACTGATGACCCACTAGAAGCTCCAGAGACGTTACTCATCGCCTAAGATCGGCTGCTAAAACCCAGAAACGAAATAACCTTAGACAATTTGGGATGGCTTGCGAAATCGGATTCTAGGGTTCTTCTATGTCGAAACCAATTCTTATGTTTCAATAGATTTGCCATTTCTCAAAACGACGTCGTTTTGTTTCCTGATTTCATTCTTATGCTGATTATACCAAACCAATTCGAGACACTGGTACGATTTAAGTGAACCGGTGTTAAACCGACGACTTTTTGTTTCGTTATTTCATTTATTTCTTGTAAACTTCCTCTCTAGACACTTACAATGAAAAGCGTATCTTTCTTGTAAACTTCGCAAGATACAAGCGTCCATCTATCAAACAAAGACAATAACACAACCAATGTTTCAATGGATTTGCCATTTCTCAAAACAATAAAGTGGAAATACAAAGAGAATATCAAACCAAAGACAATAACACAACCAATGTTTCAATGGCGTTGCCGTTAGTTCTCAAAACAATCAAGGAAATTGTAACAAAAAAACCAACAAAAATATGAAACCAATGTCTATGGTCTCTGTGGGAGCAAACTCCGGCGTCACATGCCTTGACATCCGCTCAAGCAAAACCTCATCCCTTCCCGCCTGAAGTAGGTCAGACGCTATCTTGTACCTAGCATACTTCATGTTTTCGTCGTTTAGCAAAGACACATCTCGTCCCAACGCATGACACTCTATGAACTTCAACGTGTAAACCTCACAATCAGAATGGGTCTCGTTCATCCCATCTCGCATTGGGACGTACCTGGCGGTATATGGGGCGACAGAGAGGTTTTTCTTCGTTTCACCTGTCTGCACTTCCTTCATGATACGCGGCACCATGTGCGTGAAAGCGTCCACCTCCCTGTACCTTTTCAATCCGTTGCAGTCGAATACGTCAATGACCCGCTCCGAGAAATTGATACACAAGGCGATCCAATGGTTGCCGCCTACAGACACTGGAGTGTATATGCGATCAAAATCCACTCCCCAAACCTTGTCGGTTCTGCCGTGAGCAGGCAGAATACCTTTGCCGAAAGCCATGAGGTACTCACTGACTTCGAACTTCTTCTTCACACTCTTCCATTGCTCATACGCCGCCTTGATACAACATGCGAAATTGAAGTTCATGAACCCCACTCTGTCGACATCCCATCGTTTCAGAGTCGTATTCTCACGAAATACATAGAGCAAGCCATCAATTTCCTGAAATCATAAGCATATGCAACGTAAACTTAGCAAAACAAACCTGATAGTAAAATTTAAATATGTGAGACGAATATTCTAGTTTAAGTTAACTCAAACCTCGTTTTTTAGCCATTTTTCTGGACCACCTGGACCAACAACACGGTTAGATAGCGCCCATGTGAGCAGCATTGGACCAACCTTTATGTCCCTGTAACCCAAAAATTAAAAATAAAAACCAGGGGAAAATGTGTAATTGACAGAACCGGGTCCAAAAGAGAATTAGGGACTTACACAAATGTCTGCGACCACTCATGTAGCTCCTCGTAACGCTCCTCTGAGATATACCACAGGAATGCATCGGGATCTTCTGACAATGGATGATCCTGCATCAGCTTGGATTGACTCTCGTGGAATTCGCGGTCTTCACCGTCCTGGTCTTCATCAGAATCACTGTAAAGGGGTCTGCGTTTAATCGGTCTTGTTAGACATGCAAGTACTTTCAACACGTCTTCAGTATCGGAGTCGACTTCTGCGGCTTTAGGATCTTTTGTAGAACCATTTGGTTCCGTCTTCACGGCCTGAGACACAAAACGCAAAAAAAAGATAGATTAAATGGTCTTCAAATAACCCAAAATCTGTTTAAAACATCAATTTTAGTTGTTTTAGTTTACCTTCCCTTCTCTCTTAGACGTGTCTTCATGTGTATCCTTTTCCGTAATCACATGCTCCGCTTTTTTGGGTTTCACCTGCGATAAAAGTGTGAACTTTTTTCATGTCTTTATTGAAAAATAACTAAACACTTATAATATTCAAATGCAAGCAATAGTTAAATTCTGAAAATGTGGAGTTTGTTTTCGTGTTCACCTTAGCTTTTTGATTTTTCTGCTGCGAGATCTTCCCCTTTTCCTTACTAACATTCTCCACTGCTGTGTTTTTGTCCTGCGAAAAGGTGTTTAGAATTGCTTCATCTCTATTCCAAAACCAAAACAAATCAAAATACAGGCACTAGTTAATTGGTGAAGATTTGGGGTTTTTATTATGTGTTCACCTTTGCTTTTTGGTTTCTCGGCTGCGATTTCTTAGATTTGTCCTTGGATTGCTGGGATGGATCAAATCCGGGGACAAAGGAGTCTTGTGAGAGATGGCCTTGCTTTCTGAAGAGATAACTTTGTGTATTCTCACCAAAGTTGATCTCCGAGCTTTGGGTTAGGTTAATGTCAACCAGTTTGTCTAATGAAACATCAAACTGTGCCTGTGGTTAAAGAAAGTCAATCATTAGTTACGGTTTTATCCTACTGAAATTATTTCAAACAAATAGTTATTACAACATGTTTAGAACAGACAACCGTTCGTTACATATTAACTTCCTAGAGTTTTATATCACATAATACATAATTTGACAAAAAAACATTACACAGCAGTGGATATTTGATCAAGTGTTAGGGTTCTTGTTGGCGTTTACCTTCCTTCTTTGCTCATAGTTGACTTGAGACACCGGTTTTGACTGTGAGGTGGGCTCTCCGTTGTTTCCACGGGATAATGCTTCTGTGAGCATATCCTTAAGCTCAGTCACCACCCCTTGAAGCTTTGCAAAATCAGAAGCCAACTTCTTGTACTTCTCGTCTTTCTGCTCCGTCATTTTCTTCTCATACTCGGCAAAGAGATTACGCATAAAACATTCACTCCCACGGTCGGCACTCGCAACTGATCGCTAAAACAACAATTGCTTCTTGCGTTCCTCAGCGCCTTTGTCTATGACCTTCCTCTTTCGAGTCCTCGAGCCAGAAGACGATGTCACCTCACCGCAAGGCGTTCTGAAATCCTCAGTGCTTTCACCGCCCTCGTTATGCACAACCTCGGACTCTGTCTGTGCAGCAGAAGCGGGAGCAATTGCCGGAGCAGACGCCGGAGCAGGCGCCGGAGCATGAGCTGTGTCAACCGGTTCTTCAGCTTCCCAGAGACGTTTACTCCAATCATGATTCTGACTGATGAGCTGCTCCATCCGATCAACTCTTTCATCCCTCATTTCGTCAGTCCTGACGAAGTCTTGATCCCGTATCACATCCATGTTGCCCGTGGCTGAGATGAAAGAGTATAGCACAAGACCCTGAAAAAAGTGTCACAGAGGTTAAACATTTACACATGATAAATAAGAAACAACAAGAGACATTAATAGGAGAGTGTTACTCACGTTTTTTCTTAGAGTTTTCTCCAAGTCGATTATCTCTTGAAATCCTGCTCTTGCAGCCCCAGTCCAATTCGAACATCTAGGGAAGATTTTTACCCACCTCATTGAGCTTCCTCCCCAACATAATTCCACAATCTGGAATAGCTTCCATGATCCAAATCTGGAGAGCATATGCAAAACCTTGCAAGACATAGCTTGGTTTACTCAAGTCGCTTCTGGCTTTGATCACACCATCCACTAGATGGTCAAAGCTGCGCAGACCCCATGGATAAGCTCGTAGCTTATCAATGTCCATGATGCGCCTGATGTACTCATGCGAAACAAAGCTCTTCTCATCTATTGCCATCAGCAGACCAACAACGCAGAAATACACCAACCGGAGTCTATCCACGCGAGTCCAGGTGTTGGCCTCCTGGAGATGCTTTTTTCTGATTGTCTCGAAGCTAATCTTCCCACGAGTCTTTAACATTGTATTCCAAAAACCTCCATCGTCAACCCAATTGGTTTCCTCTGAATTTCCATCGGCTACGCATTTGAGACCGGTGACAGCATGAAATTCTTGCAAAGAGAACCGCAGTGGCCTTCTTGCAAAGACGAACCATAGCTCATGCTTCTTTGCGGTGACAAGCTGCCTGGTCATGAAACTATGCACCAGTTTAGCTGAGAAATGCAGCCGGTTTTCGTGGATGGCTATGATTTTAGCAAACAATGGGTCTCGCTTCACTTCTGTGTACTCTGCTTTCACGCCGTTTGCCAGATCAGTCAATATCGACATTCTTGCACACTTGTTTATCTTGTCACATTGTGGTTCGGCTCCTTCTGCATGTAGTCTCTTCGACAACTCAGAGTCCATATCTGCACCCACCAAAATCACCAGAAAATAAATTGTTAGGAAAAGTCACCATATCAGAGTCCATATCTGCATTATCTCAAGATTTAAACAAACAATAGCAGCATAAACGAGTTAAACAATCCAAAGCAGAGGAGAGGAGATGCAAAAAAACAAAAACAAAGGGCAAACTAGATATAAACTACGATGGCCAACAAACAGGAGACAAAGTAAATCTCAGCAACTATAAAGCAACAAAACTCAATGAAACTGCGAGAAACAACATCTTAGAGAACAAAACAATTTTATATCATGTCCAAGAGCGATAGTAAGAAGAGTCGCTAGTCAAACAATAACATAACGGAGTTATAAAACACCAAATGGAAACAACAAGCAGAATACAGAGCATCAGAAAATAGAGGAAACAAATCTTACAGGATCAAACAATACGTATTATGAAAACAAATCCGATTTTTCAACTGCTAACAATTAATAAGCACAACAAATCCGAACACATTTACCTCTATATGGCGGAAGTTAGTGGCTGAGAAGCTGAGTGTAAAACCACCACCACGACAAGAAGGATTACGGCGTTCTTCTTCACGGCTTAAAGAAGACAACAAAGGCTGTAAGAAGAGCAAGACGATCATCAGAACAAAGTACAAAAAAGACACAAATTGTTGTGTAGAAAACAGAGAGCATTAATCTATTTTAATATGAAACAGTCCCATTTTGTTTTAGGTTTGTACACAAGAATAAGCAAATGATTATAAACAAAGACAAATCATTGAAACAACAAAAACAATGATGCATTAGTCGAATCATACATTTCTACAGAAACTATCCTATGCATCAAATGTGAGGAGAAAACACGAAAGAAATGTAGGTTGCAAATGAGACGGATCCAATAAAAAAATTTTAAGAAAACAAAGAAAGAAACACCAGCAAACAATATATACACAATGCAATACATAACCAAACATGAGGACCAATCACATCACAAACCAGCGCAATCATGATTGTGTAATCACAAGGACATCAGGGACATCATCAGTTTAGTAAGAGATCATATGTTTTAGGTTTTGCGATTTATCAAGAGAGTGTATGATATCTATATCAATATCACATAAATATCTATATCAATATCACATCAACCATGTAATCAGAAAAGTATCTAAACCATCAACTAATCGATTGTATCATTGCAAACGAAATCGACTCTAGCTTTGAACAAAACTACAAGCAAATGATTATCGAACAACCACATATCATGTCTCAAATCATACATAAGTACATAAACTATCCTAGGCAACAAATATTAGGAGAAAGCAACGATACAACCAAATGTCTATGCTGAATAAGGTGTTAACGAGCAAGAAATCTAGTGTTTTATGCAAAACCCCAAAATCAATTTCCCAAATCTACCAAACCCTAATCGCATGCTGTCAAAGCCTCAAGTTCGAACCAATTCTACTAATAATCTATCTAAGAATCCAATGAACTAATCCATTAAGCAAATCGCACAAACCTTAGCAAGTCGATTTCCCAAACACTCGAATCTAGCGATCTCTAATCAATTTCCCAAACACTCAAATCTCAAATCTTATGCAAACACCAAAATCAAATTCCCAAACAGTCAAATCTAGCAAACCCTAATCGCATGCTGTGAAACCCTCGAGTTCGAACAAATTCAAACCTTAGAAAGTTGATTTCGAAGAGAATCGGGGATTTTGAGACAAAGGGAGAGGAGTGGAGTCGGCGGAAGGCGGAGCGAAGCAATACGTCTATGGAGAACGGGCCGACGACAAGCGGCGGCGATCTATCTCGCGTGACGGCGAGCGACGGTGAGAATTCGGAATTAGGACGGCTAAGTGAGGAGAGAAGTCGAGAGTTATGTCGTTTTGGAAATTAACTCGATTTCGTTATTCTTCCCATTTTTGTATTATATTTTATCTCTTTTATTTTTATGTTTTAATTTTTTTCAAATCGTCAAATGTTTCAGTTTTTCATAACACAAGCCAAACTCAATTTCAAGGTTAAAAAATGTCCAAGTGTATTTTCCCAAAAACGAAATGGAAAAGTGTAAGGGAACAAGGAAGGCCTTTTTTTTGGGTAAATTGACAATTTTCTCTAAAATAAATCTCAAACCAACACAAAATTCCTTTTATATGATAGTATGTACTACTAAGGGCATGTTCGTTTATGCATTTTCAAATGCATCTAAATGTTCTTTTTTTGGTCAAAATAGCTTTTGCATTTAGAAATTACAATTGGATGTAATGTTGTTCTTTTGTGAATTTGTTAAAAAATCTGAATGCAAAATCTATCAAATGAAAATCCAGATTTTACATTTATTGTAGAAGAACATAATTTTACAGTTTTCCATCAAAAACCTAAAAACACGTTTTTCCATCAAAAATCGTAAAATCACGTATTTCCGCCAAAACGGTAAAATCACAACTTTCCACAAAAATCGTAAAATCACATAATTCCGCCGAAAACGTAAAATCACGTTTTTCCGCCAAAACATAAAATCACGGCTATCCACCAAAACTGTAAAAGTATGTTTTCCCGCCAAAATCGTAAAATCATGTTTTCCCGTCAAAAACGTAAAATTACGGTTTTCTATCATAGCCGGAAAATCGTGATTTTCCGTTTTTGGCGGAACGTCGTGATTTTACGGTTTTGACGGAAATACATGTTTTTACGGGTTTTGGCGGAAAGACGTGATTTTATGGTTTACTATCATAGCCGAAAAATCGCGATTTTACATTTTTGGCGGAAAAACATGATTTGACGGTTTTGGCGGGAAAACATGATTTAACGATTTTGGCGGGAAAACATGTTTTTACGGTTTTAGCGGGAACACGTGTTTTTACGGTTTTGGCGGGAAAATGAGTTTTTACGGTTTGACAAAAAAAATGTGATTTTACGGTTTTGACGGGAAAACGTGTTGTTACGGTTTTGGCGGAAAATTGTGATTTTACAGTTTTGGCGGTAAAATGAGTTTTTACGGTTTGACAAAAAAATGTGATTTTATGGTTTTGACGGAAAAACGTGTTGTTACGGTTTAGGCGGAAAATTGTGATTTTACAGTTTTGGCGGAAAAACTTGTTTTTACGGTTTTGGCGAAAAATGTGATTTTACGGTTTTGAAGGAAAAACATGTTTTTACGGTTTTGGCGGGAAAACGTGGTTTTACGATTTTGGCGGGAAAACATGTTTTTACGGCTTTGGTGGAAATTTGTGATTTTATGGTTTAACAAAAAAATATGATTTTACAGTTTTGGTTGAAAACGCAATTTTATGATTTTAACGGAAAAAAAAAAGATTTTATGATTTTAATGTGTTTTAGTTTTTTTTTAAATGCAAATGTTGCATCCAAACTCTATGTTTTTCAGCATTCCAAATATCTAGATATTTGAAATATTTTTGATTTTGCCTTCAAATGCAGCATTTGAATGCAAATTTTTTTGTGACAAAAGAACAACATTTCAGCATTTGAATGTCCAAATGCCCAAATGTTGCATTTACAAAAACGAACAGACCCTAACTTGTTCTGTTGAAGTTCGAATTCATAGAAAATAGAGAAGCGCATTGCGGATAGGCGCTCTGTTCGAAAAGTCGGTGATTTCTCCGACTAATCGGTCAAAAAAATCGGATTTGGGGTGAAAACGTGGCGACTTTCTAAAATCCGACTAATGATAAAAATCGTTTGAAATTTTTAAAACGAGATGGGCCAAATTTTTGGTTTCCAAATTTTCTTTTACCCAATTCCAAATTATTTCAATAACGGGGGCCAATTAAGGAATGTTCATTCTATTTAATTTTGTTTTAGCTAAAACAAAAATATAATTGATAACAATTATATGAGAAAAAATCTATTTTGAGGATAAACAATAAATTTTGTTACTAATTGTAAGAGTTTTGTCCTCCAAAACTTGAAAAATGTTTAACTAATTTTGAAATATATAATTTTCATATTTATGTTTTATCTTTTATATAAAAATGTTTAATAAATTAAAAAATGTAGTAAAAATTCCTCCCCGACTAGTCTTCGTTTTATTTCCGATTTTTGAAAAATTGGAAATTTTAAAATCACTGCCCGACTAACGCCGAACGACTTTTTGAACATTGGCTTAGGCGATGACAAAGTCAATTTTCAGACGTAAGCAAAGCAGTGGCATAGCTGTAATATCGGGTAAAAGTACCTTTCCCGTGTGGCCAAACCGATGCCGTAATCATCCTTGTAGTTCTTCCCAACGTAAGTGATGACTGAACGACTCGTTCGTCGTTTTATGTGCGTTGGCCTTGTCGTTTTGCAGTTAACATCCTTTTCCTCTTTTCGTTTTTTAGCTTCTACCAAAGCGATAAAACGAATATAAATATATACTGTAATATTTTTCAGATACCATCCAATTTATAATAGTTAAATTTCATTTTACTATTCTTTTATTGTCCTTTTAGATAATTACTTTAAAACATTTGGTTATATTATAACGGTATAATCACTTAGGCTCTAACTGGTAATGGTTAAAATAACACAAGAAATGAGAATGAAACAAATGAAGAGAAATAAAAAATGTGGAACCCATTCCTTTTCATATTTTATAAGGAATCATTTAACACTACAATTCTTTAATCAATATGAAACCAAAAGGAATAATATAAGATACATATTCTTTTTAAATGGTATAATTATTAGAGAACGAGAGAGAATTTTCTTATTCCCCTCATTTCATAGTCACCAGCCTTAACTATTTATTACTCACATGTCCAAGTTATAACCAAATGTTCTAAGTATCTTAAAATTAATTTAAGAGAAGAAGAAACAAAAACAGACCCAAGGCCCATAATTGTGAGGCCCAGATATTGAGCAGAACAGACCCAAAGCCCATAATAGTATGACCCAAAAGTCCAATGAAACGGGTCACTAGGCGGGTCAAATATATCCGATTGAAATCTGGATCCGTTGGAGAATCGTGAATCATCATCCCCTCCTCAATGCGAGTGGACAAAGTGATTTTGCAGAGATTCAATGAACACGACGACTTGCCGTTGGAGGTGACCAATTTCTCACCTCACCTCTCGCTTCCTCTTCCTTAAGAATCCGTCAAATTTCTACCGATTTCACGAAATGATGACTTCAGATTTGAGCTCTTCTCCTTCATCGTCCGGCACCGAATTCGCCGATCCGAACCCTAGCACCGATCCAGAGACGAATTCCGAGCGTGTTCAAAGTCAATTGGAGTCAATGAATTTGTCTGAGCCAAGCGAAGTCTCTGATGGCAGTCACACGGACTACAGCGGCGGCGATGATGATGACGAAAACGCAGGGGCGGTGGAGGTTGCATTGTCCAACGGGAACGAAGGTGGAGTCAGTAATGGATGTGTTGCGGGAACTAGCGTAGAAGAGGAAATAGAAGGAGGAGAGGCGTCGTCGAGAGCGGAGTATCCGGTGGAAATGGAGGCAGGGGAGGAGCCGCCGAGTCCGACTAGCAGCGGTTACGATGGGGAGAGAGGGAGCAGCGGCGGAGCTACCTCCACTTACAAAGCCGATGACGCCAGTGAGGATGAGATTCGGGAAGCCAATGTGGATGGTGACACTGCCTCGCAGCATGAAGCCGCTTGGTTGCCCGGAAAACGCCATGTCGACGAGGTGAGTCTGATTTAGCTCCTTTAACTTTACAAAATCAGTCCAAGCATCTGCTCTCAGTGTGATCGTTGTGGATAGTATCCAGATTCCGTCATGGATTGTTGGATTATGAGTTCTTGACCAATACTGTGGAAAATGTGTAGAGAGTGATACATGTGAACTGATGATGTTGGTTATCTTCTCTGAGAACAAACTCTTATTATGAAATGCAGGATGATGCTTCTATTTCATGGAGAAAGAGGAAGAAGCATTTCTTCATATTGAGTAACTCCGGCAAACCCATATATTCCAGGTTTAGCCATTGAAACACCAGCAAGAAGATGATTTACTCTTGTTGCATTTTTGTTTTCTTTAAATTTTCACATCTTTCAGATATGGAGATGAACATAAGCTTGCTGGATTTTCAGCTACTCTTCAAGCTATTATTTCTTTTGTGGAGAATGGGTAAACCGCACGAGCTTTGTCTGCTGTTTGTTTCCCTTCTAATGGTTATTTCTGTCTTTAATGTTGATGCCTAACCCATTGCCTTTTGTTTTTTCAGTGGTGACCGTGTCAATTTAGTCAAGGCAGGAAAACACCAGGTATTTATAAATTTGGTCTATAGAAGAAGTGTTTTGTTCAATTGAATTATCGTTGGAGATATTGATTAGCGAGAGTAAGTAAAGTAAAATAAATGGTTAATATCACTAGTTGGTCAATTTCAGGTCGTCTTTCTTGTGAAGGGGCCGATATATCTGGTCTGCATCAGTTGTACAGATGAAACATATGAATATTTGAGGGGGCAGTTGGATCTTCTATATGGCCAGGTAACAACAGGCTCCTGCTTTATATACTTGAACTTTGTGATGTTCAAGTAAGCGTCTTTAATAATAACCAAAATTGCAATACTGGTGATGCAGATGATACTGATTTTGACGAAGTCAATAGACAGATGTTTCGAGAAGAATGCAAAGTTCGACATGACACCATTGCTTGGAGGGACAGAGGCTGTCTTCTCTTCTCTTGTCCATTCCTTTAGCTGGTTTGTCTCTGATTTTCCAACTCTTTAAGCCAATCGCCTTTCACCTTGTTTGCTTGTTGGCTGTTATTATGTCACTAAAAATAAATATAGAGATTGAGAACTGCTGGACTTTTACCAGTCTCCTGGACGGTATTGCTTCCTCATCTGGAAGAAAATTTAGACGAATCTATCTTTATTGATCTGATCTCTAGAATAATTTGAGTATGAGCACATTTTTTCACTACATCTGCTAGAAAAGTTCACATCGTTTCATGGATCAATTTTGTCTAATAGAAGCCAATAATGTAATGGAAGATAGACATATTTTAACTAAAACTTAAAAACTAGCCTCTAAGAACTGTTTACGTGCATTTACATGTACCTTTTTTAGTCTACCGCTAAGCTTCAGGTCGAAAGGGTTGTAACAATCTACCATTTTTTAGGAACCCAGCTACATTTCTTCATGCCTACACTTGTCTTCCCCTACCGTTTGGGTCAAGGCAAGCTACAGGGACAGTATTGCAAGACGTGTGCGCATCTGGCGTCTTGTTCGCCCTAGTGATGTGCAGACACAAGGTAAAAACCTCTCTCATCCAAAAAAAAAGATCAAAGTTTTTGGAAACCCATCATAGCTAAAATGACTGTATGTTTTTTTACTCGAAGGTCGTCAGTCTTGCTGGTGCACAGAAAGCGTCTCTCCATCCCGATGACTTGCTTCTACTCTCCAATTTCGTCATGTCATCAGAATCATTCAGGCAATTTTGTGCTTCTAAAGTAACTTTACATTTCTTTTTATGTAACTTGATCTCACCACTTCCTCTATGTTAACCAGGACATCAGAATCTTTCTCACCAATATGCCTACCAAGATACAACCCTCAGGCCTTTTTACATGCCTATGTCCACTTCTTCGATGTGAGTCATAACTTAAATCCTTATAAATAAACCTCATACAGTACATATATATATATATATATATATTCTCACTTACTCGATGATATGTAGGATGATACATACGTGATGTTGCTTACCACACGGTCAGATGCATTCTATCATCTCAAAGACTGCAGGTAAAAAAAAAACACTTTCATACTCGTAGATTCTTGTGTTTCTATAGGCAATGTTATTGAGATCCATAAACTTTTTTCATGGTTAGGATTCGCATCGAGGCTGTTCTACTAAAGTCGAACGTTCTAAGCTCGATTCAAAGATCGATCGCGGAAGGTGGAATGCGCGTTGAGGATTTGCCAATAGACCGCCTGCTTCGACAGAAACCAAACCAGGGACAAGCTGGTCACGAGAGTCCAAGGGACGTATCTGTGGGAACGGGAGGCCCTTTTGGACTCTGGCATTTCATGTACCGAAGTATATACTTAGATCAATACATTTCCTCCGAGTTCTCTCCTCCAGTAACTAGCCACAGACAACAGAAAAGGTTAAACAAAACAAAAATGTCGTGAGTACTACTCACTAGAGAAATGTGCTTTGACTTTTAAATTGAGAAGATACTGATGTAGTGAGTGATGTTGCAGTTTATATCGCGCGTACCAGAAACTATATGCTTCGATGCATGAGAATGGATTGGGACCTCACAAGACTCAATATAGACGAGATGAAAACTACAGTAAGTTTCGGATTTTGCATTTTGTTAACGAAAGAGATGAAAAACATTTTGCTGCGAACTGACGAAAAAGTCTTTTGCGATAATCGCAGCACTTCTGTGTTGGGTCACACCAGATTTTGAACTCTACGCAGCATTTGATCCACTTGCAGACAAGGTGATATTCTTATTTAACTTTCATACAGTAATGGATATTCGAATCAAAATGATTAAAGGTTAAAACACTAGAGAAACCTGCAAAACTGAGCATTATATTTAATTTTTGTGGTGAAATTATGTTGGGCAGGCGATGGCGATAAAGATATGCAATCAGGTGTGCCAAAGGGTAAAAGACGTGGAGAATGAAGTGTTCTTGCAAGGAGCTAGCCCATTCTCTTGGTAATAATTTTTACTGTTTTTACTCTATAATACATATATATATATATATATATGTACTTTTGATCTTTTTTTTCTTGATGCTTCTAATAATGTAAGTTCATTGGTGTGTTGTGTACCCCAGATAGCTGTTTGATGCTTCTTGTTGTTATTAAATCAGACTGAATAGTCAAAATTTTAGATGATGTTGATGGATTTAATGACAGCAATTAGTTTTAAACCTTTTAAGGTTTTGATGGAACGGATCGAGACTGGAGTTGGGTTTGTTCTGTTGTGTGGCTTCAGTTTAAATGCCCATATCTTTCTCTAATTTACTTATATTCTCTTCTCGAGTACAAAAATAAAATTTGTATTGGTTTTAAAATCAATTGCATCTATACATTGTTTGGCACAACAACAATGAATCTTTAATTTCTCTATTCTTTGTTTTTTTTTTTTAATGTTAGGTATGCTATATTAATACCTATGACTTAACTCTTAAAGAGAATCCAAGATACATCCATTAATTTGAGTTTGTTTTATCTTCTCTAGACATTACGGATGAAGGAGGGTTCATACAGTGTCTCTAAATAAATGCTCTGCTTAAATGCACCTGGTTTTTTTAATATTTCTTCTATATTATGACCACGTAAACATATAGTTTACACATTAATTACGAAGTAAATCGACATTTAACTCGTCATTAAATAAGTGACCAAACGCGAGTATTCCACTGATTTAAAAAATAAAATAAACCATTGGGGTTCGCATTGGAAATTCAATTGACTGACTTCAATTTTTTTGTTTTTTTTACTTCACTTCAATTAATTCAATCGTAAATAGTTACTTCGCTTTAGTTACCTATTTAATGACGAGTAAAATATTTACAGAAATATACATTATCCGAATTTGGAAACCAGATTTTGGATGGTCGGATTGGGGTCTAGTCAATACAAAAAAATAAAGAGAGTAAATTATGTGCATTGCACGACAACAATCTAGTCAATATAAGAAAAAGGACTAGTTAGTAGTACGTATTAATGCTGCAGACGAATGGTGATGTGATGAATGCTCAGTCAAACTTCATTAACCTTCGGGAAAATAAAATAAAAACAACAACAAATTAAAAAGTTAATAATGTTGGCCACTATGCTTAACTATGATTATGAATACCACCTTTTTATTACTGCAACACACTCACACTGTTTATTACGAGACAGCCCCTTATCTCTATAAAAATGAAATATGCTTTTCGGTAATTTCACGACTTGTCATTAGTTCCCCTCTCCACCCATTGACTTGTGTGGACATATATTTCAAAATTTCATCGAAAGCTAAATTATTCTTTAGATTGGTGTGAACAATCAAAATTTAATAATATGACAACAATAAAGGACGCACTAATTCTTAGGTTTGCAGCTGTTTTTGTATCTTGTTTTCTTTCTTTCTATTTTCATATTTCTTTATATTGGAATACGACTTTCCACTAATCCTTCTACATTGTTGCAAATAAATCCTTCTAAAATTATCAATTTATGTATTTAATCTAAATTTTTAGTTTGTTATTTTTTAAAAGTTCCAGTATATGGATTTTAAGAAAAACTATAGTTTTCAACTTTTCACACATGATTATAATATATACTAGTATAAGTATAATAACATGTAGAAAAATTTAGTAAATGAATGAAAATACCACAACCTATAATCGAAACAAATTATAATCAAAAATACCAAAACCTATAATCGAAACAAAAACCAAACCAAAACAAATAATATATAGATTACCTGAATCATATTTAAACTCATCGGATTAGTCCGGATTTAAATTTCGTATTATTTTCACATAACATCCCGTTTAAAAGTAATGTACACTACTTACCTAAATTTGGGATATAAATACATTTGAATATAAATACGGAAGTTCATCTAGCATTAGGTCTGTTTCATATAAAAAGAAAGAAAGCTTATCTATTATCTAAACAAACAGCTATAAAGATGCAAACAATGAGATACATGTTTAGTGATGGTTGATTTATTTTCTTTAAATTAAGCTATTTTGTGTTCTAGTTTTCTTTTCACATTTTTTTTCCCTGTTGATTCACTGTCATAGCTAACTTCTATTAGTGTGCGTTGAACCGTTTTGTTTCTATTTGTCCGTTAATGTCTTTTGGTTTTTTGTAAATGGTGTAGTAGTTATTTTTTTTAATAAATATCTTTGGTATTAAAATAACATCTAAACAATCACTGAAATAAATGTTTAGAAAACTTGGCCTAAAATTATCAATTTTGTATTTAATCCAAATTTTTAGTTGTGACTTTTTTCTAAGTTCAAGTATATGAATTTTAAGGAAAAAAATAGTTTTCAACTTTTCACACATGATTATAATATATACTAGTATAAGAATAACAATATGTAGAAAATTTTAGTAAATAAATACAAATTTAATTTTTATTTATTTATCTGAGACGTATCACAAGCCAAAATAACAAAACCTATAAAGGAAAGCCAAACCAAGACAAATAATATATATATATATATATTACCTGAATCATATTTAAAGTCTTTGGATTAAATTTCGTATTATTTTCACTTGACATCCGGTTTAAAAGGAATGTACACTACTTACCTAAATTTGGGATATAAATACATTTAAATATAAATACAGAAGTCCATCTAGCATTAGGTCTGTTTTGTAAAAAAAGAAAGAGAGTTTATCTATAATCTAAACAAACGGCTATAATGATGCAAACAATGAGACACTTGGCGAGGGTTGGTTTATTTTCTTTAAATTAAGCTATTTTGTATTTTAGTTATCTTTCACATTTTTTCCGCTGTTGATTCACTGTCATAGCTAACTTCTATTGGTGTTCGTGGAACCGTTTCATTTCTATTTGTCCGTTAATGTCTTTTGGTTTTTTCTAAACGGTTATAGATTAGTTTTTTAGAATAAAATATCTTCAGTTAGAAAAAACATCTAAACAATCACTGAAATAAATGTTTAGAAAAATGGGCCTTAAAACTATAAATTTATTTATTTAATTCAAATTTATAGTTTGTGTTTTTTTAAAGTTCAGTATACAAATCTTTAAAAAATATATTGTTTTCAACTTTCCACCCATGATTATGATATAGTATACTAGTAGAAGTATAATACATGAAGACAAAATTTTACTCCCTCTGTTTCAAATTAGTTGTCGTTTTGGGAAAATGTATCTGCCATTATCTGGATGTATCTGTAATGCAAAACATGTCCAGATACATTCAAATATTTGCAGATACATTTTGACAAAACGACAACTAATTTGAAACGGAGGGAGTAGTAAATAAATACAAAATTAATTTTTTTTATCCGAGATATATCACAAGCAAAAAGAACAAAAATCTATAATCGAAAACCAAAAAAAAAAACTAGGTCTTAATTTTCAATTTGTATTTAGTATTTAGTATTTTTTTCTTATTGAAAAAAAAAACTAGATCACTATTGATTTAAACAATTGTAGTAACATGAGAAACGATCATCTATACAGAATAAGATATTTACGAATTTAGCACAACTTTGTTGAACCATAATTCAAGTTATATTCGAATTATCCGATTAATCATCCATTTCTATCTGATCAAATGTTTTTTTTTTCGGATTTATGCAAATCCAACGTAACACAGATTTAAAATCATCGGATTAGTCCGTATTTTTTCAGGTACCATCCCGTTTTAAGTAATGTACACTACTTTCCTAAAGGTGAGATATAAATACATTTGTGAGATATAAATACAAGTATAATAAAATAGAGAAATAAAAAATAATCACATCCATGCAGGCTAACGTTCAGTTGACTAGCAGCAGCGATAAAGCAGATAATAAATTCTCCATTAATTATTTTCATTAAAACAAAAACCCCACTTCTCCTCTCTTCTCTCTCCTCCTTCTCCTCTCTCTTCTCTTCCCCTCTCTCTCTCTCTGCAAAAACCCTAAATTTCCACCGATTTCGCCTTCCTCAATCTCCATTCCGGCCATATCTATGCTGTGTTTTCTCCTACTCACCTAACAAATCAGAAACCCAGTTTGGGATTACCAATGATTGGTAGAAGACGAAGCCCAGATATGGTGAAACAAACCTAAAAAAGGAAGCTTTTTTAAATCTCTCCGAAAATCGGAGTTTATTTCCTTCTTCTTCCTCTTGTGTTTTCCGATTTTGGAAGGTAGCTGAAGAAAAAATGTACAAAAACCAGCTACAGGAGCTAGCCCAGAGAAGCTGCTTCAATCTACCTTCGTATACCTGTATAAGGGAAGGTCCAGACCACGCGCCGCGATTCAAGGCTACCGTTAACTTCAACGGCGAGATCTTCGAGAGTCCTCAGTACTGTTCCACTCTCCGTCAAGCTGAGCACTCTGCTGCTGAAGTTGCTCTCAATGCTCTCTCTAATCGTGGCCCTTCTCACTCCCTCGCCTCCAGGATCTTGGTTAGTTGTTTTTGCTTCACTTCCTCTTCCGATTTCTCTCATTCTTGTCGGAGTTTGTGAGCTTCCGATTTGGGTTTTGGGTCGAATTTGCATGTGATTGATGGGTTTCGTCGGTTAGGTTATTAGGGATTTGGGTACTACTGGTTTGATACTAGAACTGGATGCTGTAGATTAGCTTATGATCTACGGATCCGGAGTTTGAATATTCGTTTCTTGGCCATTGATGTGTTTAGTGACAAATGATACTTTGTTTGTTTGGCTCATCTGACTCTTGAGATTCTACTAAACCGGGTTTGAATCTGGATGCATGCTTCTTGATCTTGACTCATACTTGTCCTGTGGTGTGATCTTGCAGGATGAGACTGGAGTGTACAAGAATCTGTTGCAAGAGATAGCTCAGAGAGTGGGAGCTCCTCTGCCGCGTTACACGACCTTCAGGTCAGGTCTAGGACACCAACCGGTGTTCACCGGCACCGTGGAGCTGGCTGGAATCACGTTCACCGGAGATCCGGCTAAGAACAAGAAGCAAGCAGAGAAGAATGCTGCTATGGCTGCTTGGTCTTCCTTAAAACAATGTAAAAGACTGTCCCTTTCCTTCTTCTTATTTGATCAGAATGTAACTCTCTGCTTACAAGTTTTTTTTTATCTTCTTCAGTGGCGAAAGAAACTTCAAGCTCAATGCCTGAGCCGGAGAACATTGACGAGCTAGAACAGGTGATTATAGCAAGAGCCTTGATAAACTACCGTATCAAGGAAAACATCGGCATGGGAACGGGAACGGGAGCAGGAAGCTCCTCGAGTGGTGGTGCTCCGGTTCCATTTGCGAAGAAGTTCTTTATGCATAGCCCAAGACCAACAAGTCCACAGCCTTCTCCTGCGACCACATCGAGAATCTTACCCTTTATCTCCTCAAGACCTTCTCTTAGAACCAGATCTTTAGCAGCAGCTTCCATTGAAAGAACCATAGCATCCGCTTTGGAGAGCCAGAACCGCAGCAGCTACCCGAGGCCGCCTCAGCAGAGATATGCAACTACAGGAACAGGAACTGGGGCTCCTCCTTATGTTCCCATGAGGCATTTGAGATCGCCGTGCCACGGGATGGCTCCACCTGTTACTATCAGAACCTCTGTGCCTGTCTTCTCTGCACCTCCAATGCCTCCTCCTCCATCCTCTACAAACTCTCAGCTACCTTCAGTGTACGTCCCGTCGCTAATGAGGACCGCACCAGCACCACCGGTGAGGATTGCACCGCCTGTGACTATCAGAACCGCAGTGCCCGTTTTTGCTTCTGCCCCACCTGTGACTGTTAGAAAAGTGAATGTCCAGACCACTGCTCAAGTAAACGAAACCCGGATGCTATCACTCCATGAAAACAAACAGAGTGATACTCCATTCTTGCCTGATAATCTGGAAATTGAAGTAGAAGGTAGAGTTAAAACAAATCTTGCAGTGAGTGAGAAGAAAACAGCCGCTGAGGTAAAGGAGACCGAGAGAGCAGCATCGGCAAGAGAGCGACTGGAGAATCTCAACATCTGAATGATTGAGATCCATCTCTTGGGTTTCTGAAAGATTGGTACTTTAGTAATGCGTCGTCGTTGTTATAGTTATACTCGTCGTGGATCGAGTAATGAGAAGGATTTTGTATTATATTGGGGAGTCTTTTAGGAGAATGGCACTGGAGGAGAGATCTCTCTGGATTCTAGAAATTGTATCTGTTTCACTTCCTTATTCAGTTTGTTTTGTTTGTGTCCTCTTCTTCTCTTATTAGTTCCTTTTATAGAAGAAAAGAAACCAAGCTCCACCAATTTGTCTTACACAACTATGAGACATAAAAAAATAGAGGAACGAACGAACCATCGGTTTATAGATCAAAGCCGGACCAAAATGAATTTAAGGCCGGTCTACAAAACAATTCCAGGCATTGGATATGAAGAAAGTTGGTTACAAATCCAAAAAAAGCTATACACCATGAAAAACAAATCGTGCAGAGCATCACAGTCTCTTTTCAACGGGATGCAAGAGACCAGAAGTTGAAAAGAAAACAAGGCAAAGCAGCAAACCAGCTTATGAAGGCTAATGCCGTCGATGTCTCGAACTGAACGCAGTGGTTTTGCGCGCAGCTATTCAGGTCGTTGTCTATCAGAACCGTTATGCCTGCTGATGCACAAGCCGCAGCGAAAGTAAGCGTTGATGTCACCTGGAAAGAAAAAAAATGATATTATTTCTCCATCTTTGATAAATTGAGAGGTTAGAATGATTTTACAGTCTCTTACCCCATCACCGATTGCAAACAAGCTCACAAGTCGACGGTTTTGTAACGAACGTTTCACCATAATGGCGTAGACGTCCACTGAGGCTAGTGAAAGACTCCACAAGCTCTGCAGGCCAGTGGCTGCAACTAGGTAGCTGATCAAGTACAAAACAGTAAACCATTATCTAGCTTAATGCTACTACAAAAGATTCATTTTCATTGCAACAGAAGAAGTAGAGACCAAAGCACACTAACACGCATCATTAAGGCAAACTTACTAAAGCAACCACCAACAGACACCATGAAACAAAACTTGATGGCTAACCAAATTAACCAAGCAACAGTGACCGCATGAAAACAATCAATCATATTATATAGCAATCTTTTTATCACCGTTTAAACTTGTCAAAGACAGCTCATTCTAGATTACTGATCTTGTTACCATGATATCACATTTGATTCTACTCAGATTTCACCATGGAGAAACGAAACCCCTTAAACACCAAAGCATCACAAGGAAAAGGGTTTTTAAGTACAATACCAGAAGGCGGTAACGGAAGGGAAGTCACTAGTGGAAGCCATGACAGAGAGTGAAGCAGCAGCAAACAAGAACTGAAAGAAACGAAGAGCAAGGCCAAGAAGAGTCCCAGGCATTCCTTCTATGTCATCCATCCTCACCCGCGGCGGATTCTCCACTTCCGTCGCTGCTGGAGGATCTTCCACCGGATGCACCGATGCATGGCTCACATTCATTTCTTCTTCTCTTCCACCAAAATTACACTCAATCTAAATCATCTCTCGCTCTCTCTCTGACTCTCTTTTTACCAAATGGATAATTTACAAACTTGTAAATCTCCCCCAACCTGTACAATTATTCACCAAATTAGCCACATTTTATACCAACTAATGACAATCAAAAGGTTTCTTAGTGAACAGTTCAATGAAACAAAGCTACATGTTCGTCGAATTTTGAAGTTGACTGAATCAAATAACCAAATGACGAAGCATATATGTAATCGAATTTAAAGCTCTCGACAACCAATTCAAAGTTGAAGCTTATTAATTTTCCAAATTTGAATCCTCTCTTTCCACACAGTCCAGAACTAATCCAAAGTTCGATTTTCAGGCTTGAATTTGATTTCAACTAGGATTTGTTCAAAGAGAAAACGAGATCTAGTAAAAGAGCACGCAGATCGAGGTGGCGTGGAGTTAGAGATTGTGTGTGTTACCTGAGAATCAAGCAGAGAGGAAGAGATCGAGAGCAGACATGGAGCTTGGGTAGAGGAAACCCTAAAGCTATGACGGGTGAGACGAAGAAGAAGAAGAAGGAGAGAAGATCGTGGAAATGGAAAAGTGAAGGTTTATGGGAGATTGAGTCATTCGATCAAAAAGGAGGAATATACCGAACTCGACGAATTAGCTTTAACCGCAATTTAACAATTAAACCAAAAGTTTACTCAGATTGTTTTACCATCTTTTATATTATTAATTGAGAAGTACATTCTAATGTTTGGATACAAGAATTAGAGAAACATCTATTTGGATAGAAGAATAAATGGAAACAAAAGTTGTTTGGATATAAGAATAAGAGAAAAATCTATTTGGATAGAAGAATAAATGGAAAAAATTGTTTGGATACAAGAATAATAACTTAAAATAAACCGATGGTTTAGAAAACTTCCGTTTTCCATCTCTTAAAAATCTGCAAAAAAAAAACTTAACATAATCTAACGATAATTCCAAATCAATAGAATATGCTTTTTGGATTTTCGGGTTTTTATAGACAAGTTCGGGTTTGGGTGAAAATCTGAGACATAATTTTATAGAGATATATATAGAGATATAGAAATTGTTCGGGTTTCTTTGAAAATTTCTGTTCGGGTTAGGTTCAATTTTTTTTTCAGTTTAGGGTTTTCCGGATTTTTTAGATTTCTGGTTTTCGGGTTTAGATATATTAAAAAAATTGAGTATTTTAAAATTTTGATTAGGTATTGGGGTCGGGTTCCGGGTGAAAAAGTTTCCAGATTTTTTTTGTTCAGTCAGGGTTTTCGGGATTTTTTTTTTCGGATTTTCATGTTTAGACCTATTAAAAAAGTTTGGGTTTTTAAATTTTTTGATTAGGGTTTTTTGTCGGGTTCGGATTTAGGGTTTAAATTTTCTACACAAAACAACAACGTCACACCGCACAAACGTGCGGGTACTCTACTAGTCATATTAGTATTTGCAAATGATTTTCGTGAATGGAGCACCACGTTAACTCTCAGCGCGAATTACCAAGATACCCTTAATGAAAATCTATTATTAAATCTTCTGAATTTCTTTTTTAATTATTTCACAATTTCGTTTTTTATATAAAAGTTCATTATTTCCTTATTAATTTCCTTATTAAATATTGATAATTATCCTTTTTTTTTCCTCGATTTATATTTATCACTTAAATAAATATCCTAACTATCATATTACCGCACCACTTTTCTGGAAGAAATCAAATAATTAGGTATTTTAAAAAAACTCTAGATTTTACAACCGACTTAGTCCTATTTAACAAGCAAAATAAACAGAATTTCGTTTCTTCTTTTTCGTGTTCTAAATTCTTCGATTCCATATTTCATCTTTTGTCATGTAGGTTTATAGTTATTGCTAGATCTTAGTTGTATTAGATCTAATGTTTAACTGATTATTCGTTATTTTCTGGAAATTTTATTCAAAGAATCGCATCTAACTTCTACTTCTTTTACCTTTATAACAGTAAATTCCAGGTTTGTTAGCTAATTGAGTCAAAGAAATCAACTATGGTACCAACTAAAAAAAATGCATTGACAAAAATTAGTGGTATGTACATCTTTCGTTTTTATTTTCAACTTAAATCTTATGAAACCCTAATTTGAATAAACTTATCTAAAAAGATTTTGTAAAATGTGGGTTTAGGTGTGCGGATTGGGGGGGAGGGGGTTGTTATTTGGTAGTGGTGTTACAATGTGGGGTTTGGGTTATTTAGGGGGTGGTGTTACACTGTGGGTTTGGGTTTAGGGTGTAGGGTTTATATTGATGGGGTAGGGTTTAGTTTTTGGTGTATTTTAAAAAAACTTGAATTATTACAGAAGAATTTCATAATAAAAAAATCATTTATTTGAAATTTATATCTACTTTCAAAATTACATTCACAAATAGAAAAAAAAACTAAAACAACTAAAGAAAATCCAGAATTGAAAGATAACAAAACTAATAAATTTTTAAAAGACCTCAACTATATAAAGATAGAATCTATTTCAAAAATATTGAAAATTTTAACTATCGAAATGAATTGGTAGGTGATATGCAAGACACAAACAAGACATAATAGATACATAAGTAAAAGAAAAGAAAACAGTGAAAAAGAAGATGAAAAATTTAGAAAAGAAAAAGAAAAGTCGAACATGAGGAAAAAGAAAGGAAAGAAGAAATAATGGAATGTGAAGAAAATTCCAAAACAAATGAAGAATATTACGTAGAAGAACAAGAAAGAGAAGATAAAAATAAGACACCTCAAGATTACAAAAATAAGAAGTTTGCGAAAACAAAAACGATGAATACAATAAAAAGTTGTACTACTTATATTATTTAAATCTTTAATTAATAATTGTATTTAAAAAATATTGTACCCGCACAAGGTGCGGGACAACCACCTTGTTTGATTTTATTCTTCTGAAGTATATAACCACATGTTTTGGCCAACATTTAAAATACAAGTATATAACCATATGGGTTTGAGTTTAGGGTGTAGGATTTATATTGATGGGGTAGAGTTTAGTTTTTGGTGTATTTTAAAAAAACTTGAATTATTACAGAAGAATTTCATAATAAAAAAATCATTTATTTGAAATTTATATCTACTTTCAAATTTACATTCACAAATAGAAAAAAAACTAAAACAACTAAAGAAAATCCAGAATTGAAAAATAATAAAACTAATAAATTTTTAAAAGACCTCAACTATATAAAGATAGAATCTATTTCAAAAATATTGAAAATTTTAACTATCGAAATTCAGTGAAAAAGAAGATGAAAAAATTAGAAAAGAAAAAGAAAATTCGAACATGAAGAAAATGAAAGGAACATGAAGAAAATGAAAGGAACATGAATAAATAATGGAATGTGAAGAAAATTCCAAAACAAATGAAGAATATTACGTAGAAGAACAAGAAAGAGAAGATAAAAATAAGACACCTCAAGATTACAAAAATAAGAAGTTTGCGAAAACAAAAACATGAATACAATAAAAAGTTGTACTACTTATATTATTTAAATCTTTAATTAATAATTGTATTTAAAAAATATTGTACCCGCACAAGGTGCGAGACAACCACCTTGTTTGATTTTATTCTTCTGAAGTATATAACCACATGTTTTGGCCAACATTTAAAATATTACGCAGGTTAAAGTTTTTTTATTTTACTACATTAATAATTAATTTAAATATGGGTCAATTAGCTTAATAATCATATATATACAGTTTTTTTTGCATGTGAATTTGATGTACAAATATGTGTAACTTTTCAAAATTTATTTTGAAATAACAACTTACATGTGATATTGTTAGCATATTTTCAGAAAAGAGCATAGGAGATTATTTACATGTGAGAGTCTTTCACAAAATCAAACTGTAAACTTGAAACTCTGTTTGCCACTTTACAAGTTTACCTTTAACTTTAAACTAGGCATGTTACTTTTACCTGAAACCTGAATTTGAACAGGATCCGAAAAACCAGAATTGAACCCGAACCAAAAATTAAAAAAATTCGAACGGGTTTTATACCTCTAAATCTAAAAACACAAAAAATCCGTAAAAAAACCGTGAATCAAATTTTTTAAAAATCGGAATTATTTCTATATCTAAACCCAAAATCCGAAAAATCTGATCTGAATCTTAACCGAAACTCGAAGTGCCAAACCTACTTGAAAGTCTTACTTGCTTTGGATTCCAAAATTATGGTGACAAAAACTTAAAATGTATATTCGGGTAATTTATTTAACTGTTTTCAAACATTTGTACTTGTTTTTGCAATTTTCTGCCAACAAAAAAAATATCGGAGAAACTCCCGATCTCATTCTCTCTCTCTGGATCTCCTCCCCAATCACCATTGTTGACTGATCGATTTTCGAGCTCCCACCCCAAAAACATCGCCATCGCGAGGAAGCAAACACACCCTAAGATTCCGCTTGCTAGGGTTCTAGTCTTCGGAGGATCTACCCACACTCTTCCTCCTTATTCAAAGCTCTTCTTCAGCTCCTTCTCTCCTTCTCCGTCGTCACCATGTTCTGGAAGCTAGCGTCTCTCTCGGCATCGTCTCCTGTGAGTTTGAATAGATTTCTCTACTTGTTTCTCATCTCTCCTCTACTTTTGTGTTTTTCTTTTCCACTCGAAAACGATTTCTGGTCATCTCCTTTGATTCGGCTATTAGAAGTTGACAAAGCCGCTTTGTTTGCATTTTCCTGCAAAGAGATTAGCTATAAGTGGAAGGTTTATCATTGCTCCTTGTTTCATTCTGTTGCTACTTGTAGGTGGAGTCGATACTTGACAAAGAGAAATACACATTGGAAGAGCTAATTGACGAGGAAGAGATTATCCAAGAATGCAAAGCTTTGAATAGCCGACTCATCAATTTGTAAGAGGTTTCATCTTGTTGTATATGTTGCTGATTGTGTTTTTAGTTAAAGGATTGGCATTTCTTGGAAAAGTTTTTGATTTGGGGGTTATTGGTGTTTTGCAGTCTAAGGGATAGAGCTCAAGTGGAGCAACTCTTGCGGTATGTTGTTGAAGAACCTCAGGACGATGCAGATAGCAAACTTGCTTTCAAGTAAATATCTGCTTCCTTCATAGTGACTGGCAATTTCTTTCCTATTTATCTCTTCATAGTGATGGATTCTTCTTCTTCTCTTAGGTTTCCATTCATCTCTTGCGAGATATTCACATGTGAGATTGAAGTTATTCTCAAGACTTTGGTGGAGGACGAGAAGGTATTTTTTCATTCATCGTGTTACCTTTTCCTAAGTAGTTTCAATTTCTTTGGATTTGATATCTCATTTGTTGGGTCTGATTTTGATCTTGCAGCTGATGGATTTGCTATTCTCCTTTTTGGAACCAAATCGTCCTCATAGTGCGTTGCTGGCAGGCTATTTTGGCAAGGTCTCTTTCTTACACTAATAAGCAGTATGTGTCAAGGCCAACTGATTTTAGGGTCTGAGTGCCATATGTGTTCTTACGTGTCTCTGTTTGATTTAGGTTGTCATATGCCTTATGGTCAGAAAGACTGCAGCACTTATGAACTACATAAAAGTAAGTAATGCTGATATTATTTTCTCTCTGGTCTTTTCTTTTTCTCTTTCTTGGATCAGCGTTTAGAATATATTTTTTCCATTATTGTACAAATATTATTTCCTGCTCACTGCTAAATTGATACTTAAATCAAGTTTAAGGAACAAGTTTTTAGTTACTGTTATGGAATTTCTCTGATTTGCTGTCTGGAGTTGACTAGGAGTTTTTTTCTCTTTCTTTCTGGCTACTCAGTAGATTTGCAGGACCTACTTTATGCTGTAATTTTGATATGATGGCTGTGTCGATTGTACATACATTGTGATAAGATCAGTTTGGGTGTGACTAACTGGTTCAGGGGATACAACTACCATTTGATGCAATTACCAATTTCGATTTCATTGTCAACATCTGGATTGATTTTGAGATATATGCACCGGCTTTGTCTGTAAAAATAGCTTTTGATGATTACAGGGGCATCAAAATGTGTTTAGCCAGTTGGTTGATTTAATTGGAATAACATCCATCATGGAGGTAAATGGTTGTCTGAGACTCTGCTCAACTTGGTGTGACTTCAACGCTCTCGTGTTTTCAAATAAACTTCTTGTGACGTTGTGCAGGTTTTGGTTCGCTTGGTTGGAGCTGACGATCATGTCTATCCTAACTTTCTGGATGTAATGCAATACTTGGCTGATAGCGATTTACTTGAAATGATCGTGGACAAACTAAATCCATCTGTAAGTAAGTTTAGGTTATTCCAAAACAAAAAAAAAAGAGAGACTTGAGGCTTTTGATAAATGTAGGTGGTCTGAAATCTAGTTTAGTGAAAAGTACCCAATCGGGAAAATTGTTACAAGGATTTACAATTAACAGTATTGTAAATGCAATTATTTACAATCTTATTTGATGCTCTCATTTTCTTACAATCTTCTGTTACTTGAATCAGAGCCCTCCTGAAGTTCAGGCAAATGCAGCAGAAACATTATGTGCAATTACTCGAAATGCACCTTCAGCTTTAGCCACAAAAATCTCCAGCCCTGAGTTTGTTATCTTTCCCTTCATATTTGATTTTCACTGGTTTCTGCAGATATATACAATATTCTGACGTTGTAAAAATTTCTTCTTCTTTTCTGCAGCTTTGTTTCTAGGATTTTTGGTCATGCTATAGAAGATTCACATTCAAAATCTGGCCTAGTTCATTCACTTACTGTATGCATCTCTTTGTTAGATCCGAGGAGATCTGCTGCTTCAATGCCTTTCTTCAACTCTTTTAGAGGTCAAAATATGTTTGAGTCTCCTGTCCCAGTGACCCAGGAGACTATTGGTGCCATGCTACCAAAACTAGGTAAGTTGGTTTCCTGTGCATTTTAATATTCTCATTAAACAACCAAATCCAGTGGTTTCTTCTTCTGGTCTATTATGTGCTGGATGCACATGAAGTAATCATATGGGCAATGCTCACCTTCTTGTGATAATTTATCCAGTTTCTGCTGACTCATGACTCAGTTGTACTCTATCTGCTCTGTTCCATCTTGGTTTATGTAGATAATGGGATATGGATGTTCCTTAATTCCATGGTTGTTGGAATTCCTTCCTACAGTTTTTTGAATATGTAGGATTTATGTCTTGCACGTTTTGTCAAATCTAGATTCGTCTCTTTAATGTCCTTGTATCAACAAGATTTTTTTGCCTTCTGCTGCAGGTGACATGCTTGTGCTTCTCAGTGTTGCGTCTGACAACAAAGTATTACCTACGTCCTATGGAGAGCTGAGGCCTCCTCTTGGAAAGCATCGTCTGAAGGTCAGATCCTAAATTAACAATTTCTGAGAAGGAATTGTAGGGTTTTTGGATGTGTAGTGTGCTTGTATACATAAATCTCTACGCTGAGTGTTAGGCTCAGATAGTCAGATTGTGTGGTTTCAGATTGTAGAGTTCATTGCGGTTATGTTGAAATCTGGAAATGAAGCTGCTGGGAAAGAATTAGCGAGCTCTGGAACAATAAAAAGGATCCTTGAACTATTTTTCGAGTAAGCAACTTCAAAACTCTTGATCTGGATTGTTGCATTTTACTTAAGATTGTTTAATAACTAAATACTTCCAACTTATGAAGGTACCCATACAACAACGCTCTGCATCACCAAGTAGAAAGTATAATTCTTTCTTGTTTGGAAAACAAGAGCGAAGCAATGGTTAACCATATCCTTCACGAATGCAACCTGATCTCCAAAATTCTTTCGTCGGACAAAGACTCTACTCTTCCTGGTGATAACCTGGTACACCACCTGCTCTACATGCTTAAATTAAGATCTGTAGTCTTGTTGTTTCTGATGATCATTAGTTAATAACAAATATGTCTGCCGCTTTTTCTCTCTATGTAGCCTACCGTAGTTGCGCCTGGGAAAAAACCACCACGTGTTGGATATGTTGGACATATCACAAGACTATGGAACAAACTTGTCCAGTTGAGTGATAGCAATGGCCTGATAAAGACATCTCTTCAGGTCGGTATCACAACCAAACAAAATCTCCTGCAGAGTCAAATACATGTTAAAATAGATTCATCAATTTTGCACGCATAAAGGCCTTTTAGCTCAAGAATGCTCTCTCTTCTCTACTTAAGTTTTGTTGCTCTCTTAAATCACTAGGCAAACAGTGAATGGACTGAGTGGCAAAGTAGCGTTCTTCAGGAGCGTAACACTGTTGAGAATGTGTACAGATGGGCATGCGGGTACTTTTCATGAACTCTTCTCCCTTATCTCTGGATCATCTTTGGACCTCTTTGACTCAGTCTTATTGCTTCTCAGTTCTTTATGATGAGCAAACGAAGTAAAGTAGTTGCATTTTGACCTCGTTTCTCATACAGGCGCCCAAGTACAGTACAAGATAGGACACAGGACAGTGACGAAGAAGACAGAGACTACGATGTTGCAGCTCTGGCCAATAACTTGAACCAAGCATTTAACTACAGAATCTATGGAAACGACGACAATGATCAAGAGGTCTTTTCGCTGCTTATAACTTTTCTTGCATTTGATGAAAGATTTATTCGGTTACTTTTGTGGTTTCAGGATCAAAATACTCTCGATAGAGACGATAATGTAAGTCTTTGTAAATCCAAGAAACTTCACATTATTGTCATAATGTTGTAAAAGCCTGAAAGCATTTTGTATTTTGTTCTATAAAGCAGGATGCTTACTTTGACGATGAATCGGCTGAAGTAGTAATTTCATCCTTGAGACTCGGAGATGACCAAGGAAGGTATGTTCTCAATCATCTGAAAATTTTGTGTGTTTTGAAGAAGAAGACTTGATCGTTTTTCTCACGACTTGCTGCAGTTTGCTCACGAATTCGAACTGGTTCACATTCCAAGACGAAAGATTCAGCAACACCACCTCTGATACAATGGTGGAAGACGACGGAAACTTAAACGGCGACGATAGCAGCAGCAGTGACGACGAAGTTATGGTTGGAGAAGAAGAAGAAGAAGAAGAAGACGACCATGATCTAACCGAGAAACCAAACAACATGTCTCCTGACAGTTTATCAACATCTGAAATGCAAGTCAGTGGCTCCGGTCTGAGCCCAATCATCGATGTACCAATGCTGGATGTCAAAACCGAACCGGTGGTTTCAAACGGTTCGCCGACGACATCTGGAACCAGAAGCTTAAGCCCGGGGCAGAAATCGCCTCCGGTGAGAGCATTGTTTGAAGAGGATGTGGAGTTTGTGGGAGTGGAACCGGAAGGGACAGAGAAAGCAATGGAGCAAGCTTTGAAAGAAGGGATCGTCGGCGAAGCTGGACCGTTGAAACGGAGTATCGTTCAGAAAGCTCCGGAAAACGATAACCAGGATGAGAACTCCGGTGTGAAAGAGTTCAACGATTCGAATTTCTGGAGAGTTGATCAAGAAGTTACAGTTTTGGAGTAAAACAATATAATGTTTTAAAAGCAGAATCAGCCTCAAGTAACTCTGCAATTTTTATTAAGTTTTTGTCTGGTATAATGTTAATGCTCTGTTTTTGGTTTTGATTTTGTTTTACTTAATTGTTCTAATTTTTTTTTGGAAAATGCGTCTCTGATTTATTATGCTACTTCGAAATCAAATATATTTCAATCATGCTCGCTTTTAAGATATGTTAGAGAAATGGAGTGATTACAACAAAGGTAATGGATTCAACTTTATAATAATATATGAATATGAAAGATTCCGAAAAGCGACACACTAACAAATTCAGTATGAATCGTCATTTGCTCAGCAGAATAGCAGAACACACCCCCCACTTAGATTCAATATTAACTAGGTGATCGACCGGAATATTAACTAGGTGATCGACCGGGCTACGCCCGATTATATTATTTATAAATATATTTGGTATAAATCATCTTTAATTTTCATTGCAATTCCTTTGCAGTAGTTTTGGTATTTCTGTCATGTTAGTTACCCTCTATCTTTTGTTCAAAAAATCCATATATCAAGAGAATAAGAACGTTCATAATTTAGATAAATGTTTGCAAAACATAAACAACTGAGATTTTTAAATTTAGAATGAAACAACAAAATGTAAATAATAAATTATCTAAAAAGGACAGAGTATGTCATCTATTATGTCTTATGATTTTTTGTGTGAACCTTAATTTTTTTGGTCTTACCGCTCTTTCTTTTTTCAGAAATTTTGGTTGGATTTGTTTTAACTCTTTGTTAAAAAAAAACCATTATAAAGTAGTTAATTGGAGTTCTAGTTTTCTTAAGATGTGGGAAGTGTGTATTTTGTTATTTGGATACGTTATATTTGGTGTAAATAAATAAAGCAGAAATATGTTGGTTTATGTACTTGTATATTTTTTGGGCTACTGCTTATGACCAGCATGATTTTGTATTTATTTTTGCGAACGCTCAAGAGGTGTTGAAACTGTGTTACTTGTTCATAACATAAGGAGAGGTAAACAATTATATCCTTGCGAAATTTGTAAAGCTTAAGTACAATCATCTTATACAGTATATTCTTCTGTGGCTGTGTATTATGTTAGCCTTTTTACCTTGCTAGCTTCATTCGAAGTAAAATGTGATGATGCTTTGATTGTGGGTTTCTAAGTTCTGACCAACAACATCTAATGTAGAGCATATATTTGAATAGCTGCGGGAGATAATTTTTTTTCTCTCTTCAATAGTACTTTACTGATTGAACTTTAAACCCAAAACAACATAAGTTTTTAACTCTTAAGAAACAGATCAACACGCAATTAACCAAAACAGAGCATAAAAACAAAAGCCACACTAAAACAATAGACAAAAGATAAACCATATGATATCATGACTGAATTTGTTAAAGAGATAATATCATGATTAATTTTTTTACTATCAATAATATAAATAACATAAATGGTAATTTAATTTCTTTAACTAAAAAAGTTAACTTGTTTTAAATCATATATTATTCATGTTATTGAAGTTGAACCATATATTCTAAACTTTTGATGATACCCCACATTACCACTTTTGCAAATGGACTTGACAGCCATGGACTTGGTTTCTTGCCATGGACTTGGTTTCTTGATCCTTTGCTCATAGCCTTAATGTGTGCTGGTTGAACGTGTTGCTCTTGCTCTCTTGTTCGTAGAAAATCGAATATTTATTTTCCTCAAAAAAATGTTTATTTCTCGAGACATCACTAAAAAGGAAAAATAATAGTTTAATTTAAAATAGCTCTGAGGCTCTATTGTTGATCAGAAATAGTTTGACTTAATTACTTTATACTCTGTATTTAAATCCATAAGCATTTCATTTTCAGTGTTAATCTTGTTTACAACTCTTAAAATGTTTTAAAATATCACATTTTTGCAAAACATATTGTTGGATTCATGAATTAAAGTGAACAATTTTATTCGTGTCATGAAAACCAAAATCCATAATTCAGAAACAGCCAAATTAGATAATAATATAACATCATCGACACATGTTGTAATATTTTCATCCCTCTCTTTTTGCCATATTCATTTCTTCTCAAAACCAATTTCTTTTTGTTTCCTTTTTTTATTTTCTGTTTTCACTTTCCCGTGCTAGAAAATATCATAAAGGAATAAATAAAATTGGATTCACCTTGAAACGAAAGAGATGTCTATACAATTATAAGGCAAAGTGAGATAAAGAGTTGGATCACTTAGCTCTCTCTCTACCTATAAATTACATCGTCTCTGAAGCCAAAAAGAGCTTTTTCTTCATCTTCTTGGTATTGTAGCTTGGGAAGTAAACAACCGCCAACCGTAAGGAACCTTGCATTCATCAGGCTCGTCTGGACCAAATAAGTAATCATACCTACAAAACAACACACCTAACATTTCTTAAACGCTGACATCATAAGCTTTCGAGCGAAGGATACCATTAAAAAGTATGTACTGTACGTTAACTCCTCTCCGACAGCAACGTTGGCCTTGGTGTGATGAAGCATCACTTCCATCTTGGATTACATGTCGTAACTGACATCCATCTTTGGCACAACCAGCATTAGCTCCCTATAGATCTGTCTAACAAACTGGCAGATCCGCTCCGCGAGTTCGATCTCACCGTCTGCTATTCTACCAATCGTTATCCTCATTACCTCTCCAGTGAAATCCGCAAGCTGTGCAAGTCAAAACAAACAATACTCAAACACAATATAGAAATCAAAACAAATAGCCAAAACCATAAAAATCATGAGAGTCTATATATACCCCAAGAATATAGTCAAGGATATTGTTCTGCAGAGGTTCCATAGAAGGTTCACTAAACGGTAAAAGCGTAGCGTTAAACTCATCGAGAGTAGAGAGAGTCCCGGATAAACAGAACTTATAAAACGTTGCAGCTTCAAAATATTCCTGCACCTGAAAGTTACCCTAAAACGTTAGCATCCTTAATAAAAAGAGGAGGTTTCACTCTCACAGACCCCTGGTGAGAAGCTCGTCTCAGCTTCCAAAAATTTGTTGGTTGAAGCTCTTTCATTAGCCGTGAAAATTTTTGCTCTCTCCCTGCTTCTAAATCTTTCCCTGCTTTCTCCAAAACCTCCTCTTTGTTGTCTTTGCTGAGTCTATCATTGTAACCCAAACAAACAGAGGATAAGAGTTTAAACCTTAACAGGTTCATAATAATGGCAACAAACATTGAAAAAAATCAGAGGCTTAATCTCACCTGTGAACCTGAAAGATGACTTTTTTTTTTACTGTTCATTGTGATATCACGACTTGCCTTCACCACTCTTTCCCGTTTCTCATTCTACGAAGAGCCACACACAGATTTACAATCTCAGAAAAATGATAAAGTATGCTCCTTTATGCCCAATTCAAGTGTCAGACTTTACTAAACAATGATTCACAAAACCCACTCTCGATTAACAATCACAGGAGAACTAAAGCTGCAGTTTGAAAAATCATGTATTTACTCAATCCAACGACGCAAGGTTCAATCTTTTTATCAGCAAATAAAACCCAGAAAGCATCGAGCTTCTCTCAGAAAAATTGGAAAGAGGAGGACCACTTACGAAGTTATGGTCACATGTGCCTAGCTTCAGCCACATGTCATACCTATTGGTCGTTATCCTCTTATTCTCCTTGTGCTCCCGCGTAAGAATCTCTCTAACAAAGAAAGAAAAATCCGGAAGTTAACGGAACATCTAAGAAGTCCATCTCAATATCACATAGTTCGAAACAGCAATAAAGCCAGCGTACAGTTGCCCTTCTGATCACAAACTTTAACTCCATCTCTACACGACACTAAAAATCAGGGAAAAATACAAACCTGAAGGATCTCTGATCTGGGAATGCATTAGAGGAGAGAGGAGAAGTGGAATGGGAGGAAATTGACCGTCGATTTTCTCGAGGACCTTGAAATTTTGGGGTAGAAAGAGCTTTCGGAGCCATCGGTTGATCTGGGCGAATATCTACAACGAACGAATTGAATTAAAGTTTTTTGAGTTACCTTACTGCTACGTTTGGAAGACGGTCCTGCTCTACTCCACCCTCTTATTCCTCTCGCTTCTGCGCACCTTCCCCTTCTCTTTTGTGCCTCGATGCATCTCTCCATAGAAACCTGAAAAGTATGTGTTTAGTAGACAATTGAAGTTCTAGGAGAGAGGTACTCATGATTTGGAGAATTCGTTTGCAAATAGGGGAAAGTTATGCTTGTGGATGAAATTTATTTTAAACTAAATAGACAATACGAAGGATTTGTGGAAGATGAAGATGAATCGAGGTTCATTGAATGGAAGAATTGGAAGCGTTTGAGTTTCTGAAACAGAAAAAGCTAGAGATGCGACGAAAAGCTTCGTGATTTTGGAAGGAGTAAAATGATACTGACGTGGCATCGTTTAGTGAAGTTCTTTTGTTGAAGTTTGAGATGCTGACGTGGCGACGTGGAAGGCCTCTGAAAAGTGCTGACGTGGGTAGCCTCTGAGGCCCCAAACATCTGCTTTCATTAGTATAGATAGATTGTTGACAGTTGATGCACTCGTTTAATGACATTGTAGTTGTTGTTTCACATCATTCAGCATGATATTGTCTCTGTTGTTGTTATTGGAATATATCGTCATAAATACTTTGTCTAACCTTTTACCTTTATATACAAAATATGTACTTTGTCTAACATCTTCAAAGTATATAATTATTATTTTTGTTGCTGAATGTATGTAGTTCTTAGTTTAGTTGTTGGTTTAAAAAAATCAAAACTTGATTGAATTGCCCATTCAGAGAATACTAATATTTTTTGTTTCGAAAGAAAACTAAGGAAACTAGTTTGTTCTTATTTTACTTACTAGGGAAAAAAATGTAAACTAAACAAGTTTTTGCAATATGTTTTTTTTCTTCTAATTGTGATATTATCAAATAAATTCACTCAAACCATTAGGATGTCATCTTGTTCAAATATCTCCATCGTGCCTGGATTATCATAGACACGAAATCATTTTCTAGATATTCCTTATCGCTTTAGAAATCTTTCTTCTTTTTATAGGTCATTCATATTGTATGATAAAATGCATTATATCCAATAAAATACTTCAAATTGTTGTATTGTACACCCATAACTACACGTACTCAAAGGAGTTATGATTTCACGAACTTTTGATATCTTTTGGTAGCTACACAAATTTATATTAACTCATCTCTAATCTACACCTACTATTGAAACTCAGTCTCTGCCTCTTACACCGTAGAGTCATCTAGTTTCTACCATTTAGCTATAATGGTGCGAAAGTTTTAGACTACGTTTTAAAATACATGTAGTTTATGGTTGAGGTTCAAATGATATGAAAGTTTGGGTCATAATATATGTTTAAGACCTTAATTAAGCTTGGTAGGAAGATTTGAGACCCATTTTCTTATTAACCTTGATAACTTTGAATATGAAGAATTTTTGTCAATATTAATAAGTAACTTTGAATATGAAGAATTTTTGTCAATATTAATAAGATGATGAGATATATATTTGGAGGATGATGTTTCTGAGATTTTAGAACCTCCAACCGAAAAACTCTTGAGATCGAGACATTACTTGTCGATATGTACAAATATTTAACTCCTCACTACTTCTAGAATGATTGTTTTTAGTTATAAGTATAATATTGATTCTTAGTTTTTTTTAAAAAAAAGACAAAATTATGACCTGTGTAACATCAACGAGTAAGATCGGTTACAAGAACTTCTGATGGAAAACTAGGTGGGAGCTTGCGCTGTGCGCGGGATTGTGGTGGCATGTGGATATTCTCTAAATGTAGTTATAATTTACTTTACGTAGGACTATTCCGTATTATTTTTTTGATTTTATTCTGCATTTGTTATATGGTATGGAAGATTAAAATTGTGTTGGTGATATGTAATGATTTTCTAGTCTCGATGTGGCTCACCATCACATTATGCTGAGGTTAATTTAGTCCAATATCGTTGTGGAAAGACCACAATGTTTATATTTAGTCCAATATTATCACTTCCCAAATCTTTGTAACAACAATTATATTTAGTTCTTTGTAAACCTCTTTTTATTCTTTGGCCTGGCCGACTTTTATTAGACTGCATATTAGATCACAATATTTTGTTTTTCTTTGCGGTGAGGCGTAAGTGAGTGAAATAATCGCTGGAGAACTGTAAATTCAAAGAACATTGGAATCCCAAAAGTTAACGAACAATATGGAGAACGTAACTGTAGTAGAGATTAGATTAATTCTCTTCTACAATAAGGACATATTGCTCGGTAATATAACCAATATGCAATACAGTCATAGTGGAACTTATGACTGCAACTCAAAGTGTTGATGTTTTGAGGACCTCTTAGTTTGTTTGTCAAGACATATAGGACAATCACCATGTTCTTCTTCTGATGCTTGGGCTTGTGTTGTTTCTAGGTCTGTGATTACCAGGTCGACATCCAATCTTCTTGATGAGTTTGGGTTGTGGTCTTCAATTTCGAAGAAAACATGTAGACGGTTTGTGGTGTCCGCTTCCGGTGATAATACCGCTGTCTCAATAAAGTCTATTAATGTTTCCGTTAACGTACATGTTATCTCATCGTCAATGTCATGATATTCGATGAAGAATTTGATTGTCTGCTTGAAGCTTGAGTTAGTTTCTTCTATGATCTGATTGTTGGTAAAAGGGATTGTGTAGCTGATGTTGTATTCTTGTCGGAGAGGTCGAATGATTTTGAGATGGAGTTGGTTTTGGTGTGGTGGTGTAAATGGTACCCTCCTCTAGTACAATCCAAATAGTATATTGTTCATGGTGTTTTTGATAGTGTGTGGTAAGTTTTCCCCTTTGTCTGCCAGCACCTCAATATCTTTGAATAGCTTAATCCGGATATATTCAGTAGGAATTGAGTATTCTTCACTCTCCACTTTGTCCCTAGTGGTGTGGTCGCTGAAGTAGATTATGTATGCGTTGTCAGATAAGCGGTAGTTACTTCGTTTTCTTTTTTCACATCAAAAACCAAAATTTTGAATAACTTCCCCTCTTCAAGCTTGTTTCGGAACTTATGGAGACGGCGGTGGTGAATAGATGCATGAATCGCATTAGCCTGCATAAGGAAAAAGGAAGCACCATATTAGCCTCGTTTGAAGTTTGATGGAATCAATTGGAGAATTTAATAAGTAATCAGTCTTACCTTCTCATCCAGGAGCAAGCAGTCAACACTGAGCAGTGTATTGTTACGCCTGAAATCACGAGCTTCCCACATGCGGATTAAACGGACCACAAAATTTTGAGAATCCATCTTATCATCTACAACATCAACAAACGAATATGAGGAAGGGCTGTGGGTGATTGGGAATCACTTAAGGCCATTTTTGGTTGAAGGTGAAAAAGATTAAGCGTGGGTTTTCGTAGAAGAGGAGATTGTCTTTTATAACTGGAATTCTAAAACCGCGCATTAAATTGTGTAGATGGTAATCGGGGATTCAACAAATAAAAATGGACCAGAACTTTATGATATTCTTAAAAGGAAAAAAGAAGAGGACGAAAAAAATAATCGTAATGGTAATGAGGGATTAAAGGGGATGAGGATATTTAGGGATTTATGTAACATCTAAATTATTTCCAAAATATATGTATAATCAAATAAGAAGATATCTAAATAAAGCTCTGAAGAGAAAAAGATACACATACCTAAACTAGAAGAGATATCTAAAAAAACAATCAAAATAATATTGAGCTTGCGGTAACAAAATGGCAATATGTCAGTAAGCAATAAAATGGCGTCAATGGAAATTCTAATATATTATTTGCGAAGTAAAAATTTCGTTTAGAGGCACCGCATTCAATTTCAGCTGGTTGATTACCCACATACCCTTAATGAAAATTCTATTTTTAAATTTTCATAATTTCCTTTTTTTAATAACAGTTTTTTTGTCAATTAGTTAATTAATTAGATAATATCTTTTTATTTTATAAAAAATATAATCAGTTTTGATCTCCCAAAATTAAAAAAGCCCAAACCTTAAAAATTATATTCACGATTAATTACAAACTCTAAAAAATCATATTCACGTTAATATATAAGAAAACCTATACAAAACCCTAACTCTAATACAACTAATAAGAACATTGATCTTCTTTGTATTCTTCAAACTAGGTTCTAGAGAAAAGAAAAAAAGAGAGGTGAGCTATTTCAAAACTTTTTCGAACCATGATTTGGTTACCTTGGGAATATGTGAACTCTAATACCATAAACATAGAAGTCTTCGATACATACAGATGGTATTTTCAATTTTCAGTTTCCAGTTTTTTTATAATGTGTTACTACTTTTTCCCTGTCTCTCTCTTTAGTTGTAGTTTAAAGGTATATTATACATAATTTATTGGTTTTGTTTTTGTCTTATCATGATTATCAAGGAAAAAAAAAAAAGAAGAAGATGATGATCGTTGTGATGAACAAGATGACGGTGATAAGTTTTAGCATCACATACAAGTTTATTAAATTATGTTTGCTTTGAGTACTATTATTTAGCTGATTTTGTTATAATGTTGAACTAGAAGTGCATATCTGGGAATTAGGTTTCCACCAGCTGAATGCAAACTTGCAGATTGGTTAGTGCCACAAAGTAGGAAGGTGCTTCCTTTTCTTTTTAGATTCCTCTTTTGTGTATTCTCCATAAAAAAAATTATTCTGCTAATCATATTGGACATGGTTGTTTCCAGTGAGTATCTGTTAGAGGATGATGAAAGAGACGATCAAAGCGATGGTGGTAGTCTAGGGAAATCTCTTAGCTCTGTTTACAGGAGTCTAACATCTTATGAACAATGCAGGAGTCCATCACCTTAATCATTAACAACGTGGGAGTCCAGATTATGGTAGACAAAGAAGTCATGCCTATGACCGATCGATACGGAATGTAAAATAAAGTGGCTTTGGCTTCTCAGTGTTCACTTGCTCTAAGGGCAATACAGAAACAGAAGCTACCAAGAATGTTTGTGGCATGGTATTTCGGACATACAAGAGTAGATTTTTTGGGGTGGTTTTTAATGTTCTGTGTTCCAGTTACATGATGCTTTTAATATTAGCAGAAGGAAGTGGAAGCAGAAGTTCAAAAAAAGGTGACGATTACAGTGGTAACTGGTGAGGATGATGTAAATTGTTTAAGCATTGATATCATATTTGTTTATTATTAGAGATGTTAATTTTGTTGGTTATTAGTTACGTTCTCACATGGAACCAATAAAAGATTTCTTATGGTTTATGTTTTGGATCAAAATCAAATATTAAATTGGCTTTGATATGATCCCATACAAGATCTCACTGATATGGCTTCTAGGGGCGGCTTAGAAGGGGGTACAAGAGGTGCGATGCACTGGGGTTGATTGGAAAAGAAAAAAAATTAGTAGAGAAAAAGGGGTCAAAACAAAATATTAGTATAGCAAAAGAGGCACATTAAAAGGAAAAATTTGATTTTTGACCAGGGCTTATAAACCCTGATTGGCTTCAAGTACGGTTAGTGACGTTGGTTTAAAAAATATGTAAATCTTTTCGTGTGATTTCGTTTTGCTCTTTTGCATGTGTTGAGACATCTTAATGGTGTTATTATCTAAACAGTGAATACTTTTGTTCTTATCTTGGAGGCACAAGGAGGAGAAGGGACCATAATATAAGCAACAAGTATAAGAGACAAATACCCGACTTAGTCATAACAGCCTTTAAATTTAATAACCAAAGCTACACGTTACATGAATACAAGCAACATAGTAAGGAGTCTTAGTGTAAGCTAAGTTTATGGCAGAATGGAAATCCTTAAAGTATAGCATTACTAAACTTCTAAGCTAAGATAATAGTATAACGAATTTGGAAGAATTAATTCACTGAACACTATTTGTGAAGTGCCATTTGGAAAAAGCCATACTATATATGTTAGTTCTAGAATGAGCCCCACTCAAAAAAATTCATAGCATGAAGAGATTTGTTTGCATGTAATGCAAGAAATAAAATAACATGTAAACTACTACTTTCCAAGAGGAAATTATGAATGAAATAGATGTTGAAAAGTCTTTCAGTGTATTAAAGAAACTTGGTTTTATATGTATTTTACCCTACTTAAAACTCATATTAAACCTCATTGAAGGTTTTAGGTTAATGTAAATCACATACCATAACAAAGGGGTTCAATATAATGTTTTTGGTAGGAGGTAGTACACATGAAATCAAGAAACTGTAAGAATAATTTAAGTGCCTCATATATCACGTTTTGCAAACATTGTGTAACTTACTTAAAGAAAATCGAGAGAACTGGAGATCCACTGAATAATAATGATCAAAGAGATAGAGAGCGATTTATCGTAAGATGGATATAGAAAATCATGAGAGTAATGCATAGTTTCAAAGAAAATGAAATATATTTCTGAGAAGGAGGAAAAACACTAGAACTGAAAAGGAGAGAGAAAAATAATATGAGTCGAATAAAGAGAGAGACAACGCAAAAGAAAAAGAAAGATGAGTGGAAAGAAAAATGTGATGAAAAAGGAGAGGGGCTGTAGAAGAAAAAGAATAAGAAAAAGACGAACACAATAAACAATAAAAAGAAGAAGCCAAAGATGATGAGTTTTCATAACGTGATTTTGGAGATCCAGAAAAGAAATCTAGAGAGAGGGAGACCTATTGAGAATAGTGATACTTACTGAGAAAGATATTATGATTGAGAATACCAATGATCATAGCGAGAGACATTAGCAATTCCATGGTAATCTATATGTAGCACCTTTCTCTTATAATACTATTCTAGCAACAATTAGTGATTGTATTTCTTATTTTGATGTATAGGTTGTAGAACAAACAAACATGGTGTATTAGTGTTTGATTATGATAGTTTGACATGTTATGGTGCTTTGAGATATGTTAATTGTGATTTGGTGTTTGTTGCTCAATGAGCCTTATTGGAGAGACAAACATATATGGACTGTACACAAATATATTCGTTTAGACATAGTCATAATAAATTGGTTGTCTAGACAAATTTCTCTTCATCTCGGATCCTATAATTCACCTTATTTGAACCTCTTTGCTATGTTTTGTTTTTACACAATCTTAAATCTCATTAATCGCAACTCTTTTTCTCTATGATCCTTAAAAAACCTAATTGCATATTACAATAAGAATTTAATGCAATACCAAAAGGTGGTTCTCTTGGGCTGTGATTCTTTTGGATAAAGTTGGTGATCAAGCTGGATCAGAGGAGGTTCTTTCAACAAAGGCAAGTTGGAGAGTTGTATTAGACTGTACAAGGTATGTGTTTGTTGGTTGATCAATGCACATAAGTGAAAGGCATATTAGTCTTTGGATGTATCATAGTCTTGCTTCATAAACGAACACCCTAAGTATGGGTTGTGTATGTATTCACTTTAGATATGGGGTTCTTGGTGGAATCAATACTGGTAATATTTTAAGGTATTTGATTGTTTATAGTCAAGAGTCCTAAACTAAATCAATAGTGAAATATATTTCCAGGTAGACGAAGAACAACATGAAGAAGAAGCAAAGTATAACGCCTCGAAAAGCTGGATTTAGATAGCAAAACATATATAATGAAGAAGAAGAATATAAGAGCTGAGAATAAGAAGGAAAATTGAAAGAAGAAAATCAGAGGATAAAGAAGATGAAAGAAGTACAACTGAAAAAAAAAATGTATGAGAAGATGAAGAAGAAGAAATATGAGAAGATGAGAAAAGATAAATAAAATAAAGAGAAAGACAAAACTGATAAATAAGATGTCGCAAAAAAAGAAAAAGATTGATAATACAAAATGATGAAGAATACAAGACGAAATAAGAAGAAAAATCTGAATAAAAATAAGGAAAAAATGAAAGTTAGAAGATGAAGACGGAAAAAACAAAACAAAAAAAAAAATAAAAGAAGGAAAAAGTTGAAGAATATGTGAAGAATAAAGAAGTTGGAAAAAAAATAAGAATACAAAGCCAATTCAAAAAAAATTGTAAATAAAGAAAGAAAACAAATAAAAACCAGGAAATAAAAAGATGACGATGAAGAGAGAGGAAAAGAAATAGAGAATAGAAAATTTGATAAGAATAAGAAAAAATGGTAGAAAATGAAGGAAAAAAATACTAAAAAAGTAAGAGACAAAGTAAAAGAAGAAGAAGATAAAATGGGTTGAGGTTTACGATGTACAGTTTATATTAATGGGTGTAAAATTTAGTTTTTGGTGCATTTTAAAAAATTTGAATACACTACATTAC